CACACACACACACACACACACACACACACACACACACACACACACACACACACACACACACACATCAAACTGACTGCTTTACGCCGCGCTACAGAGGCCAAGATCCGCGAACTCGAGCTCGAACTTGCCAAACAGAAGCACCTCGTCGAACTGTACAAGCACGAGCAGAAGGAAAACACAAACTTGATCGCCATGTACGAGGAAGCAATGGGCACCGCGGTCGAGCAAGTGCGAAACTACTGCGGAGACATCGAGGGCCGCTTCCTCCGCCAGCGCAGACACTACAACGATCTCTTGCAGCAGGAGAAGGACGAGCACTTGCAGAGCCGATTGGACCGAGACCACTGGCACGCGCAGACGCTCAAGGTTTGTGAGATGATCCGAACCGCCCACAGACTCAGAAGCGAGGAGTGGCATGAAGAGTACACCATCATTGCGGCCCTGCAGGGCGAGGTGCGAATACTGAGACGCGTAATTGGGATGGAGGCAGAGAAGCCAGAAGAGGAGACGGGCTGGCCGTATCTGAAGGACCTGCCATTGCCGGAGTAGGCGGCTTAGCTTGGCTGCGTGTGCACACCGGCGTCAATGGGGGCGGCTTGAGGAACAAATGCACAGCGAAGGCGTACCGGGGTCAATGGAACATAGCATTGGCATTGGCATTGAATGGGCTGGAAAGCAACCAGCAGCATTGAGCATCGATGCTCGGGCGTCGTCCAAGAAGACGACATGAATCAAAAATCATCGTGAACAACATCCTGCGTCCTCTCGTTTCCATCGTGTTCTCGTTTCAGTACGGAGTACCCTGCGTTGACTTCCAGACCGACAGACCCTTCACACATACCCATCACCCACTAAACACTACATGCATTTACGGACGAAGGTCGCCTACCTCCTGTAGCACACCGTCCCAGCAGGTAGCGACACCCATCTCGACGCCTCTGTCGGCAATGCCGGAAGCGGTATATCGGGCGGCGGTCCCGACGGCGGGCCCCGTGTCCGCAACGACAAGGACGGCATACTCTTCTGCCTGATGATCTGGTCTCTGGCGGGCGGCGTCTTCGCCACCCAGAGTGGTGGCCTGTTCACGGCGGCGTCGTGCTCGTCGTTGCCCTCGTCCGCGCGCAATATCGAAGGGGTGGCTTCTCGCGCAGGGACGCCCATGGCCGTCGTATCCACTATTGGAAGCATGCCGCGTCTTTTGAGCTTGGTTCGTGACGGGGGTCTCGAGTCGGTACTTGTGGCTCTTTCGCGTGTCGTTGCGGGGCCTGTTAGCGATGGCGAGGGCACGCTTCCGAAATCAAGTGCTGCGCTTTCTCTTTCTCTTTCGATTTCAGTTTCATGACTTGCCGACGTGGACGAACGCGTGCGCCTCGATGGCAGATGCGTCTGTCTGGACGATGCCGTCGGGGGGAACAGGCTGTACGAGGCGGTTCGCCTGTGCGTTTCGCGTGAGCCGGAGGTGTGCGAGGAGGTTGTGCTTCTGATGCTGCAGGGCCGGGACTGGGAGGCCGGAGACGTCGGCGTGCTAGGTTCGGTGTATGCGCCGCCTCGGGTTTCGCATCGGTAGCGCGCCGAGGTTTTGCGGATGTGGCCTGGCTCGGGCAAAGGGGCGACCGTCGAGATTCGTCTGCCGGTGTCATCGAGCTGAGGGACGCCTAGGAGTGGCTTCTGGATATTGGAGTCGGCAGGAGCAATGTCGGGCGGAGTGTCCTGAAAGGTGATCTGCTTTGGGAGGATCACCGGACATTTCTTGGAGGTGGCACCTTGGTGGACGGCATAGTGCATGGAGGAGTCATCTAGGTCATGCTGGGCCGAGGCCACAATCCGTGGTCTGGAGTCTGGTGGTGCCTGAACTTCGTAGCTGTCTGTGCTGGAGAAGGATGAGTCTGGCGTACGAGGGCCGTAGCTCGCCCGGCTGGAAAAGCTTGTGTGGGTGGTGGAGATGGAGTGATTGTCGGAGAAAGACCGCTCTCGTAGGTGATCGGGGGAGTTCAGTGTATGGGCTGAGGAGTCCGTGCTTGGTCTGAAAACTTTGCGCGACGTGGTCTGTTGGGGTCGCGGCATAGGCATCGGCATTGGTGGTAGAAGTACTGGTGAAGGCAGATACAGCTCTTCCACATGCGGGTGTGTGGACAGCTGGAACAAGTTTGGCAGGCTCTTCTGAGCCCGAAGCAGTCGATCTGCTTTTCCACGCCGAGACAGCCCCAGCTTCCGACTTGGCCATGTTGAGTCACAATTTGAGTGCTGCTGACGAGCTACTGCTGCCGGACATTCCGAGACCTCTGGAGGTTTTAGAGGCTGGTGCCCAACTTTAACGGCATCGGCCACTTCTGTATTGTGCTGTCTTGTGAATCTTTCCGACTTTGTGCGAACGAAGAAAGCTCTGAGGCGAGACTTAGCACTCTTTTCCGACGGCCACCACCCGGAGACTTCCTCAGCGGCCGCCATTGACAAGGTTTGTTCATCAGGCATTTCAGGGCGAAGAGGAGGTTGGACTATTGTATGACGGTGTTGGGTCTAACCCTCGAGTATATTGAGGATTGCTGGTGCGTTGCTTCGTGCTTCGTGCTCAGTGCTTTCCTCCCCCGATAACAGACCTCGTAGACGTTCAGCTTGACGATCCTCGACGATTTCGAAGGCCAGGTCTGAGATGATGCCGTGCGATTGGGTAAATGAACAATGTTGCGTCAGTCTCCCTAGCCTCAAGCTTGACGATCTCTGTGTTGGTATGCCGGATGTTTCTGTTTTCTTGGCGGACGAGTGCTTCGTGCGATTCTGTTATGAAAGACTGCGTTGGAGAACAGTGATATACTCGGAGCGAAGTTGATCTATCGTTAAGAGATGAAGCGGAAGAGCATGACACGAGTGGCGTAGGACTACCCAGAGGCAGGGATAAACAAGCTGGAGCAAACAGTGCGGGTGTGAAGAGAAACCATTCTGGCAGCTTTAGTTGTTGCGGTTGAGAGGTATGAGGAATTGGACTGGGGCCGTGCTGCACACCACAACAAGCTTGAACGATCTGGGCCAACAAAGGCATGCATGGCATCGCCACTGATTAGATGGGAATAATAGGTATGTGCTGGGTTGACAGTGACTGACATAATGCAAGGAGACACACCTGGAGGATGAGGACCGATGCCGCATCTGTATACACTTACATATACTGGGTGGCCAGTGTGTGCCAATTTGTCCATTTAGAAATAGTCTACCCGCTGGACGGTAAAGGAGAAAGACGTCCTGTAAGGATGAGTCGAGTGCTGACGTTGAAGACAGATTTGCTCTGCTCCAAGCACCAATAATACAGTGGAGGAGGGCGAAGGGGCAAACGAAACACAAACGAGAGACAGGACGGCGTCGGTGAGGGTGTATTGAAAGTGCTGAAGAAAAGGGTCACGGCCGAGTTGGCCGTGTACAACACTGATAGATACACTGACTCAGATCACATAATAGCCTGGGCTTTTCCTGCGCTCTTTGGTGAAACAACCGGGTATAGTGCTTGCTGAGCCATAATGCAAGGAGGTCGTGCACATAGGAAGGGAGGACGACGTGGTACCATGTTTGACTGGTTGGAGTGTTGTCAACGGGCATGTCAAGTTTGCTATGAGTGTCGAGGGAGGGCCAGGCTGCAATAGAACGGGCGCTCTTGGCTGAGGCATAGCAAACAGAAGCGCTGGCGTAGGTTAACTATGTGTCTCCTTGATCACACAAGAGATCTCTCTCTTCTCTGGTGGAAGAAGTGAAGATGAGCGAAGGGTGAGTAAAGGGTGAGCAAAGGGTGAGAAACTTGTGTGCTTGCGCTCGATGCCGAAGGCTTCGCCCTACCTCGGCCCCTACCAGTGCCTCGCTGAGCCCCGCTAACTACGGAGGGTTTTAGACACAAGCCCGCAATGCTCCGGGTGCAGCAAACATCTACCAGTTTTATTCGAGATCTAGTTTAATCGTACAGGATGATTAACCAGCTACCTCTTATCAGCTCAGATCTGCCAACCCGTCCAGCTCAATATGTATCTGGATAAGCAGTCTCTCGTATCGATAGTCTGCTGTGGAATGGCTTCGTGTTTCAGGCAGCAAGTATCCCAGCAGCAGTTGTGACAGTGCATCTAGCGTGGGCACATGCAGATGTTTTATCACGTTCACCATCTCCACAATCGACCATGCCCGCGGGTGGAGCTGGAGCCGGGGCTCCTCTTGCTGTGTCATAAGGACTGACCACACCTTCTCGAGCGAACCTTCTTCTTCGAGATGATGATCAGTCAGCCGTCTTTGGGCTCTGAGCAGGTCTTTTCTCCGACCCCGGGCTTCTTGGTGAGCACGATCCGTGCCCCCAAGGAGGACGTCAAATATGAAGAGCAAACTTGCTGCCAGTGCTACAGATTTGCGCAATCTGCCCATTGGTGTCGTCTCCTCGGCGAGGGTTTGTCGCTCCACGTTCAATCGAAGCAATGTCTTTCTCAGTGACGAAAATGATTCCTCGTTCAGGATGCTGGATAAAGTATCGGGTGACGACATTTGCCGTTGAATTTTCGAGAGTGTATCAAAAAGCCGCGTCAAGAAATAATAGCCATCGGCTTGGGGTTGTGTTGGTCGAGTATTGTTGCATACTTGCTCCATCGTCCGATTATCAATCGGCCAGTATCCTGGCATCGTACTCACACACCAAGCCAACAGCCACATGGTTTCCGATGAGAGATTCTGTATCCCGCCACAACACTTAATAGATTTTTGGAGGCCGTTCAGGTGAGTGTGGACGTTGTGAGTCAAGGACTTCGGAAACCTCTGATTCTCAGAGGGGACACCCATGGACAAGGTCACTTCATACGCCCACAGGCTGAGCACGGTCAGAATAGCGTCTTCAGACATAGCATCTGGCCTCCGAATTTGTTGTTGAAGCAAGCCGATGCCCTCGACGACCAATGCAAGAGTGTCCGAGGTGGGTTCACGATGCCCTCTTTCGATATCGTGGTTGAGGCTGGAAATGGCAAGAAGTATCCGCGACGACACCGGCCGGGTCATTATATGTTGTGCCATTGCAGATGCCGGTGATACGCACTGGCTGGACTCTTTCGTCCCGTACAATCGACTAATGACTCCTGTGTGTACTGAGTCGGAGTCAGACGCAAATCGGGAAAGGATACTGGCGTTACTCGACTTACCATTTGTCACAAGATCCTTGGGAGTTTGTGAAGTGTACGCTGCGCTGTCTGAAAGCCCGCCGAAGTCGACGTTGGACCCGGAGGAGCTGAAGGTGGGAGAGGAATGCGAATCACCCATTGTGCTTCCCGCCGTCCATTGCGACTGTTGGGGTGATGATGGCCTTGAACTGGTGTCGCTCAGGGAATCCGATGACAAGGCAGCCTCTGCCACAGACCCATCTGGTTGTGATGTGCCTTGATCCATATCTTCTCGCCGCAACCATGGAAGGACCCGACTTTTGGATCGAGAGGCCAGTTGCTTCTGACGACGGATGGAATCGCGCTTGCGAAGAAACTCTTTCATTACGTGCCTGGATTTGCCCGTGCCACGCTGACGGTCACCCGAAACGAACAGATACGTTGGGGTATAGTCCACTCCCGAAGTCTGAGTGAAAACCACACTCATTTTCAACTAGAAATGAAAATCTTCGCTGGCAGGAGGACGGGGTATTCCCAATGAAAGAAGTGCAACCAGCTCTTGTAAGAGCAGAGGGCGCAGTTTCTCCTTCTTGTAATCATGGAGCCGCCAACAAAAGGACACGAACGGATCGCGGCTTCAGGACGGTCAATAAAACTATTCCCGTCATCTTGCGCACCATGTCCACTCAACCTTGTAGGGCGACACGGGGGCTGCATGACCAAGGGTCTCTCTGGGGGCCGACGACTTGCAAACAGACAACGGCCGTATGCTATCAACCTGATTGGGCGGTAACCGTTACCCCAAAAGGGCTCGCAGTTTGGACCACTCATAGACTCCTCTCACCCGACGCTTCTTCAAGCCTAGTTGCAGAGCTGAGGTCGACTCCTCTGACACACGCTGCAAGTGCTTACCAATGGCGCGGTATGTGGATGAATCCAGGAAGCCTGCGCCCAATCAACCTTCGATTACAGAGGCTACGGATTGCCCTAATGTCGGTTCGAGGTAACGGTAGTTTTGGGAAGGAAGCATGAGAAACACCAAAGGGGCAAAAGGGTTGGGAAACTGGACCTGATTTGCTCGTGCGGCCGTTGAGGTTGCGCAGTCGTTGGTTGGCGGCAGAGCGCGAACCATCCTGGGCGTAGCGCGTCGCCGGTAGCTTTGGGACTACATCATTCACCCGTCCATGGAGGTCGAGAGCCATCTCGATCCCGACTCGTGGCAGAAGAGTCGGTCTCTCACAGCTTGCAGAGGTGGGTGATGGAACGTGCCCTCGCTGCTGCGGAGCCTGTGACCCTTCATCAGCTCAATGAATCATCTTTGCATTGAGTCTCCCACCCGTACATCCGATATGCCGCTTTGAGCATGGATGAACGCGCCGAATCGGCGCATGGTGCTGGGAGAGCAGTACATAATCCCACCAGAGCCGGCAGGTCACCCTCTTTGGATGACGGAAGCGAGGCAGGCGAGTCGTCGACCAAATATCGGAGGATCGATCAGGAAGGCGCCAGAGCTTCGACAGCGTCCGAGCAAGCCAGCCGTTTCCTGTTCGTTGACTCGTCCTCCAGTGGTCAAAGACCACGTTCTGATCAGCGAGCCATTAACGCACATATCCAACAGACTGCTCACAGGAATCGCAAGCAGGCCGGCCGAAAGCAGAAGACGACGGGAACGGCGAACATAGGGCGACAACGTCCCAGACCCGTGTTACAGCCACGACCAGTCGAAGCCCTCCGCATCGCCGATGCCTCTGCCGCTCTTCAGCAGCGCGGCTCCCCGGAGACGCCGTCAGTCCCCAGCGTCGCGAGCTCCCCAGCATCGTCCTCAACGGTGAGCGTTCGCGCGGATAGCCGCACTCCCGAGCCACAAACACCTGGTCTACAGCGGGCGCCTCCCACAGCCAAGCAAGAGCAACTTGACCGAGAGCAGCTGGACCGACTGCGGCATTACAGCAATGTTCGTCGAAATGAAGTTCAAGAAGCTGTCAATGCTCAGCGCAGCGAGCAAAATGCGTCGACTGACGTGGCTCGGCGAGCGAGCTTCGGAGATGAAACCAGCTCCGTGAGATCGATGCTCACACAAATCCTGCAGAGACTGGATGCTGGTCATCCAGGAACCGCGCTTCAGAGCCCGCCTAATTCCTCGCTTCGAAATACAGTTCTTGATCCCTTTAATATCAGCTCTGTCCACATTACCCCGAGCATGAACACTGCCTTGCGCCATTGTAAGTCGTTCCTTCCCCAAGCCTCCGTTTTCTATGCTGTGGCGCGATACACTGTGGAACCGAGAGCCCTGGCGGAGGTTGAGAACCCGGAGATCAGGAGGCTCAAGCTGACTTGGCTGGATCTCTTCCTGCAGCAGACAAAATCTACCAAATGCAGAGCTAAGAAGTAGATTTGTGTCTCACCCTCTGTTCTGGAAGATCAAATGCCAATCGTAACAACGGCCCTCCTCGTGCAGAGAAGCTGACTTGTCCTAGTCTCTGATGTTATGATCCCCGGCGTCTTCCCGACTCGACACCAAGCTGAAATCCAGACTCGCTGGGCCTTTCAGAATGCTGCACAGGATCCATTGGTCTTGTACGCGCTATTGGCCGTATCTTCGGCAGAGCGAAGCGCGAGGTTGGGAGAATTGAGGAGCGGATCGATCGAAAGTACCTTCACCGAAGCCGACCTCGAGAATCGCGCAGTCCCGGATTTCGTTTCGTACAAACTGAATGCGGTGAAGATTGCCAATGAGACGATGAAATCAATGGAGACGGCCGCTCAAGCCTCTACAATCTTTGCCATGATGTGTCTGCTTTCAATTGAGGTATGTACTGCATTCCCACCAAGGTGTCCGGTCGAGACTTACTGGTGTTGCGCAGATTATCACGGGAAACCAACAGGAGATGTTCGCACACGTTTCGGGGCTGCAGAAGTTGATCGCCTGGCGTGGTGGATACCATGGACTACCTCCTCACGCAACCGAGCTGATCCTATCGTAAGTAATTGGATGATGCTGTGGATCTGGTGAAGTCTGACCACCGCGAACAGGTCTTCCTACATGTGCGCAGCGGTGGCGCGTTCCTTGCCCGCGGCACCTCCTACCGCTTCGTTGTCTTCCCTGCCTGCGAGATTGGTCGAAGAGATTCGGCAGAATGTCAGTGACGATATCAAGAAAATGGGTATTGGCATCCTGACTCCGGACGTGGACACTCTCTTCGACTGGAGAATATCGCAAGCCTTCCGCGACATGCGAGATGTTGTGCAATACCGGGAATACTACCACGAGAAGCAAGTACTACCTGATCAAGAAGAGAATGATTACATCAACGCCAAAAGCTACCAGTTTCGGTATGCTGCCCTGTCCGCGCCGTTCGAGCCACGAGCGCCCGCCAGCGACAAAGAAGAGGCATGTCGACTGGCGTTGTTGATATTCTGGTTCAGCAACTATCAAGTCATGGCGCCCGACTCTGCGCTCAACCGGACTTTGACCGCTCAGCTGAAGACGGCTCTCCAGAGCTCGGATCTCAAAGGGCTGTGGGGTCCTTACTTCGAGCTGCTGACATGGGTCTTGATGCTGGGTGCGTTCATTTCTGCAGGGCAGCGGGAGCGACCATGGTTCGTTTTGAATGTCGCCAAGGTGTCCAAGGTACTGAAATTGCGGGACTGGGATCAGCTTCGTGACCTGCTGTTGAAGTTCTTCTATCTCGATCGAATTTACGTCAAAGGCATGCGAGACATTTGGGATGAAGCATCATTGTTGGCAGAAGGTTTAGACTGAGGAGTGATCATGCGTCACGAGCTGGTTGGACCACGGTAATGATGTTACGGCCGATATTGGTGGCATGTGTCTGCTTCTCCAGCGTTCGATACCATATACCAGCTGGGACTTGGCGTTGCGGGAGATACGGGCTCCAAAAAGTCAGTGTTACGAGATTGCGAACACGTCTTTGAGTAATACTTTAGCGAGTACCTCACAAGTCACTGGAATTCACATTGCCCCAGCAAGTCCAGTTGTTGTAAAATTTCGGCGGCAAGGACATCGCCGTCTGATAACAATTTCCACCAAATCATTCCTACCTCACCGCCCAATCAATCCACTCCAACTCACTCCTCGAACCGTTGTCCTCCTCCGCATTACGGCGATACCCTCCACGTCTCGCCAATGACTATTCGACTGCTAATCCAGCCTTGTCACGGTGCACTGAGATCAACGGTGATCTGCTGGATGCCTGCAACTCACAACACCTTCACGGGGGACCTGGGGTTGCATACACAGCCATGACATACCCGTAGCTGATTGATCAGAGAACCGTCGCATTATCAAGCCGGTCGTCAACATGGCGACACGCCAGAGCTCGGGTCAACTTGATCCTACCTCGCTTGATGGCAATTTTATCGTATTGCCAGACCAGAACGATATGCCAGAAGTCTTTCGAATGCCTTACTGCAACAATCTGAACCTCCATGAAATCTCCGTCGACGAGTTACAGCATCACTATGCGTCCGGTGCACTGTCCACCTCTGACTTTGTCAAGTTCTGCTTGGACAGAATTCAGAAGGTTCTTGGCTAAATAAATCTCCTGCTGCGATTTCAGAGGTTGCTGACAGCGGGAAGATCAACCCGTACCTCGAATGCGTGATCGAAACGAACCCCGATGCTCTTGACCACGCCGCTGCGCTGGATGAAGAGCGGAAGCAGCGGAGAATACGAGGCCCACTGCATGGCATCCCCGTGCTCATCAAAGACGTGAGTAAAACTCCTACACCCACTGGAGTCCAGCCCGCTGACAGCTTATTGTTCTACAAGAACATCGCCACGGCGGATAAAATGCAAACAACGGCTGGCTCATGGGCACTCCTGGGATGTATTGTGCCCAAGGACGCACACATCGTCCGTCTGCTACGTGAGAGCGGTGCCGTCATCATAGGCAAAGCGAACTTGGACGAATGGGCCGGCATGAGAGGGAGCATCTATGCACTAGGGTATTCAGCGCGCGGGGGCCAAACTCGGAATCCTTACATGTTGAACCGCTCTGCAAGTGAGTACTTCTCCAGCAGCCGGCAACTATGGCGCTGAGAATGGGGGCCTATAGATGGCAGCAGCTCAGGCAGCGCCGTGAGCGTGTCAGCCAACATTGTGCCCCTCGCTTTTGGCACCGAGACCGACTGTAGTGTCATCTCGCCGGGCATGGTGTGCGGCGTGGCCGCGATCAAACCGACTGTTGGCCTCACATCGCGCGGAGGCGTCATTCCCATCTCCGAGACCCAGGATTCCGTCGGGCACTTCGGCCGCTGCGTTGCCGACGTGGCTCGAGCCCTCGACGTCGTCGCCGGTCCAGATGCGGAGGACAAGTTCAGCACGCAGCCAGGGAGACGTCAGCCGAAGAGTTACTACGACTGCCTCACTGATCGGCATGCACTCAAGGGGGCAAGGTTCGGTCTGCCCATGAGATGTTTCTGGGACGTTGCGCCCTCGCCCCAACGACTCGTTGCAGGGAAGGTGTTGGGCCTCTTGAAGGAGGCGGGTGCTGAAATCGTGCCCGTCGACATGCCGTGCGCGGAAGAGAGGATGGGCAGAGACGGCATATGGGACTGGTAGGTCATGTCATGCCGTACCGTGCGTTCATACTAACGTGCAGGATCTCCTCTCAGGGAACGATACGGCGAAGACAAGCCCGAGATTTCCGAAATCACAGTCAGCAAAGTGCAGACCTACTATCTGATGAACGTGTACCTCAGCAAACTGAAGAAGACGCCCATAAAGACCCTCGAAGACGTCGTCCGGTTCAACGACGAAAACCGCGGCAGCGAGGGCGGCAAGGCCGGTGACCTCCCCATGTTTCCTGACGGGCAACGGCTCTTCCGCAAATGCATCGACACAAAAGGGATCAAAGACGAGACCTACAACGCCGCACTGAAGCATATCCAATCACAGTGTCGGCAGAACGGCATCGACGCGGCATTGAAGGGTTACAGAGAGGAAAGCACAAAACCTTTCATTGAGTTCGACCAAGCCCTGAGCTACGTGACCAGGGTGAAGGTAAGCGAGATAAGTTCTGTCCCCTGCCCCTGCCCACGAGTGAACACACACATACACATATATTGACCAGCCTCGACAGACTCGCTTCACCATGCAGCCCGAAATCTACAAACAATTCCTACAGCTCCTGCAAACCTACCAGCGCGAATCGATACCACGAAGCGAAGTCTACGACAAAGTTACGCGGATATTCGCATCTGCTCCAGACTTGGTAGCCGAGTTTGCAGAATTCCTCCCGGAGCCGTCATCTCAAGTAGATGCAGAGGGGAAACAAATCGACGCGCTCCTCTTCTGCGACGTTAAGGCCGCGGGTATTCAAATCGCCGCTCAGGCCGGCTATCCCGTGATGACTATCCCTATCGGCTTGGATCCAGATGGCATGCCCGTCCCGCTGACGCTCCAGCACACGGCATGGCAAGAAGACAAGCTGATCAAGTGGGCAAGCGCGATTGAAGATCTGCTGGCCAATTATAACGAGGAGCATGGCATCCCGGCGACCGAGCGGTGGAAACGACTGGGCCGGGTCCCGCCGACGTACATGAATCATCTGAGGAAGAATATCCCGACGGACATGGATTACCAGTGGCCCGGACGGCATCGTGACCATGCTGGTGCGCCGAGCTGGGTGGGAGAGTAGAGCCAGAATGCGGGCATATGCATACAGTGCGAGCTCCACGCTCAGTATCCCTTCTAGACATACGTGCCTCCCCTTGCCCTTCCTTCCCTTGGCTTGACAGAACTCCGGAGCGAGCATGAGCGCAGATGACACGAGAAAGACGAGTCGAATTCGAAGCACGTCAAATGAGCGCGAATAAAGCATGGAGCGGAATCAACACAAGGGATCCGGCCACGGACCCAGCATAGTCATCCCTCCATCCGTCGACCAACGTAGTCACCTCCGCAGCCAGTCGAACTTTGAAGGAAAGATTCAGGAGACGAGGATAAGGACGAACCGGCGACGGATTAATTCGGACTGCAATAATTCATACACTGTAACTAGCGTCTGATCTCCTGAGCGTGTAGACGGTGCAGACGGAGATGCGGATGCGTTTTATTCACTCAGGCATCCCGTCTTACGTTCATGCTGTATTCATACATCCAAGGCCCAGCGCCCGAATACGGTGACGATTTCGATCCAACTGAAAGTCAAAAGTCTCACTGCCCAGCAACATCGCCGCGCCGCACGGCGGTCTTGTAAATACAGTCCATGGTGCATAAAAGTCCGGTACAGCAATTATGGGAGACCCGTCACGGGCGGCGCCATGAAACAAAGGTACGCCTCGCCCTATTCGTGGCGTCAGTCTTCTTGCTCGTACGAGTACTTGGACACCTGCATGCACGACGGGTAAGTGGAGGTGGTGGAGGCGGAGAGATATCGTATGTCACCATCCACATGCATGGACATGCGGAGACTTTGTACGTACAGTACAGTATGTGCCGGGCTCTCAGGCTCCCATACATTCAAGCACTCCCTTCAGCGAATGTGCTAGCACCTTTAGGACGGCGATCAATTAGCAACCGACTAGGTACGGCAAGTACTGACTCCGCCTGCTAGAGTACCTTGTGTACGGAGTACTGGGTACTCGATCGGTGACTTCGGACAATATCCACTATATCGGATCATCTCATTCCACACTCTTTAGTTCGTCCGGCGGGCGGTCGAAGAGGATTGGAGTCTACGAAGTTGTACGAGTAAGTATTCATCCTGACTTCCTTGCCACATACTTATTATCTACTTGGCTAGTCTCAGTACCTAGGTAGATAGTACATGTACAGTAGACTCCGTGGCTCCTGGTAAAATCACGAGGTGAAAACCATACGACAAACCCGACGTCCTCGCCAGTACATTCAACTTCCACCCTCTCCCCCTGGTCACGTCATCACCATGTCGAAGCTCATCGTCGTCCTCGGCGCCACCGGCACCCAAGGCGGCTCCGTGGTCAACACGTTCCTCGACACTCCCGGCTGGAAAATTCGGGCCGTCACCCGCAACGCCAATAGCGCGGCGGCCCAAGGACTCAAATCCAAAGGCGTGCACGAGGTGGTCACCGCAACGCTCCACGACGTATCTTCCCTCACCGAAGCCTTCAAGGGCGCGCACACCGTCTTCAGCGTGACCGATTTCTGGGGCCTGTATTACGATCCAGGGAACACGGAAAAGGCCGCAGCGTCGGGCCTGCCGAAGAACGTCTGGGCTTCTCGGGTCGAGGAGCAGCAGGGCAAGAACGTGTTTGATGCGGCAGCCAACACGGACGGGCTCCAAAGGTTGATCTTCTCGGGCCTGTCGAATGCCTCGAAGTGGTCTCGGGGAAAATATACCCACGTGTATCACTTCGACTCGAAGGCCCGGGCGGCCGAATACGGCCAGGCGACGTACCCGGAGTTGTGGGCCAAGACGAGCGTCCTGCAGGTTGGGTTTTACTTGTCGAATCTGTTGACCGCGCCGTTTATGAGGCCGCAGAAGGTGAGTGTGGGCTCTTGGCTTTTGTTCAGGGGAAATACTTGGGCTGTTGCTGAAGTGGTTCCCAGGACGAGAACGGCATCTACGTCTTCTCCTACAACTTCCCGATGACTGTCAAGTTGCCCTTGATCGCCACGGAGGAGGACACCGGGCCCTTCACCCGCGCTCTCGTGGAGGCGGCGCCAGGCAAGAATCTGATCGCCTACCGTGCCTGGATGACAATGGACGAGTACCTGCAGATTGTGTGCGCAGTCAAAGGCGTCAAGGCCGTGAATCAAAATGTGCCTCTCGATGCATCTTCTGGATCGCTCCCGGAGGAGCTGGTCGCCGAGTTGGCGGACAACGCCGGGTACTTTGAAGAGTTTGGGTATGAAGGCAGGGACGATCCGACGCTCGTGCATCCCAGAGACGTAAGTGCGACCTGCGCGGTATAGGGACTGATACTGATACTGACCGTGACGTTGATAGCTTGGTGTGGATGTACAGCTCCCGTCCGTCGAAGATTGGGTGAAGAAGCAGGACTGGAGTGCCGTCTTCACCTAGAGACTAGGCGGCATGGGATTCCACGCTCCCATGGAGGGTAGACCTTCATGTCTTGCGCGTCGTCCCACGGGTCTTCGAGGCTGATAGGTCCAGCGTGGTCAGGCGGTCACGCCCTCTGAGCCCCCGACGAGGTTGAAATATTCATCTAATACATGTCAGCCGGTACATGTTGTTCTCCCGATCAGCTGCTACTCACCACAACCTCTCGATTGATGTGCCAAACACCTCGAGGCGGTCGCAATGGTGTCAAATGCATACTGAATCTGGGGGCTAGGGTCTTCGCGCACGAACCACGCACACTCGCCAAGAGCCCGTTACATGTCCTGAGCCAACATGGAGCCATGGCCTCGTGGCCTCGTGGCCTGAAGTTTGTATCCCATGTCAGGCAGCTACATGAGCTGTTCGTACATGGATGATATTGAGGCCTATCAGGAGTCAAGACACGTTTACATCCCTGGCCCAAGTCTCAAGATTAGCCCTGGGCTGGACCTTGGGATCCAAGTGCTTTGCAAGCCGGCGGAAAAGGCAAGCAATGGGCTTCAGGTTGATCACCGCCCAATATCCATGACATGGAGGTTCCTCGTGCATATTCCGAATCAATGGGATTCAGTCTTCTTGGTCCACTTGAGCTTGATCCTTTCAGCATCGACTATTTTCAACGTCACCTCCACTTTGGCTTCATTCACGATTCGAAGGACCCTCGCCTTGGCAGCTTGCTCACTCTCCCCAGGTTTCCTGACCAACGCCACCCTCGAACCATTCGCAAACAGGGTGAATATGATGCGAACAAATTCCACCTGGGAGAACTTCTTGCCCGGGCCTATGAGGAGATTAGAGCCAAACTCGGCATGGCGAGAAAGTCCGGTTCCTTCAAACAAATGACCATGTCGTACAATATGTCCCTCGCAGATGCTTTGTGGGATGAGGTCAACTTACAGACTCTGGGACCTGAATTCCACGGTACAAACGAACCTGGCGCTGGTTGGAAGAGAGATGGTTTGCCAGCCTTATCCTCTGCCGGCACAATCCATCTCTCGGGCTGGAAATCCAGCGCATCGCGTCCCCAGTCGTCGGGATGGGTGTGTAATCCTGCGAAATTCAGTTGCACCGATGTCCGCGGAGGTATGATGCATTCCTTGTCCAGGATCTGAAGGCTCTGCGCGGCATTCCCCGTGTAACGAGGCATCATGACGACGGGTCCGTAGAGTCGGACAGTCTCATACTACGAGAGGTCAGCGGGTCCTCCGCGCAAAGATTCTTCTTACCATCAACGCCAAACATCTTTCGAGCAAGGGAAATGTCTCCTCGTAATACCACAGGCCCGATGGATCAGCCTTGCGTACATGGTCGACCTCTTCGGCGATCCACTCCTGCCACTCGGGGAAGACGGCAAGCAGCGTGATCGCAAAGTGGAGGGTTGCCGCCGTCGTGTCATGGCCGGCTAGATTGTAGATGAACAGGTTGCCCAGGACTTCTTCGTCGGACAGGCCTCCCGATGGCAGCTCGGACGAGTCTTTCGATGTCATGGCAGCCTCTCGTGACTGTTCGGATGCTCGCACGAGGGCACTCATCAGGTTATGACGGGTGAGGTCGCCTTGTTCGAAGGCCGTCTTCTCTTTCTCCAGCATCTCCATCATGTACCCTTTGAACTCTTCGTAGGCCAGAGCTACCCTCCGCATACCGCCGAAGAACATATACTGTGGGATGCCCGCCTTCTTCAGAAGGCTCCATAGAACGAGCTGTATGATATTTGCCAACAGTGTCTGCAAGCTTTGTCGATATCCCAGCCGGTCCGCAACTGGTGATCTGGTGTCGAGGAAGCTACTGTGCAATCCAAACCCGGCGCCACACAGCACGTTTAGTGCCACGGCATGAACGTCGGCTTGCGTCGTTGTAACATATTCTGCCTTGGACCACACCTCCAGCATCTGGTCTGCTTGTTCTGCAGATTCTCGCCACACCAAGGCGCTGTTCTGTTCATTAAAGGGCGGAACGGTGATTTTGCGGTGGCGGTCCCACACCTTGCCGTTGACCGTGTCGAGGTTCGGGCCGTAGAAGTCGAGCATGCCGTACACCTCCGGATCCTTGATGAAATCATTTTTCCGTCGCATGATATCTTCGGCGGCGGCGGGTGCAGCCATATAGATCTCATTGCTGCCGGGAGAGACAATCGTGAAGGCCTGACCATATTTGGCATGGACGGAGAATCTGGGGTAAAAGGTCCACCCGACTTCTGCTCGGTCAGCCCATTCGCCCAGGCCAAATGGCAGGGAAGTGATGATGGGTCTGAGGCGGTCTTTCGTGAGCAGCCATAGAGGATTGCGCGGATCGATGGGGCAGACCAAGATCGGTAACCCAATCTTCTTGGCTTCAATGTAGTTGTTCGTGAATCGAAACACCGACCATACCAGATAAGGCAGCGCCAAAGCCAGACCCGCGAAAACCACGAACATCCTTGTTGTGGGCAATAGAGAGTGTGTCAAGAAACAACGCTCAACCACGATGCTGGCGGCCGTAATGTCAGATTCGCGATGGGTGAGATTCTGGCGGGGAGCATTTGCCATGGACGTGATTGGCTGTCTGACGCACATGAAACTCGCTTACCACAAGGTCGATCTGGCCGTCACTGCGCGTTCAGGCCACCCCAGGCTGATCGTGCTGATGCTCGTTCTGCCTAATTAATGCGCTTCGAGTTGCCGCCATGCCATCGGACGCTTGGACGTGGTCTGGCAGAACCGTCCACGTACGGAGTACAATCTGCGACACGCTTGCGGTGGATCGGGCTGTACTTCAAATATCCGGTACGCTCACTCCTGTGAGTTCTTCCAGTCGTTTGATCAGCTGTTGCTGCACAGCCTCTTCATTTACCTCTCTTTTGGACGATCTTGGCTCGCAGTGATACCAGTACTTCCCGGACGCGTCTTTCGCCTTGCCTGAACCTTCTGCGAGCATGACATACGTATCCACGGCAGCGTCGATGTCCCCAGTAGCACCAGCACCGCCCATCTTAGTAGCAACCCAGCCTGGATCCAACGAATTGCTCCGCACGTTGGGCCACTTCTTGGCAAAGAAGCACGCAAGGAGCACATCGTGTAGCTTCGTGTCGGAGTAGGCTTGAAAGTCCCTGAAGCCTCGCTCGCCGCGCTCTTGCCAGGTAATGTCTTTAAAGGATGCGTCTCCTCCATTGTGAAGGCCTGAGGATACGAACACGAGTCGTTTGGGCTTTGGATTGATCAGGCAGGTAAGGATATATGGGCTGAGCGTATTGACTGCGAATATGCTTGGCCAACCCTCCTTCGTCTTGCGATAGGGCCCGGTATAGAGTCCGGCGTTATGAATGACAGCATCAAAGGCTCCCAAGTGATTGATATCTTCCGCCAGCTTCTTTGTCTGCGAAATATCAGAGAGGTCGCCGACAATACATGTCTCGGCATCGGGGCATGCGGATCGCGCGTCTTGCGCCCGTTGATCATTTCGCGCGTGTAGGACCACGGAATGGCCCTTCTTGACAAGAGCACGTGCGGTCAGAGAGCCCAGGCCGTCGGAGGAGCCGGTGATGAGTATACGAGCCATTATGGACGACAACTAGACCACTTCAACAGAACGTGCGCGTTGAATCTATGGCGGATGGGAACAATGCTTCGGTTTCCGTCATGATCGCCCCGCTGCTTTTTCCAATGGCTGCGCCAAAGCGGCTACAGGCTGTTTTAACCGAGTTGCGGGGGACAACGCGCTGACGCGGTCGCGTAAAGTGCTACGCGATAATAGGGACGCCTTCTGCTTCTGCTCACCTGGAACGGCTTCTCCTATTTCTATGTGGTGGAACAGGCCAGGCAAGCTCAAGCAAAGTCGAGAGCAGTACTTTGCCGCACTTGTGATAATCGGCGCATTATTGTCCCTTACCTCCCTCTTCGCTTTGAGATAAGACGGTTGCACTTCTTTAGACGACCCTGCCTAGATATTAGTCTCAAGGCATATATGTCTCTCCGTGCAGTGTTTTTGCCATCACCGTCCGTCTTTATCGGATCGGCTGGTTGACATCTTTGAGCAAGATCATGTCCTCGCAGAACTCTTCCCAGACTACCACGTCTCACTGCTTCCGCTGCCAGCATCACCCCGGCCCAAACGATGAGCCTCTGAAGCGCTGCGCCCGGTGCCGTGCCCGACACTACTGCTCGAGTGACTGCCAACGCAACGACTGGCCGAGTCACAAACACGAATGCCGTGTCCTAGCTGACGGAGGAGAGGTCCCTACAAGGAACCGCGTGACCGTGCGCGTGAGTGGCCTGCCCGGTACCAACGACTTGACACGATCTGCCGATCAAGATGTGATCTACTACCTCAAGACTTCAATGCCGCACATGTTAGATGTCTCCATTTCGGGTCCTTACCACCCATTAGAGGAGCTCGTCAATCAGGTCCACAATAGGATGGAGGTAGAAGGCAGTACCGGCGGACATAATATGCTCGACGATCTTGTCTCCAGCGGAATGTTGCCAAGCATGGAACACTTCAATGCGCCGTTGCCTGGTGGCAACATCATGAGGTTCCAACTGCTGGAGGAGACCAATCGGGAGGTCGCTAGGGCTTTGCCGTGCAAGGTGTGGCACGTCGCCGTTGCACGTCCAAATGTACGAGGAGGTGATATTGGCCTGGGAAGCCAACACCCGCCGGCTGAAGACATGGAAATGCACGGGACTTTCTTGACATCGCAAGAGGCGAATAGTCAAGCCGAGAGAGTGCTTGAAGAACTAAAAGCCAAGATGGGGAGCACTGCTGTTATGCAGAAGACGTACTCGGACGGGTTGGTACAGGGGTTCGTTCTGTCTGGGCGTGGCTCAACGGTTGATGCGAAGATGGTCCAAGTCTCATGTGACGATGGGCGGATCCAGCGGATGGACAGGTCCGGCAATCCTATACAAGCTTGAGTAACCCTCGATTGTTGGGACTCCCAACACCTTGTCCAGGTGCGCGGTCGCCGCAACACCGTGCACACGTGTAAATACAACGCCAGCTTGGCCCCGACCGTGTTGCTGGGGCCCGCGTTGGAGCGGGAGGCCACCACCACCCAAGCCTGGATATTGGACTTTGCCGGTTTAGGACTAGTCGATATCGCGGAGAGTCGCCAAGGAAGAATTTATCTGGTGCTTGACGATCGACTAATTACACGCTTATGGTTCTCATCGTTATTTATATTTCTCCCTTAAAAGCGAAACCTCGCACCTTCAGGTCATTGTCAATCCCAGGAACGCACTGTAGAGATGGCGGGCCAGGCGCAGGAGGGTTGCTCGGCTCTCCCGGACTACTTACAGACAATTCTGGACCAGTTGCCGGACGACCATAGTGTCGCACTCAGCTATCCCAATGGCCCATCAGTAGCAGATATCAAGAAGATCACTGATCGGCGGAGGAGGTTCGCGTACCTTTTGCTGGCTCGCCATCGTTTGACTGAACGATCAGCGAACTGTCCCGGTCCTTGTCCCGAAACGATCCTCAAACGTGCAGAAGTCTACGAGGCCTTGGGCTACAGCGAGCTGGCTCTAGCGGATGCGTATGTTTCATATACATTGTGCTTGGTGGCTCTTGACGGGCCCGATATCTCAGATCTTGTGCCGGTTGATTCGGACGGCGAGCCCTGGCCGACAAATGGGCCCGAGCAGGACGAGCACGAGTCGACTGCTGTGGCGTTAAGGCACAAGTACTGGTCTCTCGTTTTCATGTGTCGTTCCGCCATCATCTTAGGCGTTCAGATCCAAGCCAAGCTCTGGATCGATGAGATCTTGGCGGTGAAGAGAGCCATTCGTGGATTGGAAGGAGACGAGACAACGAACAAGGCCAAGGACATTGACGAGGTCACGGGAGACTTCTGCAAATACTCGACCGTGTATGAGGATGAGTCCAAGTTCAAAAAATGTGTGGGGATACTGCGGCAAGAGGACCATAAGCCAACAGTTTTCGGCTGGTGTCAGCGGCAAGTCTACCCCTGGAATGAACATGAGCCCGAAAGGATGTCCAAAGAGGCATTAAAAGACATCAACGATAAGCTCCACGAGGCAGCACCAGATCTGGAGGTGGAAATCTCCACGCTACCGACACTCACGCCATCCCTGGAACTGGGTGTACAGAGGCTGTCCATTGGCGAGAAAGAACCCAGTGTATCGACCCATGCCAATTGCTCTTCGCAATTGGGCCTCTTTGCGAAGAAGCAGCTAGCATCTGGAGCCACCATTCTGAAAGAACGATCAGTCCTAACGGGCATACGACCGCACGGGGAAGCGCTCTGTGACGCTTGTGCAGCTGATCTGGAAGGGATTGATCAAGCAGATCGCAGGCACTGTACAGGATGTCATATTCCGTTCTGCTCCGAACACTGCCAATCAGCTGCAACACAGCGATATCACCATCCGAACGTGGATGATTACGAGACAGACGAAGGCTATCCCCCAGCCGAAGCACCCTTCTGTGCAGGGACGAGTGGCAACGACGACATCCACAATCTTGGCCGAGCTGAGAGCTCGACGACCCCGGAATGGGACTTGTACTTCCTATTGCTGTCCCGGACGATGCAGATGTCGGAGACGCAGAAACTTCACCCGCTCGACCTCTTCGAGATCAAATATCTCTGGGGCGATTTCTCCCCAACGCCCAGTGTCAATGATCTGCCGATCAAGAGCGGCCCAAAAACTCTGCCCTACAGCGTGCGGCATCATGTCGAATTGCCCCTGCAGTGGTTTGAGATTCTCATGCATTCGCGCGACAGGTGCACACCCTACAGTGCCACTTGGTTGAAGAAGTACGACTGGTGGATCATTCAGACGCTGTTCGCCAAATTTCGAGGAGTGGCCGACGCCCAACAGTCGACATGGACCGGCAAGCCTGAGGTAGCTGCTGTTCATCCACTCTGGTGTCTGGCAAACCACAGTTGCAACCCGAACGTGACCTGGAAACCGTCCGGCGTCAGAAACCTGACTGTCGTGAAGGAAAGAGTCTGGGAACGCCCTGACAAGTCCAGCATACTCCCGTGGGAGGGGATCCGTGCCGGTGAAGAGATCTGGAACCACTATACCGGTGTCCAGGAGAAAGACCACCGGGAACGGCAAGGCCGCCTGCAAGCTGTACTGGGAGGTGATTGCAGGTGCGAGAGGTGCGCATATGAAGCAAGACGGCACACTGCCACAAGACTAGGCGAGACGGCTCGACACCATGCCAATACTGCGTTCAAGTCGGTTAGAGGATCCCGTTCCTCGGCTGACGGCTAGCAGCGTTTGTCACACGGCTTCCAAGAGCGTATGGACATGCTCTTGCGGACACGGATGAGCCCACCGGAAGATGCTGGATTCAAAATCGTCGATTGATGGGCAATGTCTCGCTACGCCCCGTTCATTGCATTCTCCTCCCTGTCACACTTGCTGTCTCACCGGGAAGCCCCTTCTGCGTTTTCACCGTCAATATCCTCTTAAACTGGCTGTTCATGCCTCTTCTCGAGAATGGCTGCTGCAGCAGGCATGACTGGTGTCAACTGCAGCCGCCACAGGTCGCTGCTGCCAATGACTGAGCCCACCAACCTCCAACAGACGATCCACCGGCGTTCCGATATCAACAGTCCATCTGTGTTGTTTTTCGAAAGGAGTCGTTCCGAAAAAGCATTCCATTCGTATATGCATTCCCATAGAGACGGGGCCACGGGTCCAACAGCATTCATTTTGTCCTCCTATCCATATCTATGCAAACCATCAAAGACAATGACCGACATTCAGCGCCCACCCATTAAGCCTTCTCGTCCTCAACTGTCAACCCGCATCTAGCAGAGCCTCGCCGACCTGATCCCACACAGAACGACCTTCCGCCGTCTCGGCGGCTACAGCCGAGCTTTCTTCCTCGACCACTGGCCAGACCTCCTCCTCGTCCTCCTCATCACCGCCATTGCGGGGGCGGTACGTGCCCTGTCGTCTCTCGCTCAAGCTGTGGTGGTCAAGAAACTTACCATCAGCCATAGGTCTTCCTCATCCCGTCGCGACCACCTCTCCTCTTCCCACTCCTAGACCCTACCGGCGCTGTCTACAATCCCTCCTTAGCATATCCTTACCGACCTGCAATCCTCAACTCCCTGACTGCGGGCTTGCTGGGCTCCCTCATTCCGTTAGGTGCAATCCTCCTCTCGCAACTCATCATCCGGTCCTTTGCCGATTTCTCTGCCGCAACGCTTGGGCTCTCTTACGCCCTCGCTACTGGGACGTGTGCCCAGATGATCCTCAAAAAGACCATTGGAGGGCTAAGACCACATTTCCTCGCCGTGTGCAAGCCGCGGCCTGTGCCGCTCGGGAGCGGCGTCGGGTTCAATGGGATCATGTATCGCCCGCAAGACGTGTGCACGGGCAATCTCAGTGAAATCGAATGGGGGATACAGTCCTTCCCCTCAGGACACAGTGAAATCGCCTTTGCAGGATTTGGCTATCTGGCCATCTACTTTTTCACGCACCTCCACTGTGGCAGCCATGACTGGCGTGCCGGAAAACTGGGCTTCTGGAGGATGTTGCTGGTGCTGATGCCGCTTTTGTTCGCGGCGTGGATTTCCTCCACGTTGTGGTTGAGTTACCATCATCACGCGAGTGATTGTCTGGCTGGGGCGGCGATCGGGACGTTGACGGCGTTGTTCGGCTACAGAACCACGTACAGGACTCTGACCGGCGGCACGACGAATTGGAAGCCAAGAGTCGGTAGACGGCTGAAGCGGGCGTTGGAAGAGAAGAGGGAGGATCAGACGATGGCAGGGCAAGACGAGATCGAGTTGGACCAGAGGCACGGCATCGATGGTGCGGACGAGACACTTGACCTAGAGAGAGCGTGGAGGAGATCAGGCTGGAGTCCGCCACCTCCGAGCTTGAACTGGCGCGATAGCGAGTGTATCCAGAACTGCGAACAATGATCCTGTAGTGAGCTGGAGATTCTGTACCTAGTCGTATTGTGCTGACAGAAAACGCCCAACACTAAACGACTGGGTCAATATTCAACGGGTGGATATGAACACGGCAGCAATGGCACTCACTTGCAGTTGTAGACATATGCTTTTCGTGTATCAGGTCATCAATATCATCATTGCAATAGTACATCTCCAGATGGGTGATGCCAGCCTTGGTCATCTCCATCTGTGCTCTGTCAAGGTTATTCGCACGCCTCTGCACCAGTACCGAGCGCTTGGATACGAACACGGTAGTGGCAGCAGCACTCGCTGGGTAGACATATCTTGCGTTTTCCGCGTCATCGACATCATCATTGCAATGGTACAGTGCCAGATAGATGATCCCTGGAACTCGGCACCTTCATCTGTGCTGTATCAGGGTTATCCGCACACCTGAAGCTAAACCTCCAGCGTCGCCTCGCACTAAGTTTGGCGGTGACGACGAGCATCGGCGGTGGGAAATCCTTCTCGGAGGTGTTAGTGCTCATGAGCTGGCCGCGCACCTCGTTGCCGTCGAGATGCTGCAGGAAGTCGAGGTGCAAGAAGGGGCAGCGGAACTTGGCTTGAGGTGTAGTCTCTTCACGCACTCGCCTCCTCCTTTGTCTTGATCCGACGCTGCCTGAGAGTAATTACCTGTCAAGTGCCCGGTCAAGCCAGAGTGTTTCGTCGTTTACGCTTTACGGCGGCGCGAAACCCATTCAAAGCTCAGCCTTGATGGTCCCGTCCTCGTACGCCGCGGGTGAAGCTACATCGAGAGAAAAGGCCTCGCGTTCGGGGCCATGACCATTATTCATCGGCGTGGTCGGCACGCTGCTCTCCCCAGCGTCATATCCCGCTGCGGTGGCCTGGGCCTGGTTGGACTCTGTCTCGTCTGTCCCTTCTTCGAGATGCTCTTTCAGTTTGCTCTTGCTTTTGCTCTTTCCCTTGTGCTGATGCTGATGGTCAGCTTGGTGGTGACGATGAGCACCTGGTTCCCCTTCTCTTATCTGACCTTCCGCCTGTACCTGCCGCTCCTTCTTGGCCGCCTCTCTTTCTTTCCGCCGTTTTCTCCGCTCTTCCCGTTCGTCCTCGGCGGTACCGCTCATGCTCAAGCTCGTGCTGGTCAAGGGACTCAAGAGCGGGGATCCCGTTGGGGTGCCGTCCTTCCTGTCGCGTGTGGGTTTCCGCCTCACGCTCGCGGTGCTGGAAACACTACTTCCGCGGCGCATGCGCTCGGAGAGCGGACGTTCCGTCGTGCCGTCGAACTCGAGATGGGGCGTCGACGAGCGGGACGACTGGCGGCTGAGGCTGCGCGTGTGGTTGTGCTTCTCCGAGAGAGACGCGCGATGCGACGAGCCGTGTAAATGGTGGCCGAGCGGATGTTTCTCCAGATCCTGGTGCTTGCGCTGGTGGTTGTGCCGTGTCGACTGCAGACGCCAGGCGCCCGTCCACCACTTCCACCCGCCCGCTTCTTTCGCCTTGGTGCGTCTCTGGGTGTGCAATTTGCGACGGAGGCCCGCGCGCCGCTCGTTCTCCTTGTCCCAGTACTCGGTGCGGTATTCCTCCCAGTTCTCGCGGAACTCCGGGGAGAAGGACTTGGGGAGGAGGAGGAGCATGATGCCGTCGCCGCCCTTGGCGAGGTCTTCTTCGACGATGATACCCATCTCGTGCTCCACGAGGTGCCAGTCGCTGCCGCCGGCTTCGCGCCAGAGGCCGAACGGCAGCAGGAAACTCAGGTGGCCGAGCATTTCGCGGACGAAGCGTTTCTTGGTGATGACCACGCGGAGGTTGAAGGTGCGGAGCCCGCGGTTCGTGGTGCCTAGCCATTTCCGCGGCCATCGGATGCCCCGCTCCCATTGTCCTGTGCCCCAGACGAGGAGGACGGTCACGACGCCTCCCATCAGGGCGAGTTTCTCGCCCGTCTCGATCACCCAGTAAACCGAGCCGCCCAAGCCGGTGCCATCTTCTCTTGGGCGCAGGAATAGCGCATAGAAGAAGAGCCCGTTCCACGCTGCTAGAAGGAGGAGGAAGAAGGTGTTCAGACGCCGCCGCGAGACCAGGTGGAGGTACTGTGCTCGGAGGGAGGATTCGAGGATCAACAGGTTCAGGTAGATCTGGGGCGGGGCCGACGGGAGGGTCGAGAGATGGGGGTCCAACGAGGACTGCTGTGCGTCGGAGGACTGCTTGCCCAGATACTGTAAGGGGGGAGGTATGGGCGAGGCGGAGATGTTGGTGGTGGGTGCGCCTTTGACGATTTGGTTGAGACGGTGCTCGGGCGAGGCGGAGGTCATGGTTGCGGCGGAGAGCGTGCGCCTGATGGCGTCGTTGGAAGCGATGGGTTCTTCGGCGTAGATCACGGTAGGGCCATGGAGGAACGTGAGGCCTGCAAAGTTCCGCTTGCTCATCTAGTCATTGCGCGCGTGCGGGCGGACTGGTGGAGGGGAATCGAAAGACGAGGATGACGAGGCTGGACGGGGCCGGGCAGCTGAAAGTCTGTGGTCGCCAGTCAAGAACACAAGGTACGAGATGCTTCCTGCAGAAGACTGCGGTGCCAGGCAGCACAATTGGGTTATCTCGACCGTGCAGCAGACTATCTCAGGTAGGCAAACAAGCGCAGCATCAGAATGGTGACCGGGCTGAACGTCAAATGAGCGACGAATGAAGCACGAGGCACGAGGCATGAGGCATCAGGCATCAGGCATGCTTAACTCCGCGTCCGAGCGACTGGCGGGCGAATCGGGATCCGAGTGGCTGCTCGTGCATTGCTGCCCCTTCGCATTTTGGGGGCATGACGATGTCGGTGTTGACCACCGTCGACCGTCCGACTGACCGGACTGGACTTTTACTCTCTATTTCCTTTCTGCATAGCGGCGCTGCCTCTGGGGGACAAATCGCTTTCGCTTATCTGCTTCATGAATCCTTCTGCCTGGCCGCAACTCACCATAGAAAAATTAGACGCGGACACCAACTCCACGACGTCAGCGTTGACTTGCATTGAAATACCCTGCCTCCGCATCACCTCCATCTGACTGGGAGGCAAATGTCTCGTATATGAGACGAACTCTCCCTTCAGCACTCCCACTCCTAGAGGCGGCCCCCAGAGTCCGGCACCTTTCTCCTCGCCCTGCTCCTCGCTTTCAATCCTCTTCTACACCAGCGGCACTTGCGACCGACCCCGAGGAGCTCCTCATCGCTCCGACATCCCACCGTCCACCCGTCATGTCCTCCGCTGCCGACTCAGACGGTGAGATCCAGGGCCGGACGCAGAGAAGCCCTCTCGCCTCCCAGCGTGCAAGGGAAGAGAAGCAAAACCCCCGGAAATCCCGCCTCGAAGGGCTCTTTCCGCTCTCATACAAGCAAGGCTTCTCACAGTGGTGGACAGCCCTGCCTGCCGCTCAAGCAGAACATCGCGTCCTCTCCTTCGTACCTTACCTCCAACAGCCGCCAACTCACGCAAAGACTGGGTCTGCGCCGCCCACACGGAGCGCCTCGACGGTCTCAATCAACCAGGACGCCCCCTCAGAGCAGATCGCGACGACAAGCTCCTTTACTGACCCGTACGGACCGCGAAGATGGCACTCCCGCCTCGTGCCGCTGTCCGGGAAGAACCGCGCCCTCAACGAATTCTCCGTCGAACGCACAGGCGAAGATGTCGAGAACAACCTGGTAATTCTACACGGCTACGGCGCCGGACTGGGCTTCTTCTACAAGAACTTCGAGCCCCTCTCCCGAGCAAAGGGGTGGCAACTCTACGCATTAGACATGCTCGGTATGGGCCGCAGTTCGCGTCCACCTTTCAAACTAAGATCCAGGACGAGGGAAGCGCAAATCACAGAGGCCGAGGACTGGTTCATCGACAGCCTGGAAGAATGGCGCGTGAAGAAGAAGATCGACAAGTTCACCCTGATAGGCCATTCCATGGGCGGCTACATGGCTGTTTGTTATGCGCTCAAATACCCGGGCCGGTTGAACAAATTGATACTCGCCAGCCCGGTGGGCATACCCGAGGACCCCTATGCCACGCACGCGGCTATGCCACCTCCACCAGAGCAAGATGGAGACGCCGACTCGTCTCCAAGCAAGGGCGATAACAACAACTTCCTCAACGGCCGGAAGAAAGCAGAACAAGACGCCCAACTAAGACAAAAAGCGAACCCGAACCGTCTACCCGCTAACGACGACGCCACGGATTCCGATGCCTCAACAGCGCCGCCGCCGCGGCGACCCCTTCCCAAGTGGCTCACCTACCTTTGGGACGCAAATATTTCACCGTTCAGTTTCGTTCGCTGGGCCGGTCCGCTAGGTCCCCGGCTCGTCAGCGGGTGGACGTCGCGGCGGTTTTCGCATCTCCCAGCAGAAGAGGCCCTCGCTCTGCACGATTACAGCTACTCATTGTTCCGGCTTACTGGCTCAGGGGAATACGCGCTCGCTTACATCTTGGCTCCGGGTGCATTCGCCCGGAGTCCCTTGATCAGACGAATCGGAGGCGTGGGTCGACAACCTCTGGAGTCGAGGACCCATCAAGTCAACGACGCCGGTGTATTGGAACAACATCCCGGAGCATCCTCCCCTGCATCACCTGGGACCGACGCTTCCACGTCGCCCAAGCAACCGTACGAGCCTGGTCTCCCCGTCGTGCTCATGTACGGCGAGAACGACTGGATGGACGTCAAGGGCGGGTACGCAGCAAAGAAGAAGATCGACGCCGAGACCCAGCGCAACCTTGCCAACGCTTCGGCTGAAGAAAAGGAACGCGACCAGGGTAGTGCCAAGGTCGTCATCATCAAGGACGCTGGACATCACTTATACTTGGATAACGCGCAGGACTTTAATGACGTGATTCTACAAGAGATGGAGGATGTGAGGAGAAGAAGTCGGAAGGAGACAGGGGTGGGAGGTCGATGAGGCGATATTGATGACTGTTTTTTTACTGCTTCTCATTCCAGCCGGCTTCATTGGTGATTTGGTATGGGATCGCGGTACACTGTGCTAGAGCTGCATCCACATAAGGGATACATCGGTGTGGGTATGGACAAGATTCTACACATTAAGAATTCATAGAGTACTGGGCAGGATGCCCGAGTATGGTAGCATTTAGAGCCCAATCAACGCAAGATAGGGCAAAGTCTTGGAGCAAGCGAGCAAGCAATCAATCGCCGCCAGGGTTTTCTAATCATTCATAACCTGAGCCGCTCGAATGCCGGCACCGGTTACTGGTGATGCTGCTGTTGCCATCGCCTGTGTGAGCTCGATCTTTAGGCAAGAAGAGAATGCGCCATGTGCTTCTAACTAGGAACGCAGGGAACAATCTGTCAGGATTGGAACATTGAATGATCCAGGCATTATCGGAGTCTCGGTACTGTACTCGTCTCGTCCTATTCCGGCTTGTAGCCGCCATCAGCGAGACTGCCATTGCCCAGTAGTTAGATTCAAGCATATGTGGATATTACCTAGGTACTCCGTACTCTGGTATCATTCGCAACGGACACGCCTGGTTTAAAAGTTGAACAGCACAGTCACAAAATGCGGAAGTCTAATCAACATGCTGGCCTTTTTCTCCACGAGGCGATCTGCATGTTGAGCTCGTTGCGCCTCTTTAAGAGGGCCTCCTCTTCACGTCTCTGGTACTGGTCCTGGTCCTGGGCTGGTCTCGTCAACCCCTTAGGGACTCGTTCTTATGGTGTCTGTCATCACTCATCTAGGATTGACCACGGCTATATACCTAGACGTACAGTTGTACGAGCAGGCCGCGCAATACGCAGGGTCTTCCAACTTCCAGTGCCTCATACTTTATCACCGCCAGTCTTTCAGAGCCTCGGGCTCTTGCTCACGGCGTCTCAGCAACCCGATAGACCAACTTCTCCCCGCTCACCTTGCCGTTCTTCATGTCCTCCATACCCCTGAGCACGCCCTCCAACCCACCCTCGCCGACAGTCTGCTTGTGCGCCTTGATCTTGCCCTCCCTGAGCAACCCCTCCGTCATGGCCATGAACTTCTTGGCGTACTCAAAGTCCTCATCCACGGCCGGAAACTCCTGGGGTCCAAACTTGAACGACTCGCCAAAGATGGTATACATGAGCGTGCTGACGCTCTCGACGTCCTCGCGCGGGCAACTGACGGGCAAGATGGAGCCGTACTTGCAACCCGAGCCGGCGGAGGAGAGGGCGTCGGCGCAGAACTGCGCGCTGTCCTTTTCGCTGATCGTGTCCCACGCCAGTTTGAGCTTGTCGTCCGTGAGTTTCCGGATCTTGACCGCGGCGTCCTTGTCGTTGTAGTCGAACACCTCGGCCGCGCCGAGGGATTTGACATAGTCGAAGTTGCGCGGCGAGCACGTCGTCAGGACGGTGTAGCCGGCCCTAGACCCCGGGTAAGCACAGTTGTACATTTCTGGATTGGTCACGCCGTGCGTGACGACTGGTTCAAGGGCAGGGCTAAAACTCACAAATTCGCAAACTGGATCCCCAGCGCGCCCGTCGCGGTGCTCCCCGCGTAGATCAACACGTACGTCTTCTCCCCCTTGATCGGGTCCGTAGGCCAGTTGAGCTTCAACGCCTTCTGGAACAAGCCCTGCATCACGGTGGTCGTGCCCAGCGGGAGCGTGGCCGCGGCCTCGAAACTCAACGAGTCGGGCATCTTCATCTGGATGTCCCCCTTGGCGAGGACGTACTCGGCGAAGGCCCCGTCGTCGGGCTGCACAAAGTTGCCGCCGTGCGCGACGCCCGCGACGCGGTCCCCTTTGCTCCACGACTTGGTCACGGCCGAGCCGACCTCCTCGACTGTGCCCGAGAAATCGCACCCGACTAGGCCTCCCTGTGCGCCGAGGCCGAAGGCGACGTGCTTCCAGTCTGTCGGGTTGAGGGCCACGGCCGCGGTCTTGACGAGGATATAGTCATCGCGCAGTGCGGGCGTGGGCCGGTCGCGGTCGACGTAGGCTTCTTTGCCCTTGATCACGACGGCTTTCATGGCGGATGGTGGGGCTGTATAAGGATGGCTTAATAGTGCGTTCAGGTCTAGAGAAACCGAGTTTTGCAATCAGAATAATTCACAAATATGATTGTTCGAAAATGAATCTCTAATTAACACGAATGTTGAAAGAAACCCGGAGATAAAATTCAGAAGTGGAGTGCAAAACAATGACATTCTCATGATATCATCGATGGAAATATAGTCCCTAAGCCAGAGGGCAGAAGGGAGCAGTGAGCAAGTGGCCGGAAAGCATATTCTCCCGACCGAACGAGCACAGCACAGATGGTCCCAAGTGGACTCTGATGTCGAGGTGTGTCTTGGTGAGCGCGAGCTCGGAGGAGGTGGTGGGGTGGGATGGGATTCGCGAATCGTCACTATTACCTCGGTCAGTAGTCGAGTGGAGCTGACGAAGATATCACAACAGCCTGATCTGGATAGGTGCAGCATGCGGCCGTCCTCGAAGCAAAACTGCCGGTTGGTGGAGTCGCTTCCATAAGGTAGCGAACGCTCTCATTTCAGTAATGTGTGTACTCCGAACGTAGGGGCGGAGCTTGACAGTGACGCCAGTCTCTCCTTGCTTGGCGGCTCAAGCGGGGATCGCCCCCTACATACCGACCGTGCCGCTGTCGTAGTAAAACCGTCACCTTACGACTCATCCCTTCTCATCATCATCTCAACTTCTACTCACCTGCTTACTCACTGCTATGTTCAGAACCATCGAAAAAACATGACCTTAGCTGATCTTCTTTCTGTAATATGCTGTTCACCTAGGTGTCGTCGCAGGAATGGTATCCACGAATCCCAAGGTCATCCTTCACAGATGCTCACCATATTTCTCCATAACTTGTCAAACCTGTTTTAGCGCCGCCTGGACTTGTTTGGCGAATTCCGCAATTGCCTTTTTGATGTCGACGCTGTTCATGGAATTGGACTCGACCCGGACAAGGGTGTCCGGGTTTTTCTTCGAAAGACGAAATCCCATGAAATGTTGACAATACACCCCGAAATTGCGATCCCAAGTCTCCGGAATTTTTTTGGTCAGGTCATTGTGGTCCAGGAACTTGGTTTTGAACACTGGGTAGAAGGTATCCCACCATTTCTCCGGCGCAAAGGTGGCATTTGCCATCTCCACACAGATTTTGTCGAGGCCATCTCTATCTACTTTGCCGCTTAGAGCATCAGGTGGCAAAGTTATAGAGTATATCTCTGGTTCGGTCGCGGTGGGTTTCTGCAGAGTCAGCTCAGTACCCTTGAGGTAGCCGTCAGGCTTGATGGAAATAATGAATACCTCTTTCTTGATCTCCAAGCAATTGTAAGAGGAGATGTCCGGCTCTGTGAAGGATGTCTTGTCCCAAGATGTGTTGGGAAGATATGCGCTCTGGACTTTGACGCAGCACCTGTGAGTAAGCTTCGATATTCTCGGCAGGCATTCTTTACGAATGTCGTTAGCCGTCATGCGTTTACCGTTGTCCTTTGTCCATTGACCGGACAGCCAGAGAGCGATCATTCCCGTAACATGTGGAGCAGCTTCGAGAAGTTGTCAGTTCTGGCAAAGGATCAAGGGATGCTCGATCCGCACCGAACGAAGTACCATCCACCCATCCCGTCGTCCACAATGGGGTCAATGCCGTTCCTGGAGCATAGATGTCGACTTCTGTAGCGATGTTAGCCTGAAGATTCACAGCCGAATCCGAACTCGGATTCGAACTCGATTTACCGAAAGGGGTGGGACTCGCCCCTTCCACGGCCGCTGGGACCGTTCGCTTCAAGCAAACCCCCGAAGCCAGATCTATGCCATGGTCGACCATGTCTATCAACAGCTCCGACTAGGATTGTTTCCGGCATCGCTTGTGGACCGTACTTCCACATAGCTGCGTTTTCCTGTATACAAGTCAGCAGATCTCAGCTCGGAGTTTCATAGACGGAAACCACAGACGTTCACATTCCCAGCTGCTGCAACGATGATGATGCCCGCGTCCAACACCCTTCTCAGGGCTATGAGAAGATCATCTGACGCCTTACTGGGTCCTTTGAAGTCACCGAAAGAGCAATTGAGGACGGCTGGCTTTTTGGCGTCGTCTGCTGATAGACTCTTCCGGTGTTGCAAGATTGCTTCCATTCCCCCGAGCGCACTGGCTGTGGAGATCTCCTTGTCCTTTGCCCATACTTTGATAGTACTATCCCTCGCAACGCCATATGTGTCACCCGCTGCGATGTCAGTGACGAGCGCGGCATGAGCGAGGACCCCGGGCTGTGCCGTTACTGTGCCAGCAAAGGCAGTCAGGCGACCCGGCTTTTGATTCTATTTGATGTATCTCAGCAGTTGTTCATTTCCTGTTCGTTGGGATGTCGCTTACGAAGTCCTCTGTGCGATATCCGTTTTCATCCACGATGTAAATGGTCGTATTCTTTCCAAGGTCATCAGAGAGACAATTTTTCCAACGCGGAGTCGTATTGTCGTAGACCCAGGTCCCATTGGATGGAATGCGCAGGAATTGCTTCTGGTCTATGGTGATCCTTGATAATCCCCAATTTCGTGAACGTGTTTCCATGCTTTGCAAGGCATGATCTTGGTCAACGGACTCGACTTCCTTTGTAGATATTAGCATGCTTTTCAAGCCCGAGAAAATCGTCAGGCGTTAGTAAAGATGAAATTGATAGCCTTCTGTTTTTCGGGTGCCGTCGTTCATGTATCCATTCCAGGCCGTGATCGCGCAACTTACAGGCAGCTTGTCGATTTCTTTCAACAGATCAGGGTGGAATTGACCGGTGTATCCGAAAAATACCAATTCCAAGCGGGTCTGAATTCCAGCGTAGGGTTTCCCTGCCGCGTCTTTGCTGTATTTGGCGTCTTTACATTTCGTGGCGACGAGGTCAGTGTGGGCCTTGAACTGGGTAGCATTTGTCCCGGGCCTCAGGCGAACAATGTAAGTGGGCTGTGACATGATCAAGCATATGATGGGTGTTTTTGAAAAGAAGCAAGAGGAGCTGTCGACCGAGGAAGAATTGTCTGCTGCAAGAACATCGGGACAGGGACTTGTTTCTATACACCTCAAGCAGGTCCAGATATCCTGGCGCGGAAACACAAGGCGGGCGTGGTTAGCCGAATAAGCAAGACAGTTCAACGACCATGCACAGCTCGCACAGTAGCCAAAGCCAAATCAACAGAGTCCAAACGGCACTGCCAAAGCTGGCAGCATGCAGGGTCACAACAATCCACGTGTTCACCGTGGCAGGTGGCGGTCGATGCGTCGAGCTGAAAAATGTCCGATGCTCTTCCGCGACAAGACGTAGCTAAAGCTACGGAACTCGTGCATTCGGGACAGACAGAGAAGGTCCAGCAGTGCGTGTCCGTCTAACAACCAGCACGTAGGCGGAGAGCAAGCGTCACAATGACGGCTAAGAGCACTGCAACGCCTTCATTTCATTGTTGTGTACATGTCTGAAGGGAAACTAAAGAGAGAAGCAAAGGGGGGTAAAGAGCCATAAGGACTCGATGAATGGCAGGTGCCACCAGTCCCCGTCGGGCCTAGTCCCTTCATGTGACAGTCCGCATTGGAGAAGACCAGAGATCAGTTGGAAGGAGCAATTTGGTGGGGCTAAGACCGCGACCGAGCGAAAGTTTCGGGACATATGCACAATTCAGCGGCACGCACTGGCTTCACGTGGTCATGCGTAGACGGACTAGACAGCCTCAGCCAGCCACGACTCAATGTAGGCTTGAAAGTCTAGCAGCGCTCAGACCAAGGAGACGACGGCCGGTCGCCACTACCTGTATCTGTACGTACTCTAGTGAGTCGCACGTGCATAACATGGAAAAGGGCGAAAAGCAAGACTACAAGAAGCATGACTGGCCGAGAGAGCCTGTCATTGAAGGAGGAAAGCGAATGAGCTGACCGAGTCATCCCACTACTCCCGTTGATATGAAGACTCCAGTAATTAGAGCTCGGAATCAAGCATCACTATTCCAAACGACATTCCCAAACACTGACTTTGAATTTGATCCTTTCCCTTCATTACTTTGCCAGCGCTAGCGTGAACACCTTCCAGGCGGTAATCCCGGCTTGCAACAGCCCAGGATCGAGGGAGGTAGAAATGTGCTGCGTTACCCAAGTGGCATCGCTCATTTGCTTCGTAAAGTCCATCAACGAGTTATTGGCCCCGGTCATTTGGTCCACTACTGACTTCCAATCGCCCCCCACCTTCGTTGCCAGGAGCACAAGGTCAGCTTGTTTGAGAAAGACGATCAGATTTGCCATGTGATCTTGCGGTTCCTCGAGACCCGTCAAGTAGTCGATGCCACCACGGCACCGGCAATCAGAGCCTCGGTGATGACCGGGACAAGTACAAGAATGCCTGCCAATTCACCGTGCAAGGATTGGTAGATAAGTTCTTGGAGTAGCCACAGAGGCTCACGCACACACGATGAATCTTGGAATAGCTTGGAAGGTGCTGGTGTCCGATCGGTTTGTCAAAAGAAGCAAGTACAGAGATGGGGAGGCCAAATGGGAGACCTTGAAGATTCAGATTTTGGACATGATCGTTAGCTTCTCAGGGATCTAAATACCTTTGCATATCGGGGTAGGCTGGCTCCCAGGCTGTTCTCTCGAAAATGAGCTACAGCTTTGTCGTGAAGGAGAGCTGGACACGGCATTGAGCATGCGATGTTTAGCCAGCCATTGTCGAATTCTCGCAAAGCCTCTCGGCCCTTGCATGTCAGAAAACGGTCCCCCCAGACGGGGCATTCCGAAAGCTTGAATCCACGAAGTTTGGAGAACTCAAAGTTCCGCACAGGGTTGTTGGTCCTAATTCTGTGTCGTGTGGTCACTCGTCGGGACGACGCGGGCTCTTTTCGATGACCTGCTGGAAGGAGCATAGGTGGAAATCGTCGGTCACAGTGCGAGGAAGAACATGAGCGGGATTAAGCTGATGCCCCATCTTCGTTGAGCCGCCCGTATTTGACCCCTCCTTTGGGAAGTTGCCGTCACTTTTCTCCTGCAGACTGTTCCTGACACGGCACGAAAATACTGAAGTAGAGGTGGTTGCGTCAAGCTTTGCGGCATGCGCAATAGCGGGCGAGAAGACGGATGCTGTGAGCCCCGGTCCCCACGGCACTTTAAACTTGGTCGGTTCAAGCGTAAAGGGGCACACGGGTCGTCGTCGCTCCAGAAGCTTAAGCTACGGGTTCACCAGCGAAGTTTACATGTAAGACTTCCCCTGGGTGTCTGCGGAGGGCCAGAGGAGTAGAAAAATTGCGGGATTGAAGAAGTGTCGATATGTTCTCAGCTTGTGCCACATGTGAGATCTCGCTTCGCTCAACCAATCAATGCAGGCAGGCGGTGCATCGATCATCCGAAGCCCCGGAAATGCTTGAGTCTCGATCTCTTTCAGCTCGGCCTCATCGCATGAATCGCTTTGCTACATACTCCCTCCTATATGCCTGAGATGGGACAAAGTAGATCTAGTCATATCCACTCTACAGTGCCGTGTCTTTCACTGCGTTGCCGATTGGCGCTATCGGTTTCTAAATCACCGTGCAGCACTTACTTTTGGTGTCGAGAGTGCTTTCAATCGATCGGACCGCCGTCAGTCACGCCTCTAGTCATTTTGAATGAGCGATGGGCGGTACCTGCCTTGCTAACTCGCTCGGGTCGATTGAGTCTGGACCTATTTTCAGCTGCGCCAAACGATGGGCATAACACCTCTCCAACTGCAGCGTATGCAGATGCAAAGAGGTCGAGCAGTTCTCAAGCAGACGTGAAGTCGAGAAACGGGCCGCCACTCCGAAGTGAGGAGTAATCCTCTGCGCCTACTAGAATACCTCTCGTGTGAGGGGTCGAAGTTTAACGGCTTCGTGAAGATGTGGCAAAGGTACAGTAAATCTGATGGTTACGCCGGTATGTAGATGGGGAAGACATACATGCAAAGCATGTAATATTGGTCATGTGTATAAACATTTCGAGCTGATATCATAGGTATCGGGAGCGGCACGATGAAATCTCCTTGTCCCAGTACTGCCTCACGAGCTGAGGAACAGCGACGAAGTCGATGCTCATTCACGGTCAAGGCAGAAGAGTTTAGAAATCAGGCTGGGTAGCCAAGGAAGTGGCAGTAGTCGAAAGCTTTGTAGACCGGACTTTGTACTTCACTTCTTACAAAGGATGAGGCAAACAGAGTGGAATGGTGATTCATTCCGTCTCTAAATCCTCCTCAACTCAACAACATAAATTCGCTGCTCATAATTTGTCAATTTGAAATTCCTCTCGCAATGCCTTCGCAGAGTCAGGACAAACTGGCACCCGTCCAGTGGCGTTTAGTGGACGAATTGTGCGACAACCAGAAATCCAACAACAGCAACACCGAGGAGTATCGCGTCCTCCTCGCCCTTGTCCCTTCTACCATCCTATCCCGCGGTCTGACGTACTTGACAAAGATCAAACCGCTGTGGTCTCACAAGTGGACGAGGAGCAGACACTGTACCGACACAGTGGTATAGCCTCATCAGATATTGTGTACCTGAATCTGCGAAAAGTTGACCCTGGTCTCGCGTTCAACGCAGGCTAGGGTCGAGCTTTTGTTTTGGGGCTGTAAGACTGAGTCAATATCATCTGTGGCGTCGTGGTACTGTACTCCCCGTTCACATTCACAGCAATGCTCCGCCAAGCCAAACCACTAAAATCTCCTGCGCAATCTCGGAATCTCTCCGCCCATGTTGAGCACAGCAGGCACGCAGCCAACTCATTCTGAAGCCTTCTGTGTCATTCGTCTTGCGCGTTCACCATCACCCAGCCAGTAAACAGTTAACACAGTCTTGGAAGGTAAAGCGTTCCTCAAGTGACGGGCGACCAGACCCGTAACAGCCAGGCTCGAAAGCTCTCCGGTTGAACCGAGACCAGCTGGTTCAAGTTGGTGTTGGCAAAGTCGTAGCGACCCTCGGCTGTGGCGATCAAATGATGGACACGAGTTTCGCGTGCACGATCGCCTACGGCCCTCGCATATGTCAGCGCGTCCTGCAATGAGCTCCTCGTGTGCCCCGAGATCTCAAATGCTCGACCTGCATTGGTCCCTACGTCAGTCTTCTTGTGCCACGAACTGTCTGATCGCAACACGTACCTTGAATGTCCTCGGCGATGGACACGACCTCCCTTACATTCATACGTTCCCCGCGGAGGCGGAACTCTCGCGGCCAGGATGGCAGATCCAGCGCTGCAATTACGAACCGGGAGACATCGGCAGCGGAGGTCATGCATATCGTAGCAGGTTGTCCAGCACTGTTGAGGTAAGGCACCTGCGCTCTCCTTCGGCGAAAGTCCATCAGATAATCACCCTCTTGACCAATGTTGCTTGCGAGGCCGATTTGCGAGGCCGCCATTCCTCCCGGAGCAAACCGCTCGTAGAGAATACCACACGTGAAGACTGTGAACCTCATGCCCGAGGACTCGTGTTGATGAAGCCGCAGTATGGCTGCGCGTCGACCATTGTCTAGGAGATCGTTTTGCGGGCGCAAGGATGGGGGTCCGCCAAACTCTGATGGCACGAAACGTCGTACGTGAGCTGCGGCCGCGGCGTCGATCAAGGCAAGCTGCGCATTGCCGCTGATTGTCGAGATAACCGTGTCAACACCGGCCAGCTTGAATCTGAGGTCGGCGGAGTTGGAATAGTCGACCTAGGCACAAAGGAGTGAGTGACCCAGGTAGCGCTTGGCGTGGACTGCGATCGCTTGCCAAGAAGGCCGCCGCAGGCATCGTGCGCTGAAGGAGAAGATGACTTACCTGAAGTACTTGCCATCCCCTTGCTGTCAAACCTGGACTTGGCTTTGTAGGTCAGCCAGTGCGAACGGACACCCCAGGAGGTCACGTACCCTTCGAGATAGAACGACGAACTGGTGGGACGTCTGTGTTGCGATGCCGTTCGCAATGTACTGCGCCAGTCCGTTAGTACCAACCACTGCGACTTTGATCATGGCTGCGCTCTGTGCAGAGGAGTTCCGTCGTGAGTCGAACATTTGGACATATATCTGCCGTTGCGCAGCATGCTGGCCAGGGTTGCGAGGACGGAGAGAGTCATTCAAACAGCAGCAACATCATGAGATCGTTCATTCATGCAATATTGCACTGTGATGGCTGGCTTGCCTAGACAGGTGTATATCTCAGTGGATGGAAATTGATTGTAACTTGCATTCCCAGCCGGGATAGGGTCAAGCAGGAGTATTAAGGCCCCATACGGTGGGCCCAGAACGTGAGAGTAGACCGCCAATGGGACCTGGATCCGGGGGTAGAACAGGACCAGTACGCTACCCAAGGCAGACACGTCCAGAATTTCTCGAAGAATGCTTGCCAATGACGGTGATCGTCTTCGGAGTCATCCCAGGCAGAACAGGCATCGAAGGAAGTGGTGCTCTTGACAATTCTTTCCAGCAGTCACGCGGGAGAATTTCTGGTCGAATTAGAACCATATCGCCGCGTGCAAGAGTCTGATCAGTAGGTATCATATAGCGAGGGCAGGCCTGGAGGGAAATACTGTCTGGACGAAGGAGAATTAACTATGAAGGGGGCTGGCGCTGGAAATAATCTGGAGATAGGAAACCTCGAAACATAGGGGCAGCAGCAACGACTATTGGCGGCTTGACCCGAAGGACGGTTCTTTTGCCAGAGATATCGTAGACCCCAGTTCCACGCGGTATACCATGACGAGCCCGGGTACTTTGAGGAACATTTGGAATGTACGAAGTGCTTGCTGCAAGGCTAGTGGTATTCCCCGTCTCATGGATGGACGATTTCCGCAGAGTTGCCTTCAGCCCTACTAGGCGTCAGGCGAGCCGCGTGAGTGGATATGCCGCAATGCAGGGACCGTCGGGAGCGCTTCAGCTATTCTGACTTGCTGACTCGTAAGGTGTATTGACTCGATGGGAACAAGAGGATTTGCTGCCTGTTGTGCCAACTGGTGCCTTGGCCTGCATGCGACATATAGATGGCTAGAGGTCCTGCAAAGCCGTGTACTCTTGTAGATGCTTTATGCAGAGCAGTGGAGCAATTGCAAAAGTGCGCAAGAGGGACCAGAACCGCATTGGAATCTGGCACGCATCGAGAGCTGTCGAATCATGCCCGAGTTTCGATACAGGCGATGACTGATGCTCATAGATCGGTTCCGACTCTGTGATTTTTGGGGCTGAAGGTAATACGAGTATGCGAGATCAACCTGTTCCGGGGCTCAAGCTACAATCACGGTCGCTGCTCGCCGCCTGCGCAGAAGTCCGAATCAACGTGGAATACGCGTACACCATGCAACTCTAGTCTTCGAAGAAGAACGGCTGAAGAGCTCGGCCGAGCGCCGGTCGAGGAATGGGTGGGAACGACTTTGTCTTGGGAAAGCTTTACAGTGCGGACCAGAAGTTCAAATGCATTGCGGCGGGTGTCGTCGGACTACAGGCGGTTCTGTGTCTTCATTAAGCCTCATAGGTAGGTGTACTCAGTAACTTCGAAGCACTGCAGAGCCGTGGTCGAGGTCACGTTGTTTCGTGTCGGTGTCGCGATCAACGGACGGTGTGCCTGGGCCCTTTGGCATGTCAGTGATTGTCAGAACGTTCTGTCAATTCAGCTGCCTCCCATGGGACTGATGCATGCAACCTGAGGCCTAATCTCACCTGCCACTAACCCTGATGATCTTGGATCTGATCCTTCTGCGTTGGACCATCTCTCAAAACTCCCAGAGTTTTGACGATCTAGCATCTTCTGTCGAGTATGTGTCAGCACCCAGCAGTTAGTGACATAATCATGTCGCTTCTCTTAGGGAAGCGACAATGGTCCACCTGGTTTTCTGGGTAGAATACACAACAACACAATCATGGACATCGCCGTCTGTGTGAAGGTGTGAAAATGCAAACCAAGCCGAGGTTGATTGTTCACGATCGTTGTAAATCGTGATGGCGCGTAAGGGCGCCAGCATCACCCAGTGGGGTCAAGTTGATCTCATCTGGCTTGGCAGACTCATTCACCGTGACGCGCTCCGCGCCCACATCCGCACCCGCGCGCAACCAACACACGACACTCAAACATTGATCTCTCGCGATTTTCTGACCCTAGTCCTTCGTTTTGGTTCAGCGGACAGAAAAGATGGGGGGGAATGCACAGTCGACAACGGAGGCTTCTGCCGTTGCTCCTCGACACGCTCATTATGCATTCCAGATCCATCCCACTAACATGTCCCCTTCAGCTCTCGCTGTTAACGCCGCGGGTGTAAAAGCAAAGAGGCGGAGAACAAGGTCTGTCGCTCTACTCACCACCAGTCCCATGATATCTTGTCTGACCGTCCTCAGTCCTCAAGATCACGCCATCCTCGAAGCCGCGTACCAAAAGAACTCCAAACCCGACAAGGTGCAGCGAGCCCAGATAGTCAGTCAGGTCTCCCTCGGTGAGAAAGAGGTTCAAGTGAGTACTGACTAATACCCCACTTACCTCAACTCGACTGACTTCTTTCCCAGATCTGGTTCCAAAACAGACGTCAGAACGACCGCAGGCGCTCGAAGCCATTGGAGCCACATGAACTAGTTGCCCATCTACGCAACAACACCGCCAGCCCTACTCTTGTTCAGGGAAGCTCATCTCCTGGTCCCGAAGACTCCACGCTATCTCATTCCCATCCAAACGCATCACTTGCACCTGCCGAATCCATCAACCGACCAGCTTCACGGGCATCCAGCATTCATGACCTCCTCAACCCAGCCCGTGTCGACGAAGGGAGCCCCAACAACAGTACACAGGAGACAGCGGACGACCATACATTCCCGTCTACCCTTGAGACGACTTCAACACAAGCCACCAAGGATATGACTGCAATTGGAGCTCAAAAGGATGTGTCAAAGGATGTCGGCAGTCTGTCTGAAAGTAGCGGTGGGCTTGGGAGCGCGAGAAAGAGAAATCACGACGAGATGGCAGGTCTGAAGTCTCCCAGCTCCGATCTAAGGGGACAGAGCCCGAGTGGACAAACGAGCCAATCAAAGGAGCCTCTTGCCAGAACGTCCAGTTTCGTGCGGTTGGCCATGACTGTAGATGGTGCAGTCAAAGTCAGAACAAGACAGGAAGATACGCCGTCTCCTGAAAAGCCTCGTCCTTCACCCCCAGTGGCACAGGTTAGAGCAAGCACACCGATGAGTCGCAGCAAAAGTGTCCTCAGCGTCGTGGATGTATACCGTGACGGCAGCCATGGTACAGGATCAAGAGCTGTGGGATCAGGTTTTGGCCGGTCCCGCGATGCGCGAACGTGGGAGTTCTACTGTGACAGCAATACTAAAGACGCTCTTTCGACCCAGGCTGAAGCTGAGACCGCTGGATCTGCTGTCAGCGCCATCAACCTTATTCGGTCCAACAGCTTCAAGTCGCGTGTCCAAGCTCTCAGTCCTTCATTGTCAAAGATTAACGCTCGTTTAACATCTTCCAAGAATAACAAACCCAAATTATCGCGAGCAAAGTCGTCACTGGGACGTCTGCAAGGCCTCAAATCCACGGCAGAGCCGGTTGATGAGAAAGACAAAGCTCAACAAGGCCACGTCAGATCGCCATCTGGGGATTCGGACAAGGAGAACTGGGCGCCTGGAACCAGACTGTCGGAGCATGCTCTGCGCAGGACCCAGCCCAGTGGGCGGCAGCGTCCGGTTTTGCAGGAGAACGAGGAGATGACGTTCCCAGACGCAAGCTCTTCGCAAAAGAGACGTAATGAAGAAGCCGATCGCCGACTGTCGCCAACCAAGGAAAAGGCCAAAGGTGAAGAAATGGACTGTGTTCAAGGCTTGCTATCGCTCAGTCAGGGCGCTTGGACAATGAAGTAAGGGGAGAATGCGAGTGAAGAGTCGAAGTGGTCCAAAGAGGAGAAACAATGTAAGATCATGGATGCCTGGTCAGTCAGCGATGAAGCACAAAATGCTTGGGAATCACGTTGTGAGCGGAGCCTCGCACGGACTGATAACAGCCAGTCCGGTGGAGAAGCGGATTCGACAAATGTACCACCATTGCCATTGGATATGAATACAAGATTCGATGTTGCCGAGCAGTGTTTCGATGTCTCCACGCCGATGGATTGACGTCACCCATGCTCGCTTGTGGTCACCTAGTGGTCACCATTGCTTGTGATGCTTGTATGGGCTGCCTCGAAGCATCCGACGCACGTGCAGAAACCCATCACTACGGTACACTTGAGACCACGTATTGATGATCCATCCTTCCCAGCAATTGTTTGATAGATCAGGACACTCCGTCCACGACATTGATATGACACCGTTACGAGCAGATTGCTTGAGTTTATCATCCTATCCAGCAGCAGCAGCATCATCACAACCCATCTCATTGGCTGAAGGGTTAGTTACAGTCGCCACGATCTCGGGATTAAGTTAGAGTCATCGAGGCAGTACTCCGTACTCGACACGGAAGGACAGAGCACGGTAAGGGCCTCGTCCCTTTCCTACGGACACCTCCGCGAAAGATTTCGGGCAGCCGGCAGTTCATGTCTCGAATCTCTCGCGATCTGGCGAACAGTGCGCATAATGGGCCCGCCCACCGTCCGACATCAACTACCTCAATGCACCCCATCCGCCACGCCAGCACAATGGTCGCGACGAACAAAATCCCTCGCGTCGCGGTCGTCGGGGCCGGCTTTGCGGGCCTGCGTTGTGCCGACGTCCTCGCCCGCAGCGGCGTCAAGGTCACGCTCTTCGAAGCCCGCGACCGCATAGGCGGACGGGTCCACCAGATCGAGTGGGCCGCGGGTCATCTCGTCGATATGGGCCCCAACTGGATCCACGGCACGAAGGGGAACCCAGTCATGCGTCTCGCACAACAGACGGGCACACTGATCATAGAGCCCGACGAGGAGAGGCAAGCTCTGTTCGACACTCATGGGACGAGACGACCCGACTCGGAGGCCGTGGAACTGCCGAGCAGGATATGGGAATTAGTCGTCGACGCGTTCAAGTACTCTGACGAGAACTCCGCGACCATCGACCCTAACCTTAGTTTGTTCGAGTATTTCCGCGCGAAGATCGATAGCCAGAAAGGCCTCGACCGGTGGAAACGCGACGATTTGTTACACGAAGCGCAGATGTGGGGGCCCTTTGTGGGCGACGCCATCGAGACGCAGAGTCTCAAGTTTTTTTTCCTCGAGGAGTGCATTGAAGGGGAGAATGTGTTCGTCGCAAGCACGTACCGTGATATCCTTAGGGAGGTGGGTCGGACAGCGACATCCAGCGACGAGATCGAGCTGAGGCTGAACACGGAGATTGTGCACTTCAGATATACTGACGGCAACGATACTGGGCTACATGGCGGCGATGGTAACAAGGCCAACCCAAGCCACCACAGCGGCACAGGCGCCGTCACCCTTACGACATCTACCTACCAAAACCACACCTTCGACGAAGTCATCATCACCTGCCCCCTAGGCTGGCTGAGACGGAACCACGAAAAGGCATTCACGCCACCCCTCCCGCCACGCCTCACCTCTGCCATCTCAAACATCAACTACGGCCGCCTCGAGAAATTATACGTCACGTTCCCACGCGCGTTCTGGCTGTCGTCAAACGACGTGGCCAGCCCCGAAAGCTACCCCGTGTTCACCCACTTCCACGACCCAACATACATTCCCCACCCCGAGGACGAGGCGTGGAACCAGTCCGTCGTCTCGCTGGCCCATTTGCCACCGCGCGCCGCGCACCCGACATTGCTATTCTACATCTACGGGGCATGCGGGACGCGGCTCGTCAACCGCATATCAGACTTGGGCCGGGTTGGTGATGAATATAATGCCACGCTCGACGCGTTCGCGCGCCCCTTTTATTCCCGCCTGCCGAACTATTCGCCCACAGACCCGTCCTGCACGCCCACCGCGTTCGTCATGACGCAGTGGCAGGCCGATCGGTTCGCGGGGAACGGATCGTACTGTAATTTCCAGGTCGGGCTGCAAGCCGGCGACGAGGACATCAGGTGTATGCGTGACGCGGGCGGGCTTGGCGAAAGGGGAGTGTGGTTGGCGGGCGAACATACCGCGCCGTTTATCGCGCTGGGGACGACGACGGGGGCGTGGTGGAGTGGTGAGGCCGTCGCGCGGAGGCTGTGTGCGAAGTATGGTCTCGCTGTGGCTGAAGAGGAGCCCACTGAGGAAGGGAGTGGTGGCACGGTGGACGTTAATGGAGTCGACGGGGTGGCTGGGGAAGAAGCTGGGAAGAAGAAAGAATTAGATAAGAAGAGGATGGATGGTGCCAATTTGAGTGGATTGGCGATTTGAGCTCCAAGGCTCGATAGGCCTGAGGCCTGCGCAGAGTCGATTCTGATCATATGGGGACTGGCACTGGCAGCTGTCCATGTGTGCTATGTTGTAGTTCAACCCCCCTCTCCTCGGTCATAGGTAGTGGCCTGGTACACAGCCTAGGCTGTCTGCTCATTCCTGGCGAATACCATGTCCCATGGTTACAAGGCATTATGCAAGCAGTCCAGGCAGTCCATGCGGTTCAAGCAGACCGTGAATCCCATGCAGTCCAAGCAGACCAAGCACTCCATGTAGTCCATGCAGTCCAGGCATTCAATTCACAGCTCCAATTCTCTGGCCCAAGACGCAACGAGCATGCTGATTCTTTCAATGGTCGCCATGAGTTACTCCTCCATACCATCTCGTTCCTTGCCGTTCGAGCTCGTCTTCTTTTCTGCCTTGTTGTTGTCGCTCTCCAACATTTTCTCGAGTTCTACACACGGATTGGTCAGCTTACCATACTGGGAGATGGGAAAAGGGAGAAGGAAGCACATAATACTCACGCGCAGAGATCAGGTCGACCTTCTTGTCCTCGTTGGTTCCACTTCCCGCGCCCTTCCAGCGTCTCTCGGCAGCCTTTTCCAGTCGCGTCTTGGTGCGGAAATCTTCGGTGCGTCCGAAAGTCTCAAACTGCTCTGCGAGTCCGTCCTTTTCCATGCGTTCAGTAAAGTTCTGCAGACTCTGGATGTGCACGGCCATCCCCTTGTCTCGTTGCCCTCGGGATGCCCTCGTTGGCTCCTGTCTCAACTGCTCCGCGTGTTGCGCTCGCTTCGCATGTCTCTTTTGGAGGCTGGGTCGCGGCTTCTTGACTCGATTTCCTGCCGTATTTGACTTGAGCGGAAGATCGTTCGACTCGAGGGGAAGATTGTCCGACTCGAGGTTATCGGCTTTCAAGAACTCTTGCAGCTTTCTGGCCGTGTTTCTTGCAGCAGCGCGGTGAGCGCGCGTGTCAGGTTGACCCTTGCCGCCTGCAGCAATCTGGACTGTGTGTTTCGTGTGCAATTTGTCGGCGATAGCTTGCAGGTCAGTTCTATCACCAGCCATGGGAAGGTCTTCGTCGTCGGTTCCATACGTAGATTCGCAAGTAGGAGCGGGCGGATACCTGTCAGTTACCATACGGAACTCCACCTTCGCTGGACGTCTTCGTGTCAGCGAGGATGCCACCGTGTTCGTCAGGTGGAGGTACCCTTCAACTCATCTGTGATCTGCTCTGAACCGACCTGAAGACCGCCTGCGTTTTCGTACTCTTCAGCAACGGAGGCAACTCGTAGGCTGCTTAGAGCGAGCCCGCGCTGTGGGAGATCGTTGAGGATCAATTTCTGGATAGCATCAGGCGGTAGAAGGAAGCCCTTGTCGACTGGTATCTCGAAAACTCGCGCCGCAGTTATCTCCACCTTGATCCATGTCAGCTCCGGGTGCTCGCCGGTTGACATGTCAGAGTTAGGGATCCAGGGCTGCAGCTTCTTTTCCAGACCAAGTCGTCTCGAGGGTGGATTAACCAAGGAGGGAAGACTTGAGATAGACAGGACCGTAAGTCGATCTGCGGACTGGCGACAGAAATAAGATTCAAATGGAAGAGGACGGAATACGGCCCAGTCCGGACTCTGGTGTTATGTAAATTCGGTGCAAGCCGAGGAGTCGATACGTGATCGTTCTCGGCTTTCCGTGACGATGTCATTGTATGAGGTGTGCACCTTCCCACTCACCTTTCATGCCGGCATCAGAGCGCACTGTCGCCCCAGGTCCGGTCATCGCATTACGGGGCGGCACGTCCACCGCTGTTGGGAAAGCGGCTCATGGATTGAGTTGACAACTGACTGCCGATCTTCGCACGACTAGAGTCATGCTGCTGGCTCACATTGTCGTGTCTTGCAAGTCCAGATATGGGGCACGGTCCTCAGTTCGGCGTGCGCCATCAGGAGATTTATCTGTATATATGTATGTCGGTATGCTTCGGACAGAAGAAAGAGAAGGCGGTATTTCTGTGCTGGACAACTCCAGTTGCTATATACCTTTGTCGTCAGCACTTCGGCGCGGAACAACTTCGGCCCGATAGCGGCGACAGCGTCATCTACTCAGTCACCACAGTGAGTTCACAGTTACACTGACTCAGGCCTCCATTACTCCATTAACGGTATCCAGTTACCTACATTATGGTCATGAGACTAATCAAACATGAATACCCCCAGTCGCAAATCTCCACGTCCTGCACATCACGCAAACAGCACTGCGACAGCATTTGTCAACCCGTGGCCATCAGCTGGGGCACCGACATGGGGAGAGTTGGTCCAGTCCGGATTTCCATTAGGGCTGTACAAGGACGAACATGTCCGACATGAGAAGGCGCGGGAGCTGAAGGTCGTCAAACCAGACTGGGGATTGGCCAGCCTGAAGGACAGCAACATTGACATGACCAGATCGGTCGTTGGTACTTGGCTAGGCCATGCAAGCGCCCTCGTTGAGATCCCACCCATCGACAACATCGAACAAAAGAGCACCTGGCTCCTCTTTGATCCTGTCTTCTCCATGAGGGCGGGACCCACAGTGAACAGTGGCGTCGCACGATTCAAAAAGGCTCCTTGCCAAGTCGAGGATCTGCCTGGTTGTGATGCCGTCTTCATCTCCCACAATCACTACGACCACCTCGACGCGCCTTCAATTAGGGCGGTCGTACAGAAATTCCCTCAAGCCAAGTTCTTTGTCAGTCTGGGTATCAAGCAATGGATGTCTTCCATGGGAGTTGCAACCGAACAGATCTGTGAGATGGACTGGTGGGACAGCCGGGAGTACTGCCCCGAAGACTTTGGCGTCGACACACGGCGAGCCTCGACAAACCAGATAAACTTCAGATTCACATGCGTGCCTGCGCAACACAATTCGGCACGGAGTCCCATCGATCAAGGCCGCACGCTATGGTGTGGCTGGGTGGTGGAACGCTTCGTACGGACACAAGATGAATCGAGTGAATCACACGCAACCAGGAAAGGCGCGGTCTATCACGCCGGGGACACCGGCTATCGGAGAACGTCGAGATCGGATGTTGTTTGTCCTGTCTTCCAGGAGATCGGGAAGAGGTTCGGACCTTTCGATCTATCATTCATCCCAATATGGCGTGGCGGGACGCTCGGATTCTTTTCTTCCTGGGGACTACGACTTTCACATGAGGATTTTCCGGCGGCTCACCATGCCTCACCCGCAGATGCGGTGGCGATCCATCTCGACGTGAAGTCGCGGAACACCATCGGAATCCATTTTGGGACGTTCATCGGTTCCGAGAACGAATCCTACGAAGCTATGATAGAATTCGCCCAGGCTTGTGATCGGCATGCTGTTGGAAGTCTGGACAGCCTGGCAGATAACGAGCATGGTCGTGCCGGAATCCTGGATATTGGTGACAGCCTGGCCGTACAGACTTTGTGATTGCTACGGGTCAATCGACGACGTACGGAAGGGCCCGCTTCTCCGATATCACTAGGCAAAGTTCGATGATGCATGATTCCGGTGGGGTTATTGAGCAAGGGGGCTTCGATGGAGACATGTTCTCTGGCAAGCCCGACTGGACAATAAACATCAAGGCTCGAAGGGCGCCAGAGGCGGCCATCTTGACTAGTCGAACTGAGAGTGGCCAGAGCGATCAACTTCCTCTTCGTCGCCGAAAACGCAAACGATTGTGGCTAGAACGCTGAAAAGCGGCCAGGTAATTAATCCTCCGAATTAGTGGGAGCAATATCCAGAAAGGGCGCATGCATCCTGTGTCCAAACCACATCGCTCAGCCTCACACCTCACACCCTGACTCCAGCACTCCTCAACTCACCATCCATCCTACGGCTCTTTTCCTAATCCTCGACCTGACCAGCTTCCCCCGTGTCGAGACCATGTGTTTCTCCTCGTGCGTGGGACCTGCGCCTTTCTCTAGTAGGCTTGGCATACGAGACTGGCTATTAGCTGGCTGAAAGATGTTGTTCCGCTGGAAGAGTCGAAGTCCACGGTCTGTGTCGTTAGGACTTCAGACCATGGGCACCGTGCACATGATCTGGAATACATATCCCTCTGTCCTACAGTACCTGGCTCAGCTACCAACCAGTCTTCCTAGTTACCCTCAGCTGGAGACGTCCGTGGTTTCCGAAACGAGCACTCCCCAACACTATTTACCTGCCACCCATGATCTGAAACCAGAATTTAATTATGCCTCATGCCCGGATCCCATCCCTACGCGATTCTCTTTCCCACATGGGCTGATGATGAAGTCACCCATATGGACCATCAATAATTAAGTCAACGATGCTCGAGAGCTTTAGGCTTACAAGAAGCCGCTTGGCTTCTGCGCCGAGGTAACCAGTCATGGCTTCGAATGGGTCCGGATGGAGTAGATCCATGGTGCACCGACGAGACCGATTTCACAGGGGTTGACGGAAGCCTGACATCGACTCCATGGTTCGCTGGTATCAAAACGCAGCGGTCTGTGACGTCTACGTTTCTACCTTTTGGACTTCGTTGTTTCTGTACACTCTGATTCCACCACCTCTGCCGGGCGGCTCACGTGGGTTCGGCCGGGAGTGGAACCTTGTAAAGTTAGGGCTCTGGGCTGCGGATTTGCGGCCGTTCGTACCAAAATGAAGGCGGGTACACGCAGGGTGGCTACTGTGGTGGTCCTCCCTATGAAGGGAGATGTGGCATGACGGGCTATGACGCATGGATTTCGAAAAGGTAGGGATGTCTCTTGTTTAAGACTTTGGGGAAATTTTCCGCCTTCAAGGGGGTTGAGGCTTTACGCCCTGCTGCATCACATTCGTGATACGGAGTACTGTAGTGTAGCAGAAGACCATTGATTGCGCCAAGAAGGCCAGACAGTTGCGGGAATCCAATTCCGCCTACTCCGTTCCGTGTACGCAGCTCTCAATGCCCACGGCTTTCAAAGCTGCGGGAATCCAAATCCGCCTACTCCGTATGGTGTACACAACTCTCAATGCCAAGCCAGGAGAAAGAAGTGGTAAGACGTCGTATAATACTAATAACAGTGGTGGCCGCGGCAAAGCGTACTGGAGATGGGAGTATCGGCGTGGTCGGTCAGGCACATGTGCCACCAGCTCCGTAGAGGGTGGACCGAAAGACCGGGCCCAGCGTATCATCCTTAACACTGGCCGTTTTGACAGCAGACCACAACCTCGAAGACGCCGTCCGTAACGACACCCCTATATGAAGCTTTCGCCAGGCATTGAGTTTGGGGAAGAGTTGGACATTGCCTCATCCCAGACCTCGCCCATCTTGTCCACTCAGCAAGACACAAACTCCGCTTTACGATAATCAGTCAGCAGGAGGCAGGGGCACTCTCAACCGTCCGGCGTTCCGAGCAGAAGGGCGAGCGACGTCACATAACCTAGCGGCAGTATTAGTCGACGTCCATAACTTTCTTACAGTGTCCGCGACACTGGCCAGCGTCTGGCGCGAGGACACTCACCGAGCAGTTATCATCAAGGACAACGGCGCCACCAGGCTCCCCAAAGCCATGTCCTCCAACCACTTGTACTTGGCCTCTTTGGATGGCCAAGAGCATCTGCTCGAGCATACCCCCCTGCGTTGGCATCACAATGTCAGCTTGTCAGCGATGCGTATTTGCGGGAATGTGACAGGCAACCTCTCAAATCATGTGCAGTCCGGACATGATCCAGACTCTAGCCAACATGTCTTCCATAGGACCTACCGTAACGTAGTTGTCTCCCCCACTGCGTCGTCGTTCCACATCATTACGACTGGTGATGTTGTAAATGCGCTGCATGGCTCGTCGACTCTTGAGCCCTCTCGAAGTGCTTTCTTGGTTCTCCTCCTCATCGTTGCTGTCCTCGGCATCGCTGCTCCTTGTACGCCTTGCACTTCTTCGGCCACCGGAGAGGGAGGAGTGAACCCTTCCACCCGGGTTGGCAACGTCAATACCCTTTTCTGCGGCCACGCGTTCTCGACTTTCGCCTCCGGCTCCAAAAATCTTGACAGTGCTGTCGATGCCACTGCAAGCAATTATTGGCTCGCATGGATGGCCTTGCACCACATTGACAACCTCACCGTCCCCTTCTAGAATGTTGAGGATTTCGGAAGTCTTGCGATCCCAAATGAAGAAATGTCCGTCATCCGAGCCACTGACAACATACTCGTCGTTTAAGCCATAGTAGTTGACATCTTTGACCGTACGCGTGTTGCAGTGGCCCCTGTAGACTTTGGTATGTGACGAATAAGGAACGTGGAGGTTCAGCGCAGCGCGGTTCCGTGAGCGCGCAAACCCAAGACGTCTTCGGAAGAGAATCCTTTCAGGTGCATCGTCTTCTTCTTCAGACTCCATGGTGCCATCATCAGAATTGTCGTTATCGTTGTTGTCTTCGCGTTCATCCTCTTCAACATTGTCATCGTCTCGAACATCCTCGACATGGACGGTAGGAGGGGTGCTGGTTTCAGCCTGGGGCTGACTAGACCCTTCTGTGGTTCCGCGAGCTGTGGCTGGTGAGTCGATTGACGACTCTGCATGAGTACCATCTCTGTTGGATGGATTGGATGCTGCATCGGAGGCAGCCATAGTTGTGACAAGATCGATTGCTTCCACGATCCGATCTTCTTCATCTGGATCGATCTCTTCATGGCCCTGTCCTTCGTCCCCCTGGGGATGTGCTATCTGCAATCTTAACCCTCCAAAGGCGCGATTGACGAAGTCGAAGGTGACTCCTTCTGCAGCTTGCATGAGCAAAGAGCGGCCTACCTTGACTCCCCAGAATCTTGCCGCCGCTCCTTTGTCCATCACGCGAACCGCCGTATCTGGCTCCGCAGGGTCGGTCCGTGTCTCAGACAATCCTTGTCTTGGTTCCAACCGAATATTCGCAAGGGCCCTTGTAAAGGCCAACACGGCTGCTCTTTGACTCTGAAAGACATGCCGAATCTCATCCCGCTCGAAACGATTCGTGTCTATGTCGACGATAGGTCTTTCTCCATCCGCAAGATTCAACAGATACGCCTCCAACTTGGGGACAAAGTCATGCAATTTTTCGTCCTGATCGAGCGGGAAGCGAGGGCTCTCAGAGCTTACATTAGGAGGCCGTTTGAATCCTTGCAGCACAGCAGGTTGGCCCCCACGCAACCATAGCAGAATTGCCCTCAAGAAGTCATAACAAAATTGGGACTCCTGCCGGATGTTCCTACCTTCGTGAGCAGCAGGCCTTATTTGGTCGAACTGTGTCAACCAGGATTCTGGCGCGGCAGTGAGGCTTTGCAAACGGCCACCAAGGGTCTGCGCGAGGCAGCCAGCTGCTTGCACGAACCGCCAGCTAGCCTGCCGGTTTCTCCTCAAGGTGTTCTGCAGAATCACGTCTTCTTCGCTGGGATTTACTGGATAGGCCCATGTGCGGATGATCTCGTCCATTTGGGGCAGGAGAGAAGCACATTGGCCGAGTGCATTCGTGAAGGCCGATCCGTGAGGTGTCAGATCCGACGATTCCTCCATCGACGCCAAAGCCTCATCGCTTAATGCAGCGGAAAAGTCGAACAAGGTCTTACGAAGCTGGACGATTGCTCTTGCCACTCGATCACTCGATCTTTGAGCTTCTGTAAGCAAAAGGTCGTGGGCCGCCAAGGACTCGGGAGCTGCCTCAGATCCATTCGAGGGAACAGAGATCAACTCCGATCCTCCGTCGGCATATCTCGCCATCAGAGCGGTCCGGCCTTCCTCCGGCTGGTCATCTGCAACCCTGCGTAGTCGCCTGCTAGGTTTTGCTGAATCAGCAAGGCTGCTGGAAGAGGCGTTCGCTTTGGTCCTCTTCCTCTTGCGGTCTGATCGGTGGCGGAGCAGACTGCTCTGGAATTCTTCGTCTGCCTTAGCGTCTGCTTCCCGAGCATCAGGTGACTTGACAATATCAAAGCTGTAGATATGGTCTCCTGACCAAGAAGCCACCATCTCGTTGGGGTTAGCATCACTAATCTTACAAGCAGTGATGTGGCCATGCTCATAAGCTCCTGATTTGCGTTTGTTTTCGGGAGCAAATCGCCGGACGCACCTAGTGGCTTCGGCCATGGCCTCGTCCTCGGAAGTCCCCACGGCGGGCTTGAGTGATGCGGGAAGACCCCTCTCAGAGTCGAGGTCTCGACCAAGCATACGCCTGTCATGCAGGAAGCAATGCAGATGAGCGCCTCCTAGCGCAATGTACTGCGGCTGACTGGGCGCGCAGGAGATGCTGTTCAAATCCAGTCCATACTTTTTGTAAGAGATCAGTGGAGGTGGCGTGTCGCCACTGTAATCGGCCATCCCTCCACCAAATCGAGAGCCACGGCCTCCGCGTGGAGCAGGATATGCGGACGAAGGTTGCCTCAGATCCCATTGGCGCACTTCACCATCCTCCGAGCAGGTCAAAAAGAGGTATGGGCTGGACTCGGTCACAATTCTCTTTGCTCGATCAGCATGGCTCCGGTACACCCGACAGTTTGTATTGCCCTCGTTTAGCCATCTCGCGTTTTGAAAATAGTTGTGAAACCTCCGACTCCTTGTGCTCGCCGAGAACGAATCGTTTGAGCCCGTTTGAGTGGCCGCGCCACCATACTCCAGATCAAAGACGCGGACTTCGGAATCGCCGGCGCAGGTGACGACAGTGCGGTCATTCGAGTGGGGCATGAACTTGACCGAGAAGATGTTCGCACGGTGCCCGGTGCTTACGCTCGTGTTCAGTGAGAAGGATCGGGCGAGGCCCGACGGGTTGTAGTCCCATATGTTGAGATGGGTGTCGTCCGAGCCTGAGGCGAGGAGATTGCCACCTGACGACCAACTATCAAGACAGGCATTAGCAGAACTTACGTGCGCAACGAGGGGCACAACCACGGGCCAACCGTACCTGAGGGCATTGACACAGCCGGAGTGAGCCCCAAGCTCATTGACTATGTCAAGGTCTTGGACCCATTCCTTGTCGCCGTACAAGGTTCTGATTGACCGATGTCTCCTCGTCTCTCCCAGGGATCGCTTCAGCAGCTGCACATCGAACTTCTCGTTCATCTTTGGTGTTAGCCCGGAGGCGATTGATTCCAGGACTAAAACTGACACATGCACAAAACGTAGCCGTGTACGAGAGTCGACGACCTCGGTCCGTGGACAGGACAAGGTGAGGTCGACCGTGTTCGGTGTGGATGATGTAGGTGGAGGCGAGTGCTCGGACGAGGCTAGGTGAGGAGAAGCATGTGCCTGCAGTAGTACTGGATGACGGCAGCACTCGGTCGACGTAGTGGCAATCCAGGCGTCCCAAATGAGCACCGGCTTGCGGAATTCGGCTGGACGGTGTTGTCGTCGAGCAGCCACTTCGGGTCCAGAGGCTGGGAAAAGGGCGCAGCCAGAGGTCGGCGAACGGTTACGACATGCTGAGTGATGAGAAACGCAGGAAGTGATGAGGAAAGATTGAGGGAAGGATGAGGAGCCACCCCCGCAGTCGCCATCAAATCCTCGTCGACGTGTCCACGTCAAATGCTCTACGATGCATTTTATCCTACCACTTGCATTACTTGCTTTTTGGTCATCTGGTCCTCTTCTGGGCATGTCCTCCTTCCGGCTAGTCGCATTGATATTGCGCGATAAAATCAGCTGTCTAACACCCCGGACGGTGCTCCGGACCGGGGGAATCTGATGCTGGCAGGAGCAGTGCCCGATTACACTCGAGGAACATGTCGGCGAGGCTATTGATATCACCAGATATCACAGATTCTGCGTCTTCTCAATCAAGACGTCGGAATCGTCTAGACGCACAGCCCTCGGAGTGTCGCGCTTCCCAACCCTCTTGATCAAGATAGTGATAGTACATGTCCCCTCCCCGCTTCTGTTGTGCCACATACGGTATACACAAGAGGTCCAGCGGAGATGCTGTAGCAAGTATTGCACAAAGTTCCATGTCCACGTAATGCTGAAGCTTCAGCTAGCTTCCTCCACTATGCCCTTTCTCCTTCTTCTGAATCCCCAGTCGAGTGGCCGCCCGAAGCAATGAATGCTTTCGCCTTGTGCTCGATCCTTCGGGTGCCACCTGCAGGGCTGCTCTTTTCCCCGTACGGAAGGTGCACAATGGTGTGTGATACGGCTGCAGCCTCATATTTCTGGCCTGCTGATGCATGTAGCTCCGGCTGCTAAGCTTTGCCGCGCATTAGATAGAACCGGGACATTGCAATTGGAAGGATAACATTATCCGTCCATCGGAGCGGCTTCAATGAAGAAGCTGTTTGCGATTGCGATAATTCGGAAAAGATGCTCACGCCACATGAGGCTGGACATGCTAGGACAGTCAAGAGTGGAAGTGACTAGGCCTCTGGCCGAATATGCCTCCGCGGCCCGTCTTCAGCAGACTATCGCGATCCGGATTCGCCTCACCTAACTATCCTCGGTGCGTCGTTTCTTGCTGGCAAGGGACTTCCGAACATGTTCCATCGTAGCGATCACAATCTCGATCTGTTCAGCCTCTCCTGCAAGCTCCTGGAGCATCAGCTCCAACTCGACACACCGGCGCCGGAGCTTGATGATCTCTTCTCTAAGAACCTCAACAGAGCCCGAAGTCAGAATCGGATCGTTTGCCACAGGGGTCGTGGAGCCAGACACCCTTCCGGCCTCGGGAAGCTTTTCCTTACCAGACTCGAGTTCCCCAATCCGTTTATGCATCGACTCGCGCTCCCGTTCCCATGCCTCTCGCTCCAACCTGAACCGCCGTGCATCGTCCGCACCCTTGAGCTGCAACTGGGATGACATGGCGACGATCTGCCTCCACTGCGCCCCGTCGGCCGAGGACTGCTGATTGACCTCGTCACGTGACCTCATGAGATCGTGAATCTGAGCTTCCATCCCGTCCACCTGCTGCTGTAACCGAATCTTGTCCTCGGTCAAGGTGTTGATTTCGTGATCCGAGACTCGAGACTTCTTGTCGAGAGCCGTACAACGGATCTGTGACCGAGAGAACGCCGCCAGCAGTTGATCGTGCTCCCGCTGTAGCGTTTGTAATGCCAGGGTCTTGGTTGAGATCTGATGTTGCAGATCCTGCAGATGCGTGGTGTGGGCGGCTTGCGTCGTAGTAGGGGAATACTGTGGATACTCTGAGCTCCCCGTATGCGGATAATGGACTCCGGGTGGTGAAGGAAGCGTGCGGGTGGACGGCTGAGACTGCATCGGGGACTGGACAGACCCAAACATGGAGCTCGACGAGGAAGCATGTGGTGACTGTCCAGAGCCTGGGATGGCTTGATCATAAGCTGCATTCCGCTTCAATTCCTCGCCGTGGACGATAGGCGGAAGGCCTTGCTCAAACGGCCGAGGCATCTGTACAGGTGGCTGCTCGGGTTGCCTTCGTTGGTAATCATCAATTCGAGAAGTATCGGGCGGGAGTGATACTTTGCGGGGTTCATTTATAGATGTGGGAGCGGCCGAAGATTGGCCATGGATGGAGAGTCTTCGTATATCGCGTACAAACGGGGGTGGGACAACATCGGCCAGGGATGGTAATCCCGGTTTGGTCATGGCTGCATTTGATTGTACCAGGCGACTAGTATTCCGGATCTCATTGAGCGTCCATGTAAGAGCCTGTTTAAGGCCTAGCTTAGTCACTTCTGCACCGATAGACTCCCGTCCTGTCAGCATTTCCCGTTCCAATGGGGCGGACTGGGGCTTACCTCGATAGGGCTTTTCGGCCCTATGGGTATGGTCAGAGCTCGAGTGACTTCAGCTTGAAGCTCCAGAAAGCCCTGGACGAGCTCCAACACCAGGGACTCCGTGTCTGAACAATTGCCGCATGTTCCGGCCCAGGGTCTGTGCTGCGAGACGTCCTCTAGAGGGGGCCGTGGTGGCCAATACTCCCCGGAAGCAAAATGTGGGCTGGCCTGGCGGCAAAATCGATTGTCAGTACAACACCTATTCTGCCAACGCCGCGGCGGAGATCAGAAGGACCAAGAGACCACCGTCACATACGTGGTGGGGAAACATCCTCCTCTTTGACGATTCCACCGCTGTTTCCGGTTGTTCTGGTATATAGTCTAGACGGGGGCGTTTGTCTGGGGGTTCTCCGAGTTCGCCCCGCGGACTGGGGTTTACCGAAGGCCAGAAGTTTGTGCCTGGCGGTGACAGACCAGACACAGGTCGCCGGTGAGACCCTTCCGGTGGCAGGTCGCGTTTGCGCGGGGTGTTATCGAAGGATGGCGAGAGGGAGGCATCAGGCAGCGGGCGCCGGGGTTCAGGCGCACTGGTAACGCGGGAGAGGAGCAGGCCGGAAGCCATGGACGGTCTCGACTTCACATCCTCTGGTTCACCTGGTAGGTAGGATCCCCGTTCCATCACCTCCACCGACAATCCACCAGCTTCTGTTCCTTTTTCGACCGGGAGTGGCGTGTACGAGGCAACATTTGAGGAGATGGCGGCAGAAAATGCAAGCGCATGTGGCAAGCCAGCGAAAGAGGTGGCGCAACGGGTCTAGGACGAGGGCTTCTCCCCTTCGGTTTCTGCGTGATTTATCGTTACGGACCGACGCAAGAGGCGAATGTCTGGATATATTGCATGCTCGCGAAATGCGATGGAGGCCTGCACCGAGCGCAGAACATGCCTAAGCGGGCATGGAGCGTGTATAGTATGATGCGTCTGAAGCGTGGCGTGCGACTAGGGAAGAAACGGGATGGGTCCAATTGCCAGGACAGGGCAGCATCAATGGCGCGATCTCGATTGGCCGGTGGCGCGTGGGTGGTAGGGGGGAGGAGGATCTGGAAAGAGGAAGAGGGCGATCGAGAAGGATTGGAGACAGCGGATAGAACTGGATTGGGAGTCAGCGTGAGTCGGTAGGTGTTGCTACTGTTGGTGCCGCACAGTACGGAGTATCACAGTACCATGCTCGTAACAGATCAGAGATCGCCGTGGCTCCGTTGACGGGTGGGACGTAGCGGGCGTGGTGAGCTAACAGTTTTCTGCAAAGCCTGGGAATATTGTAGTGGATGGATACTGAAGCTCGCAGCCAACAGCGGGGACGGCAGCCCGCGGCCCAGAGCCAGCCACAGCATGCAGTTGATTCTGCAATGCACAGCCTGGTGTGCCTCGACCGGGAGTGGGCTAGCAGTAGCAGACAGAACGAGGACGAATGTTCAGACAGGCGGTCCCCAGCCGCCTCGGGTCAGCTGTACGCTTGCTTGTTCTGGCTTGCCACGGCTGCACGTTCGGAATGCGATGCGAAGGCGGGTAATTGTGTCATTGGGGGCAGTGGCACGGACCCATAAGCTAGACGCTGCGTTGCAACTAACTGAACAAAGGAATCGCTAACTCCAGCAGGCTTGGATGTGAAATATCAAGATAACGTGATCCGGGTTATCATGTAATTTGGAGCAATTGCCAACCTTCCACCAACGGCCAAAGGCTAATCCCCCCGGGTCTCTTACTGTGGGACTTTCTCGAGCCCCGAGCTAAGATGGAGGTGAGCTCTGGGACATCAGACAAGAAAGACGGCGACTGGCTGGCCGCTGACTCGTGTCTCATGTCTCGAGTCGCGTCCCGCTGATATTCAAATGCCAAGGGCAGCAACAGAGACCCATTTACAGCTCTGCGCCTTTTACATGATGAATCGCCTTTATTACCTATAGGTAGGACTATGCAGCTAGCATGACATGCTCGACCCGGATTGCTGTAACCTCGAGAAATCAAGCTTCAGTTTTCGATGACTACAAATCACCACTTTATTAGGTAAGCCTCTCGCTATCCCCGATCAATACCCTGCGGCGCGAGCCTACACGCCCATGCCAATCCTCTTAGACAAGTTGAGAACAAACAGTACCACATACTCCTTGACGAGACAAATGCAGCCGTGCTACGTCAGCACCACGAGCAACAACCTTGAATACCTAACTCTTCTCCGATCTTGTCTCTTTTATGTCACCCAACTGAGAAGACCTAGCTGAATCTGGCCCACATCATACCAGTCGTGGCTTACACGTCTTTAGATTCCCTGGTCATCAGACGTGGCCGACTTGCGTCAGAGTAAAAATGTACTATGAGCTTATCACGTGGTGCTAGCTTCTCGCAAGCATGACACCCAACTCTTTTGATCCTTGATCCTGGGATGCTCGATGGCTCAATACATACGGGCTTGAGCCAGCATGATCCGTACCCAGCACAGCATGACGAAGCGGAGTTCTATGCTCACCTTGCAGGGTTCAGGCTGCGAATCCTGAGGGCCTGAACCCGGCGTAGGTACGTGGCTCTAAGCGAAAATAAAGTAATAGGTACGAGTACCGATGACAAAGGAGTTAACGGAGCAAGCTTCAAGAGCTCCTCAGTCCCAGGGCGCGTGTATTATTCATCCAGCCCCTCTATGGACGCCCAGCGGAGTGCTTACTCTCGCCCTTGTATGGAACTCTGGAGCAGAGGAGAGCCGCCATCAGCTTCTTGTCCTGGAGCTTCTGGCGCGTCCCAATGGTCTTCAGTTGACTGAGCAGTCGCTTTTTGGGGCGTACAGTAACATCATTGTGCATTTGAACTGGGCCTCCACCATCGCGCATGATTGGCGCAGATGTTCGTTCCACTCCTTCTAGCGGGTCAAGTGCTCAGTCGGGTCCACCGAGCCGACGTCCTCCGGGTTGCCGAGAATGTCGGATACATGCAGTGGTACACTTCAAGTTCCTTGATGTTCCTGGTATGTAACTGCAGCTTCCTTCGTCTCGAAGGATACTTCTTCGCCTGTTATACTTGCCTGTCTCGGGTTTCGAATCGTGGATTCGCCTGGGATGACCTATCATTTCGATCAGAGCAGACGTCTGCTCATCAGATCTTCCGTTTGGGGTATCTGGCTTCCCTTTCCGCTCAGGAATCCTTCAAGACCAGGGGTGATCGAATGACGGTAGGATTTATTTTTCAGCCGATGCGATGATACTTGAGTATGGAAGATTAGTAATACCATGCACGAGTCAACAATACCCGACCGAGATGCTGTGGGCCAGGGCGAAGTACCTTTCTAAACAACTTCATATTTGTCCCATATGCCCCTCCTAACACTACGTCCAGTTGCACTTGCGAAATGATGTAATTCTGCGTCTTGAAGAGCAGCATCGACCGCGGTTCTAAGCCACGCTTGTTCTTCTCGGAGTTTCAGGCCTTCTATGGACCTGCACATCGCAATCTCTTGCAAGACCTGTTTCACAAGAGTTGATTGCATTTTGATCAGCAGACCAAGTGAGGTGGACTCTGGCGGCAGCTGCAGATCGGTCAATGACGCCGCACAAGGTTTGACTCGACCTTCCACGGACGAAAACGAGGCCGACCACCCTTCAGTCACAAAGGGCTTAGAGCGGAGAAAGGATCCTGCATCTTGGGCATCGTCTCCATCGCGTGGGTCGTCAGCGGCGCGGTTCGACCTTCTAGAAGACGAATAGACGCACCACTCGTCAAAGATCCGCATAGCATCCTTGAAAGGGCCATTTTCTTCGCTGACGTCCTGCAACTCCCCCTGGCAGTGCGCCAAAAGAAATAGTGTATCACATCCAGCATGCGCTACAGCTGATGTTTGTCGCATCTTCTTGAGCCACTCGCTCACGGCAACTGCGTTGACGGTCAATTGCCGATCACATTGCCGGGATTTGAGCAAACTCAGCTGCTTTGCCGCATCCTCAAAACTTGCTCTCAAATGCGATTTGATCGACGCCTCATAAGCCTGGAGTGTGGCCGGTGACCTCTCCAGGACAACGGATGATTGTAACAGCTCGTCTCGAAGGTTTTCAATTTCCGCGGCAGAAAGAACGCCATCTGCGGATCCGGGACCAATAGCAACTTTGTTCGGAGCCGTGGCCGAAGCTAAGGGGACGGCGTTTGGTGTCTTTTGACTATAGCGCTGCTGGTAAGTGCTGAAGTTTGGCCTCACAGACGGTACCTGTCTCCCTTTCTCAGAGGCAGACACCGAACCCTTGCCTGCCGTTGATGACAGTGGATGGGAAGGCACCACCACACTTGCCTTGCGAGCCTCGTTCTGAGAATTCCGAGTCTCGGCGATTCTCCTTGCCTTGCTGGTGGCACTCAAGGCCCCACTATGCGAGCTCAAGACAGGAGTTCTCACGTTTGCTGGATCTTTGCTGCTTGTCCATTGCTGTGACCGAGATGTTGCCGCGGCATCTGCCAGGCCTGCTACGGCTGGAGCTGCCCGGGTCACGCCGCTGCTGGTGGCTGACACGTAGCTTCTGGTACGGCCGCGGGCTGCATAGCCGTCTCCAGGGATATTACTGACGGGAACCTTCGTTGCTGGACCAGGATTGTCGGGCTTTCGCTCAGTGACTGTACGTGCGGATACTTTGCTTGTGGCGCGGGCATGTGCCGGTTCCCGTGTCAGCCTTGTCGGTTCTTTTGCACCTGTTGCTTCGGAATGCGGCACGTTTCCCAGGCTCGCTGGTGTTGATGACGGGCCAGTTGCAGCAGAATTTGACTTGATTGGCGAGTGGGAGCGTATGGGGATGGGCATATTGCATTAGTCATGGCGCTTATCGGCAATCCGACCGATTGTCCCTGATCCGGCGATGCTGACGAACGGAGGACTATTGAACCACACGTAGCTTGCTGGGCAGGAAGTGTCGCAGGTGGTGAAAGGGAAGAAACAAGCGAAGCTCGCGGAACACCTTCCCTTCTCGGTCGTGGTAAACACGCAAACAATACGAATCGGGCAGGTTTACCGAGCTGCTGGAAACCCTCCGAATGGCCGATTCGTGGGAACGGACGTTCTCAGCTGCCAACATTCCAACATTAATCCTCACACTTCTTGTGCTGACTGTGTGTTCCCATCCCTACTGAGCGTGAAGTGTCCGTTCAGGGCTCGTGGTAAGTCCCAAGACGGCCCCCCGGCTCCAAGCAATTCAGGTCGGCGACAATACTTTCAGCATAGCACTCTCCTTGATCCAGATCAGGCCACCTATTCAATGGTGCGTGCTCTTTCTGATGTATGTATATGTGTGTTTGAGTTCCGGAGCTATGGAACGACCTAGGTATGAACGAATGAAATGAACAGCCATTGCGGGGTGCTTCAGCCGCAACACCACCTAGTACTCGACCATTTACACCGTCCATCGGAGACATATGGGATGTCTCCGATTACAGCAGCCTGCGAATACTGGCCGTCCTCGTTCGGTCCCTACATCTTTTGGTACGGTGAAGACCTCCAGGCTTTGATAAGACTGTACTGCGTATATTCCATCTTCATCATCTGCGACTTCGCAAGCTATCGTGCCCGATCACCCGCAGGCCGAAGATTTTCGCGACTTCCGCCCGACTCCAAGTTCTCTCGTGATTTGGAAGCCAACATGGCACCGGAGAAGGATGAATCGTTGAAAATGTTGTACAACAATAAAGACTTCACCAAGACGTATGCTCAAGGCGCCGAGAAGTTCACGGGCTGGTTCGCCGAACAACTCGTCAAGGCTGCGAACCTCGATCGAGTCGCCGATGATGAGGAACTCGTTGTCCTCGACCAAGCGTGCGGCACGGGGGTTGTTTCGCAGAAGATCGTGGACTGCCTGAACGACTCACAGAAAGCGAATTTCCATCTCACATGCTCGGATTTCGCAGACTCAATGATCGAGTTCGTCGGTCCCCGCATCAAAGCCTTTGGCACGAAAAGTGCTGAAACCGTCAAGGCCGACGCCCAAGACACAAAGTTACCAAGCGACAAGTTCACGCATGTGCTCCTCAACTTCGGCCCGATGGTCTTCTCGGACGGACAAGCCGGGTGCCGCGAACTGCTCCGCTTGCTCAAGCCAGGCGGCACCCTAGCCATGTCCTCGTGGAAGCGAGTCGGCTGGCTTGACGATGTCCAAGCCGCGATCGCCACTGACCCAGGAATCCCCGCTTTCCCTAACCATGAGGAGTTTTTCCGCAAGTTGATGAACACAGGGGGTGTGTGGGACGAGCCGACATGGATCAAAGACAACCTTACGAAGGCTGGCTTCGTTGACGTGGACGTCCAGCAAATCCCTCACACGAGTGTCTTGGACACCCTCGACGAGTTTGCCCGCATGATGGTTGGCATGATGGGTCTCGTGCAGCAGAGGTTGTGGACGCAGGAGCAGCGAGACAAGTTCAAAGATCGCGCGGACGAAGCCGTCGTCTCGTACATGAGGCAGAAGTATCAAGAAGGGGAGATCAGGTGGGATTGGATTGCGTTGCTTACCACCGCCAGAAAACCTGCCTGAGGTGTGAGATCGGGATACTCGGCTCGACCGACCGCTGATGACCACGAGCGAGCGAGCGCCAGACGTCCTGGACCCGGCGAGCCAGTACATCTCTCGCATACGTACACAATAATCGCCTTTGGCGACTCTCGCTTTTCGCCTGATGCACACGATCCGAACAAAGGCCGCAGGCCCGCCACATTCTTTTTACCTCGTAATACTACTCCATCCCTCAGTCTGTATCGTGTACTGCACGGTACCTACGGCGTACCTAGGTTATCCTACCAATTTATGTGTGTCCACGCGTTCCCATAACATGCATGCACATCGCCTCCCCGTCCTCGGAGCCCTTCCTTAGGTCACAGTGGACTCCACGTCAGGAATGGACTGTACGGATCAACTTCGCCCGAGATTCAAGCGCGACCACCCACCGACGTACTGAGGTAGTTACTGAAACTTGCTCCCGATCCCAGTGCGCCTCTCGCCTCGCCCCGTTTGGTCAGATGCTGAAAGAGAGATGACAGGAGCCTTGCGAGAGTGTCCGGATTGCCGATAACGTGCCTACCTTCTATCTAGGTACCCAGCCTACGCATTTCCATTTCCATTTCCATTGATCTTTCCATTCAATTCATTCCATTTTCAATGCTTTTGCGCTTTCGCGCTTCAGTGTTTAAGCCCCCCATTCACGCCACCATTGGCACCCTTCTCGCCAAGATCCAACATCCCCAGCCCCGTGGCACTGCGCCTGAGCTTCCTCCGTCCGTATACTTCGGCGGCCCACTCGCTGAGCTGGAACATCCAACCGCCACCGACAATCACACCGCTCATGACGTTGACTAGCCTTACAACGAGGCCCAGGAAACTGGCCCGACTCTCGCTGACGATCAGCAAGATCGGTTCAATGTCATACTTGAAGAAGATCCCGGGCACGGTATTCGAGGGCACTTCTCTTGACTGCGACTGCGCGGCGTACTGGTTCGTGAAGATGGACTTGGCGTCGCGGCCCTGATCCGGGTGTGGCACATGGCGGACGATGCCGTCCTTGTCGCGGACCGTATGGGGCGACATGTCGAGCGTGGGCGGCTGCGGGATGGCCGCGGGATCGAGACTGCCGGACTTGGTGGCCACGCGCCGCTTCGTGAAGATCGTGGGCACGATCGAGAGGTAATACTGGTAGCGCATGAAATGTAGGGACGTGGTGTCGCTGGTCTTGTCCAGCGGGTTGAGCAAGTTCGGGTAGTGGGGGCCGAAGGAGAGCTCGTTGATGTGGTGCGAGAAGTTGAACAGGTTGTGGTCCAGGTGCGTCTGCATGCCGAACTCCATGTAGCCGTGGCCGCGGGCCGTGATGTGGAAGTCGCCCTGCACTTTGTTCCCCTCGAGGCTCCCATAAATGCGACAACTGTCGACGGCCACGCCGCGCGGGAGCTTGGGCGACTTCTGGAACTTGCGCCGCGTGTTCTCCCGCATGTGGCCCAGCACGTGGCCGACGTGCGAGTCTTCCTCTTCGGCTTTCTGCCGTTTCGCGTCCCCCTCGTGCAGGCCCGAGTACATGCCGCCGCCGCCCTGCATCTTGCGCAGCCGGAAGAGCTTCCTGTCATCGAGCCAGAGTTCGAAGTTCGTGTCCTCCTTCGTCAGCAGGTCGCCGGCCATGATGCGGTCCATCGCCGCGTCCTGCACGTTGACGTGCAGATCGCGACACGACATGGCGATCACGATGTCGAGGTTCAGTTGCAGTTCGTGGCCCACGCCGCGTTCCACGCTGAAGTGGTGCGTCTCCGTGCCGGACCACCAGGTTCGCAGTTCGGAAAAGGTAAGGCAGAGGCAGAGTACTACGACGGCGATGGTCCATTGACCGCCGCGGGTGGTGGTCGAGGTGTAGCGAGGTTTCGTTTTGGCTGCAGAGCATACGCGTCAGTCAGGTCGGCCAGATCGCTCTGCTGGTCGCATGAAAGTGAGATAGAATGCTGGGTCGGACGTCTCAAACCGGACGTCTCAAAAGATACTCACGAAATGCGTCAAACGTCCTGAGCCCCGACAAGCCTGTGTCCCCAAACGCCGACTCGTCGAAGCCATGATTCTGGAACGAGTCCATTTCCTCCTCAAAAAGTTTTACGACGAGAGCCCTGACAGCTCTATTCTTGATGTCCGCGACATGTATAATGGTGTCGCCGACTGTATGCGAGCCTGGAACTGTGATCCACGAGTCGTAAGCGCAGGGTGCAAGGGTGGAAAGCAAGGAGTGTGAGCCTCATTTTTTGGCCAGATCTGAGTTTATGCAGGGTTCAGCCTTGTATAGATTGGGGGACCCTCCGGCGCTAGGCGTCTGTGTCCCCGACGAGGCTGTGGGCTGCATGTGTCAAGGGAGGGGTCGTGGAATCTGTATGGCGAGATGATGCACGAGTCAAGTTCGAGTGAACGTTGGTATATTTAATGCTCGTATTCCTCATGAGAGCTCATGAATTGTCATACTGTCTGTCTCGACGTCTTGTCGCTATGCTATGCCATCAATGAATGCAAAATGCAATGACTCTGTTTGCTTGTTGGGTATCATGGTTCAACAGTGCCTGCCCAATAGCCCGCTGATTCTCTCGTATGCATTTCCCGGGCGGGACTGTTTCATGCTTAACTCCATGCTCAATCGATATCTCAGGCTCATGTGACCGTATTGCCAGCCGTCCCAGTACCCAGGCGTGTCCTGAACGACGTGTGCTTCATAATCATTCTTCAATAGGTTCCAACGAAAAGTCCGCACGTCTCTCCGCTCCGCACACAGACCATCGTTTTCTTTCCTTGTTGCTTCTTAGGTTGCTGCCACGAATCTCTAGCGAGCTCCTTCGTCGTGATTCACCGGGCTCGCCGTCTTCCCCTCTCGTCTTTGCTCCCTCCTCCTCGAGGATTGCCGCCTCTTCTGCATCAGGTGCGTCTTCAATTGTCTCCAGCGAACTGATCGACGGAGACCTTGATCGTAGTGATGTGGGCGTGCTGGGCATGCTGGAAGCAGAGCTAACAGAGTAGACCGGGTATGGCTCGTATGTGTACTTCTGGGCGCCGTATGATGGTGACGGCGAACTTCTCCCAGAGATGTTGGGGCTGACAGCTCTAGCATGGAGGGAGGGAGCACTCGCACTCTGGTGCAGCGGCATCGCAGTCCGTCGCCGCGCTCTCGGAAATGTGTTGGAGAAAGAGTATATCAGTGATGGCTGTGCCACATCTCCATCTGGGGTGAAGTCAAGCTCTTCATTTTCGGGGATATTTGGTTCCATCACCAGACCGCTCCATGCTGGCTTGCCGGGATACGGCTCTTCCATGGCCATCCTGAGAGGGCTGCGTCGTCTTCCTGAGTGTAGAGGTGATTCCGGTCTTCTAGGGGCACCGTAAGGCGTGATATATCGACCCGAGGCGTCCACGCCGGGTGAAGAATGCGCTCGTTGCATCGGTGGAGCGGTTATCATGCTTCCAACTGATAGTGGCCTCATTCTCCTCTGAGGCGACGAATTGCGGGATCCCGAGGGTGGAGTAGTCTGTGAGAGATAGTGGCCGTACTTCGGAAGAGTCTCGGAACCCTCTGACGGCGATGATCTGGGAGAAGGGGAAGGCGGTGTTGCGGACTCGTCGTCTCGAGGAGAAGGAGGCAGTTCAATATCTTCAGCCCGTATTTGCAGGGCCGAGATCTGGGGAAGGTCTGAGAAGGTCTGGTCGTTGAAGCGACTCGAGTCGCTCGACGGCGGGTTTGTCAGCGGCGGCATGATGGTGGTGCGGGAGAGGTAATCGAGGATACAATAGTCGTTATTTAGCTGAATAAGAGATCGAAAGGTAGCATAATCGTGGGCTGGAGCGTGCTATGGTGTGTTGGTGGAGGACCGGGCCAGCATTCCTGGAGAATGCTGTTTGAGATTCCCTCCTCGAACGAACGCACCCTCAAAGCGGCCGCAGCCCGCTTACGATAACCGGCTCTGGGAACGACCTAATACCCAGCAACTCCCAAGGCAGTGAAGCCTCCGAGGCTGCTGATGATGTTAAGTCCGGGTGGCGAGAAGTTGACACCGTGCAAAAGAATGGTGCTGTGTACTCCGTAGAGGTGTCGAGAAAGGAGTGAGAAGGGAGGGAGGAGGCTGTCACAAGTTCAAGTGCGGAGGTGGAGATGAGATTGTGCAGGCTGCGCGCCAGAAAAAGTCAGGAGGTTCGAAATTCGGCGTGCTGCGATGCCACTGGGGCTCCAACGGCGATAATGCCAGGGGCCGGCTTTAACCGAGCTTGGTGGCACTTGGAGGGAAGGCTTTAACTAAACCTGGGCGACGATCTTTGCATCGCACTTGACTTATTGGGTGGTCGAGGCCATTGCGTCGAATGTCCTAATTACAGTTACGTCCTCACAGGACATGATACATATTCGAGTTATATTCCTCTGAGTTTGTTCAGCACTGTAAGCGCTGATGTGGGCTTTATGGAAACACTACTACCCACCACGTGGCCTATATGCTACGTTCAAGCTTTGCCTTCGATGAAACATGGGCATGAGTTTGCGTTCAGCTACCGTTTCCTCCTTCCGCTTCGATCCTGTGGGCACATGTCAGATCTGGACATGTACCGTTTCCGCATGCTTGAAATGCCCGCGCGTCAATATTCTTCTACGAGCGAAATTGTCATATGCTAGACCGGTACTCCCCGTTGAATAATAGTCCTCCCTTGGGTATAAGCAAGCAGCCACGCCTGGACTTCGACACCAAAAACCTTGGTCTAAAGCAAGGATACGCTTGCAATTATTTCGTGTTTGGCGTTTGACTTGAGCCTCAACTTGCTTTGACTCGCTTCGACTCAGCCCTGTACTCCGTACTTGTGCTACTAAATACAGTGGCACCGCCCTTCTACACATTGTGCTATTAGCTGTCGTCCCAGCTATACGTGTTGTGGTAACATTTCTACGTACGTTTGCCGTTCTGGATACCAACCAGCAGCTCAAGCTTACCTGCATCTGGATGGTGAGCACGAATCTTGTAGCTCTTATTGTGGTCTTTGTCGCAGATTAGCCACGCGATGACTTGCAGGCGGAAGCATCGCTTTCAACTAGAGCGAAGCTTGGACGGGAGTCTCGTCTTCTACTGACAGTGAATATGGATGAAGAATTGCACGAATGCGGTAACACACAGGCGTTTTAGGTTGCTGAAGCAACAGCGTGAAATTATATACTAACTGAATCTTTCAAAAGTCTGGATTGATCATGCTTCTTAGGCTCATAGTTGCCTTGTCATTCCTCCTGCCAGATTTTCCCATCGTGAACATTCGATACAATCGTGAAAGCGTCAATTCATTCAGGATGCTGGAGAGGGCACCGCGCTCCGTTTCTCAAAGGATTAAGGATACAAGCAAATTCCGTTGAACCGAATTGCCCCCAGTGATTATGCGATGTGACACAAGATGAACCGCCTGCAGTCACCAGTTTGTTGTGTTGGCAGGACCTGTCTTGTAGGCCTCGTGGAGATGATCCTATCGATGGCTGCATTGAAAAATTCAGCTCTTTCGCACCCGCAATAGCGGAAGCAAGACTCGAAAGTTGATAGTTTCGCGATCTATGTCGTTCTTCGGGATCAAGGTGGTTATATCGAAGCAGCCCGTGCCCATTGATAGGACTCAACTCCTTTGAGGAGATTTCAGGTGATCTCGAGTATGCGGCGCGCAGAGTCGTCACAAGACATCCCTTCCATGGACAACAACTTCCCGGTACAGCTCGTTGGATAGCTGTTTCACGACCAGCACAGTCATGCTAATCACCTTCTCGGCGTTCAGGCTCGGAAAGCTCCTCAGCATCTTTGCAGGGCTCGGCTCGCCAAGCAATGCATCCTTCAGCAGTAGTAGCTGGGCGACCACGCAGATGACGTTCAGATGTGCCCCAAATGCGAAAAGAAAATCCCATAGCTTCAGTACCTCCGGAAGAGGTGGGGTACATGCGCAGAGCGTCATCACAGAGGGGAAGGCGTAGATCTTAGCCGGCAAGCCCTTGTTGAGGAGGTGAGATGCGAGAGCAGGACTAATCTCAGCCAGGATCTTGTCGATGAGGTCGAGGCCTCGATGCACTCCAGACATGGTTGGGGAGAGGTAAGTGGGGATATGCTCAGTTAGGAGGCGGGTCAAGATGGCGTAGGCTTGAGCCTCTGATCGTGAGGCGTACAATAGCGGGGCGGAGAGCACATTGACACCTTGGAGGTAGGTTGACTGGGTATACTTCTGAGCGAATTCTGACGGTGGATTGGAGGTTTGCTCGTCGTGTATTCGCCAGGCCGTGGCATTCAACAGCCGAGTCAGACTTGCATCGGTAACGCGCCGCTTGAAGAGTGTATCAGTCGCCAGTGTACGGAACACATCGTTGGAGATCTTCTCGTACGCAGGACTGCGGCCTCTGTGGATGAGATCAAGATATGTGTCTGTCGACAGAGGGCCGATGTTCAACAATGTCAACCAGAGGTATACTCGGTAGTCGGACATGCCTTCTTTTGTTGCGCTGACGCCACTCGTCAGGATCGAATGCCGTAGCAAAGACAAGGCGCTTGCGGCGGTTGTTCCAGGCGGGGGGCCGTCGCGCAGAGTCATTTCTAGGCTGGATTTGCGGGCGTGTGCGAGGATGTGGTTTGAGGATGGGTTGGAGAGGTTCGTAGGAGGTTTGCGAGTCCGTGGCGCAAACGGCATCGGAGCATCACTATTCGCTCGGGCACGAGAAGTAGAGGTGGTATTGGACATATTGACGTTTGAGGTTGTAACGGGTTGAGTTTGATTGAGCTGCTCGCGTGACGGCTTTGTTGAAATTCCAAATCGTGGAGGCCTCAGATTTGATGTCTGGATCCCCATGTTGCTTGTCGAGGATAGTTGATTGTGCGATTGGAGCCGGCGCAGGCCACGAGTCTTGTCGCTGGAGGTCAAATCACTCTTCTCAGGCGAGTCCGGTAATCGCACAGAGGCCGGGTCTGGAGGTGGAAGAAGGGCATTGCGGCTGGCGATTTTGTGAGGGGAGATGGATGTCGCGGTCATACTGCCGGACCTAGGCAGAGGCGGACAGCGGGCGGGAGGCGGAGGCGGAGGCAGAGCGATGTAGGCAAGGAAGAGCGCGTTGCGAAGGTGAAGTGCATTCGACTTGGGAATCAGGTTCCAGAAACTTGGTGTTGCAGCCGTGAGTTTACCAGCCGCCGTTGGCTGGAAGACCCCGCTAAGCAACGCCGACGGTGGCTTCCTTGACGCGAACCAACGCGTGATCCCGGCCACAGGCCAAGAGTCAAGGGTCAAGGGAGAGAGATCCAGGCGACCCCGGCGCTGTCAACAGCTTCTACGAGTTGTTCGTCCGAGTACGCATATCCTCAAGCCAACAAGCTGAGTGCCACGATCGTCGTTGACAACGACGTCCCTACTCCGCTTAGACACACAGCTGGATGACTTGCAGCACAAGAGAAGGTGCGATCAACGCTGTGGATGGATGTCGCATCATAACCCAGCCATTCGGCTGCATAAGCGACGGTGATGGCGCGATTGGAAGAAAGTCTCGGGCTCCATCGCACCGCTCCACGTACTGACTCCGACAGGAAAACTCCACACCGACAATGATTCCGGCCTCATCCTCGCATATTTTCATTATGACGCTTCATTTGGAGACTGGGCGACCTCAAAATCTGACCTGCCTCTTCTCACAGCTATGAGACCTGGCTGCAGGTGCAACGGAGCGAAGCTGAATAACGACGTGGACCGCTGAGGACCCAAGGTGGAAAACTCTGCGTGGTACAGAAAATGGCTGGACGTCGACCTTCCGAGACCAGTGCTCTTCTCAATGAGCATGGGATTGACGACTTCCGGAAATCCATCGATCAGGTCGACCAGAGATTATATGGCACGGCAGCGGAGGAGGCTTCACTGGTGAAGGGTCCTGAGCTTGAGACAACATGGAGGGCAGAGACGGCCATTCTAGCACGATACTCAGGTCCTTTGATGCTGACCTACGTCCTGCAATACTCCTTTTCGCTAGTGACGGTGTTCGTCGCCGGGCGTCTGGGGACGAGAGAACTAGGAGCGGCGTCGCTAGCAACGATGACTGCGAACATCACGGGCCTCTGCGTCTATGAAGGATTATCCACCAGCCTGGACACTTTGACCTCGCAGGCTTACGGAAATGGAAAGAAACAACTTGTGGGCCTCCATGTCCAGCGTATGTGCATATTAGTCTGCGTGGTCACGATCCCAATCGGGGCGGTCTGGATTTGCTGTCCTTGGATCCTGTCAGCTATTGTGCCGGAGACAGACACGGCTATCCTAGCAGGCACGTTCATGCGCATCTATCTCCTTGGCGGTCCTGGTTGGGCGATTTTCGAGGCAGGAAAGCGACTTTGCCAAGCTCAAGGAGACTTTACCGCGTCCCTTGCCGTGGTGTTGGTTTGCGCCCCTCTCAACATTCTTTGGAACTGGCTCCTGGTCTTTCATTTCAACCTAGGCTTTGCAGGTGCCGCTTGGGCGGTCGTCATTTCCAACAACCTCCAGCCCATAGTCCTGGCGCTCTATGTTGCTTTTGTCGCCCCTTCAAACCTTGAGTGTTGGCCTGGATTGGACTTCCGTCGAGCATGTCAGAATTGGGGTCCGATGGTCAGGTTGGCAATTCCAGGTGTTCTCATGACCTTCTCCGAGTGGTTTGCCTTCGACGTCCTCACTATTGCGGCTGGTTATCTCAGCGAGCCAGATCTTGCCGCACAGTCTGTGCTGATGACGATCGTTGTTCTGATGTACCATATCCCCTTCCCAATCTCCATTGCAGCGTCGACGCGATTTGGTAACTTGATTGGGTACGGCGCCTTGGACGCGGCTCGGACAGCCTGGAAAACACACTACCTGATCTTCGTCTGCATCGGCATCTTCGATGTTACGTTGCTGACATCTTGCCGCCACGTCATTGCGGATATTTTCACCACAGACTCTGCGGTCAAGTCCATCATCACAGCGGTCATGCCCATCACGGCGGCAGCCCAGTTCTTTGACGCACTACTGGCGCTCTCGAATGCACTGCTACGCGGGCTGGGTAGACAGAAAATCGGCGGTTGGGTCAATCTTGGCGTGTACTATCTCTTTGCACTGCCTTTGTCATTCTTCTTGTGTTTTGGGCCCCCTCGAATGGGTCTAAGTGGCATGTGGATCGGGCCCAGCACCGGGCTCGGTTGTGCTGCTATTATCATGGCTGTATATATGCGGCTCGCTGACTGGCAGAGGGCTGTGGACGATGCTCGAGCGCGGGAAGAATAGATTGCCGGGACCATCACAAGTGCTTATGGTACCCAGATATGCGGATATCATGCCTCTGGGCTTCCTACTATTAACCCTGGTACCGTGTAAGTGGTCTTTTTCTTATGCGTTCCGGACGGGTTCTGATGGCATGACTCAAAATCCCTCATTGTTCCTCAGTCTCACGTGGGGTATGCGACAGGCGTCCAGGGCACAGTGCAGTTATATCCGATCGAGCATATATAGTTTCACGCGATTCTGACACGACCGATCCATTGTGCAGTCGGATCAATCCTTTGTTTCGGGATCCGGCATAATTCCGCGGTCAGCCGCATCCAACCGCTGCTTGCCGCCACCGCGTTTCTTGGTCGCATTCCGCAATCCGACAACGAGTTGCGACTCGCTGATCTACTGCTCGACTACGTCTTGGACAAGGCATACCACCTCAGTCTTACCCAGTCGGGACACATCCTTCACACGGTATCTCCCAAGTACATGTTTCTCGGGACCAGCAATCGGTAAGTCTCATCGAAAGCTCGGGTCCACCCCGCCTCTCGCGCGTGAGATCACATCACTTCTCTTCTATATATCCTTTCTTAGTGCCTTCCGTCGAGACATTCCTGATACCAATCCTGTTGCTCTCTGCTCTCCTCTGTGCGGACCTTCCCCAGCTACGAAATTCTGCCTCTTAGACCATGGCCACCGACATCGACCTAGCGGAATACCTCTTCCGGAGGATTCGTCAAGTTGGGGTCAAAGCTATCCATGGTGTTCCGGGAGATTACAACCTAACCGCTCTTGACTACATTCAACCAGCCGGTCTGGATTGGGTTGGCAATGCAAACGAGCTGAACGCTGGATATGCTGCGGACGGCTATGCACGGATAAGAGGTGTATCGGCACTAATCACAGCCTTTGGCGTCGGCGAACTCTCTGCTATCAATGCCATTGCTGGTGCTTATAGTGAACGTGCGTGGTTTCCCCATGCTCCGATCTGAATGTTCGCTGACTTCATCTGACAGTGGCGCCGGTCATTCATGTTGTGGGCACTGTCCCGACCAACGTCCAGGATGCTGGGCTCTGCATGCATCATTCCCTAGGCAATGGCGATTTCCGGGTCTTTGCTGACATGTACAAAAAGATCACGGTGGCCCAAGCGAACCTAAGGGATGCAGCTACCGCCCCTGCACAGATTGACAGATGCCTCCGAGAATGTGTCATACAGAGCCGACCAGTGTACATTGAATTGCCTAGCAACATGGTCCGGGCCAAGGTCCCAGCAGCGGCCCTCGAGACACCCATTGATCTTTCCATCCCATTGAATGATGAAGGGTTCGAAGATACCGAGGTTGACTTGATCTTGAACAAGATGTATGCTTCCAGACAGCCTTTCATCGTCGTGGATGGCTGCACATCGAGGTACGGTGCTAGCGAGGAGGCCAATGAGCTAGTCCGAGTGACCCGATTCCCCACTTCGGCCACTCCTTTTGGCAAGGGCATTATCAATGAGGACTGTCCCAATTTCCACGGGATCTACGCTGGCATTGCTGGTAACGAGGTATACATGCCTTGGGCCCAAGGTTGCGATTTCGTCCTCAAGTTGGGGCCTCTGGAGAGCGACGTCAATACGTTTGGATTCAGCACCATTCCCGACCCAAAAACTTCGGTTGTTTTCCACCGCGACCACGTCGAGATCGGAGGAATCAAGTACGAAAATCTTCACATAAAGTCTCTCCTACGCAGAATTCTTTCGAAGCTGGAAACAGCCAAGCTCCCTCATTATAACCCTTACATTGATCTAGGCTCCCCCCAAGCCGAGCTTCTGGCCCTGCCTCCGACAGGCAAGGATGACATTATCGATCAAGCCACTTTCTGGCGACGGATATCGACCTTTTTCCGGACAGGCGATATTGTCATGGCCGAAACTGGCACAATAGCAATCGGAGCCCGAGAGATGGTTCTCCCTGCCGACACTACGCTTGTTTCTTCTTGCATATGGCTGTCTATTGGCTACATGCTACCAGCATGTCAAGGCGCTGCCCTAGCCCAGCGCGAAATGATTGCTGAAGGCTTGCGTCCGAAAGGGCGCACCATCCTCTTTGAGGGTGACGGCAGTCTCCAGATGACCGCGCAATCCATCAGCGACATCATCCGGAACCGACTCGACGTGACTATTTTCGTCATCAACAACGATGGATATGTGATCGAAAGGTGGATCCACGGCATGAAGGCCGGCTATAATGACATCCAACCATGGAGATACCTCGACGCACCAAACTACTTTGGTGCACCCAAAGATGACCCTGCCTACCCGGTGGTTACAAGGCGAGCTGAAACGTGGGGTCAGGTGAACGACATCTTGGCAGAGCCGGCACTTCAAGAAGGCAAAGGCTTGAATATTGTGGAGGTGGTGATGGGTCGAGAGGATGCACCTGATGTGTTGAAGAGGCTGGTTCAGAGCACCAAGAGAAGGAATTCAGGCCCTTCCACCGAGTCTGAACAGCGCCAACCCACGAGCACTGAAGAGAAGGCCATGAAAGTCGGCGGTTGATATGTGAGCCCGCGCTCTCAAAAGTGGCATCCTCGCGACATTGAGCATTTGTCTATCCATTCGTGCTGGCGGCGTTAGGACCAAGAGCATGCGCGAACCGCGAGGTGCCCAAGCATGCATTTCGACTGAGCGGGATAAGCATCTAGAACGTTGTCTTTCAAGTTGTCTCTTAGCGCATCAGGAGTGTCTAACACCAGTGAATACTACATAATCACGAAGCGAAATCCATGTTTTCTTCTGGCTCAGCAGCTTGCGTCCCGCGGAATCCTCTGGTTTGGCTCTGGCGGTGGCTGCACATTGTGCGGCCTGAACATTTCGGACAAGGCAAGCGTTCAACCTTAAAAGCGGCATTAGTTGTTCGTTTCGAGAAGGTCGAGGGAGGCGCCCCTCTTCGTCGCTTCTCCCTCACTTGTCCTTCACCTATCCTTCACTTCTCCTTTCCCAATGAATCCGTGGCAAGCTCTTTGGCTTTTCTCGCTTCTTCAAACGATATCCCGAAGTTTCCTCGAGCTCGTATCCCGTCCGTTCACGTAACAAATCACGTCAATTCGCCAAGGGTTCGACAGCCTCCGACACACATGACACTGCTGTGTCACAGATTGCGGGTAGGACCAACCTTGGGCTCCATTGATTCTAGCCGCGCCTTGGACTCCGTTGCGGCGTCACCAAGCGAGCTGAAGTACAAACTTTCTGCCTCTTCGGTTATCGGCTCGCCGGATAGGCTAAAGGCTGTTCGAGTCTCTCCTTCCATTATTATTCCCGCGGCGTCCCTCATCCAAGCTGAGGTCTGCCGTCTGCCCCTTCACAAGCGCCTGTCAGGCGATTCCCGCGTCGAAGCCACAGCTTGTTTCGCCGATTCTGTCAATTGCCATCGTCTGCTGACCGCGAACTGGGCGTCATGTCCAAGATTCGCCGTCTCCATCTACTCCGTCGACCCCGAGATTGCGGATCGCACACCCTTTCATTCTGCGAGCCAGCCAGCCATTTACGCCAATCTCAACCTCATGCTAAGCGAGACTGTCCTGATGCGGATCGATGTTGCAGCAACAGACTTAGGTCTTTGGATCTGTCCAACTGCAAGGGTCGGGACACTACGCATTATTGGTGACTTGTCTTCTTCTCTCGTGTCCATGCGAGGTAATACAGGTCCCATTGGAGGAAAGTATGTAACGACTTGAGCATATATCTTTCACGACACGGCCACTATCTAAGAGGTTGGTACGGTTTGTCCCTTCCTCCCATCTTTCGTCTCACGGCACGTGAGTGGCGCCCAAAAGAACGCCTTGAAACCAACCTCGCCCCAGCTTACTCATACAATGTTGCAATGGCCCCATCCCCGTTGAGGTCCAACACTGTCGGACATACTCCATACCACCTTGGAGTCCGCACAACACTCGTGGTCTGCCTCTTGTCTGTCCTTCTCGCTCTTCTTCTTATCAAACGCCGCAGAGGTCGAGCCAATATGCGGCACATTCAGCGACTAGCACCCTTTCCCACCATGGAGAAAAATCGCCCTGAAGGCGTCGCGTTTGACTCCGGAGACCCGATCGATCCTTTGGACCGTCAACTCCTGACGGAAATCTTGAACCCTTTGCTTGATGTCGGGCCACGGAAGTCGAATCTTATGACGAGTGGCTATCTGGCCGCGAAGGCGAAGTTGGAAAAGGCCCCGAAATCAGCGAGTGTTCTGGAAGCACATAATCAAGTCGAGGTCTTGAAAATCGAACCCCCAGACATATCGCATCATAGTGTCAATGAGCACCAGACGCAGCAATGGAGCCGCCGGTCCTCCCCGGGACCTCAGCATCAAGCCGACACGTCAGCCCCCGTGGCACACTATGATGGGATGGAAACCTTGTTCCGCGTGGATTCCAAGCACGACGACACGCAGCACTTCTGCGATGACTACAACCCAGTGATCAAGTGGAGGCGAAGGACTTTGATCTTCGAGAAGATGCCTTGACCCTACACCCGCTGCAACAGCCAACACCTTTTTCCCGGCTGCCATTGCATCGCATTATTGTGGAGTGCTGAGCGTGGGCCGCAGACGCCATGCTGTCACAGTGCAAAATGCACGGCTTCTCGACCATCTCTGCATCAGGCATAATGTGTTAGTCTGCTGGCGGACAGAGCCTGCATCGGCAGGTATGCCGATGAGAAGCGAGATCCCAGATCTAGCAAGCCCGGATCGGACCGCACAGGTGAAATCCGACCACTTGCAATATCTGTTTCGCGAGGAGGGCGGCCACGCTCATAAGACTCGGACTGAGACCGACGCGCACTAGCAGTCCTGCCTGTGGACGAGACCACTGAGGGTCATCCAATCGGACCGAAAAGACAGCGGAGTCGCGGAGCAGGGCCCTATGGGAGCAAATTCGGTCGTCTCAATCCGGGTGCATTCGTGTTGGGACCCTTCTCGGAACACAAACTCGAGAGAGAACGGAGCTACTGTAGCAACTTACTGTACACGCGGATGCTCAGCTGGACAGGGATCTTGCCACTTCATTCCACTGTGCGCTTTGACCACCTGCGGTCCCTGTCTACGAGCCTACCACGCCTAGCTGTTCTTCTGCCTGCTCATCTGTCGCTACATTCATCTGCGTATCGATGGATCCGTGCAACTGCGCGTCGAAGTTCACAGGGGATCATATGAATCACCACAGTGGGATGATATTTGATACAGTAGCTCTGTCCTGTAGTCTTTGTATGCCTCCTCACAAGGACTCTACCCTTCATTTTGAGTGCGCACGTACTTTACTGTCGTTCCTTGACACAACAGGTGGTTAGGTGTCATTGGGTCTAACTATTCTGTGTATCTCTCGTGGAAGGCCTGTCATACTCTCGTGGATTGGAGGAGCGAACGCGTGTCAGAGGGAAGGTGGATAGAGTACCGGAGGTGGCTTGACTATTCATTTGTGCACGCTGCACTGTTACACAGCACACTATGACCGTCCAATTCGTTCTCTCATGTACAGTACTCGTGCCTCGCGAAAGATTGCATAGATGCCCCTCTCGCCCCTCCCTGCCACTTGGCCTTCGTGTGACCGCCAGCGTTGTACCTCTGATCGTGGCTCTGAGGGCTCAATGACTCGTTTCCCACTCCTGCGAATCCTAAAGACCCTGCACTGACTGACAGAGTCACTTCACGACCGACCGAACCCAAACCACCCCCGCTTGGGCGGCGCCCTTCGGTCCTCTTTTGTGTCCGGCTCCGATACTGGGCCATTGGTGGCGGTTCTGGCTCCGGCGTCGTGCATCAGCACGTCTTCCCTCGCACCAGGCTGGAGGTCGTCCTCGGGGCCCTTCTGGCCGGGATATTTGATGTAGTTCCAGGCTAGGTCGAAGAAGAGGGGCTTCACGGGCACGGGCCGTAGTTTTGGCGGATAGTTGACAAGGTTCGTGAGGTCGAGGTTAGGGATATACGTGTTGTGGGAGAGGCGTTCTATCAAGGGTGCGGGTTTTGGTGCTGTGGCAGCGGTCGGTGACGATGCCGCATCGGATGTGGCGTTGGCGTTGGACGATTTGAGGTCCGCAAGGGCGCGGTATCGGAGAACGAGTTTCCGGAGGGTCGAGGTTGTGAGGTGTATTTGTTGGCTTGAGATGCCTAGGTTGGGTGGCGTTGCGTTGTCAGCGGTCGTGGGAGCGCCGAGTTTGCTGGCAGCTGTTTCGGCCAGTTCGAGCGCCCGGGCGTATAGCGCTAGGGCGTTGGGGATGTGGTCGCTAATGGCGTGGGAGCGGCCAACGGCAAGGCACTTCAACGCGCGGAAATATGCCCTCTTTGCGTCGAGTTCCTCTATAAAGGGAGCGTCTGCCATGACGCCGGGGAGTTCCTTGACGGCGTCTAGGCTCTGCAGGATGGAGTCATAGAGTGCCAATCGTTCTCGCAGTCTGGACATCTTCCGCCCGGTGCTTTCTTGCTTGGGTGCACGGGGTTTGCCGTCCTTGCGCGGCTTCAGGGGCTGTTTGGGCTTCTCGTCCTCAAAGGCCAGACCGTCATCTGACGCACCACAAAGCACTCTATTCCGGCCGATACGCCATTCGATAACGGCGTAGTTGACTGCTGTGCGAGTGATTTGCAGTGATTGCATGCGCGCGTCCCCGGTGTCAACGCCTTCGGCGACGAGCTCGTCGATTGCGGTCTTGGTGGCGTCTGCCGCATCCTGGCGGGCAGTGATGACCTCTTCATACGCCGTCGCAAGGTCCTTCGCGCTCAGTGAGCCATCTCGGAACGACTTGAAGGATGAGACCAAGTCCTCTTCTTTCTCTTTGGACAGGCCTAGTGCTTGGGAGATGTTGGCGTCTTCCAGCTTCACTTTCCGACTTCTCCAGGAGAGCGTGGACGGGATCTCCTTGGGACCACCCTTGGTGGGTGCTGCTTCTGCGGCCACCGAGAATGCTTGTGGATCGATCTCCTCAATCTCTTGCCTCACAGTCGCTTCGGAGTGAGGAAAGCTCTCGATGACAATCTCGTTCAGGGCTTTTGTGCGGGGCATCTTCAACTGGTATGCTGCGTATCGGATGCTGGGGTCTACGATGCCCGACAGCAAATCCTTGTATGCGTCTATCTTTGCCGACCGTGCCAAGGTCGAGTATATAACCTGAGCGACAGAGTAGTTCTGGATGCATGCTTGCCAGCTTCCCTTCTCGAAGTCAAGGCTGCCTTTCAACATGGAAAGGTACGCACGTGCTTCCAGGTCATCCAGCACTTTCGCGCCGGTCGTGTTGCGGTCTTGCAGGATGTTGACCAGGTTGTCCGCATGAGTAATTGCTCTCCGCAGTCGTGATGCAATCTGACGTTTCGTGGAGCCGGGCATAGGCTTCTGGGTGTTTTCTGGCGACTGTGCCGACTTCATGGCCATAGCAGATGCCCATGCTCGCTCAGAGCTGGCGAGGAGCAACTGTACCCATCTTGAACGAGTCAGTCCTGTTTCCCACCTAGCAAGAACGAAACGTACTCGGCATTTTTGGAGACATTTTCTGCCGTCACAGGAGCTTTGGGAGTGTATTTTCTGCCTCGAGTTGCGGCACCGAGTCGACGTCGCAGATTCTGGACCTTGCGGGTTGCTTGGGCATGATAGGCATTGTAGTCGCCTCCAAGAAGAGCCCTGTCGCGCTCAGACACGAGCGAGCTGGTGATGTTCATATTGGCGGCTCAGTCGGCGTAGCCTTTGCTGCAGGAAGATACCGAATATTCCGTTGGTGTTGATGGTTGAGTGTGAATGTGGGGCAAGCGCAGGGCCTTGGACCGCAGGCTCCTTAGAAAATGTACGGGTAATTAATTGTTGCATATCGGCTCTGCTTCACTTTTCGCTCACTTGATCCTCGCCTCCAACTTACATCCATCCCCGTCTCGACTCTTTTCGTACAGTTGTGTCTCGTCCAGCCTTCGACTCATGTCCCTCGAAATACCATAATTACACTCGCCGGCGTTTTCGTCTTCTGAGCTATACTCTGGCTCCCGTCAACGCAAACGGGGCATGCTAGAGCGGACTGCGGCATGCATTGAGCCAGCATCTCAACTTTTCCTTCGATGCATTGAACCCCCTGTTCGCACGCGGCGCGCACTCGGTCCTTCCTTCTGGAGAAATGGAGGAAACCATTTGGATGTCCCTCACTGGTGGCCACTATTTCTGGAAGGAATCCGAGCTTCGCGCCACAATGTAGCCGGCCTCGAATCTCCATTGCTTTGCCCTCGACCGGTGCGAATAGTTGCCCCCGATGAACATACCTCCCAATACCGCTCTCACTCTCTGAGACGTGATCGAAGCTCGAAAGCTCCCTGCTCACCTTCATCACGATCCTATGCCAGATCGAGCATCGTTGCCCAAAATGCCAGTGCGGCTCTCATGACTGAGAATGATGCGTCCCTCCAGACGAACAGTTCCGTGTTGGAAGTACACGCGGCTCAAGATGGCTCTGGGTCGAAAAGTAATGATATGGCAACAGCAGATACAGGAAATGGAATGGGAATGCCCTATCTCTCGAGCGGTTCCAGTCTGCCAGAGCGGCAGTTGCGCGAAATAATTGACGGAAATCGCGAGCCGAAGTCGACGCCAACGGGCGCAGCTCTCGATCGTGCTTGGATACTATTCAACCAAATCCGGGACCAACGTGCCTACGCCACCGATGTCTTCCACCTCTTGGCGCAGTCCGGCCGAAAGTTGGATCAAACACGGGCTCTTGGTGCGTTCAGACTTATCGACGAGGAGAGCAGAGCGTGTGGTGATTATGAGCGCGCGGTTCGAGTGGCTGTGCAACTGGACAACTACCGCGTTGCTCTTAATATCAATCATCGAGCCACACGGCGCAACTCGCACCGGGGCTGTAGTGTGTTCCTCCTACTTCATGCCGTCTCAAACCAACTCTGGAATACCGCCAACACAGTATGGAATACCTCTTTCAGATGGACCTCTTTTCAATTTAATCAAACATCACCAAATCGTGTTGCCCTTGTGAGGGAGGTAGGCAATTATCGCGACCTACCACTAGCAATACACCACTTGGGGTCTAGGCTGCGCGAACGGGCGCCGGTTATCATGCAGCATTCAGGGACGTTGCAAACGCTGTTCAACGAAGTCCTGGCAGCTTTGGTTCGAAATGGACAGCTCATGAGCATCATTACACCACAGGGGCTGCAAAATCTGTTTGACGTTTCATACCACCTGCGCCGGGCGGTGCCCTCGCTGTACCTCAGCGCTATCAATACCATCAACAAAACCACCATTCGGCCTGATAAAGGTCCGCTAGCTGATGCGGTGTACGCCAATCTTCGATCAAACTTTCCCGAGATTCCTCCGGGTCCTAGCACGTACGGTTCGCTTCTCTCCATCCATACCGAACAAGGAGCATCTGCGCAGGCATATATCCATTACCTGGATGAATTCGCGAAGTTCCATGGCGTGGCAGATAGAATGAGCTACCAGAAGGTACTGTCAGCCCTTGCTGCTCAAGGCGACATTGACGGTGTGCAAGAGGTGTTTCTACGCCTTTGCCAAGCCCATGGGCGTCCAACAGAGCCTGCGTTCTATACACCACTGTTGTACGTCTATGCACGTCTTGGTGACGTTTCAAGCACAGAACGAGAGCTCCAGACCATGGAACAGTTTGGGGTGAAACCAACAGCGTATGCCTGGAACATTCTGATCTATGCGCACGCGAGGTCCTCCCAGCCTGAGCAGGCTTTGCGGGTCTTAGATAGGATGCAGGCCGATGGAGTAACACCAGATGTATACACCTTTACGACGTTGATAGGCGTCTTCGCCAGAAATGGCGATACCGACGCAGTCCTCGATATCCTTGAGAAAGCGCAGCAAACCCAAATAAAGGGCTCATATGCCCTCATCACTGGTTTGGTACAATCATATTGTCTCAATGATCAAGCAGAAGCCGCAGAGAGGCTTGCAGCCGCGGCCACAACTGCTGCTCTTCGTGGAAACCCTACGACGATGTGGAACTATCTACTGAGGCACTATGCTTTCCTCGCGGAATCCAAGAGTATGCTCCGTGTTCAGCAACAGATGACTGTGCTCGGTGTTGATGCTGACGCCATGACCCATGCTGCCTTCATGACTGCTCTTGTGCTACTCGGCAAGACTCGGGATGCTGTGAAAATACTAAGGACCCTGAATATGAGCCAGACACTTGCTGCTACACCGTTTCATTATGCCATCATCCTTCATGGCTTTGCACAAGAAGGTGATAGGGATATGGCCAACGTCATCTATCAAGAACTCGTCGAGAGATTCCCCCGTCTCGGGGCCAGCCCTCGTCTTGCCATGCTACATCTGCAAGCTGGCAGGAACCCCATTGAGAACGAGCGACCAAAGTTTGCCGCTCAATATCTGGAAGAGATCCTTCATGGACTTTCGACAGAAGACCGAGCGAGTCGTCAACCACAGCCTGGGCTACGCCGCCGGCGGAACGTCGAGGCCATGCCATCTCTCTATGTAGAGTACTTTATCGACCTTCTCTTGACGAGAGGCCAAGTGAAACGCGCGGAACAGCTTGTCCAGCGATTTGAAGCCATGCATCAGTCGTCCTACTTGCATTTAAGCAGCAGTGCTTCCATGTCAATCCCGTTGCTATGTGCGCGATTGTCAGTGCAAGCCGAAAAGCAAGCGTGGGGTGATGTTGAGGCAACTTGGAGACTCACACTTGAGCGAGCCATCCAAGTAGGACGACCCTCTCGCATACGCGAACAAAAATCACTGCCTGAAATCAAGGAGAACGACAAGGGGCACACGCAGGAAGCCCTAGCATCTCTGCCACTGCAGCCCGTGGGACTGCCAGAAGATGGACTGGCCCCCAGCGACAACTTCACATTCGGCTCCATGATCCCAGAGAGCTCGTTGGATGCTTTCCCGCTGGACGAACCTGGTCTTGCAATCCTGTATTCGCAAAGACACATGCTCGAGGCCCCTCTCAGTCGTTACATGCACACTTTGGCTGCGAGGCAGCTCCAGAATTCTGCTATTACTCTGGTAGCCAAGATGGAGAAAGTAGGATTCGCGTTGACCAGTAAGAACTGGAACATGTACATTCAGATCCTGACGAGATCTGACGATCCGGAACACTGGCTGCTTGCTTACAAACTTTTTGAGAAGAAGATGATCGCCCATACTCCACCATGGCCAGTCCTGCAGCGTGGCAAATGGCTCCCGCCACAGGAATCAGAGGGTCTACCTTCGATCCCCGTGCTTCGCAAGGTGGTGGAGAAGCGAAACCCTGCGCAGCTGATGCCGAGTTATTACACTGCTGTCCATCTTGCCAGTGTCTTGCTCAAAGCCAACAGGCTTGCAGCGGAGGGTAACAATGCAATATATACGGCTATCTGGAAGAGAGCACCACTCACGTGCCGCTACATTCGTCGCATGCCTTACCTAAAGGACCGTATTCAAGGGCTCCTGCTGCGTAACAGGAAGAAGAGAATTCTACCACCCAGACGTCCTCGCCTACACACAACTCCTGACCGTTCTGGAGTGCTGGGCAGCAGATCGCCCACAGACCATGTGCCCGTCACGGAGCTAGTTGATCTGGAATCAGCACTCAAAATGGACGCCTCTGAGACAAAGACTTCTGCCGCAAATGCGAGGACCCGAGACGTTTACCGAGCCGAGCTCTACGAAGGGCAGATCCCCAGAACCCAGATCACGCGAGATGAGAAGCGAGCCCCGAAGATGGAAGCGGATTTCGACCGCCGCATTGAACGGAAGGAAGAAAAGCTGCTGCGGACATTGCAGCGGATGCGCAAGGATGTCTCGCTCTCGCGGACTGTAAGTGACATGTATATCGGTCATCCAACGATTCCGTCGAGTGTAAAATCGCTTCGCACTGGAAATCCACATCAAGCAAGGCAGACTCTATACGGCACGGAGTATCAGCGCTTGATTAAGGAAGCCCGGACAAAAAGGCTCTTCCGTGAGCATCGCAGAGCGGTATTGAGAAGAATCTTGCGCGAAGAGATCCCGAAGAAAAGGGCGGTAGGCAGGATTCAGGAACTCACAAATGCCTCGCCAGGACAGGCAACACCCCGGCTTGATTCAGACATAAGAGGGTAGATGGAAATGAGCGCCGAAGTAACGTCCGACGGAACTAGAGCAAAGATCTGACCAACACCAACCGCGAGCTGCCAACCAGACCCCTTTCGAGAAAACAGTACCTGCGCCTGAGAGAATGCCGGACGGACACATCAGTCTTCCACGCACGCAGGGCCGCTTGGACAGGCTTATGAGACGATGTGATAAAGGGAAACTGTCGACTGTCGGCGCCTCCAGCAGAGCGATCTGCGATCTGCTGGGGCCATGTAACATTGTGTAGGATATTACCGGACACGACCTGGGTACTACTGTGTAAGTAGCTTTGGCTTTAAGCTGTGACGCCGAGTATTCTGTACAACACTACGCGCTAATGATCAAGACTGCTTCGCATTTGCTTTCGTTGCTTCGACAATGCTGTAGAAGTCTAGCTTAAGCCTTTGGCCTGGGTGTTGAGTATCTCGAGGGTGGTTTAAAGAGGTAAGGCAACACTACGTACTCTGTACCTGATACAGGTCTCGAAGTTGCGGAACTGAGTAAATATGTAATGACATTGGAGGTTTACCCTTTTCCCTAGTGGTTTAGGCGGGGTTTCTCGCCAAGACTCTGTGTATTGATGTCACAAACAACGCTGTAATTCTTTGATGGTTCACTTCCAACGTCGACCAGCCTGACTTACATTTCAGTTCCCTCACACCCAGCGCGAGTACCTCGGGCAGCACGATTTCTGTACCCAGTCACTGGCTGCCGCAGGGTGAAGGAGACATTGACGAGCAGCGTCGGACTCTCATTTGTTCTTCAATATCCTGGTACACCGTCTTCTCGCTGCTGCAAGCGTAACCTGGTTTTTCGATGCCGGCACTGATGGTGTCAAGATGTTAATGCCCCTGCGGAAACGGCACCGTCGCGGAAGACAAGTCTCGGACTCAAGTGGCAGCGTATCGACCGGTCGCGGGAAACCCATGAAACATGCGTCCCTGCTGAAACCATCTCGCAAGACTCGAACCCAGCAGGCAGAACTAATACACAGACAACTGAATGCCGCCTCCCGCACTTACACACCTTCCACATTGGAATCTCTAGCGAATGAAATTCTCGAGCAGATCTTCTTTCACTGCTTGGAGCTGAATCTTCCTAGGGCTTCGCCATACCTCGCTAGAGGTTTGTCACGACGCCCGATTTACGTTGCTCTCGTATTGTTCGCCTACTATGAACCCGATTCAGCGCAGAGCCAAATCGAAACTGAGCACTTCCTGCCTGCTGCGTACCGAATAATCACTAGGGATGAACGTCTTCGACTGCAAGAGGGTATTCCTCGCTGCCGATGGTTCACCCTGGAGTTGTTTGAGTCATGTCTGCCCACACTAAGCCGGCTCGCGATGTTTGAATGTTGGCACCGTGAGAGACAGGAATTGGAGGCCAAGCTCGAACAAGAACCGGTCCACACCGGAACTGCAGCACGCTTTCCAAAACCAGCTTCTCCTTCACCAGTATTGAACGACAAGCTCGAAATGGAAAGCTATTACAAGGCGAGAAAGAGTTCATACAGCTTGGGGGATGAAAACAGCGGAACACATGGCATGGACACTGGCCATGGATATCAGGCGGCGCTGGGTCTCGGGGACATTTCAGAGCCCGTTGTCGGACCAGCGAACAAAGATGGCTATCTTCCCTTCATTGTGACACCTACTCCTCGGCATGAAGACGGAGGGTCTGCTGCATATGAAGGCCGGAGTATCCTCATTGTCCGTACTCTCCCAGTCCACATATTGCGAGGTGCTCCATGGACAGATGCGAAAATCAAATTGCTCCAATATTTCCGCCAGGGACTGCGCCATGAGCCCTTTGACCGGACTCTCTTCGTCTCCCCAAAGGCTTTGTTTGATGGCATGGCCGGTGCGATAGTGGAAGGAAACGAGAAGGCTCTGCTGGTATTGCTGGAACTGCATGCCACGGTCGTCAAGCGTCCTGCCCCAATCCGCAAGGATGTTGGATTCCAAGAGGAGCTAATCAGTCCCCCACTCAATGTGTTGCCACTCAGGTTATTCCACCTTGCTTGCAGGTTAAAGTCGTCGACGAGAATTATGTATTTGCTTCTTCGGGGCGGTGTTGAAAGCATTCCTTACGATGACGAAGCACTCACACGCTGGGCCATGCACACCAAAGCAGTGTCCTCGTCAGACGAAGATGTCACTATGGCACGATGGCTTTTAAAGTACATGGAAGAAACTGAATCCGCGAGCACGGGACCAGGTGACCGACTCTCACGACCTCGACATTCAACGACTGTCTCGCACGTGTACCGGACCCCAGACGGATTGACGTTCACCAAGGAGATCGGTTATATCTGCCTGGACTCGCCTACGTCGTCTCTATGGAGAATACATACGAAAGATGCACTTGGCGACAAATGACACTCATGTGCACGTCAAAATTCAATGCACAACACATTGTGCGGCTAGTCAACGGTTCGGTTCGAGACTTAAGTGGTTACAGCCGGGAATGACTAGAACTATTATTGCTCACGTAGTGCTGAGCAAAAGGAGCGCAGATAAATGATGTGTTGGTTGAACGGGCCTCGATTGTCCATAGCCGCCTTCTTCCAAATGCTCTCCAGTGCTTAAGGAAGTTCCCACTCTTGGACAGCAAATCTCAAGGCGTCGTCAGGCCGCTGACACTGTTATCGCCCTGGTGACTTCTACTTCAATCCAACCACCGATTGGCCACCGGCCTGGTCCAACCAGCAACTCATCTGTTCCGCTCCAATTTCATCCATATCTAGCCTGCCCAGAAACTTCCTTGAGTGATTCGGGAATCCGCATGGGGCGCCAAGCCGTCATGTCGAAGATGGAAGGTGCGCACACGAACCCAAAGACGGACTTCTCGGGCGTTGTTAAGGGGCAGACGTTGCAGCTATCCCCCGACAGGCAGGCGACATATGGCAGGTCTGGTTGAGCATGTCCTTGAGAATAAATTCACCCTAGTATCCAATCCTCGGGATAGGAGACAACTGCGGGGTATGAATGCTCACACCGGTGGTGGCCCAAGAGGAATGGTCTTCCTCTGGTTCTCGCCTCCAGGCCTGGTCCAATGTCCATACCATGTGTGGCAGGGTTTCGACTACCCCAGCTGAGATGCTAACGTGCGCCGCGTACCTAACATTCGGACATATCCCCCCACTTTGCCAGGAGGGAACGCCCCTCCACACCCATCGAATCGCAGGAGACCATGCGGGGTCAACGTCTTGGCCTCGCCTCGCCGGGACTTTAGTCTGTGATCTGAATCTCACGGTTTGGCGCTGTAGCGCCTTGCCGTCAGTCGGCGGTAGCCCAGGCCCGATAGGTTACAGGTCACACTGACAGCAGTCGTTTACTCACAGCACGTTACTACCCTATCCATCAGCAGCCGCTTGCGAGTCTTCACTAGGCAAACAGGCTGTATCGCACATCGTCTCGGGCCAGCGTTGTGGTCCTTGAGCCCGGGAGACGCATTGAGTTTCTTATCCGTGTTGAGATCCGAAAGATCGGCCGATTAGCTCTGATCTCGATTCAAGATCGACCTTCAACAGACCACGACTAAGGCGGCAGCCAGCACTACTGACCGAGTGGAAAAGGAGAAGCAGGAAAAGGGAGGGTTCTGCCGATAAAGCCGCACGTTTGGATGTCGACTGGCAGTGACTGGGTACCGGCAAGTGATTGCCACGGTCGCGTCGCTTAGTCGGGGACGAAGTAGTGACTCAGACGTCTTCAGCGTGAGAACAAGGGAAGGGCTGGCTGGCTGGCTGGCTACACGGTCCATTACCTTTGCTCCATGATCCACTCGCAATTACGATCATCGTTTACGAAACACAAACTACGACTCAAGCTTTCGAGCCTGTCATCTACGATGCTGCTTCTCGAACTTCCCAACGAAATACTGGCCCGAATCGTTACGTTCCACGACACAGCGAGTCCATTCGATGTCGGGTTGCTCGAAAAGCCGAAATCGGCACTTGGGCCACGAGAGACCAGTGATGGGATACGGTTGATGAGCGTTCCGGCAGGGTCGAACAGGCAGAACGCGCTGAAGAATCTCAGCTTGACGTGCCGGCTAATTCGTGCGGTCGCGCTTCCTGTCCTCTTCAAGCACGCCGTCCTCCATCCGCTATTGCTCAGCGACTTTCTGGCCTTCCTCAAGGAGCATAGCCTTGCGCACTATGTGTTGAGTGTGGTGGTCCACGTATCTGGGCACTATAATCACATCCACCCAGCGTGGTGGGCACGGCTATTGAACGAAGTTCCAGCAACACGCTTTAGCGTCATTGCGCCGCCCGAGGTTTTCGCCGAATTGGCCAGCATCCATTCGTGGAGCAACGACGCTTGGGCATTCGATATGCCGGTACAGGTGCTCAGATTCGATCAGAGTCTCGAAGCCGCGCGGACGAAGATCGACTACGACGACTTGCCGAACTTTCTGGTTGGGCGTCCGTGGGAGTGCATGGTGTACAACGAGGGGTCGAGCCTCTCTGCCTATACGACGTACGAATTCTTCCTGCGGCGGACGCCGTCGCTCCTGACCGCCCTCCACTTTAACAGTTCCGCGGCAGGGGATGCCCTGTTCGCAAACTTACTGCATTTCGACTTCATCGCCATTTTCCCCTTCTACAACCATGTGGACGAGGTGCTGAAGTGTATCCGGAAGATGAAAAGACTGCGCAGGCTGTTCGTCAAATTGTGCCCGGAACCTGGAAGTACCGCATTTGATGACGAGATGGAAGTCGCGGGTGGAGCGCTGGATGTCCATGATCCATGGAACGAGTGCGAGACATCCTGGATGCTGATCGCTCATACTGTCCTTTTCTTGACGGTTGAGGGCGAGCTGCAGGTGCTTCACATGGACGACGTTAAGGTTGAAGGTTTGAGACGGAATCTAGAAACGGCCCTTAATGATCGTCTCCACGAGCGGTGGCGGTATCTGGAACAAGGTTCCGGCATCTGGCACAGAAGCCTTGGCGCAGGCCAGTGGGAAGTCCGGGAATGAATCCCGCCTGATCGGGGCGCGTGCTTGGGCGTTGTGGGCGTGATGTGCGGATGGGCAGGCCGACTGCTTTCGGGGAATGCATTTCTCTCCTCATGATGTCAGTGGCTGGCAACGGCCATCGGTTTTTTCTATCGCGCCATCACAGATTGGGGAGGAGCCGAGATAAGCCACCCACGGATCCTTCACGTACTGTGTAAGCGAACCTGAAGCGGTAAAGTTGAGTCCGTGACCGGCCTTGGTCTTTCTACTCGTACTCGTTCTGTGTACGAGTACTGTGTACGGAGTAGGCTGCGAAGATGCCTTTGGGCAGATCTCAAGCGGCCTACGAAGTACCTTGACAGCCGAGATGGAACGTACGGGGCGACCAGGGACGCCAGATCAGTGATACCCGTTGTGCCCTCGATGGCGCCCTCGACTCGGGCACGGGTTGCGAGCATCGACAAGGCCGGAAATTTATCCCGCTCGATCTGCCGAACGTCCTAGTCAGATCCAATCATCGATGCCCTTAAGGGAACAGTTTTCCGGCCTGTCTCTCAGCTGCATGGTAGGTGCATGGCGCCCCGCTAGGATGCAGCACCACCTGGCGGGCGGTAGGCAGGCCGCCGCCACGGCCGCCAGTTGCCCCAAAGACACACCGATACGGCATAGGGGATCGCAGATGACAGACAAGCGGTGCTTCCGGTGGTCGGATTTCTGGGACTCGTCGTAGCCCTTGGCAGCACAGTGTCATGCCCGCTTGGTCCACCTTCTCGACATGCGTTACTTGCCCTATCAAATGGAGGGGGATGTACATCTCCAATGAACCCTGGGCGAACGCTTGTCGCGAAAGCCCGCACAGGGGTGCCTTGGGCCCCGTTTCCTGCTTTCCCATTTTGCGGTTCTTTGTTCGAACAGCTTTCCCATGCCAATCGAGGTAAACCAGGTTCGATCTCAGAGAGTCTATCTCGAGTGCAGGACAACCGCTCGATCGACGTTGGTGAAATCAGGTAACCGAGTGTTATTCAGCACCTTTTCCCTTTCCAGCGAAGTCGACGCCATTCAGGCCGAGGTTGAAGGTTCCGGGCGAAGCACCTCACTGGGCAGCCGCACAATGGACACTCACACATAGTGGAAAGATGCGAGCGTCGCCCGAGATATGCCTTCACCTCCAAAGCCGCCTAGCACTCGGCCATTAAAGCCAGCCAAGGAAGCCTCAGCCGTAAAGTCACCGTCGGCGAAGAAAAAGTCCTCAAGCGCCAGAGTCTCGGCAGCCTGTGAGGCATGCAAGAAGCGAAAAACCAAGTGCTCCGGAGGACCGTCACCTTGTCAGCTTTGCGAGACGCTCGGGACCGACTGTATCATCGACCTGTCTCTCGACATGAGACGCAAAGCGGCGTTTCAGCGGACGATTGATGAATCGAGGAATTATCAGGAAGCGCTGAATACTCTGCTTGATGCCATTCGCGAAGGACCGTCGCCGCGACTTGAGGCTCTGTTCGACTATGTTAGGAGTGGTGCCACCAACCAGGAGATCACGGTCGCAGTGCAACACCAGCTGAGCCGTCCCAGCGATGAAGATGGAGATGGGACCATGTTGTCACAGGCCGACGGCGTCGACTCGGTCCTTGAGGACACCAAACCTGGCAAGAGCCCAGCTGACATGTCCAGTTTTGGCTCCGATGCTGGCAGGGGCAGGCCAGCAGAGCCAGGGCTCATGCCAGTCTCGACATTGCTCTTCTCGCTGAAGAATTGTTCCGAGGCCCAAGGAGAGGCGCTCCTGCGACAATTCGTAGCGTTCAAGGCAGGAGGGAAAGCCAGCCTGCCGAGCCCGTTGGCAGATGGCAAAAGCTCCGGAGACGCAACAGGCCCCGGTACAAGTCCGCCGAGTGTAGCCGAACGTGCCACATGGCACCCAGTCCTGCACATACGATCACAAAGTAGTCGCGCTGAACCGCATCCACAGGTATAGCCTCCCTCATCTCCATTCCGGTGCAAAGTACGAGGAGAAAGGAGACGGACTCTGTGGCCGGGATTCCATAGCGCTAGCCTCGGGCGGTTTGACGCAGATCCTTTCTTTTTTCTTCCCTTTGCTGCTTGCACTGGGGATGACACGGCGACTGACGATTAGCAGTTCACGCACTTTGAGCCCCCGTCGAGACGGTTTTCCGAAGGGGGTCCGTCCCACATCGACCATTCCCAAACGCTCCACTCGGACTCTCCATCGCCTGCTACAGCCTCCTCGAGACAGAGCTCCCGATACCCAATGCTCAACACGGACATCTCGCTGAGTGCGTTGACGGTCGCGTCGTCACCGGCCACGCCGTACTTCGAGCTGGTCACCAACTTTCCGTCCGGTCAAGTGCGACAGAATGAGTGGGATCTGTGTGTGGCCCAGGAGGATCACGTCACGAGGCTCCGCATCCCCAGGCACCTCATCTTACCACTAGTAGTACCTGACGACTCACCGATGAGCCGGACGTACACCGACTACCTGTTCGGGGCTCGGCGCATGCTCGAAAGCGGAGTCCCGGCATCGGACGTCCTAGGCCACTCGGACCGCGTCGCGGTCGACCTGTTCTTCCGCCCTCGCCGGGCAAACGACAAGCTCGACTGCGCTTCATGGGCGTGCGAGGTGTCCCGCAGTTATGATACCGATGTCTTCGTTCGGCTGGCTACGGCGTGTTTGCTCACACATATGATGCGAGTGAGTCGAGTCCGAGAAATTTCCCCTGTCAGCATAGCTGATGTCTTCTGTGCAGTGGCATTTAGTACCTACGCAGGAGAATTATCAAAGAATCCCAGACATGATGAAGCCGACACCGACACAGTGCATGATCCCGCACATTGGTGCCATTGAGACGATACCCTTGTAGGTATTTCCCTCCCCCCGCTTACGTGCATCCTCGCACGGACAAGACTGACTCCGACGGGAATTAGACCTCCCGTGAGAGATGCGGCCACCAACAAACTCCGCGATTGGCTCACGCCGCTGATCGAGGCCGAATGGAGCGTCAATTGGCCTCACTCGGTCGAAATGGCCGTCGAGCGTGACTCGTCGACTGGCGGAACGGTATTGACGCAACGATTCCACGACCATGTGACTAGATACGACAACTGGAGTGTGGCGGGACGATTCCTAAGTGCGTTCCCCGAGGTCGCAGGCCAAATCAGGCTACACGAGGACGGGTGACGAAGCGAAAGCTTGTGAGCATGGTAAGACTGCGCGGACTGCACGGGACGATTCTGGATGCATTCCCATCCAGAGGTCGCAGGCCAAGTCATGCTACACGAGGACGGGTGACGAGGCTCGTGAGCGTGGTTGAGACTGCGCGGACGGAACTCCTCCCTTGCTTTTTGTCCGCAAATCCAAATATGTACGGAGTATTCGTACAGAGTACACAGCACAGCGCTCAGCATAGCGGTGGCTTCCGAGTCCTGCGCTGGCTAAAGGTGTGCGGTGCAGCACACATGCGATACCAAGAGACTCGGTGCATGGAATTCGTCACGCGGCCTGCGCGGATGGATGTGGCGCGTGATGGAACAGGGTCGAGCGCCACTCATGTGAACCTACGAGTGCACGTTGTGCAGAAATGGTTGCCTCCATCAAGAGGAATAGGACTAATCCACCACTCCATGGAAACACGCAGTACGTACTGTATGGGAAAGTTGGGAGGGTGGAAGGCAGAGAAAAAGGAACCACGTGGATGACACCATCCACACCACTGCAAACGATACGCAAGTGGGAGTGAAGCAAAGGGACGGAGTACACGCACAGTACGGTGTACACAAAACGAAGACATTGTAAAATGGGGATCGTGTACGTACGTACAGAGCACACTGTTCAACTTTCAAGATCTCGTTACAGATCAGAGCCGAAATGAGCCAGCCACCAGCGCCGTGCTTGGTGAAAAGTACCGTGCTCGGAACAAATGAGAAATTGGGACCCAGGGTCAGGTCCCGCGTCTCTACAGCGAGAACACCTTGAACGGTCTCGAGAACGGTACGAAGTACTGTAGACGCGTAGACGCCCACCCACACGCGGAACGTGAGGCGGATGACCTGTGCCTCGTCATGCGACCTTCAGCACGACCGTACCTAATTACGAGGTGCTGTATGTGGTAATTACTTCGTACACCAGCGAGCAGTCGCACTCTGGAACAACGTTTCTCCGATCCTACCCACGTGCTCGATGGTGGCGCTTATGGCCGCTTGTGGCGTCGACTTTGTACGGAGTATGTACGTGGCGTGCGCAACCTCTGGCAGCCACGCAGCCACGCGTCCACGCACTCGCACGCACGCACGCACGCGGCAGGCGAAAAGACCTTGCATCCACTGCGAGTACTGTGTATTGTGTATTGCATTGCGTTGCGTTGCGTTGAGTTGCGTTGCGTTGCGTTTGACCACGTCGCCCGCACAGCACAGCGCACAGAGACCCTGAATCTCAAGCCTCGACCCCTCGGCATACACAGTGATTACTTGGCCGTGATTCCTTGGTGTCTCGCACCGTTGTTCCGTCACCTTCGTCGCGTCGACTGGCTGAGCTGAGTGAATGGCCGGTTGACTGCCGCTGGCTAGTTAGTGGTGGCGAGCAACGCGTGGTCTCAAAAAAAGGAAACAAGATGAAACGACAGGGCTACAAGAAGCGCGGCGTAGTATAATTACGGAATAGTCAGTGCTCGTAGCCTGGACCAGTGCGTTTCTGATCATGGTTGTCTCTTGGCTGAATCGTTGGTGGTGGTGGTGAGTGAGTGAGTGAGTGAGTGGTACGTTATCCTAGGTACCTACCTAGGTACTGTAGTATTAAGCGAGTGGTGAGACGTGCCTTGTATTACATGCTTTTGTGTCTAAGTGTGCAGCAGCGGATACGGCCGCCTGACTACACTATGTACCAGGTACGTACCCTAGGTCTGTCCAGTTCAAGAGTCGGAGTAATCACTGTACCTACCCAGTCCGAAGTGTAGAGCACGAGGTGGAACTGTACGCTGTATATAGTAGTTGAGCCAGGCTCCGCTGGGTAGATTAGGCTACTGGGGTATACCTACATAGGATGTTGCTTCTGCCTGGAAGAATGGACTCTGAAGTCGAGTCTTGGACCTGGGACCTGGGACCTGGGACCTGGAATCTTGGATCTTACGTCTTGATGTTCCGAAATACCCTTGTAAGTCGTAACCCCGACGGCCGAGTCCAGCATGAAGATCCTGTGTACTGACTCACGTCCGCGGTTGGTCACCGACAACGAGGCGGACGGGTACAGATAATGGCATATTCAAAGTGCTTATTAATCCCAGGTGTTTAATAGTGTCCTCCGAATGAGTGAGTACTACTGTACTCTACTTGCTATGAATAAGAGCAGAGACAGTCCTATACCAGTACTGCGTATATATGGACATGGGGGATATCTGTCCAAGTCTAGCATTATACAAACGTACAAGATACATATGTGAGCGCGTGTGCGCGCGTATGTGAATGTGTGAGTGGGTGTTGTGGTATCATCGAGCATTAAATATTCATCCCGTCCGTCCCGTCCATATCCTCGTGCATCTTCCGTACGCTGCGCAACGCCGATAGCGCCAAGCAAAGGCAGCGATGGCAAAATCAAATGTCAAATGTCACATGACTCCTCGTTCACCCAACGCCACTCCCAGGCATCCGGCTCTGCTGCTGCTGCTGCTGCATGTGATAGATGGCCTGCGGTGGCAACGAGCGGAGCAGGTTCTGGAGGCGATGAATCTCGGTGGCTTGCCTGCGGATGAATTCCTCCTTTTGCCGGATCTCTTCCCTGAGGTGGCTCACCAATTGGCTCTCGGGGTTTCCCACTACCATGTTGTTGTCCATAGTCTGTGCCTGTGCCTGTGGTACCATGCTGCTGCCTAATTGCTGCTGCTGCTGCTGGTGTTGCTTCTGTTGCTGCAGTCCCTGTCCCTGCACTTCTGCTGTCGCAGTGGAGGAGATCCTCCGTCGCTTCGCAGCAGGTGGTTCTTCTGTCGCCTCTGCCTCATGGTCTGACAGTTCCTCCAGGTGTCGGCGCCGCTTGTGCTCCTCGAGGTTCTCCTTGCGGGTGAAGCCCGTGCCGCTGCTGCGATTACAGTTGGGGAACGGACAGAACAAGGGCTGCTTGGTCGAGAGGTGCATCTTGTGGACTTCGCGCTGATGCCTCAAAAGGCCGCCCGAGTAGGTGAAGCCGGGGTTGAGCTCGCATCCGGACTCGCGACACTTATACGGCCGCTCGTGGCGATCCATGTGCTTGTTCCATTCGCAGACTCGCTTGAACGTCGGGGAATTCTTGCCGCGGCAGTTGACGTGGTCGCAGAACATTTGGCCGTGGTCGTTGCGCGGCGGCGATCTCGTCCGCCGGAAGGCTCCTTGGACGGTCACCTTCGTGGGCTCGGCCAGCGCCAGCGACGGCGGCGCAACAAGCTCATCTGCCATGTTGACTATGTGCGTCGTCTTTTCGGTTGTGGTGGATATGTATGATGCTGGGTCAGTGTCGCTTGGAGGCGAGACGGGATAGCTAATATCTCTCATGATCATGTTGATGGCAGTACTGGGTGGATGAGTTCTTTGTCCTGGTGAAAGAGCGACGCCAACAGGTCAAGCGGCCGACATGGCAGGGAGGTACCGTTGGCCTAAAGTTATATGGACAGGCATGCAAGATCGGGTGCCTGCAAGGCTGTGTACCGTCACGAAACGTAGGCCGGCACTCTGTAGGCTAAAGTACACGCTAGACGCCGCGCAGTGGTGGTATGTGGCCTTTCGATTAGCGACCGCTCGTATGAGCAGCGAGTCATGCGCCACAACAGGCAAATCAGGCCGAGAGGACCTCTCGCAAGCAACGGCTGGCGAAAAGAAGGACGGCACATATATGGTCGGTGAATCACAGGGCCAGCTTATCCATCAGCCGGGGGTGGTGCCTGCCTGCCTGACTGACGTGGGAGCCTTGAGAGGGTGTCATGCCAGTTTGGGTCGCAAACCGTGTGCGATTTGCCCCCTCCCCGTTTCGGCTTTCACATGACGAGTGCGTGCGAGTGCTGGGTGCTCGTGGTGCTTGTGGTGCTCGCCTCAGGATCCGCTGATGACTCACCTATTTTGGGTCCAGAAGCGTCCGACGGTGCAATGGTTACCACAGCACGGTACGAAGCAAAAGTTCCCCAGCCGTGGCGCCATACAGTCTATCGTTGGATGTGGTTGACTGCTGTGACTTTCGGCGGGAGGTACATACCAAGGCAGACACGACACGCAGTGTGGCAAAGCGTACGAGTATTGGGTACCGAGGCTCCAGTAGTGCGTGTTAAGAGAATGGCAAGAGTGGCAGGCAGCGAATCGAGGTCAGTGCCTCCGTCCGCATCGGCCGCACCTGCGATTGGCCCGGTGGCATGAAGCCTATTCCGGTCGGTACGAGTACAGTATCTGTCAAAGAAGCGGACACCGCGCTCCGCCCTTTTGCGTTGCGAGCTGGGCAAGGATTGTTTTTCGAGTGACCCAATCGTAAGCTCGATATGTCTGAGAGCTTCCCGACGCGGATGAAGGATTCGACTCTTATGCTAACGTGGGATCAGCCCGAGATCAGTCATCCAACGCTAGGTCTAGGAATGGGGGCGAATTTTTGCAACACCGTAGTGAGGCGCAGGCGGGCTGATCTGCCCGAGGCACCCGGAGAGGCCGGGCATCATATAAAGCGCATGACCCGAGCACCGGGCCACGAAGCCCTCACGCGCTCGGCATGTTTCATGATCAAGTTGTCATCGGGCTTGGAGAAGACATGATCGTGCGGGTGCACGGAGGAGGGAGGACGTCAAGATATCCAGCCGATCCATGCACGTAGCCGGCCTTGCTTACAGCATGCCATGCAGTCTCTCCATGTCCTTGTCCGCCTTAGTCTGCATTTTGACAAACGCCACCTGCGTGGCTGATGCAGTAGTGACCATCGACCATCTGGGTTGCCATGATATATATGCTAAAATGATTCCATATCGCTGTTGCCGCTCTGCGAGGACCAGAATCTGATCTCCCGGCAGATGCAGCTCGGGGGATGCAGCTTCTCACCAGGGCGCTGTGGGAGTCATGGCGGAGGCCTCTCTCGCCCCACGCTGTGAGACGTGTCTCGCTCCCTAAATATAGCCTTAGGCACCATTGCCTATTGCCTATGTCAACACGCAGACGTACTACTACCGCAGTGTCCCAAGTTGTCCGCAGGATCCCAATCCTGGAGGTAAGCAGTCTCATCGCTGGAGGACGTCTTACCTGCCGACTTCGCTGTCTGCGTCCACGCGGACTTTGGACGGCGATTGCTTCCGTGGGATCCGGTCTTGACAGCAACGGTATTTTAAAAGCTCCAGAAGTCCCTTGGGTTGTTTCGGTCGCCGTGGCTGGCTGCTTGCGATGCGATACTGAAAGCCGAGCTTTGCAAGTCGTTTCGAGGCCCCGTCGCCCTGCTAGAAGCCTATAGGGAAGGAGCCTGCGCACTGCGAACCCGAGATCCAGTGAGAAGAATTTGGTAGGACAACTCAATCCCCGAATCACCCAGCACAGAACGGCCCACATTTGGGATCCTTGGTCAATCTAGACCTCCACGTCCAATCGGCTGCCTATGAAGAAAGGTATCACAAAGGAGCCTCAGAGGCTGCGTCACTGGGCTCGCTGTGCACACAAGAAGAGTGCTGGAATGAAGCAACAAAAGCCCACGTGCCATCAGCGCAAATAATGAACCTTTCGTCTACTATCACAGAGGCGCAGAGGCGCAGAGTCCTGGGCAGCAGACACTATTCCTCAAACTTTCTTGGTGCGAGGTCCTCCTATCAGACTGCGCCACGCTTGCTGACGACAGCCAGCTCATTTTGCACACTTAGATTTCAGATTTTCGTGCTCATACCCAATCCCAGATACCATCCATGCAGGAGGCGCAAGAGATATTCATGGGCTGGACACGACGTACGTGGCTGGCTGGTGGACCCCCCTGCCCTACGCCTTGCTTGGTCGCATCGCCCAAACAAAGCAATCCAACGAATTCGTGCAGGTCAACTGAAGTTGACTTTCAACAAAGACACGGTCTTTCAGCAATGGCAATCACGGTGCAGGTTGGACATGAGGGACTACGCAATGGTTGCTGGGCACTCGGTGCCGCTTCTGGCTCTTGTCATACGCACGGGACCATTATCAAGGGAGCCGGTCTCGACCGACTGTTGAAACGAGGCAACTCTACGGTTCCAGTGTCGACTGTCGAACATGACGACTTCATCGCCGGGTAAAATTCGCAGGTCAGTGGCTAGCGGAGCCATACAATGTCTTCGGGTAGCGCAGTGGCTGGGCATGGGCAGTCTGAGCTCGACACCTCAACCAAGTTGTCAGCACACGGAGACCGTTCAAATATGTCGGGCAAAAAGGTTTGATATCAGAATTCTTAGTTAATCACAGGCTGCATGGAGCCCAGCTGGCTGCGGGACTGGTGCCCGTACTGCACGCGCAGCAATGCATGCCAAACAGGATAAGAATATCAAGGTCAAAGTAGAAACCACTTCATACGCCAGTCATGACTTGCTGGACCCTGGGATACACATGCACCAGCCGCTCCCAAAACTCCGGATGGTCAGTCATGGCGACTTGCGGATCCCAAGCCATGGCGACGAAGATGGTGTCGATTCCGGAACCGATGGGGGTGGTAAACGTTTGACATATCTGCAGTCCAACCAAGAAAGCAAATGCCATGATGACAGGCGTGAATGTTCTGCTGTCGTTGTAGGCTGGTTGAGTGTACTCCAGGTACAAATAGGCCAGGAGAGCGGAGAGGTAAGCGACGAACACCGATCCCATGGTCAGCACGGGTCCCACGAGACAGTCGTTCACCAACGCATCCACTCCGCGGTCTCTCATCATCGTCCAAGTATCTTTGGCCGCCGGGATATATGCTTTTCCGTACAGAGCGATGTGAGAGAATGCGTATCTGTTGATGAACTGGACGGCCCAGTCCAGGATCCCAATAAAACAGCCGAGGATGCAGAACATGATCGTGCCAATGATGTTGCCCTCGGCAGCTTCCTGCTGTTGGGCGATGCTGCAGGCTTGACGAAGCATGTTGATTAGAGCAACAATCAAGCTGCCGAAAGAGATGGAACCGAAGGAATAAGTCGTGGCTCGCCTAAAGGCTCCGGCTGTGGCACCGCGAGGAATGCCGCCTGGTTTACCTGCACAAAAGTACCAGGAACCGTAAACTCCAGCGACGGTGGTGTGGATTGTGTTCTTCATCCATTCCGAGATCCAATACCCTGCAAATGTGACAAACACCACCAGGCCGATGACTTTGCCACTTGAGCAACCTGCTGATCCGCACGACGGATTGCTAGTGCTGCCCGAATTACTGGGCATGTATGAGGTATAAATGGCGACCAGTGTCACAGAGAACCAGGCGGCAAATGCCACGCTAGCAAGTCCTCCGACGAGACTGACCCAGAACACGTGCACTCTTTTCATTCTCGCGATATCCATTGCCTGTTGCAGCATGACCACAGCGAAGGGGATGCGCGGGATCCAGCTGATGAAACAAATCACAGCAAAGACGGCGAAGATTGCGAAGACAATACCCGCTCCCCACAAACGCCGGTACAGGTAGTAGACAGCAGTTGCGATGGCCAAGGCACAGTTCAGGATGCCTGTCAGCCATACGAATTGTTTGGTAAAGGCCCGAGCGGCCAGAAAATAGGCCCATGAGAAGACCAGTCCGACGCACAGGACGAAAGCGAAGAGAACGATGGTGTTGGTGTCCAGGGAGAAATCGTTGTTGCTTCCATAGATTCCCCCGCCATTGAACGTGTGGTACTTGGAATATCGATAGAGGGTAAGCCCGGAGACGGCGACGAAACCGCAGAAGGTTGCAATAAACTGTATGCATTTGATTAGCGCCAGCACCTTCCGAACTAGATCTCAGTGTCCGTGGGCTCACCAGCAGTCCGGCCCACAGATCATTGAATTCGGGCTTCTGAATTTTGAACGTCTCCTGGAAGCTCTGCTTGTCGTCTTGAGGCGGAACGAAATTCTGACCATAAGTAGGGGGCTGTACGCCGTACTTGGCCTCAGGCGGTGGATATGGCTGCTGGGGCGGCATGTAAGGCTGTCCATAGCCCTGCGGAGGCCCACTAGGAGGAGGATATTGTTGATAGCCCGTCTGCTGATATTGAGCGCCATCCATATTCTGGTTGTAGTAATCCGCTGCTTGACCTTGGTGAGCCATGACTGCGACGCGCGTCGAGTCTCGAGGACGGTGCGCTGAGGGCGTCCCCAGGGCACGAGTAAACAAATGCCTGTTCACTAATTATCAGTGCAGGCGTCGGAGAGAAGCGCAGCTGTAAGACATGCGGTTGAAGAGAGACAGAGGGAAGAATTGAACCACGAGAATCCGGCGCGAAATTTGTTGCGCAACAATGATGTCGACATGGAAGGACAGACGCAATTTGTGAATTTGTGTTTTGCGGGAAGGTTCAGCTTGCCATGGACCTGCCCGGCGCTGCAGAGACACGCCCGAACCGGCCGCGGGCGTCCATCATTGGGCACCCTGCTGGGCTCCCCCACCTGGAAGACCGGGGGCAGCCTCGCTAACGACGCCATCATCTTGAGCTTAAGCCAGTCGCTTCTTGCGCCCATCCAGTTAAAGCCCGCCGCGAAGCTCCACGGTTCAGACAGCCGAGCAGACCAAGATCGCCCACTGTCAGACATACACCCACAGGTTCCTGTCGCTCTCCATCTGTGCCATCTTGTCAGTTCGGGACTTTGCTCGTCGGGTCAGACTGGCTTGATCTCCACTTCCCTGCCGCTGTCGTCATGACCTTAACTGCCTCTTTCCTCCGACGAGACAGCTTCGATCTTCCAGCCATGTGCATCCTCACAGATCATTGCTCCTCCCTTGAGAGCAGCTGCGGCCGTCGACTCCGAAGTTGACGAATACTGACGATGGGAAGGTTGAGGGCAGCAGAGTGTCTCTTGGTCGCCTTGCTGGCTGTCTCTTGTCTTCCAATATCGACAGTCGCTCTCTGTCTCAATTATCTGTATCTGTTCCTTTTCGGTCGCAACTCCATTCACAAACGACTCAGAAATGTGACCGGCTTCAAGCCCAAGACCATTCTGATCACCGGAGTCAACACGCCCCATGGGTTGAAATTGGCAAGAGCTTTTCATTACACTGGTCACAGAGTTGTGGGTGCGGATTACGAGCCTGGGCCGCTCCCGCTTCAGGTTCGGTTTTCGAATGCGTTGAGCCAATTTCACAAATTGCCAGGTGAGACGCCGGGATCGCAGGAGGATGGATACGTGGCGCGTGTGGTGCACATGGTCGAGCATGAGGGTGCCGACTTGTGGATCAACTGCTCAAACAGTGCAATCCACGGCATGGAGGCGCAAGCAAGCGATGCGGTCGAACAGCATACTAAGTGCCAATGCTTCGCGCTGCGGACGAAAAACATGCCGTACTTTGCCAGTCGAGAGGCATTTCTCAAGTACTTGGCGAGTCAGGGACTGCCTGTTCCAGAGTCATATCAGGTCACTTCGCGAGCTGAGATACACAAAGTGCTAAGTAAAGCACGAGGGAGCCGCAGATACCTCCTCGAGAGCCTCGACCAAGAGGGAGTCAATGCCAACATAGCCAGGACGATGCTTCCGAGCAGGACCATCAGCCAGACGTATGACACTGTCTCACGTATAACCATCGCCAATACTACGCCCTGGAAACTGGAACAGGACATCAACGGATTGGAAAGATACTCCACGTTTGCGATTATTGTCAAAGGCTCGGTAAGGGCTTTTGTCGCCAGCCGCTCTCTACGACCCGGCTGCTATCAAGTGTTGGACTCGAAGTCCGCTCTGCATCATGCCATGTTACGCTTCGTTCACACGTTTGCACGTAAACAAGGCCCTGAGTTCACCACTCATCTCGGCTTCGAGTTCTGTGTCGATGAGCAAGCTACTGAATCGGGCGTGTTTCAATCCATCCTGCCGGTTCAAGTCTCCATTGGCGCTAACGCCGCTATGCAGCTGTTCTACGGAATGGGTGGCTCAGTCCCATTGGCCAGAGCCTATCTATCGCTCTTTGCTGCTGAGGAGGTCAACACCAATGGAAGGATCACGAGGCCAACGCCAGCTATTATACAACAAGAAGTGCTACCGGATGACGTAGCAATTCCCGATACGGGGATGCCTGGAATCTATGATCTTGGTCAGGATTTGCTCGACTTGTGCCTCGAGCCATTGCGCGACTTCTTCATGTTCAGGAGCAGCCTGATCGAGTTGATGAGACACATATTTGAGCTTCTTAGCCACTTGATCCTCTGGAGAGAAAATACATACGACTTCCAGGACCCTTTGCCTTTCTGGGTGTCCTACCAAGTATATGTTCCGCTGCGCCTCATCAGAAGTACCCTATTTCCAGACAACAAGCAGCCCGGTTGATGGTTCAAGGCGCACGATAACAGCACTCTTCCGACATTGAGCATCTCCGAGAGCGGACCACGGCTTACCGGATGAGAGCGGCACCAAAGCTTCGTCTGCCGCAGTCTAACTCGGGATTTGAGATATGCATCCAGTGGCTGATTTGACAGGTACAACTGGTGAACTGGCCAGAACGACCAATGAGACATCTTCAGCTGCACGTACCCAGGATTGACCGATGTTGCCTTGAGCGAGAGCGATGTTACCAGGAAAGGATTTGGCTGTAAGCTCCCCTGCCTTGGGAGGCCTGCCACCAGTGCCACAAGGCACGCCTAAGTACCAGCTGTGGAAAGTTGAGAGCCTGCCATGATGACTTGTCACCCTGCTTCGCTCAACGCCATGTCGGTATTGCTACAGAAAGGGCAAGTGTTCGTGACTGCTCAAGATTGTAGCCATTGCGGCGGCTTGCTGAAGATGGGCACTTTCACGTCAAATCCTCAGTGACGCTGGAAGCGCACATGGTGTCGGAAGGGAAACTCCAGCCGTGCAGAAAGCCGTCGGCACAATCTGCTCTTCCAGAGTTTAAAAGGTAGCAAGTTTGACCAAAGAAGCTACGGAACACCCGGGCTGGAATAGGGATGAGGGCAGTCGTCCTCATCCACATGGAGGCAAGCGTGGGGAAACTCAACTGACCACTTCCTCTTTGGAGGCTTCAACTCTAAACTAGAGAAGCCCTGGGACTAAGGGAGCTTGTGACTGGTGGCCGTCGACTCGTTGTCGCCATCCTGCATACGTTGCGAGCGTTACGGATAGACGGATGTAGCATCTAGAGATTTGAGCTGTGACCTACTGTAGCAGCTTGTGCATTTGCAACATTGCTCAGCTCGCTTGACAGGAAAGGACGCCAAGCGACGGGGGTCGAAGGGCACCAACGGACCGTTCCAAGCTCCTTCCTTTTTCACAAGGGTCAACATGGCCCCGACCCAGTCGGGGAACCGACCCTCCGATGCGACGCAGGAACAAGGCTCGTTGAGCAGTCCATGCTACTGTGACAGCGTCGTAGCATACATTACAGAACAGCCCGCACACTGGGCACTCGGGGTTCTCTACTCTACCTCGTACTGAGGTGACCAACAAGCGAAAGCATCTCGCATGGTGCATATGCCTTTGCCGAAACCAGCAAACTCGAGGCAGATCTCATAGCCCTAGTGCCAGAAGGGGTTGCTGTTCGAGGGGATCTTGACTCAAAAGTCAATCCAAGTCCACGTCTAACCCCAACTACGAAACGCCAGGAACCCCAGAAAACTCCCATCTGGGTCAGGCAGTCCACGTGTGGACTGGGCCGTCAGGGACAAGGTTGCCGAATAGCCCGAGTCGGCTAAAAGCCTAACATGCACTTGACCGATACAGGAGAGGCTAGGGAGCTTTTGGGTAAGGTCATTCAGCTGTTAGTCGACCAAGCCGCAGGGTAGCGTCACAGGGGTCGATGGTGCAATCTTCATCTCGGGCGCCTCAATGCCGAGAGGTTGTCATGAAGCCCGAGAAGTGGCCTGTGCGCGGGATCGTGTCCTACAGAGTCAAAAGAGTCTAGGCTTGCGCCTCTCGCCTCTTTGTCTTGCGGGGTCAATCGTCGGACCCCCTGCATTACCTTCCAGAATGGACGGGACACCGTCAAGACCTGGAAAACAGTCAAGTAAGTTACGTGATAGTGTTTGTTAGTCTCAGCCAAAGCTTGTAGCCGGCGCAGCCAATGGTTGGCCATGGTGAATGTCAAATGATCCGTCGAGACTAAGACAAGAGAGCCCTGGTACCTCGTAGAAGGAGGGCTGGAAAACGACAAGGCAATAGGGCGGAAGACTGCGCCCACTGTACTGAGTACAGCCGGAGTGACAGCTGGGCTCGCTCCGGCTAGGTATCTCCAGCTTCCCATTCCAATCCAGAGAGATATGCGAAGGTACAGAGTATTGAACCGCCTGAAGGATTACCACAATCCTGGTACGATACTCGACACACGAACTCCGGAGCACTTCCGTGACCTGATCGATCGATTGCGCCAGGGTCTACTGCCTAACCTGGCTACCGTAAGGGGAAGTCACCCTCCTGCCCGATCCGACTACTGTGGTACGTCCCGTCCTGTGTACTAATGACGCATGGATCGCGCTGGGGTCAAGAACAAAGTCAATAGCGTGCACATCGCCTCTCACTCGGTAGTTAGTGCATTGCAGCGCCACCAGCTACCACCGAAACACACTTCCACACGCCTGGAGTTTGTATCAGATCAAGGCCATGGCAGGCAGGGAGACAATCAAACTTTCGTCACGAATTTTGTGCTCCATGGTAGGTGGTCCGGTCCTGCTGCATGGTTGACACACTTGACAGCCGTGAGAGACACGGGAGAAACGGGGAAAACGTGAACAGTACCGAGTAAGTACCAGCACACTAACCACCTGGAAACCAACGCTGTGGAGCTGTCAGAGATTATACTTTGCACCACAATCCGTACACAATCCGCGGTGATATCATACGTTCTCCGTGTGGCTGTTCCACCTAGGTACTAAGCCAACGGAAATGCAGCCCGGAGAGAGATCTTCTAGCGGTACGAGTACTGGTTACTTACCTTGACCAGGACCGAGTATGCCATTATGGTTAATGGACGCAATAGTGTGCAATTACAAGCGAGCACTCCACCGCAGGAGGTGCATCACAGTATCCATATCCCAGTACTCGCACGAGTAGCTCCGGAAAGCAGATCCAGATCTAGATCAGATGAGATCAGATCAGATCAAGTGGATCGGCTGGGATGGGATCACACCAGACAGCGAGTACGAGGTAAGGATCATCATCAACCAGCTCAACCCAACTCCATCACTTTCACTTCGCACCACATCACATCACTTCTAGCCGGACTCGGACAACTCCCTACGAGATACATAGTACATCGATCTGGATCTTAGATCCGTGCGGTCCATGCGATGCGTGTTCCACACTAACTATGTGCAGTAGGTGGTTACACGCTCCACCCACACGTACCTAGGTACATATATACAGCCCAGTACATAGTCCGTACCTGCTTTGCCTACCCATTTGCAGTAATCCCCTGCGAGTTACTCTCTGCACGGGCAGATCGCTAACCACGGTGGATGGTCCCCCTAATTTACCTCCGGGAAGGCTTGGAGATACGTACATGAAATACGCGATGGGCAAAAAAGGCGATGAGTACTCCGTACGTTTGCGCCGTACTTGATATTCTGAGAGACTGGCTTGTGAGTGGGCACGAGTAACGGGTCCATACTCCCCATTGTACGCGGAGGAACGAGCCGCGGCTCAACACCCCGGCACAAGGCATACGGCATGGGGCATACGGTATACCACGGTGCGAGAGCTACTAACAGTAGCTCATACGCGTGATGGAGCCTCAAAGCGTGATCACAGCCAGCCGCACTCCCTGGGATGATCACCCATCCACCTTCGTTCCGTTGCAGTGGTCACGGTCCTGGTCCTGGTCCGGGTCACACCATGGTCAGGAAATGACTTCCATGAGCAAATCGAGCAAAGCAGAGTCAAGCGCCGTCAGTGTTGCGTGATCATGGCCCGGAAATGACTTCCATGAGCAGCGCGCGATGCGGAGCACAGCAAGCTGCGTACGGCCAGTGTAATGCGTCTGATTGATTGATTGATTGATTGATTGATTGATGGATTGATCGATGGAGGACTCCGAACTTGGTTTGGCTTGGATTTTGACTTTTCATGCACGATGGGTTCCCACGACTCCTTGCGAGTCAGTCAGTAGGGTAGCTCGTCCTCGGCCATGGTCACGGTCGTGGTCCTGGTCCTGGAACCTCCTTGTACGGACGAACTGATGCGCGAAAAATCATTCGGATCGTATCGCCGTGAGATAAAGATGCTGTACTTAACCTTATCGTCCAGATACTCCGCGTGGCAGGTGATGTGATTTGATCAGATAGAGACACAGACACAGACACAGCGCGCCAGGCATGAAATTCTAGCCTCGCACCCACCTCGTCACACGGTATCATTGGAGAAGCGTCCTGGGCGGGGCGGAGATTGTTTCCGGAAGGTACCCGCACCATTCGTACGAGGTACTGTTGGAGTGGGAGTAGGATCAGGAGTAGTGAGAGGAGAAAGGAGTAGCCAGTGCAGTAGGTACTCTGTCTTCCTAGAAGAAGTACTATGTACTGAGTATGGTACTGTAAGGTCGATGCGAGACGGGGATCAGAGTGTGGGTGGGGTCACGGATGTTAGATACGGGTACTCCATACTAACTACCTAGGTACGAGTTAGGTAGTCTCCAGCGATATCGAACATGGGTGTAGCTCCCGCCAGCAAAGATAAGGATGAGCGAGCGGGTGGCGCGTGGAGGGGCCACAGGAGGTGGGTGAGAGCACTGAGGCCACCCAGAGGCGGCACGGAAATCCAAGATAGAGTAGGTACTCCTTACTGTACACAGGATGCTCAATGTAGATATCAGGTACTGGAGGGTTTGTGCGCACAGGGCAGGTTGATTCTTCTCGGAATCCTGCCCCGTCGAATGTTTTCTCAATTTGTTCTGTTCTGTTCTGTTCTGTGCTGTTCTGTCTTCTGAAGCCCCCTTGGGACCATATGATAGATACTCCGTACCGCATACTGGATGCTGCTATTGCGAACATAAGAAAAATGAGGAGAGTGCTGTGCTCCTGGTTGGACCCATTCGTTCCCCCGCCTGTCACATAACATGGTAATAGAGAAAATCGAAGTGAAGGTAGTGGTTCTCATCGCCGTACCTCATCTCACCCGTCCTGTATCCAAAGTGACCCAAACACCAGAGCCTTGAACCATGCAGTCCAGTCAGTGATGGTAACATGTTGGTATCACAACAAGAGTCGAGTCCATGAATCCCAAGTCCCAACCCAAGGACACCATCAGTGAGCGCCCAACGTGTTCTAAATGCTTGGCTTTGATGCAATGCATGGAAGCAATCAAATGAACAGCAATAACAAGATCCATCATGTAAGGCAACACAGTCCATGAAGCCCTCTTCCCGTGGGGCATGATTGCAATATCGCCATTTTTCCAAACCCCTTCCAATTCTTGGAGCCAATGTGGAAATGCAAAGAACTTTTGTGAAACACCCGCTAGACACGCATAGAACAAGACAGGATTAAAAATGAGGGCATTCAAAATCCGGCTCCCTCCGATAAGGGCCCCCTTTCGTCGACCTCGTGTTTCGTCAAAAATTCGTGGTGGCTGTGATCAAAGTATGGCTCAAGATGCCCGACAGGATGTCTTCGTGTCCTCGTTGCTCTGCATCGAGACTCTTCTCTTCAGGGTCCTTGTCTGGTCGAATGATCCCACGTAGTTCTTGAGGTCGTTCTGGGCTTGTTCAGACAGTTTCGGACTGACAGGCCGTGAGGACACGGTCGAGAGCGAGTTCGAGGATACAGTACGGTGTAGAGAGAAGTCATAGGCCGGGGCGAGGAAGAAAGCCGTGTTGGTGGTGGTGTTCATCAAGGATCGTTGTGGTGAAGAGAAAAAGCTGGTGATGCTGGTGTCACGGGGAGAAGTGGACGGTGTCGAGGATGCCAGTGTGTATTGGTCGAGTTGTGTGAGACGGCATGCTGAGGAACAGAAGTTGGTACCGTTGGTCTGACGATCGCAGGACAAGCAGAAGTCGCCGAGAAGGAAATCCATGTCTGCTGTCGTACGACTGTAGGAGGAGATGACTCGAAGCAGTGGGGGGAGTCGTGGCGATTTATATATGTCCCGGCAATGGAGGGTATGGCAAGGGCACAGGCTATCTTGTGTCGTGATCGTAGCCGTGTGGCAGTGGTGGGTGTCAATGGGTGGTCACGCAGGCAGGCCTGTATCTCATCCTCAGACACGACTGACGTTTGATGTATAGTTGCAAAAAGGTAGGCCTCGAGATGATGGATGCTAAGTTAAGGCCTGGAATGTCCGTGGAACGGGGCGCTGATGATTCATGAACGTCTCGTTTCAAGAAGAGGTTGTGTGGAAGGGAAAAGGTTGTCTGGTGATGGGAGCAACCAATGTTTATCAGAAAATGCTTCGAGCGTTGGGAGCGTGGAGGTGGAACGCAGCGGGCAAAAGAGGGCAGTTGATGAACCGGCAGCGTGCCTGAACAGGAATAACGCTGGTGTTTGAGGGCTGCAGTAGCCTGGAAAGAAAAAAGAGGGGAAGCCACCAGAGAGAGCTAACTGAACCAGGCTTTGACTGATCCACCCCGAGCTGAGCGTCCAGGGTGCTGGTGGGTGCAGCTTCAGGCGTCAGGCTTAGGCTTCAGGCTTCAGGCTGCAGGCGCTGCTCTTTGTCCACAGCGGCCTTTTCTTCACCACACCACCAGCACTGCACAAAATTTCATTTCTCCCTCATCCAGATCTCACTCCACTCCTCCTTGTGAGCGCCTCATAACGCCGTAATACTCTGTACGAGTAATCGTCTGTAATCCACCACGGGTGCTATCGGCCTGAGGCCTGCTCCTCTTCCCTTGCTGATCCCACGCCCTCGTACCGCACCGCATCAACTGCTCCATCACGAGTGCCAACATCTGGTCTGCTCTCACTGCAATCTGCAAGCTAAGCCGAAATTCATCGTTCGCTACGAGTCTGAACTAGGGTCCCAACCCCGGCTGCCCTGACTCCCACGCAATCAAGGCACCACCCAATGGGCTTGCTGTAGCCAGCCGACACCTGCTATCTGATTTGAGAAAAGCTTCGACCACCACCTGGTAGTCCGTGCTCGCTTGATCAAGTTATTCGCTCTTGCCAAGGGCGCTCATAACAACTTTCTTTGACTCCGAGGACAGTCAAGACTGATGTTGGCCAGGAATCACGAGACGCCTGCTGTACACCCACCCGACTCCAGATACTGTACGTTGCCGTTTCTAACGCCTGGTACGCACGGAACGATTGCTCATCAGGCTTTGCTCAGCCCTAACCTAGCGGTGTCCTCCGTCCTTACAACCGCTGACACACGTCTTATGGGCAATTTCCCGCTCATGGTCATGCTCTATGACCAGAGTGTGAGATCGACTCGTCTTGTCACCACCTCGACGACAATCTCAACTGCCTGAGACCCAAATCACCCGTGTTGGTGTCTACGTCTCCAAGAATATGCCCGCGCTCGTCCCGTTTTGTCTCTCTCCAGAGTCTTAGTGCTGCAGCTGGGAGGGATCGCTAGGCCGGCCAAGGGACGGACCTGTCCTGCGTAGGACTGATTGGTCACCTGTCATGCAGTCCTCCCACACCATCGAATTTGCGTTCCAGACACAGTAGAACCTCATGCACAAGTCCATGCTCCTCGTCCAATTCTTGGTCGAGGGCGTGGGATGGCTTGCTCTCGTAAGTGGTTCTTGCCCGAAGAGCCTGCAGGGCAACGCTCATAGCATCTGCAGAGGCCCATGGTCCGTATCAGATTTTTGCGCCCTGCTCAGCACGGGCTAAACATGACACCCACATGGCGATGCACGAGCTGAATTCTTCAAGGGTCCTCACAAAGGCCTTCCGCAATCTGAAACATCTCTCTGGTGTTTCTGGAATGCTGACAGTCATCAAAAAATGCCGTCTTCCCGCCAGGTCCTTCAGGCTTCGAGGGACAACGACGTCAGCCCGCCGCAAAGTCCTGTCGCAGGCTCTCCCGTCGCAGCCGAGCTCACGAATCTCTTTACTCGTGGAAAGATCCGGCTAGCGGTCGGTCTCGTGCAGTGGCTTCATGTTCCTTGCGGATTACAGTCAGTGTGGGGTTGCCTTCGGAGCGATGTTGCGATGTCGCCAGTGGCCGTTCTGTGCGACTCGGGCATTGAGGGTATCCAGATGTTTCAATGACTCGTCGGCGCCTCCCTGCCCGACGACATGGATCGCCGCACAACTCGCAGAGCCGTAGGGGAGCCCTCCGTCATTCTACCGCCGTGCAAACACCCACCCACCGACTAGCACAATATTGTATCACCGTGAAGTTAACGCCTTCCCCAGCTTCAGTGCCGTATCCGTGAACACCACTCCCTTCAAGACCATGGCAGGAATCATGCGCTTGGTCCAGCTCGTGCCGACAATAGCCTTCATCCTAAAATTGACAGGTCAGATACGCTAATGCCCACTCGACCCCGCGCTGTCAACGGCTGCCCGCAGTGGCAACAGCAATATCGTTTCATGTGCGTTGAGCGCTTCAAATGCTTGCGCTACACCAGCCTACCCCACACCAAGCTGTCTGGCACTAAACGTCGCCTCCCTTCATGTGGCTGAAGACCATCTAGTGGTCCTTTCGCTCATCAGTGTCGCAACGAGTAGGATGGCGCATATTACAAAGACTCCGCGTCGAGGACTATGACTGCATGTCAGTGTCCTCGTCTCATCGACTAGATCAGCAGCCGAAATTGCAATATCACTGTCCACGAGGCATCAAGCTCGATATTACCTGATGCCCTTGTAGGTGCCGCCAAACCGAGCCTGAGCGACAGCGATCACCCGTGGTTGCGTCGATCATTTGACATGGTTCGTCCTTTCCTATGACCTCGGACGGCCAGCTGCATCTGCGTACACCAAACCGACCAGCATGCTCCTTGTTACCTTGGTCTCCCTGTCTTTCATGTCGATGCCGCACCATCCGTCGCATTCTTGGCTCGCAAATATACGTCTGAATCGCTCTCTTGTCTGCGATGAGCTATGCTGCCGACCCCACGCCCTCGTCCGCCAGTGATAAGTGCTGCTTATTGTTTGCACAAGTCCCTTGAGGCTAGCGTGGCTGTAAAGGGAAGATGTCGTCCACCCCAACTTCGCAAGGATTGTGCTAGGACTATGCGGTATTCATTGTGCTCAGGCGAGGGTATCTCACTGGTTCAACCCTAAGGTCGACGAATGGGTTAACGCCACAGCAAGGAGATCAGCGGCGCCTAAATCTGTCCAGGCGAAATTGCGACATGCAGCACGAACAAACCGTGCGTGATACTCGTATGCTAAAGACCCTTGATCAGGCCATGTCGTAAGCCGCCCCCAGCGTGTTGCTTTTGTTGAGTGCAGAAACTAAACGTAGGGAATCTGAGACGGAGTCGAGCCACATGCAAAACCTTTTGTCCGAGTCCATCCTAGACTACCCAATTGGTGGGTGAGAATGTGGCGAAGGCAAAGGAGGATCCCCCGGAGAAATGCAAAGGCCCGGCCATGCCGTGCGCCCACGGACCGTCCGTCTCTCTCCGAGCCTGGTCCGGATATTTGTGGGACTACACAGTATGCACGAATAGCGCTGACCAGGACGGAGTACGCGCTACTACTCCAGTTCCAGCCTTGCGGCTGGTAAGCTCTCACTTTATCTGCCACTGACGCGACACGATATCTCTTTAGAAGAATGCTGCTAGGCTGCTTTGGATCGTCACCAATGACGCAAACCGAAGTCTTCAGCCTTGACAGCCTTGCTCTACCTGATGGCTGCTGAGCGGCCTTCCTCCGTTCACAGATAACAGTGCGTGGAGGTGTGTACACCTACTGCCTATATTGGCAAGCATGCAAGGAGATCTGTTTACGTCAAAGGTGGGTGGGATAACGGGACGCTTCTGTCAGATGCTCATGGGCTCCAGTATATGCCAAGGTTTCAACAATCGGCTGTGCTGCCAGCAAGCTTGCATTGTTTCAAGGCCATTCGGGCGAAGAAACGTTCACAATCACCGCCAGGCCCCGTCTGATGCTCACGGGCGAAGGCTCGGGAAAGGAGGCGCACAATGAGGCGAGCCGTGTTTGGCCGAGTCCCAGTGCATTGCGCGTACGCGCATTCCATGGCCGACACGGCTGGATCTTGCCATCGACTTCGTCCACGTCGACTGAAGATCATGTGGCTCTGCACAGGGTCCTCGAGGAGGGGTTTGTGTGGCACGGTTTCTGGTTACACTACCATGGCCCAGTACACATGTACCTGCTTTCAAATGGAAGCGTCTTTGAAGCTGACCACGAAAGTTTCCCAGCTCCTCGGCTAGCTTTAAAGCCGTACATTCTCATATCAACCCCGCATTTACGCACGGTCCGTGGCAAAACACCACACCCTTTTCAAGAGAATTGTACAGCCTGCCGGATTCGCATGGAAAACTTGAGCCCCAGATGACGGCGCGAATGATAGCACTCCCACCACTTCTGGCCGCCTTAGAGACGCACGGTATTTCAGCACCAGAGACAGCCCCATGGTAATCACGTCCTATCTCAAAGGGTGGAGAACACACAAGGGTGCGGTGTCCAGGTCTAGACCGTCACCTTGCTGTGGTCACGAGATACTTCCGGCCGAGCCCTTACAGCCGTATATCAGCCTTAGCAAGCACTTTCGCTACTAGTGTTGATGTACGAATACACGTTCGAGGGATTGAGAATCCACAGCTACGTTGCCCTCGCATTGTCATCCTCATCGGACTACGAAGTTTGCGCCCTGAGGATCTTTGGTAGCGGGCCAGCGCAGACCCTGGAGCGTGTGGCCATATGCCTCGTCGCTTCCCACTCCCCGCCCTTCCTTGCAGGAGTCTTACCGCGTCTCGTTTGTCGGAGCAGTGCCGGCTGTTCCCAAGAAAGGTGCGGCCGCAAGCTTGGCTCACAAGCCATAGCCAAAGCACTCCCGGTCTTGCGAAATCGAGCCAAGCATGTCCGGACTCGGACCCGGACTCGTACAGTCAACTCTGAAACCTCCTCAATCAATCCATCACATTATGGTCACCAGGTCTATCATGTGGCGTGTTTTTCTGTCGCGCCCTCTGACTCTTCACGTGTCTCCCCTCCAGTGTCCCGTTGTGCGTGGACAGCCACGGTCCGCGGAGGGTATTTGTTGACGAGCAAGGCATCTCTTTACCGTCGATCAAACAAGCCCACCAGTGGGACCAAAGCACCATGAAACTTACACCCCACGACGAGGCCAGACCTACCACCTCTGCCGACATTTCAACGCTTGCAAACGTGTTCCAAAGTCATGAAGTCCACCTGATCGCCGGCGTGGAATCCTGACGCTTATGTGATAAGGAAAAGATGACAGCGGGTTCAATGAAATCTGAAGACCTCCACTTTCAAGCGTGTTTCCTCGAGTAAGTAAAATCGTCCCAGACGCTGCTCCTCAGATATCCGCCTCAACCCAACCCCATCACCTCGCGGGTACATTTGTGTAAGTACCCAGGTCTATCTTCTCTTGAGAATCCTGAGCGTTCTGGGCATCCCATACTAACTCTACAAGTCCACGCTCATCCACCGATCGCCGCAACTGCGCGATCCCTCCCTTCATGCACTTATTGAGCTCCTCATACCTTTCATGGAGAAAGACTACAGCGTTGGAAACCTGAGCCTTGGTACGTCTCTCTCTCCCCGCGTCGGGATACTGGGCCAAGCCCCGAATACGATGTCGAACGCCCTAGGGACGTACTTGCCCGCCCGCCTTACACATTTAGTCTCAGCTCCCTTCTGGCCAGCGCGCTCGGCAACGGCGGATATGTCCCGCTTGCTTTGCGTAAGGACCGGCATTGTTCTACCACGGTACGACAAAGCGTTGCGCTGTATGTTCTGTCCGAATGTGCCTCTTATCTGCTAGCGGGGTGCGATCTTGCCCCTGGGTATGCTTTCGTGACAGGTAAGTGAAAAGAAGACAAGAGGGTAACTTGGTAAGAGGATCGAGCAAGCCGCCGGCACCAACATCATCGGGAGAATCTATAGCGGGTGTGACGCTTTCCCTACGTATATACTCCGCAATCGGAACCAAGTCGGGCCTGGAGACGGGAGGAAGACTAGCACAATCAGAGAGAGGGTCGGTCAGAAGCCTAGCTTAATTGGAGAGTCCAAGCTCGTCCTTAGTGATGGACATAGCAGCGTGGATTAAATGTATCCCACCTGGCGGAACGGCTCGTTGGGTGAACGAGTAGAGAGCCTCTGCCGGCTTCAATACCTTTCGACGTGTCTGCCTATCTACCTACGCATAACGGGTGTCTCGCTAAATGACTGAGTGAATGAGCAAGCCAGTCTCCCACAAGCAATATCTCCCACGAGCTCCTACCTCTCACGAGCTTCCCGTTGGTCTTCGCCGTCGCCGGTGCTGCCGCTGCCGCTGCCCTGACTCCCAAGTATTGGCTGCCGGAACTGCATACCTCGCTTGATGTTATATCAGGGGACATAGAGATTGACCGTCCCACCTCCCCAGCGTCAACTCGGTCAAACCTTGTTCAACGTAGATATCTCGTCACGATAGGTCCGCAGTTGAGGAGACATTGGAAAATCCAGCTCGGGGCTCAAGCCCGCCCGCCAGCCCGCCAGCCCGCCAGCCCAGCCCAGCACCGAAACTTCAGCTCTCAACTCGGTGGGCAGGATCCTCGACAAGCACTGTCTGCGAAGACCCTTTCCTGTGCGCCACAGGCGGTAGAGTCCCTCCACGGCGCAAATCCAGGCGCGCCACACGTCTGCTCGAATGCAGGGTACGTAAGGCTGAGTGAGGCATAGTGTATAGGGAGCGCTCTGTTTGAGTGGTTCGGGGAGGGACAAGGGCAGCGAATGTCCTTCACACCGACGGCCGTAACTTGGGCATGAAAACCGACACTCATGACCTATAGGGCGGGATGAGCGGAATGCTCAGGTTGCGACTCGTTATTATGGTGAAAGGTGTACTAATTATAAAGCCATGAGACAAGCTGAGCATGAGCAGCACTGCTCCACTCCAGGTCAGCTACAGTACCTTGACGGGATAAACGACAGGCTGGGTAGCACCTTCAATTTGTGGAAGTTGACCCTCCATTGAACAATGCGACATGCGGCTCGGCTGGATGCGAGACAAAGAGCAGCGCCTACATGAGCCAACACAACAGGTACGCCGTGGGGGCCTGGAAAAGGTGGCGTCCATGAGGCCCTGTGCGCTTGGACGCTTCAGATCGGCGCGAGAGCTGTATTTCGCAGCTTCCACTTCGCCCTGACCAGCCTTCGCAGAACCTTCAAGAGCCATGCCACACGCGATGTGAGATCCAAGCCTTTGACGACTTCCTCCAGGAGATATATTACCCTTGGCTATTCTATTACTACAACACTGACTCTGCTGCAATGGGTGATGACAGAGCGGTCGAGGCGACATTCAAAAGCTCAATGAACGTGATGTAGGGCGGCGGAGCAATGCACCTGTTGGTGAGCCCTGGTCGTAGCTATATTGCTGGGCTACCGTGCGTCTGACCTCTTCCCCGGCTGTTGGCACCTGCCTGGCTTGCTGCAGCAAATGTCTCCATTTAACAATCCAATTCATGAGACACTCATGATTGGGTTCAAGACTGAGGCGCGTAGGAACGTAGGTCAAGCAGCTGATGAGATGAGCGAGTGTAAGAATGAGCGCTCGTGTAGTCGGATATTCTTCCAATAGCCGGGCGAGCTGTGGGGAGGGTGTTTGGAAGGGACATCGACGCAGTGGATGCTTTCGTGACCGAACCTGTACCAGCGAGAGAGTATTTTAGCAACGCTTCGAAAGTCCCCAACCCTACCAGGTGAGCCAACAGTTCTGTCGCTCACACGTATCGTCTTCTCATAGTCACTTGGGCACGGATAAACGGTCTGACGGTTCCCTACTGCACAACGCGATGCCCAAAGCCCGTGATGGTCCGGCAAAAGCAAGAAATCAATGTTGACTCATTCACCCCATGCTGCATGGACCAAGAAGGGGTCTGAAAGTCCCAGTGGACATGGCAGCCGGGACGAAACAGCATCCTCTCCTGTCGCCTTCATTCGTGGCGCCTGCAGAGCCTTGGTGATGTATTTACTCTTCGCGGAGTGATTTTGAGCCTTACAATATTGGCCCAAGAACGCAAGCAGTAAGGCAAGACCTGATCAAGGGTCTAAATCAAACAACGCATGCAAGTACCGAGATTCCTGTAGGGAGTGAAGGGACAGCACGACCATAAGACCAAACGAAACACTTGGAAGCAAGGACTTGTTTATCTGGGCCAGCATTCGATCAAGGAGGTGCTCTAGCGGGTCACTGTAGCCCAGGCCCACAGCTGGCAAAGTTCAAACTGTCGTGTCATAGGCGCAGTGTCGGCTGATACAAAACAATATGGCATACATGCGATGTCCGCTGCATCACTCTAGGGGTACTGTGTGGACGGGTTGTCAACTTCATGGAGCGTTAAGGTCAAACCATCAGTCTATACCTCCCGTGGGAAACCCCCTCTTATTGAATGAGATCCCACACTGCGACTTTTGCGTCCCTTAATACTCATGCACAGTCCCTGAGCAGCTCAAGTCGAAAAGACCAGTGGAGAAATGGTCCGGGTACTCGCGCAAAGCGCAGCTGCAGAGACCTTTCGCAGCCACATTGTTGCCCACGGCGCCAGGAGATTGCGCAACGATGCGGAGTCCAGACTCACCTGTTGACACATATTCGCCCCCACAAGGCAGCTTCGTTAGTGCGCAGGGCTTAGCGATACCACGGTCGGTAGTAGAGCTGATACGATTGGATGATACCAAGAGGAAGGCTGTATTCGGTACACCGTATCGTCGGTCACAATAGGGACGGTGCGAGGTTCCAGCGCCGAGTTCGACATTGCAGAATTGGGGGTGAGGTGGCATTAACAGGGAAAGTGAATCTCTTTCACAGGTGACGGGAAGACGTAACCGAATCTTGGCGCCAGCAGCCGCCGCAAAGTACTCCGTACGTCACCGGCCCCATGCTCTCGGGTCACTTCGCGCTCAACTGCAGGTTTCCATCAGTCTTTGCCACCGCGGCTGCTCTGGGGTGCATACGGGTGTCAATCGGATACTAGGGACATCGCATACTGTTATGCCTGTTCGTGGGAACCTTTTCATGCCACGCGACCCAAAAAATAGTACTGCTTAGAACCCAAGTTCTCTGCCGCGAGAACTCATCCGAGTCATCAACTATTCAGGCCGGATGGAGCGGCCTCCTAGTCGGGTATATCAGAGCCGCCTGTGCTAAGTACCAAGGTACATGTCATCACTCAGACCCCGCATGCTAAAAGATGTCGCTGTCATGAGAAAACGTTGTCAACAGAATGCCACCGAATATCCACCAGAATTTTTCACCAAAAGCGAACCTCATCTTAGTCATAACTCTTCCGCCGGGTTGCATGACTGTGTCTGCTCCGCTGGGTATCCTTGTCTCTGTTGTCCCGACTATGACTCCTCGACCTGTCACTGCCGCTGTCGCCTTTGTTGTATTTCCTCTCCCATCGATCCTGTTCTCGGTCCCGCTTTTCTTCTCGCCACTTTCTGTGCTTGCCGTAGTCCTTGCCACCTAGCCATCCGACAAGTGCGCCACCGACTGTACCTAGACCTGGGAAGATCAGGTCGCCGATGAGACCTCCGCCTGCAGCGCCGAGGAAACCGTCTGCGTTCGTTGACCGCGAGTTGTCTGAGACCCGACGGGGACGATTCTTGTGCCTGTGCCTGTGGCTCTCGGGGTCTGAGGAATAGTCCAGTCTTGAAGGGTCATTGTAAGAACCTCGGTGGTGGGGTCGATGGTGTGACTGTGCGTAAGGTTGTTGTTGGAGATAGGGCCCTTGAGGCACGTAACGGCCTGGAGGATACGGCGCCAAATGTTGCCCTGGATTGGCTTGATAGTTCGGCTGATTGAGCGCGTATGTGGGTTGACTCGACAGAGAAGGTCGTTGTTGGCCGGGAGGAGGTAGCTGTGACTCTTGGGCGAAGTGTACTTTGGCCTCGTTATTCAGTGGTTCATAAGGAGGCGGCGGTCGAGGAGCCGCGTGAGGAGCGTAGGGCGATGGTGGTGCGTTGCTGCCGAACTGTGGACTTGGATGACCAGGTTGATAACCAAAACCAGGCTGCGGTTGACTCGGTCTCTGTGTTTGAGGCAGGTACGGACCAGAACTCTGTTGCTCCAGAGGAGGCCTGGCGCCAGGTGCGAAGTATTCTGTTGCTGCCATGGCGTATTCTTCAAGATACAGGAGTAGATGAGGAGGAACAGGTGATAGACAGACTTATAAGAGGAATGTCAACCATATACGAGTTCCCCGGATTGCGGATCCTTCAGAGAGGCAAGACACTATAAGAGTTGAAGACTGCCTAGCGAGGCTAAATACTGGGTCGTGGAATGTTCCAATGTTGGTAATCCATGTAGCGAACCGAGTCACAAGCCCGAGTCATGGGGCCGGTAGAGAAATCGATCTGAAGGACTGGAGCAAGGCGGAGTGTATCATCCGTTCTGATCTTCCGTTTAACAGCCTCCTGAAACACACGGTGGTATTATTCGGCGGACCTGATTTGCGAAGGCTACCACACCCCAAAGGTGGCGCAAGCTGGTGATGGGCTTGGGAGCCTCAGAGAACTTTGTGACGCGAAAGGTCCCTCGTATTTATTGTGCCCTGATCATCCCGGCACTCCCAACACAGCACGCCCGACTCCGGGGACGGTTCTCTCTTGGCCATTGCTATTGGAAGAAAAGCGATTCGGTTCCTTGTCTGCTCAAACCTAGTGCAGCCAGCTGCTTCTCGAATTGCGCAAGATCGAAGGGTCGGCAAGGCGGTACTCCGTAGCAAACAGGAGGGTTGGCGTAGGCCTCCAATCATTGACGTCACAAAGGGTCTGCCAAGCTGCCACACTGAACCGCTCCGCTTCAGGCTCTTATTGGCCGGTCATGTCTAGAGATGGCAGACGGAAGACCACGCTGTTGCACGAAGAACTTTATCGAAGATACAGTGCATGTCGAGAAGCTGAAGACGGCGGGAGAGGAACATTCGCATTTGCATGTGCGTTGCCAACCCCATGCATATCGACTTACAACAGTTCGCCTTGCAAACACATGCCTTGCCCCGGCGCCCCGTATTGCCCGCCTACTTTTCACAAATATTCAAGGTATCATAGAAGTACACTCGACTGGCTGGAGATAGTGACAAGAACAAAGTCTCGTACAGATACTTAGGCGACAACCTCGCCTACGTCCACCAGAATAGGCGTCCATGGCTTGGCTGCCGGCTCTTCGGTCTCGCTGGGTAACCGGAACTCGGTCGGGCTGTAAAGATACCAGCCCTTCAATGCGGCGACTGCGGCGCGAGTCCTTGCCTCGTCAAGGCTGGCTCCTGCACCCTCGCCCAACAGGTCGCTGCCTGAGTAAATCCCAACAACATACACAGGCGTTCTGCTTTTGCGTCCCGTCTCGCTCAGTATTTTGGCCACGGGTGCCTGAAACCCTTCTCTTCCACAAAGTTTGCTCAGATCCCTAGTCGGGGTCTTGAACTGAAAAAGACTCGACATGTCTAATTGGCGAGACATGAAGTGGTCGCTGTAAAATTTCTTCGCTGCTGCCCGTCCAGCATGCAGATATACCGCGCCGATGACAGCCCTCACAAAGTTGGTGCTTGCCCGTTGCAGGGTGACGCCCTTGGATTTGAGATGTTCTGGGTCTACCGGTCGCTCTAGTGGTTCGCCAAATTGATCGTAGTGCACCGACTTTGCGCTCAGGGTTCGGGTCCATGTTGCCCGTGGGTCGCTGCTCTTAGCGACTGCGTCTGGACTATCCTTCTCTAATCTTGTGTCCGGCGGCATTCTCTTGAATTGTAGTAGCCCGGGGTCAACCTCACCACCTGGTTCTGCTGCGGCTTCCACACCCCATTCCCTAGCCATCTGTGTCAAGGTCGCTGGGCCATGGTATGCATACATTGCGGCATAAACCACCGCAAGCGGTAATCTCGGATACTGGCTGATGATATACTCGGATGTGTAGTAACCCAGCAAGTCATTGCCAAGCAAAGCAAACGGTTTGTTGTTGAACCGTATTGAGGTGTCCGCGGACTCGTCCACCAGAGTCCTTGCTAATGTCTCAAGAGGGAACCGTGATGGGAGGGATAACCGAGCATGGAGGGCTGCTAATTTCGCAGATGTTCTCGCCGCGGTGACCGGAGGTGAGGGTAATGTCATGAGCGTTTCTTCAGGAAGGTATGGTCCATCTGTCGTAGGTGCCTCAAAGACATCTTCAGCACCAGCGGGGACAGCTGCTATTGCTTGGAAGCGTCGTATACTGGAGAACGGAGAAGGGAGGATGTCGGGTCTCGTTCGTGGTGAGAGTACACTCCCGCTCCATCTCAGGAGCCTCAACCTCTTCATCGGAGCTACCACCGCTCCACGAAATAGGTCCTATAGCTCCGTATGCTTTCGGGCTATGAGTCAGGATCTAGGGCAAAGGAAACCCTGACGGAGGGACAAGTGCGTCTCCAGCTGGTTGATGGCACGTTTTTCTCCTGCGACACGAGACCATCGGATTGGGACACGCGAAAGAAATTCATCTGGAAACGATCGCAGCCAATTAGAGCTTGGCTTGGCAATTATCCCAAAAAGGAAGCGTGCTTGTCCACTTCGGACCCCTTCAACTCAACTGTCCCTGTCTTGTCCCAAACTGTTCTTCTGGGTTCCAAGTTCACCGTTGCTGCGTCGGTCATGAAACACCTTCATCAGTCCAATTAGAGTAATCTAATGTGGTTGCGCAGCAATCATAGGTGCACAAAGCTTGGGAATCACGTTGCATATGAAGTCGCCTCGATCCTTGTTCAAGATGTCGTTTCGAACAGATACGGGTTCATCATGGCCACCCTGCTTCGTGGGTGCACGGCTAAGCTCTCTGTGCTTGTGGCTCGCCTGCTTCAAGTTGCCAATCACCTTTCATGCTGGCTTTTTGCAGGGGTGCTACTGCTGGACCAGTAGGTCTGCCTGGAGTCAGGTTTGACTGGCTCGATTCTTCGACATTCGAAAGTCTATTCAACCACAGTTTTCCCAAGCAAGGGTGTCATCTCGGCTGTCTATTTGATATGTCCAGAGATAGCGGAACCTGCGCCGCCAACAAGACGTGTTGATTGATGCCGTCGGGCAGAAGCACAAATCAAGCGGTTTGTAGTACTCGCAAATACTGAATCGGGAAGGCGGTCCCTACATGGGCAAAGTCTGGGTGCACCCGGTCGACACATGCGTGAAGTACTGCGTAATCTGTTACACAGTAGACAACCTGATTCATGGGTGAGTCCAAGTTTTGGGGCGCGACCTCTTGGCTTGGCATTCAGTGTTTGCAAAATTAGGAAGGTTAGGGAGACTGTCCGGACAAGAACAGCAGCCCATGATCAAGTATGAAGGCGGAATCTAATCGGCCTTGTGAGCCGGCAGAGCTTCGTTTATCAGAACGATAGAAACGCTACAGTGGCTGCCCAAGTGCTGACGGACGCAACTCCGCAGTATTACAGCTATCGAGCCCTGAGCCCCGAGCTCTCAACATACAATGAGGCTGGTACCGGCCACTATTGAGATACCTAGGTACCATCACGAATGCGGAGCTGACAGAGCGCTAGGTCGACGCACAGCTGAGCGACTGTCTCCGGCGCGAGATCGAGCATGTTGGATTGTCTTCCGTGGGCAACGGCCAACGTTACGTCCAATCTGGTTTCCCCGAGCGATATGCTGGGCTGCTTACCTGGCTCGAGACCTGTACAGCTCGTCGGGCGAAAGAGAGCCTGGACAACAATGTGGAAAGGGTCCACGAGCAGGCCTCCGACGAGACCAGCTAGTCGGGGTTCAGCTGCACAAGAGCGCATAGGAATGACGCTGTCGTCAGCCGCGGAAGTTACTGCGCACCCAGCAGCTCCTGCTCTTCTGGGTGATAATGGTAAACCCAGCTAGAGCCACATCAGGATGATACGTCCGTTAAAGGCACCGAAATCACATTACATGCATGCCAAGCTGGAAACTGCCCGGCTAGATTGTTCGCACTGCGAAAGCTCTTCGGGCTACCATGAAGGCAATCTCAGACGTTTGTCGTTCCTCGCTTCTCGGCAATGCTTCTCGTTGCCGAGCTCATACAGTAGTATACTACTCTTCTTCGTTCCTCGTCTAACCAAGTCAAGGCGGCGATGAAGCATGAGCGTGGCTTGCCTCAGCTGGTGTCTTGGCTTCCGAAAGGCTTGTCTACCCTCTCACAGAGCTTCAAGTTATTTGGGATAACAGTTGGTAAAATAGTAAGCACTATTTTATGCCAAGACATCACAACATCCGGCTTTATGGTCAAGTGGAGGCGAATTACGCTGTGGAATCGTGGCTAGGAACTAATCAGGCTGTGAGCTCCTCTGCTCGAGGTGAATTGGTCCTGCGGGTGTAATCAACAGTGTGTATTTCTCCAGCCAATGACACCTAAAGTGCGCTATAGTGTCTTGGCGCGTGCTTTATCAGCCAAATCTCCCGGCCGCAGTAGCAGCTCATACCTCGTTCACCTCATTTTAGGTACCTTTGTCATTCTTCTCGACTGTTCTTCTGTGCTTGCCGTTGTTGACCGTTACACTCGTGCTGAGTGGCGCCATGCTCTGCCATATGGCCTTGTCAATTTGGGACAATGCTGCTACCAATTCGATCTGGCGCCACTGAAGACACCACGTTAGCGGATCCTTCACTTCAAGCCAGCTACATGGCCAGTATGGCTATAAAGGAGGGCCTGCCTCACCTCTGTAGACGATTCTTCTCTCCATCAAACAGCACAAACAACAAACAACCATCCGACTTTCCTTTTATATTTCCTTATTTCCTTATCTGTCACTTTTTGGGACCAACTGCCTAACATTCTTTCCAACCACTTCTAATCAAGAGAACACTTAATTCCAATCGTTCAATTACCTTCAACTCACAACAATTCCACATCTCAAAATGTATGCCAACACCATCGTCCTCGCTCTCCTTGCCGCCACTGGCACCCTTGCTGCTCCTCACAGTCGCCGCTCCTATGACAACACCGTCACGGTCATCCTGTGTGACGGTGGCGAGACCGGTGCTCAGGTCAGTGGCCTGTCGTCGACAGAACGGGCCATGGGTACTCCAGCCACGAGCGGTCCTTTCACCACGATCGAGATCTCCCTCGGAGCGGATGTCGCAAACAAGGACCTTCGTTGCCAAGCTCTCGACAATTACGGCAATGCCATCGTCGGAGTCCGCGGTGCCAACGTTGATACCACCTTCTCGGACGCCGACAAGGGTGCCTGGACCTTCAGACAAGCTGCCTATGTCAGCGAGGTGGTCTGCGACCCTACCTTTGTGAAGATCGACCCCAACTCGGACGAGCTGAGCCTGCGCGTCATCTTACAGAGCCTGTCGACCGACACTGGTTCTCAGACCGTCCTCCCCGCAGGTTCCTCCGCGACATCCACTCCTGCCGGTTCCTTCGGCCCCTACGAGACTGTCGAGCTCTCGGTCGGTTCGCTGGTCGAGAAGCAGGACTACCGCTGCAAGATCCTGGATATGGCGGGCGCACCTCTGATCGTCCTCCGTGGTGAGAACCGCGACATCACCTTCTCCGACGCCGACAAGGGTGCTTGGACCTTGGAGACCCCGAGCGAAGTCCACAGCATTGTCTGCGACCCTAGCTTTGTCGCTCAGAAATTGTAAACGGGGTTCCTGATGACATGGACTGCGCGGCTTGAAATGAAGCACACGTACAACATCGGTGACTGGCATTGGATTTGTTAATGAGTTGCATAGCGATTGGCGTTCTTTGTTTTCTTTACCCTCTGCATAAGCGACCGGCGTTCTTGATTTCAATACACTCCTTTACATAGAAAAAATAATAAAAAACCTCTTTGAGGAAACTCTGTTCCTTTTCCAGTCGTACTTGATGACAACTCGACAATGTCGGGATCCCGGGCACTGCTAAGTATTGGCAATTAGGGGAGACAAATATCATGCATGCCTGAATTTGCAATAGTGCAGGCAGGACACGATTTGAGAGGAGTAGATGTTCAGTCGGCGTATTTGCGAATGCGGTGGTCAAGCAGTGAAGCCGAAACCGTCAGCATCGAAGAGCTGCTGATACTGGGTCCCGGTGTGTAGCTTGTGGACGGCAGGTTTGCCGAGCGAGCTAGCATCCGCCAATCACATCTCGCCAAATCCACTTCCTCTGCATCCTCCATCACTCGAACCTCCAACTCCAAGCTCAAACTTCCCTCGACGAGAACATCCGACCGTCCGCCCCACGATCCTCCCCCTCTCCTACCCTTCGTCCTCCTCTTGTCTCACGTCTCACTGCTTCACCCCGACCTCAGCAGCACCATGGGTGGCGGCGGCAAGGTTCCCTACCCGAAGCACGTCTGGTCCCCGGCCGGTGGATGGTACGGCCAACCACATAATTGGAAATCAAACACAATAGTCATGGGCGTGGTGATTGCGGCGTGCACGGCGCTGGCGTGGAGAGTTTCTGCGGAGAGGGAAGTGCGATACAAGATGCCTAGGGAGGACGTGTTCTTTCCGAGTCGGTAGTAAGTCTGACCTTGAAGCGATTGACGGCAACGGGTGGCCAATGGAGTACCTCTGCTGATACTCTTGCAGTTGGAGCAGACAGATCATAGAGCACGAGAAGGGCCAAAGAGGACAATGAAGAACTGCGCGACCTGCGACCTGCTGGTGATCAAACAGGCGAACACCCACTCATCGGTCACCACAAGGGCAGTGAGCCACGGCGCGCAACTTGCATACCTACAATGGTGTAGATGTGGAGGTCGGACAAGGACGAGCAGGTGAATGGCTCATACTACTGTACCAGAGCAAGGAGGAGATGTGGGCCATCCGAAGCCCATCCGCTCGCGTTCCTCGGTTACCTCCTTGTCAAAATGATTGGCGAATCATGGCGCACTCGAAACTTGTACATACATATCAGCGACGTGAAAAGCAAAATGAACAGCTTCACGAGGGCGCCGCGATACGTATGTCTCATCCGACATAAAAGATCGCCGGGTACAGTGGTGGTGTCAAGGTACCATCGGCGTGTATGAAAGCTGTCGGTCTATATGCTGTCGTTCTCTTCGCAAGTACTCTAGAAATCGCTCAGGATACCTCTGCCCGTTCCAAGAGTCGCCGTCTGCGGCCGCCACAGCCGGCATACCGATCTGCTCAATCGCATACCCAGCTGCTACCGTGGCATGTATGAGGGCAAGCAGAAGCCGTTTCTGATCGTCCGGGACGACAAGATCCTGGAGCACACTTCCATCAGGACTCGTCACGCCGGTCAGCCCCATCGCCAAGGCTCCCAGAAAGGTATTCCCTGCGCCCGTAGGGTCCATCACCCGTTCTTTGCTCTGGTGGTATGGGCGAAGATGCAGACCCTCCAAGCTATATGCAGTGTACGTTCTGCAGCCCTGCGCGCCCTCCCTGATCACCACGGTTGCGCGAAGCGGCCTTCCTGCCACTGCAGACTGGCCACCAAGCAACCACCTTACCTGCGTTTCCCTCGACTCGAACCCCGCCATCTGCTTGAAAAATGCGGCAAACTCATCTGCATTCGGGCTCACCACATCGACATACCCAACCGCAACCTTTAACCGGGCCACCTCCTCCGGCGTGCACAGATCTGGAACCGGTTCCCATACGAAGATTGGCCACAGCTCAGCATCCACGGCGTCGGGACTGAGACCTCGTTCTCGTAGCAGGTCTCGCCGTCGCCCCAAGATTCCGTTCACAAGACTGATACACCGAGCGGGCGAACAGACCATGTGGAAACTCCGCGCGAGGACCTGTTCGTCGGACAGATCCTTCTCGTCGAGCCGTAACTTTGGTGTCAGGTACTTGAACGCTCTATATTCGTTCGCGCCGTAGCCGTTCCACGCCATCGTGGTGAGTCGGTTCAAATCGCGCCGGAAGACGCAATTCGTGTGCCACGTGTTGATCAGCTGGTGGAACAGTGCCGGGAAGTCTGCGCCCATGTCTACAATCCAGCTTACGAGGTGGGCGTGCTGGACGCCTGCGGCGAGTCGGGCACCGAGGGCGGCGTAGGTCCCTGCGCCGCCAATGATGTTTTGTTGCGATGTCTGGCTGTTGTCGAGGTATTCGATCTTGTCTAGGTACCGAGTGAATTCCCCGTTTAGTACATACGTGCCGCTTACAGTAAGGGTCAAGCGAGGCAGACAGACAGACAGACAGACCTATGATGAACATTCCGAGCGTGCAGAACGCGAGTCTTTGCTCCATCTTGGGATGCCGATCCTCTTCGCAGAACCGACTACCACAATTACCTCGTGGCTTGATCGTCAATGCTGTGTCCACGGTACCTCGTATCGAGGGGACAGGAATGCGAACTCTCAGTGAGCCTTTCTGTAGATAGCGAGGCTCTGTATGCCGCGCATCGGACTTCACCGGCAGACACTCCCGACATACTGTGTTCTGAGTAGACGGGTATTGTCCGATACGAAACCTCCAGTCCCCAATCTTTTCCACTACTCGTGCCTGTTCGTTCCTGCATTGACGACCAGTAGCGGAAGAGTCCACGTGTTCATTAACAGTCACAGGAATTGCGGTCCACAAAGTAAGCCTCGACGGAAGATCTCAGGTACCACCTGCTGCCATGTGTTTCTACATCGGAGACTTTGTTGACCCGAATCGTGTCGTAAGGCGTGGACAGCGCGACGTTGCAACAGGAGAGTAACGACGTCGATCTTGGCCGAGGGTGGCAAGTGCTGGCCGTTGTAACTCTGTACTTTACAGACTCGTGTATCTATTTTGTACATCGACACATTATATGTCGTCGCTGTCTTCGATTTGAACCTCCCACAAAAGGCAGCACGGAAGACTTCTTAGCGAGTAGCCTTTGCTTTCTACACACGCCGTCTATCCTACCTGACCGGCGACAACACAACCAGCAAAACATGATAGAACGGAACCACTTTGAGGAAGGCCCCACGCCCCGTCCTCACCAACCATGGATCGAGACTCCCTTGGTGGAATCAACGGTCTTGTCCAAGATTGCTGGCTGGTACAATGACATGTTCCTCTGTCATCCCTTGCACACGCACTGACATAGCCGCAGCCGCATCTTCCTTAAGCTCGAGAATCTGCAGCCCTCATCGTCGTTCAAATCCCGAGGCATCGGCAACTTGATGCTCCAGTCCATTGCAGACCGAGAGGCCGAGTCGTTCTCTCGCTCAACCGACACAAATAGACCCCTACATTTCTACTCCTCGTCAGGCGGGAATGCCGGTCTCGCGTGCGTCACAGCCGCCACATCACTAGGCTACGCCTCATCCGTCGTCGTGCCGCTCAACACAGACGACGCGACGATCGCCAAACTACGCGCTGCAGGCGCCACCGAGGTCCTCTCCCACGGCGACAGCTGGTTCTTCGCCGACCAGTACCTCCGCGAGACGATCATCCCCGCAGCCGAAGCGAGGGGCGAGCAAGGCGTGTATATCCACCCCTTCGACCACCCCGCGATCTGGGCCGGCGCGGGCACCATGGTCGAGGAGATTTCGAGGCAGATGCCTTGTGGCGAGAGACCCGACGCGATCGTCTGCTCCGTCGGTGGCGGCGGATTATTCTCCGGCATCATGCACGGAGTAGACCGTGTGGGTTGGGGCAACGACGTATGCGTCCTGCCCGTCGAGACTCGCGGCGCGGACTCCCTCGCCCAGTCGCTGCAGCAGGGCCAGCTCGTCACCTTGAAGGGGATCACCTCCGTGGCCACGTCGCTTGGGGCCATCCGTGTGGCGGAGAATGCGTTCGTCCAGGCGCAACGACCAAATGTGACGCCTGTGGTGCTCGATGATGCCGAGGCGTGTGCCGCGTGCTGGCGGTTTCTTGATGACGAGAGGATGCTTGTCGAACCGGCCTGCGGGGCGAGCATTGCTCTCGCGTATGCCGGCCGGTTGAAGCACTACTTGAAGGACATCGCGCCGGGGAGTAAAGTCGTGATTGTGGTCTGCGGGGGGAGCAAGATCTCGCTGGACGTGCTGAATAAGTATAAGGACACGTACAGCGAGAGGAGTGAGGAGTTGGCCAAGCAGTATGTCTAGCCTCGAGGCTGGAGCGTGCCCAGGATGAGTGAGCTTCCCGCAGTGCCCACCAGGTGTAGCAGGGTAAATGTCGGTACTTAGGAGTACCTGCGCTCTTCCTTCTTCCTCCGTGGTCACTGGGCTTCGGCCGGCGACTTCGGTATACTTACCCACCCATCAAGATATACCAGTGACAAGGTCCGGAGAACCATTCGACGCTCGACATATCTACTGTATCCTATGCTATACGAGGTACTCTACATGTCAGCAAGATTTACACAATAAAACCACGGACGGGACAACGTTTGGCTACATAATTAACCGTCGGCCTAACATTCGGTCGAATTGGCGCAGCAGTTCTCCTTATATCAACAGTGCAGGGACGAGTCACGGTAATCAGTCCAGCGTGACATGAGTGGTGGTGGTTATGTATACACAGTACGGAGTACCTAGCGGTATAGTAGGTAAGAGAATCACCAGCACCATCAGCGTCACCAGGTGGGTGTATGCGATGCTTACAGTACCTAGCAATGTAATGCAATTCTCCGTCGCATCTCTAACAGACTATACTTGCAATTCTCCCATTATCCTTCTCTCCCAGCGTCATGCCACACGTACTGAGTACATAACTACACTGAATTTCCATGCAAGCAAGAATAGTGCTGTGTCCTCGGTGTGGAGGTGGGCGTCATATGGGACACGAGCCTAAGCCGGTTGTGCCCCTTGCATTGTCGTGTCAGCAATAAAGCCCTGTTGGTGCGCCGTACTCCGTACGCAGTACGGCTGTGGCTAATTACAAACACAACCAGTGCCAGTCGAGCCGGTGCACTGGATGTTGGACCACGCCGTGCACGCCACGCCGCGTCCGTTGCTCCGCCGTGTCGGCCGTGCTGGGTGATGGTACACTGTCTCCTGGAGACTGAGGAATTAGGGTATTATGTGATCAGTGGGGATGCTACTTCGTCTACCACTGGTATAGAGAAAGATATGCATATGCATATCCGTATATATATATATATATATATATACGTATGTACGGGGTACTGACCGCTGACCACGAAGTGCTTACTACGGACCCCTGACTGGACGAAGGTCTGCTTGAGATTAAGATATAACTTACTGGCTACTTGGAGGTTGCGATTTCACCAAGGGACAGGGTAAGGAGTCTCTTCAACTTCATAACGGTAGCCGACTTTTGGTGGGACGTCTTCGCGGACTCGAACCAGATGGCACCGATCAAAATAGGCTTGATCGGTCTTTCCGCCGAAGGGTGAGAATTCCGCTGTCATACCTTTCATTCGAACGATCGGCCTGACTTTATCTGCAAACATAGCTCCTGGGCATCCAGTTCACATCTGCCAGCGCTCCTCAAGTCGCCTCATTACCAGATCACGGCTCTCCAGAACAGCACTGAAGCTTCAGCAAGAAAGGCTGTCGAGAAATACAATCTGCCAGGACAGGTTGCCTGCTATGGCGACGTGGATTCCCTCGTACGCGACCCGAACGTCGATATGGTGGTGGTTTCAGTCAAGACCCCCGAGCACTACAGGCTCACTAAGCCTGCGCTTGAAGCCAAGAAAGATGTCTTCGTCGAGTGGCCACTGGGGGCGAATCTGAAGCAGGCGGAGGAGCTGACGGCTCTAGCAAAGGCAAAAGGTGTCAAGCACATGATCGGACTTCAGGGTCGTCAGAATCCCAGTGTACTAAAGGCGAAGGAAATGGTTGCTGCAGGCAAGCTGGGTGATATCTTGGGAACAACGGTATGTGGGAACACCATTACCCGTCATGCCTCAAGTTTCAAACGGCCCAAGACATTCAGGAGACAGACATGATCGGCGTAACAACCTCATGTGGTATGCCAAAGCTGACTCGTGATGCTTGAAAGATGTTCGCTTATGGAGTGATCATGGGGCCAGTGACTCCGGTCGCACTGGAATATGAGCTGACCTTCGAAAACGGTGCAACTCTGGCAACCATACCGACCATGCATGGAACAGATGCACTTTGCTTTGTACTTGGGGAATTCAAACATCTCCAGGCCACGCTGGCCAACCATCGACCAAAAATGCCAATCGTCGATCCGACGTCCGGAAAAGTCCTCAGGACTGTCGACAACGACACCCCGGATCAGGTGAGTATAACTGGGACTCTGTTGAACGGAGCTGTAGCAACCATCGTGTACCAAGGAGGGCAGTCGCCCACCGAGAAGGGTCTGTACTGGGAGATTAGGGGAACCAAAGGCAGCCTGATTATCGAGGGGCCTAATGGCCTTCTCGAGATGTTCCCTACCACACTGAAATTTGTCGGGCAAGGTGGACAACCAGAGGAGATTGAGACCGAAGTCGCTGCAGACTGGGCGTACAATGTCGACAAGGCCTGGGATGCGTTTGTAAGTAGAGGGTTGGGGACCGTGCCCACTTTTGAAGACGCTTTGGTTCGACATAGGATGATCGATGCCATACATAGGAGCCACGAGAAAGGGACCCGGGAGGCATATCTCTGACGTCCATAGGAGACGGCTGCTGTCATGATGGGCGACGTCGTCTTGATGTCGCTTTCCTCAGCGAGTGGCATGTTGAGACAGGGTGTCGGTGAAAGTTCCGTGAGAGTGCGAGACTGCCGAAACAGGTACTCGGATCAGCGGAGAAAGTTGATGTTCACGGAGAGGCACTGTAGTCTACCTTCCCGTCACAACAGCTTTAAGTGTCCTGTGACCTGATCAACCACGCTCTTAGGACCAAGTATGCCTAGGACCGTGGCACTGCCCGCAGCGATCTGGGTCCTTCCTGCATCGTGTATTATCCTTGCACAAAGCCCTAAGCTAATGGCTTGGGCTTGCAGTGTCTCCAATTCTTCCTCGGACTTGACTTGGACTGCAATTTTGGGTTGTCCTCCTTGTTCCCAACGTTTAAGCATCGGAGCTGACGTGACATGGTTGAGTAGATACTTGTAGCAGGCAAGCGTCGCGTGAGAACATTGAGCTGCGATTTTGCCTGTGAGGGAGAGATTAGCCAGGAGATTCTGCGTTATAATAAGCTTTCCCTCACCTTTTCCCATTCCCAGGTCTGTTCTCACGCCTAGGACAAGTTTGACGTCCTCACTGGAGTCCTTGAAATCCTTCAATTCTTTCCCATCCCCATCTTCTCCGTCTTCATCCGCCTCATCCTCGTCATCGGCCTGGTCATCGCTTGAGTCGGCGTGGACTTTGACATCGTAACTGTTTGGCCAGCTCGTCTTGGCCTGTTTCGAGCCGCCAGAGCCGCCAAAGACACCAATACTGGACCCTTGGCCGATGAAGTAGCCTGCCAGCAGGCCGAGAATGAGCGAAGAGACTGCGACAGCGGTGAGAGAAGGAGGGGCCTTTTCGGCCATGATCGAGCTCGTTTCAGGGCTGGCCTTGCTTGCGAATACCAGCACGGATCAAATTAGCAACCTGGCTCCAGTCCGTTGCTCCTGCTCTCATCAATTGATCCCGCCCGCTGGAGTTGTAGCTGATTGTTGGCTTTCAAGAGTCGTGCAAAAGGGAAAAACACGCCAAGATCCAAGAAGCAGCTAGTACAGAAACGAATTAGCGTCTCCGGCCAGCGGTGGTGGGGGATCCAAGGACGAGCTTTCGGAGAGCTTTTATACAATCTACTGTGCTCATATGGAGGACTCTTGCCCGCGCTTCTTCTAAGTTGCGCGCCGCTACTATGATACGGCGAGCTCACCGTGCTGTTGCCGTCATGTCAGCTGGCGACGAGCGAGTCCTTCGAACTCCACTGAGAGCACAGTATCAGAGGGCTGGTTCAGCAGCCGGTGAGAATCCACCGCCACCACCTTGCGTGTACAATGTTCCTTCCCCGTCACTGTCTCGGTAGCATGATCGGCAGAAGCGCTTTCGGAACTCGAGAACCTTGCAACGGCAGGATTGTTGTCTGTCTCCGCTGCGGAAGCAATGATGTCGTTGCCAAAGTGTCTCACAACCAACCAAGTCGGGACCAAAGCCGCCGCCCATAACCCGAGTTTGATATACACCCCGCCCACTTCAGCAAAGATCTTGATCGAATTCAAGCCGTAGCTGACAGCTTGCCATGCCGATTCCGTACTATCTTCGTCAGCTTCTTGTCGCGAAAAGGGAACGAACTTTTCTTACCCACGAAGCAACGCAGCATACCGAATGATCTCAGTCGGTGATATCGCCAGTTGTCCGATCAGGAAATAGCAGAAGAGGTAATTCATCTGGAATCCCGTGGTCAAGAACAAGAACGGAACAAAAGCGTGACCAAAGCCGCTGCTCGTCCAATCGTACGAAGGTCTTGAGTGTCGGAACTTGGTCACAAGGACTGTCGCCCAAATCCACCAACCGCCTTGAAGCATCACAAGTGCCAGGAAAGCAGTCCTTGACCTGAACCTCACCGAGAATTTCGTGCGGTCAAGGTACTGGCCAAGGATATTTCCACAAGTCACAGCCATGATCCCCGACAGAAAGGAGCCTAATGCTCGGGCTCGGACACTGAACCACAAGGAGAGGTAGGTGAAGAAAACAGCTTCCGCATAGACAGTCTGACCGATGAACAGGATTAGCAGTAGGTATTTTTTCGTAAAAAACGTCCTCGTCGTCGCCTTAAGCTCGCGCCAAGGATGCTCCAGAATTTCCAACTCGACCTTCAGGCCATCAGTCCGTTCGACTTTGTGGGGTCGATTGAGTAGCAGCGCTATGAATGGTCCCAGTGCTTGCAAGGCGATGAAAACCAAGTACACGACGTAGCTGACTTTTCCCGCTTCGTGGCGGTTGACGTTGATGCCGAGGTTGATTGCGCCGCCCAGAATCTGTCCACCTAGGCGGTAGGTAAGCCAGTAGCCCAATATTCTCCCTCGATTGTATGGTTCGGGGTATGCCAAAGCGATGGCGGCCTCCGCCGACCAGAATACACCCGCCGAAATGCCGCATAGCGCAGCTCCGACGAGCACCAGCCATTCTGTCCCGAAGCGGTTGTTGGTGTAGAGGCCTGCAGCAAATGGAGCATAGCCCAGAGTCCCGAAGATGAGAGCGCCCTTGATGCCAATGTATTTGGCAAGCACGGGGGAGAGGAGACAGGAGATCACCATCAAGCAAAAGGTCAGTGCATTCGCGGCGTTGACAAGATATGGCTTCTCTTCACCCCCGGCACCGAGAGAGTTCATTGCTCCCCATATACCGGGAGCTGAAAAGTTGCAGGGCCCCAGGATTGTGGCGTTGTAGAAAGTGGAGCGGTACCATCGAACTGTACGTGTTCAACTAGAGCCCTCTCACCTGGGGGATTAAAGGACTGACCTGAATGCTTCTGCACAGACGATTCCCTGACATCCTGGATCTCGGGATGCTTCGTGATGACAGAAGCTGCACGAGACATCTTGTCCACTTCAATTCGACGCTAGAAGAGGAGAAAGTGTCAAGAGAGAACTGCCGAGTAAGGACAAAGACGAGCCAGGGCAACGGGCGAAGCAGGTCAACCTGAAGTTGGCAGAAGAGATAAGCTGCGATGGCCTTCTTACTTGTATACTGGCCGGGGCTAAGCTCATAGTCGATGCGTGGCAATCAACGAGCACGCCGTCGGTCTCGCCGCGAATTTTTCTCGAGCGAATGGAGCTCAAAGACGTCAACAACGCAAGGGAGGACGCCACATACCAGCAGGCTAGCCGGACAAGGCGCGTCTTCCCAAAGACTTGGTTGAAACCAGTCCTGCACGTCTACCGTACGGGACGCAGGATCCATCTCTAGAGACCCTGGATCCTCCTGCAGTTTCGACTCCGTCTATCGGTGGAATTGCACTCGAGTGTTGCCATACCAAGGGTGTTCCACGTGCTTCTGTGGTAGTGGTTGTCCGTCAAGATCATGTCTGGAGGAAGGTTAGCGGCGCTATAAAATGAGTTGCCAGCCACGCGGGAAAGGCTCGTCGTGATATGTGGAGCAGATTGCACCATCCACTATACCACCGACGAAGCTCGCCTGGAAAGATGGGAACCCTGCCATTTGGACGGACATCAGCGCGGGCATGCATGCAGGAGAGCCTTTAAGCCAACGTCGATACAGCGTGAACAATTTGCCAAACTGACTTGGAGGGGGCCATTGAAGACTTCCCGTACACGTTTCTACGCAGAATCAGGTTCCGACTCACTCGCCTAAAGCCATCATGTCGTCTACGAACGGCACGCGGGAACGGGATGAAGAAATCGGGCCGTCAAAAAGCAGTGGATTCTGCACGCCTTCGTCGAGACTTGCTCCGGCCACCAGTCTCCTGGACTATGGAAACACCCTGCAGACAAGTCGCACCAATTCAACACATTGTCTCACTGGACGAACCTTGATCAACTCCTTGAACGTGGCAAGATTCATGGCATCTTCATTGCAGACGTCCTAGGCGGCTACGATGTCTATTTGCAGTCGCTCGATCTTGCGATCCGTTCGGAGGCACAATGGCCGGTCCATGAGCCGCTTGCGTCGATCCCAGCCATGGCAGCCGTGACGAAATCCATTGGCTTCGGCGTGACTGTGTCGACGACGTACGGATAGCCATATCATCTTGCTCGCCGTCTTTCGACACTCGACCATCTCACCAACGGCCGTTTGGGTTGGAACATTGTCACTTCGTACCTGGATTCTGCGGCGCGCAACATGGGTTACTCGTCTCAACCACAGCATGATGACCGCTACGCCATGGCTGAACAGTATATCCAGGTGATGTACAAGCTGTTCGAGTCGTCGTGGCGGGACGATGCCGTCAAGTTGGACCGGCAGACCGGTGTGTACAGCGACCCATCTCTCGTTCGGCAAATCAACCACAAGGGCAAGTTCTTCGACGTCCCGGGTCCACATCTCTGCTCGCCGTCGCCACAACGCACGCCCCTGCTACTACAAGCAGGCACGAGCTCCAAAGGCAAAGTGTTCGCGGCGCAGCATGCCGAGGCTATCTTCGTGTCCCACCGTTCGCCCGACGCATGCAAGGCAAATATCGCAGGCGTCAGAAGGCTGGCAAAGGAGGAGTTCGGGCGGTATCCCCAGAACCTGAAAGTTCTGGCGCTGGTGACGCCGATTCTGGGCCGGACGGAAGAGGAGGCCCAGGCAAAGTATGCAGATTACAAGCAGTATGCGGACCTAGAAGGTGCGTTGGCGCTGTTCGGCGGCTGGACTGGAATCGATCTGAACCAGTACGAAGAAGACGAAGAGCTGACGTATGTCGAGAGCAACGCCGTGCGCGCGGCAGTCGAAAGCTACGCACGGTTCAGTCCCGGCGTCGGAAAGTGGACCAGGCAAACGATCGCGGAGCATGTGAGCATTGGCGGCAACGGGCCCGTGCTGGTCGGCACGCCGGGCCAGGTGGCGGACGTTCTGTAACGGTGGATTGACGTCGCCGATATTGATGGCTTCAACATCGCGCACGCTGTGTTTCCTGGCAGTTTCGAGGACGTGGTCGAGCTGCTTGTGCCAGAACTACGGAAGGGAGGTTTGTTTTGGAAGGATCACGCCGTCCCTGACGGGGCGTATCGCGAGAACTTCTATGGACGACAGGGCCAGACGGGACCGCTCGAGGAGCATGTAGCAAGTCGGTACAGGTGGAGCACGGGGGCGAGGGCGGAAGAGCACAACATTCCAGCTTAGGAGGGCCCAGCTTCAAGGAAGCAGGACAGTGGAACTCGTCTCCAAAGGCATCAATGCACAATCATTCAAGGGCCTTTCAAGAAATTACTGGCTGGCCAAAACTACAGCCGTCTGGGCCTGCGCAAAAACAGCTCGGAGATTTCCCGACCCCGAGTTTGCACACGACTCACAACAGCATCGCGCCCGGAGGAGGCTCTCTATCTACATGTCCCATACACGCTGTACGCGCGTGCAGAACCCCAAATTCCTTCCCACTCGTATCGCCTCAATCCCAGTATTTCTTCAGCAGCTCCTCCTCCACGCCCGTCCACCTCGCATACGCCGCCAAAAGACCGCCCACATGGTTCATCAATCCGCCCCGAAAGCCCGGGAACTTCATATCGCTCATCTCCCCAATCAGCGCCGTGTGCAGCAAACTCCGCGGCATCCCGGTCTCCGGATCCGCCAACCCGTCATTATTCAGCCCAAACAGGATGTACAAGCTGCGTTCGAACCCGGCGTGCGCCGGCCGCACGAACCCCTTGAACGTCACGTCGGTATCGCCGTCGTTGAAGAACCGATGGATCGTCCCGACGGGAATGTCGGCAGCCTCGCCGGGCTTGAGGCGCAGGGTGTCCAGGCTGTGGAGGTCCTTGCCCAGCAGCACGCCAATCCCGGCCCCGTCGAGGGCCTCGAATCGTTCCGCGTACGTGGTGTGGTAATGCAGAGGGGGTCCGCCGCCCGGTTTGCATACCAGGACGGCGGCGGCTTCTTTGCCGTCGGTCTCGTAGCCGTACGTCGACCAGGTAACGGTTTCGCCGGTGTTTTTGTTGGTGATGGAGCGGCGCTTATGGTCCTTGATGCCTGGGGGGATGGTGCGGTCGCGGTCGCGGTCGTGATTTGCAGGCGACATTGTATGTCCCTGTCGGTCGTTGGGGATCTGGGTTGTGATGAGATTTGAGATCGAGCCTCGTGGAACTTTAGTCTTGATCTTGATCTTGACCTGCGATCTTGATATCCACAGTCAAACTGCACGATCTGCAAACAGGTATACCAAATTGCAGCCTTGCGCGGGCAGAGATAGCTAGCACCCCAAGGAGTAGGTATGTACTGTAACAACTTGGGTAGCTGCTCTTCGTTTCCTTTCCTTACCGGTGAGAAGGTGGAACGTCCACCCTCTTTTTAAACCACCACTGGCGCAGCGTAACGTTTGGTGGTGTCAAGCCAAGAAATGTAACTCTTCAGGCGAAAGCGTGCCCGGCGTGGTATCGTGGTATCGTGGCATCGCGGCAGACGTGTTGGTCGCCCCTCAGCTTGACCTCGCCAAGACTCTTCCTCACATTACTAGTAGCTTGCACAGCCTCTAGGAATCGGAAAAAGCGTTTGTCGTTGTTCAGTCGTCTCACGGTGTCGCCTACGACGTATCACTAACAGCAATACCGAGTACATCGCAGCTGAGCCATGTGCTGGCTGGCTTGCTTCCGCCCCCAACCATTCAGTGGCCTTCATCGGGCACCGACTCAATCCGTATCCGGTGTCCGTGATAAGGCATTGATAGGGTAAGCCACCATTAGAAAGAGCGTGATCACAGTATAAAGTCGTAACTTGTAAAGCGTGAAGCGAGGACCAAGGCAAGAAGTCTAGCACCAAGTAAGCGCAGGCCCCTGGACAGATGGTCTAAGACTAGCCAAGCATGCGAGGCGAGGTTTTTAATTGGAGTATGTAACTCGTAATCCGTAACTCGTACTCCGTACTCGTAGTTGCAATCCATCCCGGTCGGCCCAACTTAGCGAGCTTGAGCTGTATTAATACTGTAACCCCTCCGAAATAGGAAGTACGTTTCTTCTGCTTGTGGATACGAGTATCGGTCGCCTGAACTGTCTTGCCTCAGCTCTTGGGGAGCTACACATTAAGCTACTGTGTACGACTGGATCTTGACATAACGTGTGAGTTTCCTGCCACGATTTGGAACACGTAACTTTAAGGATGATGATACCACGGCGTTGCGGTCCAGGCCACCTACCTCCATGAGGGCTCGTGGGTGGTGTGCTCAGCCTCTCATTTAACGGTGAAGCATATCGCATTTGGTTGGTGATCGCCGTTCGTCAAGATCATTAACGGTTAGGGATGCGAATCTTTTGGCTTCTGAGCAGAACAAAGCAGAGCGCAGCGGAACCCCTGTGACTGAGTTTCACGTGGGGTAGGTCACGCAGGAGCCAATCTCGAATTCGTTACTAAATTAGTACTGTCCTGTACTGTGACTGTGTACGCAGTACTGGGAGACCTCCTCAGCCCTGTTTGCCACCTGATAAGGCTGTTTGGAATAGGAGGTGAAGGTGATGGCAACAATAACGGCGACCACAAGGCAAATACACACGACGACTGCATCATGAGTCTTTGCCCGCATCTTTGACGCTCTGACTGTGTTTTCTATCATCGTCGGTGTCACTGGGAGATACGAACGGAGTGTAGAACGCACGATCAGGTCTGTTTGCGACATGGTTTGAAGTCAGTATTTATCAACCACGACTCACCAGCTTGTCTCCAGTTGTCACGACTCGTTTCCACAATCCAGGGACGGACTGACCTGTATATCATATGTATAAGTATGACCTTCATGGGCCAAGACTGTAAGCAGAGAAAGATATCTTGAAACCCAGGACACATTCGGAAGAGAACCCGAGTACAGCCTTGAACCATGTTACTGAAGCATAATCAGAATCCATCCAGCTCGAAGTCAAACCCCTCTTCGCTTCCTCGGATGGAAAACGAACTCTTCAGTCAAGAAAGCACCCGCCAAAGAAGACATCGAAGTGGCCGTTAATGGCCTCGGGCCCGGCGGCCTCGCCCTCGACAAGAGCATAGCAAAGGTCCACCGCGTCTGCGCCTTCGACTACTGCTGGGAAGGCCCTCACAACCCAGTCAAGAACATTTGGTGGTCGGACAACCCGCACGACCTGTCCTTCGCTACACACTTCATCATTGCGGATTCATGCTCGCGTCGATATACTGGGAGGGAGTTCGAAGCCCGGGTGACGGATATCCTCTGGGCGCGGAGTATCATCCGAGCGGCCCTCGTTGACAGAGAGTCTCCCGCCACCATTATCCTGGCAAGCGTGGTGCCGGTGGAGGGCTTAACCAAGAAGCTCCTTGGAGAGTTCCATGCCGCAGGACATCGACTTGGCGTTGCACCACAGGTGAGTGATAGTCCGAGTCCCGTATCTGAGATATGCGGTCGTGGTGTCACAGTGGGTGTCGACGGTCATCCATGAGAAAGGCTAATTTTGGTGATGCTTTGTTGCTTCAGGTCGACTTGAAACCCGGCACCAATGAATACCTCAATGGCCTGCCGAAAGTTGTAGGAGGCATTGATCGCGAATCAACGAGGAGTATTGGTTCGCTGTACGAGTCTGTCTTTGGCAGAGACGATGTGTTTTCGCAGGGCAAGGTGGAGTTTGTTGAGGCAGCCACAGCTCATGGTTTTTTGATGACCGTTGCCTTGAGTGCGAGATTACAAAAGCTAATTGACGATGATATTGATCGTATGGCCGATGAGTACGGTTCTGAGTGGTCTGATGAAGAGTGGTCCGATGATGAGGGGTCCGATAAAGAGAGCTCCAAGGACAAGAGAAGCTCCCATGTCACCGCGCACAATATTGGCAGTCCGGACTTTGACCTCAGCGAAGACTCCGGCAGCTCGAGCAACACGGCTTGGAGCCGCAGCCAGAAGCGCCAGTACTCGCAGCTGCGGATATGCAGGAATAACCTGCGTATGACCATTGGAAAGAGCTTTAGCCATGGTGGACATGCAGGCGGGCCAGTAGCTACAGGCTGTGATGGGCAGTGACTATCGGCACCACCCTGGCTCTTGAGGACTGACAATGTGAGAGAACGGTGTGCTGCGAGAGAGCAATGGTTGGGCTGTCACGAAACCAAACTAGGATCTGGCAGCTTCGTGGCAAGTTGCACTGCTTGATCAGTACCAAGTATGAATAGTCAGTCTCCCTCACACAGCTCCTTTAGATATACACGACCAGAATCAGACCGTTAGACTGCGGAGGGCCAACAATGTCAAGAAATAGGACCATCTATCAACGTATGGCAAAACTCTCCTGCAATCTGCATATCCTGTGAGCCGGGAGCAGAGCTGTGTAGTTCTGTATAGCCATTGTTCCCAGATGGAGATGGGTTCGGTTCCCAGCATCCAGCACCTTCGGCAGTAGAGCAGCGGTTGATGGACCTGGATACGTTGGAAGGAGACCACCATCCAACATGCATTGCGCCTTCATTTTATCCACTCACGCAATTCCTCCAAGAAATTACTGGACAGACCGACAGTCTTGTTTTAGGGATTCAGTAGTCGAAGAATCGCCGTCAACTCTTATCCAGCAATCTTCTTGAACAATCAAAATAGTCTGCACTTGCCAGATAAGTTCCGTCTGTAAAATCTAGCTGCTGGTAATGTGCTTGAGTTTCGGGATGCGCGCATACATTTGGAATAATCCCAAGGCCGTCTCATCTCCAGCCAAGCCAGTCCAGCTTTCCGATATCCACACCTTTCATCCTCAAGATATCGTACGCTGTGACGGCGTGAAAGTAGAAATTCGGCAAGGCAAAGTCGTTGACATAGCTCAATGCGTTGAATTTCCTGTCCCGGATGGTGACCTCATTACCCTCCTTTCCCTCAAAGTCCTCTCGTTTCACACCCTCAAGGAACTTGATGGTCTTGGCAATGCGGGCCTGCAGCTCATCGAAGGTTTTTTCGTTGTCATCCCATGACTGGTTCTCGACGCCGCCGACACGGACAGCCAGGAACTTGGCAGTGTCCGAAACAGTTTGGATTTGAAATGGTAGCTCTTTCATGTCAGGCGCAATGCGGCATTCGAGGATTTCGGAATGTGGCATCCCCTTTGTGTTGGCAAAATCTTCTCCTTTCTTGAGGATCTTGGAGAGGATGTTGAGGACGCGTATCATGGGCAAGACGGCCGTGTCGTACAAACTGAGGGGTGGCATGATGGAGGTGTTGAAGGGGTCAGGGGCACGTGGTTCAATTTCTAACCACGAGTTTGGTTCGCAATCCCAGGCCGACCTTGACGATGTTGAAGGTCGTGCGTAGGAATTAAAGCATATTCCACTCGAAGGTCGCCTCGAGGCTACCTGCCTTGATTTGTCAGCTCGAGTGAGTGTTGCCGACACCCACCCGACGGGCGCCCGACATCCGCGCGCAGCTTCGACGACTGATGTGGATCATTCAATCACAAGCAACTGCGATAGCCGACCGATTGGCTGGTCGCATAGCCTGAACAACAGAGCAGAGGCAGCAACGCGTCCGATTTAAGTGTTGCAAAACACTCAGTTAGGCGCAGTCGGGTTTCGGCATAGAAGATGGCCTGGTACTTGTGGATTCAGCCCGGGGGATTTGTAATGTAGTGTTGAGTGTGATACTGTGAGCGTGTCTTTCAGTTGACCAGGTCTTCACAGAGCTGCTTTCCTGAATCAGCCCTTAGTTGAGATCGTCTCCAGAATTGTCAAAGTGGTAATATGGCAGAGCCAACGGATTTCGAGCCTGCGCTGATGGACGCTATTGGAGACGAGATGAGAGGATATCTGCGGCTAATCAATTGCTCCCTCGTGTGGGAGACTTTGAGTGACGACGTCGAACTTTCAGACCAAACTGAAGTGAAGTTGAGGGCAAAGCGATGCCGATGTATAACCGGAATCACTCAAGATCAACTCCACCATTGTACGGAGTACTCTCTAGACGACCTCTTCATGCCACAACACACTCTTATCTCGTATAATAAGTCCACCATGAGATAATCAAACGTATACATGAGGCTCTAGTGCCGCCATGACCGTGCCGCGGACACCTCGCATGCCAGCACCGTGGAGATGGCAAGAGGCCGAGCGCGACAGATCATCTTCCGCATCTTCTACAGCACCTCTTTCACGGCCGTCTTCATCCTCCTCATCATATTCAGCGCCGTTACACCTGCCGACACCATCTACGAGTCCTACAAACGGAATCGCCTGATCGATATCTTCCTGATTGCCGGCGTCTACGTTTTTACTGCTCTGCTCGCAGTCCTCATCTATGCGTCCAGATTATACACGAATCGGTCGGTGCTTAAGGATATACCGAAGACGTTTATGCCCATCGAGAAGGAAGATCTTCCGGGCCGAAGAGTGCACCGACTCATCCAAGAATGCCTAGAGCGGAGTGCCGTGATTGCTTTCCAGGTCAGGCCACGGAGTAAAAGACTCGAGCACGATACAATTAACGCCGGGATGAGAATGTTGGCCTTGACAAAGACAAAATCAAGTACCGATCAGACGGTCGAGCCGAGCTGGGGAAACATCGCGCATGCAGGGTGGTCGTCGCCGGCGTCCAAGGAATTGCCCGGTCTCGAGTACGCGACCGTGGTGGATGAATTGGTTGATCTTGTGGAAGCAAAGGCCGTCAGCGTTGCGCCAATAGATCCGTTGGTTGAGCCTGGGCCTGATGGAAGTCCACTACCCAACCCGAGAGTCATTGACGAAATCGCTAGGCGCGGCGATATGGGGATGAGATCTTACCTTCGATACCTCATTGACATTGGCGTGGTTCCGGACGATTCTCTTACTGTCGCATTCCTAGCGGCATATGAAAGAGCCCGGTTTTCGTCAGTGCCACTGAGCGACGAGGACTTCCGCGCTCTTATGCGCATGTTTGCCGAACTACTGCGCCACATGACGCCGGTCGACGTTGATCTGCTCCATCTCGAATCGGACTCGGAATACCGCTCTGGACAAGATTCGCACTCGCAATCAGATACCTCGAGCCTGGTGGACAGAAAGGTTGCGCAACGGTCTCGGGATAGGGATGCAGACACGGCCTCTCTTCCATCCACATACTCTGCCTTGGGCTCTGTTCGCCGTCATAAACAGCCTCCACGCCGTGTCTCGGAAGACTCTGCGCCGTCTCTGTCATCATACGAACTTGTGCACCACGCACCTTCAGAGGCGGGCACCGAGAACCTCGATGGTGATGAAACAGGAGACGCTGATACCCGGACACCTCAAACTGCACCAACAACAGCAGCACCACGACCCCGTTCTCGACCCCGACCGCCACTCAGGACCTCGACGAGTAGGATGTACTCCGCTGTGTCGAGACTGGCTTCACACCCAAATCGCTCTGGCTCCTCACACTCTGACACTGGCTCAGTCGTGCATCATGATGTGGAAACACTAAGTTCACGCTCCTCGAGACGTTCAAAAAGCCGAGCCCGAAAAGATAGGCATAATGGTCGTGTTCTCAGACTTGCGAGTGAAGCTGAGAATGGGCGTGGGGGTGGGGATGGCCAACATGGCTTGCCCTACCGCATCCAAATCCCACAAGGAGATTCCGGGTAGAACAGGACGAGCAACAGATTCATGACGGTACGACGGACATGATACGAGAATAAGTTTTGCGCAGCTCAAAGCTGCATTAATGTTTCATCACGGGCAACAGCTGCTTGGTTAGCCGGCGGGCCCTTTGTTTGGATATAATGTATAGTGTATTGTTGTACTCATAGTTAGCAGGGCGTCCGAGCTCTTGATGAGGGTGTATTTAGTAAATGTCTACCCGGACCACTCCCCTGGGGATTATCATTTTTCATTATCATGAGTAGCACACCCATCGTTCTCACATCGTCATCATCATCGTAGCGAGGAGAGACCCGTTTCCTATTGTCTACGACCCAGTTCGCTACAACAAACCCGAACGCATCGCTTAGAAACCATCCCAGTAGAATAACCGCAAATAGTTACCCCCACTCGCGTGTTACTGTCCTGAACGCAATGCTACCATGAAACGTCAACGTTATCTCGTTCAGTTCTCCTCTACACGAGAACCTCGCCCCTTGAAACCCGGAAAGCATTCCACAAGGTCATCTGCCTCGTCAGGTGTGACGCTCTCCTCTAGCATCTGCGTCGCCATCGCCACCGTCTCGTCGCTCATAAGCCGGTCGATCACGAACCCTTCCGAGAAGGCCAGCCGCGTGAGCACAATGCGGTGTTTGTGCACGCCGCCGTTGATCGCCGACAGTTTCTCTTGAAGATTGATGGAGCTGCCATGGACCTGAAGGATGTGGTACAAGAGAGAGACGCCTTTGTTGACCATCTCGGCGTGCAGGTGATGGGTGGTTGGGTGGAGCTCGTACATGGCCGAAACTTCATCGTAGAGGCTTCTCACCAGACGGCCAATGGCATGGGCGTCGTTCGCGAGCAGCAAACTGCCGTGATGAGATGGGTCATCATGGGGGTGCGGCGAGGAAGTGATCGCCATCTTGGTCAGCAAATCCATAACCTCCAGCCGGAGCTGGCAGAGTTGAGCGGCCGTGTTGGGAGGTAGACCTTCGTCGACACGCGGTGTTTCCCACAGGAGGTAGCATATGCGGCTCAGAGTCCAATGCTCGACTTGGGTTTGTTGATCGTCAGTGCAGATGCTTCCAAAGGTCGAGGGGAAGATACTGGTCGAAAGGAGGCGAAGCATGAGCGTGATGTCTGAAATGGGCTGCCAGGCATTGAGCATCATGAGGACAAATTCTGGGTTCATCTGGCGCCAGAACAATGAGAGTAGCTTCGGGTCGTCGGACACGGTGTATGCTACGGTGAGCATGAGCTCTAAACAGTGTGTGCCGTTGACATCCCGATTTAGAATGGATTGTGGCGTCTGTCGGAATTTGCCATACGTCGCGTGGTAGACAGGGGAGTGTTCGAAGCGGTTCTTTGCATTGATGGTGATGGAGGATTGGAGGACGGGGCTTAGAGAGGTGATGAGGTCGGCGTCGAGGACGGACATCTCGAGGTCGACAATGTAGTTGACAACTTCCAGGAATAGGCTGATTGGCTTGTAGTATTGCTCTTTTATGCACTTGGACCACAGGTCGACAAAGAGTTGGAGGACGTCACTGGGGAGACGGCTGCCGGTAAGCTGAGCAGTGCCTCCCAAAATAATGGCAGAGAACGTCTTGGCCGGACTCGAGGGCAATGTGAACTTGACAAGGGCTTCAACCAGGGGCTCTTTGGTGTCGTTGAGCTTGTATTTGAGGATAGACTGTAGGAATTTGAGATGCCGCTCAGCCCGTTTGTCCTTTCGAACGACGGGGACCACGGGCTCGACAATTTGCACAGGTTGAGGTGGCATGTCATTCTGACCTTGACGCGTCAATCGCAAAGACAGAGGCTTGATGGGACTTGCCTCTGCAGCTTTTCGTTTTCTTTTGTTCGCCGCGGACGGGGTTGGTGGCTTGGAGCGTCGAGCAGATTTCGAGGGCGATACGAGCATGATATCGCCATCATTGAAGCCGTCTCGAAGCGAGTTTGCCGCCCCGCGTCTGGGCGTCGCGATAGGACTCGCCTCTCTGTCGGCTTGGGGCCTGTCCCTTAGGCGCTGTCTCAATGCTTTGCTTTCCTGAACTTCCTGGTTATGCTCCTGCTGCAGGAAATTGTACTGAGTCGTCAGGTTGTTGTTCTTCTCGGTCAGCGCATATAGCTGCGCCGTATGTTTGGCTAACTGCTCTTCCATAGACTTCTTGAGGGCGCCAAGCTGTCGGCTGTAGCCTCTGCTCTCCTCTTCCAATTTGGCCCGGACAATGAAAATCTCGCCCTTCTGCAGGGTCACTGCGTCGTTTGCTGCTCGAAGCTCCTGCGCGAGTTCATCCCGTTCCTGCTGTAGTTTCTTCAGGCGGTACTGGACGTCTTCTTGTTCATCTTCCTGCTCAGCGTGTCCACTTTGCTGGAGAGGTGTATCCAGCATCATCTCATCAGGCCTGGCTGGGATGCCTTGCAACGAGCCATTGCCTCGCTCCAGTTGCAACGAGCCAGCCTGGCGCTGGTAGTCCTTGTGGACGAGAGGACGGTGAATATTGCCATCATGGGCTTGACCGTGACGTTGTTGTCGAAACTGTTCTCTCTGAGCGGTCTCGCTCATTTGTGCTCGTCGAAAAGGAAAAGAATCATATTCCTCGACCGGAGTAGGCACACCCTCATCGCCTATTAGTTCGAAGCTATCATCTTCTTCCGTGAGATATCTGTGAAAGGCAGGGTTGGAGATCAGGCGACGGGTATTGGGTATTGCTTGTGCCACTGTTGTCCTAGGTTGCGGTATCGGAGGTAGCCTCTGCTCCGGTAGGGGTTGAGCGTCCAAACCCTGAACCTGGGCCTGCGTTGACAGTATAGCATTGTGCTCGAGCTCTTGGAGAGCGGTTTCTGAGAGGCTGTCAAAGCCATCGTCGTCGAAGAGGTCGGTCTCGTCTTCGTTGTCGTCCATGCCATTCATGTTCGACCTCCATTGAGGACTAGGGACGATGAGTGTCTGGACATCTTTGGCATATCAGACAAATACCGTTGACAGGGGGTTGCCGGCGTTGATACCGCTGTCAAAGACGCGACTGACGCGGTATGGCCAGTGGGGGAACAGTGAAGGCGGATTGTTCCATGTGTTTGTGAATGTTGCATTAGCGGTGGCGGATTCACGAGGCCACGAGCCATTGCCGAGCTCCGGGTCCCTACGTAGCTGACGTATTGGCGCCTAAGCCGCTTCTTAAACACACCGGGCAGCCCTATGACGCAAGTTCCGGCGGCGCCCAGGCGAAGTCAAATTGCTTTGCGCGGGCAGACTGCGCTCTAACATGATTCTTGGTGATCATTTTGAGGCGCTGTCGGAACACTGCGACACTCCCCACCACTTACTACATTCAAGTTCCCTCAAGTAAAGGTGAAATATCAATCGCTATTCATTCCAGAATCAGCAGCACAAGACCCTGTCGACAAGCTGCGCTTAGTAGGGGCGCCAACCACAATTGACCAGCACGTGTTAAGAGAGGCATCCCCTCTCTTTCCCAAACTGCAATCTCCATCTCCTTCGGCCAACGAGCACCCCTGATAAACGGCAAAATCTCCATCTCCTTCGGCCAACGAGCACCCCTGATAAACGGCAAAATCTTCAGCCTGCGGCTCGGTCATCTCGCACGCGCGCAGCCATGCCTAGGCAAAAGGGTGTCAAGTTCCAGCATCGGAACGGCAATGGTAATGGCAATGGCAACGGAAGCCATCATCGTCGATCAAGCTCCTCCACCATGAGCGATACTGCTTCCGAACCACCGAGTCCTTCCAGAGAGAACCACGACAATAACGTGAATGGTGATGTGGTGAAAAGCGAAAAGCCAGCAGAAGTCTCAGAATACGAGAAGAAGAAGCAAACCTTCATCACACGAATGATATGGACACTGGTCATGATCGCTGGTTTCTTTGGCTCCATGTTTGCCGGCCACATCTACGTCCTCATGATCATAACCGCTGTCCAGATCATCTCGTTCAAGGAGGTCATCGCCATTGCTCAGGTGCCAACTAAGCAGAAGAACCTTCCCTTGACCACCTCTCTGAACTGGTATTTTCTGGCCATTACGATGTACTTTCTCTACGGAGAAAGCGTCATCTACTACTTCAAACATATACTTCTGGTGGATAAGGTCTTGCTGCCCTTTGCGACCCATCACCGCTTCATTAGCTTCATGATGTACATCTTCGGTATGCATGTCCTGTATTTGTCTAGTCCAGCGCTGACAGCCTAACAGGGTTCATCTCCTTCGTTGCCTCATTGAGGAAAGGGTATTATCGATTCCAGTTCGCCCAGTTCGCTTGGACTCATATGGCCCTCTACTTGATTGTCGTGCAAGCGCACTTCATGATGAACAATGTGTTGGAGGGCATGATCTGGTTCTTCCTTCCCGCTTCTCTGGTCATCACCAACGATATTTTCGCATACATCTGCGGCATTACGTTCGGACGCACTCAGCTCATTAGTCTTTCGCCCAAGAAGACCGTCGAGGGATTCGTGGGAGCCTGGATTTGCACAATTTTCTTCGGGTTCGCACTTACGAACGTCCTGATGCGTTACAGCTACTTCATCTGCCCCGTCAACGATCTCGGTGCCAACGTTTTCACTGGTCTGCAGTGCGACCCGAACCCCGTTTTCAAGCCCTACCCCTATAATATCAAGGGCTTGACTGGCTTCGACTACACATTTTACATCTCGCCCATGCAGGGCCATATCCTTGTGTTCGCGACATTCGCCTCGCTCATTGCTCCGTTTGGAGGTTTCTTCGCGTCTGGCCTGAAACGGACATTCAAGATCAAGGACTTTGGCGACAGCATTCCCGGACACGGCGGCATGACAGATCGTATGGACTGTCAATTTATCATGGGTCTCTTCGCCTACATGTATTATCAGAGCTTTATCGCCGTCTACAAGACCTCCGTGGGTAGTGTCCTTGAGACGGCTATCATGGGTCTGTCTCCAGAGGAGCAAATTGAGTTGTTGAAGAGACTGGGCTGGTATTTACAGGGTCAGGGTATTGTGTCAACCAAGGTAAGCATCCCTTTATCAGACATATTGCATCTGGCACTAACACGTACCGCCAGGTTGAGCAATGTCTATCTGGTGTGCTCGGAAAAAAGTGACGATGAGACGAACTGCATATAATGTTTCTTCGATTCTTCGTATTGTGCGCCCTAAAATACGTCGCTTATCAGAGCGTTGTTCTGGACTAGCATAGCGGTGGAGTCCGGGTGACGGGAGACGATGCCTCGAACATGAGGTGCTGCTTCCAATATCGCCATCTTTTGTGGAAGAGCGAGCGCTGCGCGCTTGCTGGCCATTTGGCTGTACGCTTGGGCACGGGGAGTACAAAATTCGTTCGCGGTGGAAGACCCGGAAACTCGTGGTCTGAGTTGTCAAGGGCTTCGGAGCCTCACTTGCAATGTAATGACGTGTATGAGCTTCTTCGGCGCTTGCCATGTCGCCGAGATCGAATCATGCCATGGTGAAAAGAGACCATGGCTCCTTTCCATTGCTACTTTTTTCAACTCTGACCTCTCCCACCTCCGCCACCCCCTCTACCCCTCCCGTGCCCTCTTCCACCACCCCGTCCTTGCCCGCCGCCTCCACGGCCGCCGCGCTCCGCCCCTCTGCCACCACCAGTGTGGCCTGCCTGTCCGCCTCCACGGCTCCCCCGCTGACCGCCATCTTGGCGATGCTGTTGTTGATGTTGCTGTTGTTCTCGTGCAATGTCGATAATCTCCTCCGGAACACGAAGATACTTGATCTACATTACGCAATTAGCCCCGATATATCAGAAACAGAAACAAAAAGAATCACGAATACGCACGTTATTCCCCCTCACGTAACATTCGGGCAACCTCCAGAATTTGTCGCCCTCGGGGCTTGTCTGCACGACTTCCTTTAGTGTCAGATTCATCCATGTGTCGCAGTTGACGAGGTGGCCGTTGAGGGTTTCGCCGTTTTTCAGCTCCACGAGCATAGGATGGCCTTGTGCCGCTGTCAAGAGGCCGAGGGGGAGCATGGCGAGTTGTGGGTTTGCTTGCGGATGCCCCTCGTGTCGCGAACTGCGGATAGCTTGCTTAGATGTCCCCCTTGGTGATGGTCGTGGTGTTGGATCGTCCTTCGGCGCTTATCGTCCAGTCCCACCTGTTGCTAGTTCTCATCTGGTCCGTTGTGTTGAGTGAAGGGTGGTGACATCTGAGGAAAGGCTTGGCAATAAAGTCCCATAACCATCCTACGGTGAAGGACATAAGCACGAGGAGCGCACTTTTGATCACGTGTCTGTCTATCAACCGGCTTGTTGACCTTCCCTCGACCCATTGCCCCGAGTCGTTCCTCGCTCTCACCCACATTCCCACTTCCACCTGTAGATGTAAGCGTTGCGGTAGCTCAGTAAACATTGTCTATAAGCTTGATCATGGAGTTGCATTGTCGGCAATATTGTTCTCACGTGACCGGGCAATTGGCCCTCCGATGGCTCTGAAACTCGGTGCCGGATGGCAGCCATCGGCCGAGAGGCTCGGGCAGTGCAGTGCTTGTCCCTCCGAAAAACCACGCACCAAGCCTCAAATGGCAGTGGCTGCCAGGCGCTCCACGCGTTCCGCCATCGTCCGTCTCCATCTCCCACCGCGTCTCAGGCACCAGCCAAAAAGGCCTGGGTGCCCGTCGGGCAAGCATCACTAACCTAATCAATTGTCCTTCTCTGACTTCTCACTTTCCACACACCCAGCTCTTTGAGGCTTCTGGGATATGGAGTCGTGAGAGGTGAAAGCCGTGAAGTGTGCACTTCCACTTGGAGGTGGCAGTTTGTTTGTATTCACAACCAGTTGTACAATTGACCATTAGTTGGCATCCGCCTGTCATAGTCCCATTTGCTTGGGTTGTTCATCCTTCGGTTCGGCGATTCCAAAATGTGCTCCTTATTGATGCAGGCTGCCACCTTGTTGCTTACGCTTGCCACTGCCTCTCTTCTCTGCGCTGCCTCTCCTGCCCCTTCCCCGACCCCGAAGGACATCACGACCGTTGCTGGTACAACAGGTAATTGACCTCTCAATTGCCATTGTCGCTGGTGGCTTACTCGAAGAAGGTCCTGATCACTTATCAATCTATTTCAATGCACCCTGTCCGGGTTGTTTTGAAGGCCCAGACGATGGATTGGTGCGTCATCCAAAGAGGACAATTTTGTTGTCTGTGACCGCTGTTGACGCTCGGCTTTCTAGGAACTCACCCTAGACATCGACTCCGCCGCAGAGGAGTGTGGCACCACAGCTCCTCGACTGAATGGCTTTCCTCTCGTCGCCTCAAACTACGGCAATGGTGTTGCCAGTGGGCAGGTCTTATTACAATCGACGTCTACTCGCGACTCCAGTCTTAGGAACGTCCATGCCTCGTGGGAATCAACATGCCTCAAAGGCGAAGCTTCGATAGTATCCGTCCGGCTTGAGGGGGTGGACGGTCAAGATCCTCTCAACGACACATCAGGCTTCACCACCTCCTTTAAACAGAAAGGTCAACCTCGAGTGCTCCGCCTCCAAGACAAACCTGTAAATCGGCTCTCCCAAGATTTGTGCGAGGAGTGGCTTGCATTGGGTGGCCATGGACTTTCGATCACGCCTGTCCTGTCCGAGCCACATTCCCCGGTTGACATACTGCTGCAAGCCGAATATGCACAGCTTGCACAGCTGCAGACCGACATGGAGCTGCTCCATGAACAGCTACACTCAACGCTCAGGAACATCATGTCTCTATTGAAGCAGAAGTTTACCGCCTGCTCGAGCATGCAATGCGTATGGAATACCGCAGTGGGCGAAGTGTCACCTATCGCAAACCTCCTTGTTGCTCACTTCAAGCATCACAAGAAGCTGGTTAGCGGATGCAGGGAAGGAGACGCTCAGTCACCTTGTTCAGCGGTCATCGAAGGCGAGCCTCCGGACGAACGACCCATGATCGAAAGTGAAAATTCACATGATGATCTTGAGGGAGCGCGTATCACGCCCGCTGCGCCCGCTGCGCCCGTATCAACCACACAGCCTTCCGCCTCTCCCCAACCTACCACTCGGGCTGTTACTTCTCCGGTACCTACGTATGTCCAAGCTTCTTCCGCCTCCTCATCCGCCACCCATGCCAGTGCCACACCCTCGGCAACCGACCATCACGGCCTTCCACACACACGTCCTTACGACGAACAAATCGCACTACAACGCAAACTAGGCCTTGCGATCATACTCCTTGTTCTGCTGGTCATAGTGTCGGGCGTTGTCATTCGGGCGATCATCAAATTCCGAGATCCACGACGACGAGCTGAACGTGCCGCTCGATGGGAGGAGTGCCGCACGAGGAGGCTCTATCGCAAAGCTGCATGCAAACACAAGTGGAGGACATTCTGGAAGAACCTTTGTACGCGCAAAGCAGGCACAGAGGACTATGAAGAAAAGAGAGCGGCACTTCTGGAGCAGGACGGCGGGCTCGAAGACGATGACAGCGGCCTAGAGAAAGAAGTCCGCACGATGCAGCACGCCACAGATTTCGTGAGAGATCTCGTTCAAGCTGAAGAGGGTCGAGCAAGGAACGTTCGATCAATCCACAGTCATCCGGACGGTTTCGAGCCGGCTGTACTTGGTGGAGGCGTGGGAAGCAGCCGATCTTCTGACATTGCTCCATCCTATAAAACAGATGTGACTCCGCCTCCCCGATATGAGGAAGAGCTTGAAGGCGAGATGATTGTCGTCGACGGATTCCGATACACATATACGCCCAGCAATACGGATGATACGCCGGAAAGCAGCATTGTTGACTGCAGTCCCCGGCTGAGTCTCGAGACGGGAAGATCAACCATTCTCACCAAGGACACGCAAGATTGACTGCCACCAAATTTGCGTGGTTCCATACACTTGACTGGACGAGGGGCCGGATCGCGGCATCTTGGTGCTGCAGCAGTGCCCAAAGGGTCTCATTCGTTCGGAATGGATTTATAACGACTGTACATTACGACTATGCGGGACGGCGCTGTCGGATGATCTCATACAAGAGAGGTGGTTTTCTGGGTGTCTAAAGGACTATACTGCTCAAATATAGCGTGGACAAGTACAGAGTAATTGGAACTGAAGAGATTATGCCATCTGGAAGTCAAACCCCAGAACTTCTCTGACTTACTGATCCCTTGCTGGCTCATCAGATGAATGCGTGCAGCTTATTTGCCTTATGTTGGAGTACACTCTCATTGGTGCGGTAAAACTTCAGGCCACCCCTATACATCTCCCGTAGTCAGTATTGGCATCTCACTTACAGCTGACACATCTGGACCCATGCACAACACTCGTATATACACAACTCTCCGAAGCCCATTCAGCGATCCGTTTCTGATCGATACCCTTTTCATCCACGCCAATGTTGGGGGCAGCGCAAAGTAGTCACCATGAGGCCCTCAGGCGTCCCCTTTCCGAGCCTTGAGGCGACTACGGTGTACGCCACATTTAGACACCTCGGCCGCTGGCTATTGTGCATATCCAATAGTGGCTACGTGGTGCGAGCACTACATTGCATTGCCGGATCGCCGAATCACGGCGTGGCATAAGTACAGTACAGTGAGTGCGTGCCTTGTCGATTGTCCATTATCGAATCTTTAAATGCGAGTAACCCATGCCAGATCTCGGAGCTACGCAGGAATACTCACCACTATTGCATACGTGTTAGAGCTACCCTACCAAACTCCCTGACTACTACCTACGTATTAGAAATCAAAGGGGTAGATGAATCATTGTGCACCTGGGTCTAATCTTCGTCCGCAGTACTGCCCTACCTGATATAAACAGACAAAAACAGCTCGAAAGGCCTGTGTCGAGAGTAGGGCAACCGACTTGGATTGGTAGGACAACCACTACGACGAGGACAAGCACCACCACCACTGCTGCCGCCGCCGCCGCCATCACCATCACCATCACCAATACCACGACAACAACAACAACAATATTTATATCTTCAAGCACGCAGCGCCGACCACCATGTCCCCGACCCCAGCCCCAGTCATCCTCATCATCCCCGGCTCCTTCTCCACCGCGCAAATGTACTACCCCCTCCAAGCCGCCATGACGGCCCTCCTCCCCACGCAAGAAATCTACGTGGCCAACCTGCCCAGCGCGATCCGCAACCCGCCCGAACAGCCGGCCACGCTGCAAGACGACGCGACTTTTTTCCGCGGGTTGATCGAGAAGTTAGCCGGAGCCGAAGCCGAGCAGGCCGAATCCAACCAGGCGGGGTCCAAGGCGGAATCCAAGGACGGATCCAGGGACATCATCGTCGTCGCGCACTCGTACGGCGGCGTCGTCGCGACAGAGGCCCTGCGCGGCGTATCGAAGCAGGAACGCCTCAAGGCAGGGAAAAGCGGAGGTGCTATCCGGGTAGTGTACCTCGCCGCGCACGTCCCGAAGATGGGGTCCAGTCTGGAAGATACGGTCGGCCCGCCCCCGGAGGGGATGGTGGGTGTCGGGGAGGTGCGTAAAACGTTTTACGGGGGAGCACTTTCACTCCGTGGGACCGCGTACTGACGTTACGCAACGCAGGACAACTTCCTCCGGTTCCTCGACGTCGAGACCATCGCCAACGCGACGTTTGCTGACCCGGACTATCCGTTCGAGCTTGCGCTAGCGTTTGTGCGTTCCATGGGCAGACACTCCAACGCCAGTTTTCAGGGTAAAGTGACGTATGAAGGGTGGAGGGACGTGAATGTGTCGTGGATCCTGTGCGAAAGGGATCTCATCATCCCGCCGTCCGTGCAGAGGGGGTATGTTGATCGGATTGCCGAGCAGAGTGGGCGGGAGGTCGATCTGCATGTTTTGGACGCGGGGCATGCTCCGAATGTGACGGCGGTGGAGGCGCTAGCGGAGGTGCTTGTTAAGATTGTGCAGAAGGAGGTGGCAGATCAGACGAGATGAGATGGTGTGGGGTGGGATGAGATGGAACGAGACGAGATGAATTGAGATGGATGGGAAGGGACGACACAGGATGGGATGAAATGATGTGTAGCCGCAAACGTGAGGACAGGCTGGTCAGTTCTCCTTGTACGATGCAGGTGTAGGCAGACCTGGGAGTGTGGTGTGGAATGTGGTAGTAGTCTTCTGAGGCTATGGGTCTATGGTTTTCGAGGTTGAACGCGCACGTCATCCGCAAGGGAATGGTGAGAGTGATGGAGAGCACCACCCTCACATGGTATTCGGCTTCAATCACAAAATTCCTACTGAAGGGGAGGTTGGCGTACTGTGACGTTCTCATAGTAAGCTTTGCGAGCTTGTTTGCGAGCCGTGAAGCCTGTTGATTCAAGGTGGATGATGTCAACCAAAGCTGTCCCAGCGAATATCGCGGTCTAGAGGACATTAAGCTGATCTTGTCGCGTTCATTTCTGCACTTGGCAGATCGCACCAGTTCTCCGAGGTCCATCACAGGAGGAAACGGGACACAGATGGCAGACGCAGGCTCTTCAGAGATTGCCTCTCACAAAAGACATGGCGGGACCGAAAGAGCTCTCTTCAGGTGCAGCGGCCGACACATGTTTGGATCGATACCCGGGGGAAGTGGTGATACCCAGCTGGCAAACCAGAGATGACGCTGTCCTATTCATGCTGTTATGGCTGAGCTGTGGGACTTGTATACATCTGTGGTGGGGATCTAGGATGATCGAGATGTATTGCAGTTTCCCTACCATTTTGAGAGGGCTGATTAACAGAATGCTTTCGGCAGGGAACCAATGACCAGCCTGTTTTGCATGCTTGCAGGACCCGGGCTTAGAGCGGAGCATGCCTACCAGCTGCCTTGTCGAACTGAGCTGGTGCCTGAAGAAGGGGAGAAGATGATGCGCGAACAACGTCTGGCAGGCCATCCTGTATCGCCAGAGCACCTCCGAGTCTGCAATTGCAATAGCGGGTCAACGCAGTCCCATGCTTGCTATTGGTGGAACGACAGCTCTGTTCAACGACAGAGACCTTCCTCTTTTCCTGGCATAGCTAGCTGAGCACCGGCCTGGATGCTCACGCAGTTGGAGCACGGAATGCTGCGGGATGAGACATCGCATTTCACCTTGTGAGCTTTGTAGGGATGACATGCTTTCAGTGCCCTTCTTTTCAACGCCGCAATGCTACCAGGCTTACGAGCCCGGACGACATAAATAGAAAAGGTCGACACGTGCAAATCTCTCATTGACATACGTGGGCATCTGGAGTGAAAGGTCTGCTGGATCCTGGTGAAAAGAAAGTGAGGTGACAGTCTGGTATCCTGTTGTCGGGCAATCAACGAGCTTGACCGAACAGCAAAACTCCAAGAAGATGTTGGCCCTTGTGCAGTAGCCCAAGCATGACCCAGCATCCGCAGACCTATTGAAGTAGATTGGAATCGGCGTAGCAAAGCGCGTGGAGATGGACGCGCATGCGACGCCAAGCCTTTCGTGCTGTTCAAGTTTCAATCAAGCGAACAGGCCATGTCCAGTCCTCAGTACCAAGGTCCATCATCATCTGAATCAGCCATGTGTAGCTGATGCTCAGAACTTCCGTCCGTCATGGGCTGAAGCAAAGCTCTCGCCTTGCGGCCTTTTGTGGCCAGCAACTTCTTCTCCCTACGACTCTACCTCCCCGTCCGCGGCTGTATAATGGTGCAAGGGGAAAAGCATCATCCTCAGGAGCGGCCCAGGAAGCCAAGAAACAAGATGCCGCCGATCTGACTATCTCAACAGATGTCGGGTTCCAAGGTTTCCCATACTTGACGGGGAGCAGTCGCGAGCAGGGGAAACGCGACAAAGACCATTGTGGCGCCCAGTCTGCGGCAAGGCCACGAGCTCCCCTGGAGAATACACGAGGGATCGAGGGGAAAGCAGGAAGCACACAAAAGATTCAGAGTGGTGTAGCTCCGGAATCGACAACGGGGACCTCCCGCCCCACGGGTCACAGCAAGAAGGGTTTTGGGCCTCAGCATACAGACGTATCTAATGAACCACCATCTGTCGGAGACACCTCCCAAGAATCGGCGCAAATCTCCCAGGACGCGCGCTATCCGACCAAAGGGGGATTCACACACAGGCAGCTCAGGCGCCGAATGCAAAAGCCCAAGCGCTTCCGCGCTCTTCTCCAAGAGGTCCGTCGCTCGGGCGAGGACCACCCCAGAGGACTCCTAGACGTCCACACCGGCAAGCCAGAGAAGATATTGTCCAGGAAAGTGCTAAGCACCGAAGTCCTCGAGGCGGAGTTGCGCTGGGTGGCGAGAAACACGCCAGCGCCACGAGCCGTGCGCAACATTCTGAGGATTTTGCTCGAAGAGCGCAAGATCAAGCCGATGCCTAGTCACTATGAGGCACTGATTCTGGGCCAGTGTCACCCGGAATTCGGGTCGATCGGGAACGTGAAGACGATCCTCCAAGAGATGGAACGAGAAGGCTTGCCGCTCGAAGCGCCCATCCTCCTCGCTGCATTGACGGTCCTGTCCATTCATCCCGATACGTACCTCCGCAACAACATTCTCGACCGTCTCACGAAGCAACAGTTTGCCCTGCCCAACAGCTACGCGCACCTGAACATCCTCGCTCTCATCCGCGAAGAACAATTAGAAATGGCAACAGTCGAGCTCGAGAAGTTGTCGCAAAAGAACCAAGTGCGACCAATCCCTAACTGGTTGTGGACAATCTACATCCACGCCATTTGCGATCTAAGCCAGGACTTTGGCGCACTCCTCCAACTGCTCTACAGACTTTCGGACTCCCGATTCCTCTTCCCGCGTCCCACGCTGCTTCACTTGTTGCTGAAAGCCAGCCAGGCCGGAGATATCCACGTCACGAAATGGGTGTGGCACGGATATGTAGAAGCCATGCATATCATTCCAAATGAGGACCTTTGCATGTCCGTCCTGCGTGTCGCGGTCAAGGACAAGGACCTCAAGCTGGCAGAATCTGTGGCGGTAGTGTTGGAGAGTGTGGCCGGGAATGAGATGACAGATCCGCCTGTCCTGGAATATCATGGACGCGAGCCAGCGGCAGACGAGCACAAACGGAAATCCGACCCATCCAAGCTGCCAGGCGTTTCAGGCGTCCCAATCAAAACGCGCTCAGAGTCGGAGGGGGGTTTGACCAACACGTCCACTGACGCCGTCACCGTCACTCAACCAAGGCCGACATCAGAGTCAGACTCTCCAACCGCGGAGTCCGACCTGGCGACCATGTTCTCAACACCCCCTCCTCTGCCCAATCCCGCCTTGCCACCACCTCCACCGCGCCGTCTCTCACGCGAAGCACTCGCGTTGCTCTCTTCGCTAGGGCTCAAAGACTTTGGCCCAGGACGCAGGAGGCGAAAACCAGCGCGAGGCATCTTATACCCCCTGTTTCGAGAGGAGATGGGACTGGCAGGCGCGAGATTTGACCCTCGACTCGCGCTGCTAGGGGCGTGGGATTGGCGGAAGAAATGAAACAGTATGGCCGTAGGTCGTATGCGAACGGGCGGGTGATAGGAGGACCCCCTGGGTCATCAATGCCCGGAGTTGTGTATCTACAGTATCTGCGATTGTGAATGTGAATGTGCACGGCGTACACACAGTACAACCCGGTGCTATATCATTGATGCCCCACTCAGACAGTCGTCAGGTTCAGGTGGATAGTGGCTTTCGAGTCGTTACAAGTCACTTGCTGCAGACTCGACGAACGGCGTAGATTGTGGTGGCGGGAGGCATCAGTGCGGCTTTCAGATAGTTGGTTGGTAGTTACGTCTAGACTTGCAATCAATTAATCAACACTAGAAAGACACCGAGCTGGTGTGTATCCAGCATAGACGAGAAACGGCTGGAGAACCAACCACACAGCACAGCTAGCATTATGTCTGCATTGCGAATCACATAAGCGCAGGGATCCTTGGCATGGTTTTGAAGAATCTGAGTGATGAATATTGTGGCAAGTAAGGCAAGCTGTGCTCGTCCCTATCCCATACCACACACGATACATCGCCGGTTGGAAAATGTGGTTCGACTTCTTTCTCTCCATATGGACGAGCACACTGAACTCGATTGAAAAGTAGTTTGACCGAACTATCGACGAATGCTGAAATGCCGGCAAGCCTTGGTCTTACGAGACCTGTCCACCTCCTTTTCTGATGCACATACGCCGACTCAGCCATGTTAGGCACCAACGCAACATCGGGAGATCTGCCGAATCTGGCTCATCCGAAACCCCATCGCTAATGATACAAGCATCGAGAAGAATAAGGGTGCTTCTGCCTCTTAACCTGCATGCTCCACAATCTCGCTGACGAGAGTGCCATTCTTGATCACGCTGCGTATCTGCTCCGGGAATGGCAGTTCTTTGCTGTCATCTTCAGACTCGTCCTTTGGCGGCAACACAACGTTGATGGCGCTGCACTTGCTGGTGAAGATTTCCGTGCTTAAGCTATTATTGGAAAGGTAGATCTGAGCGCCGTCGACTTGATCGAGCAGGATTGTAGGTACCACACCATCAACCTGAACCTGAACCTTGGGTGCCTTGATGATGTCCAGGCTGGAAACGAGTGATCCGACCAGTATCGATAAGCCGGTACAGTTGTCGATAGAGATGGCGTTGGCCTTTCCGCTGACTTTGAGCACGCATTTGTTGCATTTGGATATCAAAATGCTGTGGTTAAGCTCGGCAGGAATCTCGATCAGCTCGTTCTGAGTGTTTTCGAAGTTCTCGACGATCCATTTGTTGCCATCAAGCTCCTTCCGACCTGGTTTCTTAGCCCTCAGGCTTTCAGGTTTCTTGCTGGGGACGGGAGATTTGCCACGCGCAGAGAGAGATGTCTGGGAGCTGGAACGTTCGGGTACAGCGGAGCTGGCTCTTAGGGATGGGTTCTTGTGCGTCATTTGTGACTTGTCGACCTTTTTCAATCCTGCCGTAATGGCCGATCCTTTATTGATTTGTTCGAAGACTGCATCGATACCTCCCCCCTGCGAAGCGTCGGCCGCTGGTGGCAGTGGAGGTGCCGGAGGACCATCGTCTTCGAACTTGGGCAGAGGCGGCGGCGGAGGAGGTGGAGGGGGACCACCGGCGCTTGTTGGTGCTTTAGGGGTAGCAGCTCCCGACTGGATTTGCTTCAGCGCCTCGAGAGCGTCAATGCCGTCTTTCGAGTTCCAGGTCAAGCCCGTGGGGAAGTACTCTTTTACGTAGGCGGCCAGGGAGCGGAAGACTTTGTAGTATGCCTGGATGTATTCGACGTGTGACTTGTCCCTGTCGTTCTTGTCAGTGGGCGAGACGAGGCGGACAACGTTATGCACCTACTTGTCCTTGTACTCTTTCAGAATCTTGTTCCCGTCTGCAAGATCCCAAAGTCAGTCCTGTGAATCAACGACATCCCCTAGCTCTTTTGCGACTCACAGTACTGAGCACCTCCAAGGGTGTCTGTGACAAAATCACTCGGCCTCTTCTCCACGATCCAGCCTAGCGCCACGATACCTTCTGATACGGCGCTTAGATGGGTGAATAGAGGAGACGGTCGGTTGGCTTCTCGGATTTCGTCGACGTTTGAGGTGTGTCGGTGAAGCTCTGTCATCAACTCAGGAGGCTGAGGATCAGGCTTCTTCGCCTTCGCCGCAACGAGCAGGTACGTCCGCTCAGCTTCGAATGCCTCCTTGACGGCCTTTGCCTGTTCTTCGACAAGACCTCCAATCTTCTCGGCAGCCTTCACAAAGGCCACAACATCCTCTTGGATTATTTGGTCAAAAGCCTCCACCGACCGGGGCAGGGGCTCTGGCGGCGGCGGCGGTGGTGCTTGCTCAGGGGTTCCAGCCGGGGCTGACGAAGGCAAGAAGGCAGTCGTGACTCCGTTGGTCACAGAGGCCCCAGGTCCATCTATGGCGGTGGCGATATCCTCCAGTCGTGAAGTTGCGGCTTCCAGTCTGTGCAGGCAGCGCAGTTAGCAGGAGAGTCCGTTGTGAGCGCTAACAGGTGCCAGATGAAGCATGGCCTGCCAGAGCTGAACGTGCAGCATATCTGCCTACCTTTTGATGAGGGTCGTCAAGTTATGCATACTCCCTTGCGCGGCCATGGTGAGAATGTAGTAGTCTATGTATCCAAAGAATGTGAGTCTGAGGATCTGACGAAGTGAACTGTCTCGGAGTTGCAACTATATCGTAGAGAGGTCCGGCTAAACCCTGGCAGTTTGCTGCAGTTGCTACGGCGGATGGGAGCATACGGTGCTGCCGCCTCGTGCTGCCACCACGGCGGGCGAAACAGCACGCTATGCCAAAGCATTCATCTCTCGTCTCTGCCCATTCCTGTCAACAGATGTACATGGACAGAGACCTCGCTTTGTGTGAGCCTGGCCCCCAAGATAGACGGTAATCTTGCATGGCATTACCGGATATGTGTGTCGCAATCTTGCAGGACATCCTTCGGGAGCTGCTCGTTGTGTGCAAAGACCTGTCAGTTTAAACGTCATGGGTCAGCTCTTTCATGCCTAAAGCACAAGAAAAGTTTGAACTATTGAATCTGGACCATCAAAGAATCTTACGGCTGTAGTGCATGCGTGCTGTTAGAACAGAGAAGGCTCTAATGTTCTAGTCCAACAGTAATACGCATGCCTCTGACCGACTTGCCCGAAGATAAATTGGAAATGCCTGACCAGATAACGGCATGGCAGACTGCTCAGGACGGCCTAAACAGGTTGACCAAGTCGAGTTTTCCATTGCCGGAACCAGGAAAGGATGAAGTGTTGGTTGAAATCCACGCGGTTTCTCTGAACTATCGCGATACTGAGGGTATGTCTGTCCTGTTGGTTGCATTACACCTTCACTCACATCCGTCGTCGTAGCTAACCTCGTCGTCTGACTATCTTCAGTTGCTATGGGTCTATATACCCACCACAAGGCAATCGGGTCTGCAAAAGTGGTGCCTTGCTCAGACATGTGCGGCACTGTGGTTGCGGTCGGAGATAATGAGCCAGGTCATTGGCATGTTGGGGACCGAGTTTTATCAATCTTCAATCAAACTCATCTTACAGGACAGATCAAAGAGCGAGACATGGCATCCGGTCTTGGCCTTCCACTTGACGGCGTGCTCCAGACATATCGTATCTTCCCCGTCACTGGCTTAGTCAAGGCCCCCAATTACCTCACTGACGAGGAAGCTTCCACCCTTCCGATTGCGGGCGTGACTGCTTGGATGTCCCTCAACGGTATGAAGCCTCTCGACAATGGACATGGCGACCGACAGACCGTCTTGCTGCAGGGTACAGGGGGTGTTTCTGTCGCCGGACTTCAGATTGCCCATGCTGCAGGCGCCAAGAGTACGTGACAGTTTCACTTGTCTTTTGCGATTCCAGGTGTTCTTGTCGAGCTTGCAACCTAATCACTGCCATAGCAATCATCACCTCGTCTTCTGATGACAAGCTCTCCCGTGCCAAATCACTGGGTGCCACCCATACGGTTAATTACCGGACGAATCCTGATTGGGAGCATGTTGTTATGAAAGCCACCGAGCAGGAAGGCGCCAATGTCATCCTTGAGACCGGCGGCGCGCAGACACTGAGGAAATCCTTCGACTGTATCTCGTTCGGCGGAGTTATCGCTTGCATCGGGTATCTCAGCGGAAAGCAAGATGAGCCAACTGATCGCACGAATGTGAATGTCCTGGCTCTCCGTCGAACCGTCACGTTAAAAGGAATCCTGAACGGGCCCAGAGACAGATTCGAAGAGATGTTGCGCTTCTACGAAACGAAGCAGATTAGGCCTGTTGTGGACAAAGTGTTTTCATTCGACGAAGCGAGAGAAGCTCTCCAATACCTGTACGGAGGGGGACACTTTGGTAAGGTTGTCATCCGCGTCAAGAGTTGAGGCTCTGGAGAGTGTACACAACATAGAAACGCTTTGCGCAGTTGCATCATCTTCCTGCGCCTTTCCAGGTAACGGGCTTGGCTTCGTGGATAGGCCCGGCCGAAGCCGCTAGGGCACGACTCGGGACCCCTAAACGGCGCCGGAAGCAAGCGACCCGTTACTAGAATTGCTTGGGCTTAGCTAAGAGAAACCGCTTTGCGGCGGTTGCGGGGCTTATCCACGGCACGAGACTTCAACGCTCTACCAAAGACCAGGCCTTCGCAGCCTCCTCCAACGCACGTTCGTCGTTCGACCTCCCTTTACGCCCGAGTAGCGACCTATTAGTATGCGCATGCATGAGATGACGTGCGAGAGCACTCAACAATGGCCGACCCTTCAAAGTCTGATCACACCTCGTCCAACGCAGGCCAATCATGTCGCGAATGCCGCCGAAGGAAAGGCAAATGCGACGGGCGCATGCCCGTGTGCTCGGTCTGCCAGCGGTACAATCGCCATTGCCTGTATGACAAGCACAGCAGATCATCCTTGACGCGAAAGTCGGTGCTCTCCGTCCCATCTACGGGGTCTCCTTCAAGCAATGCGGGACTAAATACTTACATAGGCACTTGACAGAGGTCGAAGAGCGCCTGGAAAAGGCTGAGGCTCTGCTGAGAGCCTTCTTCACTGATGCTCAGCTGTCGCAAATGCTAGCCCATGGCATCACCAATGGAGGGAACTTCCAGCCTAGGTTGGGGGGCGATTCGACCAACCCACCGTCCCATGTAGCCTCGTCGGATCAGCCATTCGAGCAAACTCCTGCGTCGCCAATAGCCGGAATGGTTCCTGGACTGCAACAGCGCACGCAATCGTTCTCAGCCGCTGGTGGCGGCCCAGATCAGCCAATTGATGTGGGTTATCTGGAGTCCCCAACCGCATCAAGGTCGAATCTGGCGGACGATGCTCAACCACTCGAGAACCCTCCTGCTGCTGACGATGACTTTGAGTGGGATGAGCGGGAGTCTTCCTGGAATGTCGCAGATCCCGGAGGAGGCCAACCGACCTCTGGAGGCGGTGTCGACGCCGAAATACCTAAGATTACCGACGGTATGGCGACGTTGACGGCTAATGACTCGAACGCTGGCTTCCTTGGGTCGGTCTCGGGATCTGCTCTTCTACGGCTCATCTGGATGGGAGCGGGAGCTGAAGAGACGACAAGCGATGCTTCGAGTGAGCGACGCCGGACTCTCGACCAATTATTCAATCAGAGATCTAGCGAGTACCCGTCCGCGTCGACATGGCTGCGCGCACAGCCCATGCTCACTCGAGCAATGGTTGACACACTTGTCGACGCCTATTTCGCGTTGTATCACCCGACCTTTCCGATCCTTCACGAGCCCTCTTTCCGCGAACAGTATGCCAGATTGAGTGGCAGAATAAGCAGAAGCACATGGCATACGTTGGCCAACCTTGTCGCCGCCCTAGGTTCTTTTGTGTCAAGCACATGCTCCGACGAGACACATGCCACCCTGTTCAACGCTGTCAAGGCGAACCTATCGATTGAGTCCCTGGAGACGGGCAGTATAACTCTGGTTCAGGCGTTTGCTATGGCAGCAAATTACCTGCAGAAGAGAAACAGACCCAATAGCGGATACAACTACGGCGGCATTGCCCTCCGGCTCGCCATATCTCTGGGGCTTCATAAGGAGTTCCGCGGCTGGCAAACAGTGCCTTTCAAGAAGGAGATACGCAGGAGAGTTTGGTGGTCCTTGTGCGTACTGGATGTCGGCGCCACCGTCACCTACGGGAGGCCTCTGAACTGGCCTCAAGTCGGCGTGGATATCCCATTTCCATCGAATATACATGAGAAGGTAAGAAGTACCCTATATCCAGTAGCTGTCTCTCCTCCATCAAACCCAGTGCTCACCTCTTGGTGGCCAGGATCTTCCAGTAAACGCCACATCGCTCCCTGCAGAGGTCAATGAAGCCACGATCTACACCTACGTCCGGACACAATCATCCTACCACCTCCATACGATCAGAATCTACAACCGACTCATATCCAATCCAATTCCCTGCGCCGCAGAGCTGATCGCTCTAGACGACGAATTCATTGACGGCTGGTTGAAGAGTTTGCCACCTTACTTTCGCGACGACAATCTACCTCTTCCCCACGAGTATCTCCTCGGACACGCAATCAGCCGCTGGCGCTTTCGTATCATGCGAATCATTATGTATCGTCCCTTTCTGATTCGATGGGCACAAGACAGGCTCGATGCCACAGTAACGTCTCCCATGTCACCGTCCCAGGCGCAATCGGCCGAAAGTATTGCAACAAAGCGCTGCCTTAAGGCTGCCGAGGAATGCATCTCTGTCATATTTGACTTCTGGTCCTCCGCCACCCACACCAGGCTCGCTGCCTGGTACGTCCTGTAAGTGTTTTCTACCTGTCACCTGACAATCTAACCCAGATCTGACCTCTCGGGGTATCACATTCGTAATTCCCTCCTGACAATCTCCTAGGTACTTCCTCCTTCAAGCGGCTTTGATCCCGATCCACTGTTTACGACGCAATCCAACCCATTCGGATGCATCATCATGGCGCGACTCAATTCTCACGGCCCTGAGCATCATCAATGCCATGAACAACCTCAATCCGAGCGCTCCTAAATGCCGAGACATAATCCATCGACTCTGTGGCGAAAGTCTTACTTTGAAATCCCGAACCCAATCGCAGTCGCAAGTCAAGCAGGAGCCTTCATCATGGAACGCCTTCCCCACGGACACCAGCTACGGGAATCCATTCTCGTTTCAGAATCCCGATCCTACCGACGCAGGCGGAAATTCATGGATGACCGAGATTGACACGGCGATAGAGGGCTACGATATCTATGTTGACCGCTTGAGCAATGCCGCTATGGCTGGAATGGGACGCATGACCTCTGGAAGCGAAGCAAGCATGCCAGACGCTTTCACAAACGGCGACGGCACACAAATAGGAACAGGCGTGCAGGACTGGGACTGGGGCCTGATGCTCTGATGATGAAAATGACTCGGTCACGACAGGGCACCGATTACTGATTTATTCGGCGCAGAACACCAAGTTATTCGACAATATTACCACTCTTTCACCCTGCTCAGCTCCAGCTCCGGAGCAATGACTGGCTGGAGCTTTGCCGTGTATGGGCGCGCACCGTGACTCTACCGACACGAGATCACCCACCCTCAGCATGCACCATACTTCCCGTTGGGCATCCGTCCCTCACCAAGCCAGATAGAACTCGACGACATCCTCCACAGCACCGACGCTCCCCAAACCGCTCGACTTCTTGGACATCTCCTGAAGAGCTTTTCTCGACATGCCGCCTGGAACGACACCGCACAACAAGTTCGTATCAATAGCACCCGGACTCACCACAGTCACCCTCACGGACGTCATACTCAGCGCAGATGCTTTGTGAGCGGCTCTTTGCCACCACCGGCGGCCACGAAGGCCGAAGAGCCCACACGCGGCCGATACACCATCGCCCCCCACTCGTCAATGTCAATGCTCTAGTATATTCCTGGCCGATATACCTGGCCGCGACCATTGCGAGGAGGCTGGAGCTATTACCCCACAAGACGCCCCGAGGTCGCCTGGCCCGTGAGCACCGGCTACACCATCTGGAGTATCAACTTCCCGCGAAGATCCGAGTCGCCGGCCGTTTGTACGACTTGATCCAACCGTTTCTCTCCGTTCTTTGGGTAGGGCGAAGTCGAACAGCTTGACTGCCTAGTTGTTCTTCCCTGTCTGACTTGTGGGCAATCGAGTCGACGGTGTCGCCTCGGATCTTGTCCGCGTGCTCAGCATTCGTGGATTCTCAGCTTCTCGACCGCCGCGTTGACGTCGCCGGCGGAGCGCGACGCAATGACTACAGACCCAGATACAGTACATGCTAACGGGTAACCGCCTGCTGTAGCCACGTATCTCCACATTTGCATACTCGTACCGAGGTATCGTGAAGATGGAGTCGACCAAAAGTCTACATTAGCGAGCGGAGGAACGCTGAGCGGACGACACGGAAAATGGGCACCTACAGACGAAATCAAAGGGTGGTCAAAGGTATATTGCCACACGACTGTGTCTTATTGGGAGCGGGAAGTCGGAGAAGGAGTGGGAGTGGTATTAGTGATGCGTTGATCCATAAGCTCGAGAACCGGGCTGCTCAAATATGTACTACGCTCCAAGCACTAGTGGTCACAGGGCGGTTACGGCCACCAATTGTCCATTATGCGTATGTATTGTACGTCTGGCATTTGAGAGTAATGGACGCTATCCAATGGTCATCAAGGTCATTCCCCTAACCCAAGCGGACAAAGTATGGGTGGGAATAATTCGACCAGGCCTCAAAACCATCCCAAGAGCTTATCAAACAGAGAGAGTACTGACGCCCAACTCCCCCGTCATCCAAGCAGGCATTTTCTGCAGGTCGACGTACGCGCGCCCGAGCTGTGCGAGTTTCTTCAGGCCGCCAAACACATCGCTCCCCGTAAACGTCAGCGTGATTTCGCGTTTCGCGTGGTCCTCGATGGACGAATTTGCGTCTTCGCCTCCCTCTCCCAGTTCATCCGGCGGAACCGTATCGGTGAGCTTGACGTGGACGCGGTCGAGACGCGCGTAGTGCTCGCCTTGCGCATGGCCGAACCGCTTTTCGACCAAGCGCTGTCTTTCGTCATGCTGCTCCGAGTCATCGGCGGTCATCTGCACCTCGACGGGACTGTTGTCGACTGCCTTGTCACATTCCGCGAAGATGCTGTAGGCTCCGCCGCTGGTGCCGGGCTTCTGGTTCCCCCTCAGCTCGCACATCGTCTTCAACGATTTGGCGACGAGATTCGTCGGCTCTAACGACCAACGCTGGTGCGGTCGAGAAACTGCTTTAGGAATCGCTTCGAGGACGATCCTTTTCAGGGCCGCCATGTCCACTTTGGCCATCGCTTTCTCCTTGGCGTCCCTAGCGCTGTTGCCCTTGGACCGTCCAGTCGAGCCACTTGTCGCCGAACCTGAGACGGAAATGTATACGTAGGGACAACTGTCCGGTAAAGCAATGTACATTATGCGACCCGCGTTGGTGGCTTGTTTAGGTCGGCGCAGGACTTTCGATCGTCTGGGCGCAAATGGGGAGTTTGGCTGGATCCAGAGGCGGAGGATGGTGAGGTTGTACGGGGAAGGCATGCGATGGAGGTGATAATGAGCTTTGACCAGTGGTGATATCTCCGCTTTGAGGGCCGAGAGGAAGACGGCCGGCGAGACGTGGGAATAGGTTGGCTCTACTACTGGGCCGTGGCTTAGTTTTCGCTTTTTCTTCGCTGGCTGTTGCCCATCGTCGCCGTCGTCCAGGGACTTCTCTGCCTCGGTCTTGAGGGGCACCAATTTCAGAGCACTCCACTTGAGGGCGGCCTCGTTTTGTTCCAGGTACGTGAAATCGATGGTGGCATGCTGATGCAGAGAGAATCCACGGCGCCAATCGCCGTCGATGATGCGATCGACTACGTCGCGCTTGGTCGTCTGGCCGGGATGCTTGCGGAGTTCATGGTACAGGGTTCGCAATTCCTTGATACTCTCGGCTGGTGTGTGCAGGTAGTCCTCTTCATCGGCTTCGAATCCGGTGCGATTGCACTGCAGGTACGGTGCCGTTGAGGGGCGAATATCTTCTAGCCATTTCAGCGCGAGATCTATGATTGCTTCTCGCGATAAGCGGTTGAGCGATTTGGCGAGGATGGGTGCCATCGAAGTGTGGTTGTTGGTTTGTGATCCATTGTTTACATTGGTTTGGAGGCGGTTCGTCCTTGTAAACAGACGAGTGATAGTCGGATCACATGATTGGGAAAATACCGAGGTCCGATCTGCGTCACGTTCACTCACGTGACTAACCTGAATACCTTGAATGATTACCTGCACACTACCCCGTACTGTAGTAGATAAACCCCGTGGACAGTAGTCTCCATTGGTGGCACTCGAGCCCAGTGGCTTGATTCTTGCTGTGATACCTTGCCTGCCCGGCAGAGCATTGCATATAATTGGAAATCAGCACTTACCGACTCTAGGCTTCGTGCGGAAAGACACGGGAGAAACCCCACACTAGGGCATTTTCCACGAACACGGCATGCGAGCAATTGATTGGGCGTCTTCAGCCACACTACTGGGTACGCGCTCTTCCTGATGACTTGTGCTTGAGGTTAGTATCATGTGTTTGCGGGCAGCGGCAGGAGCATATGCTGTGTAGACAACATTGATTTGTGATCAAAAATATAGCTCCGCCGCATGGGGCCACCGAAGGACGTCCTTATAAAGCACTCTTTACGCGAGTAGCCTCCGAGTAGCTAAGAGCAGCGGCGGTGAGCACCCAGTGAACTTGGCTTGTTGAACCCTTTTTCGGCAATCAGATCCGCTTTAAGGGCACGATGCTGCCTCCCACAATCGTGACATGAGATCACCACTGTTATCTTGGACTCGTCACGATTCGGTGATCGCTACCGTCAGAAAACGTCTCTGCACGTCAGAGATCAGGGTCCACGAGGCCAAGGCTGTGATGAAGCCATCTCCAGGCTCAGCTACGACTGGCAATACGCAGTACCTGGAATGATTGTCCCTCTTCGCGAGCCGGCTTGAGGCTATTAATGTTTTAATTATCCACGGCATGTGGTGGGGGTAATTGTAGGAGACGGACGAATAGGTTAAGCGGCACACGTGTAATTCCCGAAGCGAGTCCGTGGGAGCAAGCCGTGGCAGACGCGAAAGGGCGCAGACCTCCCACATTTGCGGCACTCACCCAGAGCTCGGAGAACTCTTACATCCGCCTCGACCGGCCCCTCCTTGCGCCCGGTCTCAAACTCACCTGCCAACTGTTACTCCCACTTGACTCTTTTACCATTCTAACCTTTACTCTCGCCTTCACACTATCTGGATTTCTCTTCCAGCCATCCCAAACAAAAGTACCGCCTTGCCGCACGACTTTCGCACGGTGCTCGCGGTGAGGTGTCAGCGACTCTGGTCGCAGACGCCTTGAGCCTCGGTCACTGAATAAAACGCCACGTGCGGTTGCTTTGTCATTATACGCCTTGGTCGTGCAACCACCCCTGCGAACCACTCCGACCCCGACCGGATATATTCTACGCTACCATCCTTTACTGGACACATCGTTGGGGTTAATCGTGTGAGGGTCTCTCCCAGGAAAGGAGCATAGGGACGAACATGTCAACGTATCGCGGCCGGACAGGCCCGAATTTTTCGGAGTATCTCAACAATTTGAATACTCTGACGTCGCCCTACGACCAGGAGCAGTTCCCGACGGAGGAGCTGGACATCAGCCAGGACTTGGCCATGTTCACAAATACCGATTTTACCCATTTTGACATCCCTGCGCTACCCGAAGACGGCTCCTTCAATTTCGACCTGAATGAAAACAAAAGCAATCCACACAATGTGAAGTACGAAGACCTACTCGCGGGTACGTCGCCGAGTCAGAACCAGCAACTGCCTCATATGGACACCTCGGCCGCAGAGCCTTCACACTATTATAGCACCTACAATACTCCCATACAGCCTGCGCCTGCACAGGGCTTCGGCAACCATGACTCCCTGGGTTCACCTAGTGCTCAGACGGCGGCTGGCGGTAAGAGAAAAGGTGAATCGCTCGATCCAAATACGTTGAGTCCCGAAGATAAGTCCCGCGTGGCTGCTGAGGAGGATAAAAGGCGGAGGAACACCGCGGCGAGCGCAAGATTCCGGGTGAAGAAGAAGCAACGTGAGCAGGCATTGGAACGTACGGTCAAGGAGGTGCAGGAAAAGAACTCGAAGCTGGAGGCCAAGGTGAACCAACTGGAGATGGAGAATAAGTGGCTGAAGGATTTAATCACAGAGAAGAATGGACTTGCGTCCAAGGAGGAGGTGGCAGCGGCGTATCAAAAGTATCGCAAAGAGAGTGAAGAGCGAGATGTAAAAGCCTCTGAGCACACGACCGGTGTTGGGACCGACTGAATATCACCCAAAAGGAAGAGGCTGTTTGGCTTTATTTGCGTGTCTAATATATACAGAGATGGCCGGGGCCCTGTAGAGTGCCGATCATGATACCTCATAAACCGGGTGTTTAGTCAATGAGAGATATCCTCGACTTGGTTAACAATAATTCATTGTGAGAAGAAATGGTTACCTGAGAGTTGTGTGTTGGTGTCGATAGCAGCCTCGATGCGCCTGTGGCAGAATCACGGGTCTTTATTGGCCACTTCCAAAGGATTAATAATTGGCCTTTGCATGCCAGCGGGAATCGACAGATCGGATTCACATCCGTGTCTGGGCTCGCTGGATTGCTGGCGGGTGCCTCATGCGGCGGTACACTCGGACGTTGCCTTGTCTGCAGCGCATGTACTTTCACGCGTGCTCTCCATCCCGACATTTCACCAACACTTGAATTTCGACTGCCTTTACAGCACACTGCCTCATCCCTTGTGACTGCGCAATCACTTTCTGATCTACTGCACCGTGGACATCCGTTTCCAACTGCAACAGCTCTCCCGCATTTGTCGTTGTCTTGCGAAGCGGCAATCTTCATCCTTTTCGGATCGTTTATCGCACCCGCATATCAAATCGAGCCTCACATCTCGGTACCCCGCCCCCTACTGGTACACCACTCGTGCTTTTCCGCGCTCGCTGAGCGGTCTCCCTGTGCCTCATCCGAAGCTCCAGCCATGTCGGTCACCGTCAGCGAGCTTGACGCGACTGTCAAGGCTTTTCAAGAAGGCCATGGCGAAATCCAGAAACAGGCTCAACAGAAGCTCAACGAGTTCAAATCAAATCCCGATGCGTGGCTGATGGTGGACAGAATCTTGCAAGAGGCGACGTATGTGCCGACAAAATACCTGGGTCTTCAAGTGTTGGATGATGTGGTCAACACCAGATGGAAGGTTCTCCCTCGCGATCAGTGCTTGGGCATTCGTAACTTCGTGGTAAACCAGATCCTCCAGGCTTCCGAGACCGACGAGTCGCTCAAGGCCAACAAGCTCTTCCTCAACAAGTTGGATCTGACCTTGGTCACCATCCTCAAGCAAGAATGGCCTCACAACTGGCCCAGCTTCATCAACGAAATCATCTCTGCTTCCCACACCGGTCTGTCTGTTTGTGAGAACAACATGACCATTTTGCGACTGCTGTCGGAGGAGGTTTTCGATTTCTCTCAGGATCAGATGACTTCCACCAAGGCGAAGAACCTCAAGACGACCATGTGCGCCGAGTTCTCGTCCATCTTTCAGTTATGCAACGAGGTGCTCACAACAGCCACTTCCATAAGCTTGGTCAAGGCGACGTTGGAGACATTACTGCGATTCCTCAACTGGATCCCTCTGGGATTCATCTTTGAGACAAAGCTCATCGACACGCTTGTCGGCCGGTTTCTTGAGGTCGATGAATTCCGCAACATTTCCCTGAAGTGCTTGACTGAAATTGGCGGTCTGCAATTGGGACAACAATTTCAGTATGACGATAAGCTTGTGCAAATGTTCACCGAGACCCTGACTGTCGTTGCTCGAACCCTTCCGCTCGACACTGACTTTCGCGATGCATACTCCAAAGCCAAGTCCCGGGAACAAGAATACATCCTCAACCTGGCAATATTCCTCACCAACTACTTTTCAGCCCACCTGCAGACTATCGAAAGACTACCGAATCCCGATTATCTCCTCCACGGTCACTTCTATCTTATTAAGATCAGCTTGATTGACGACAGAGAGATCTTCAAGATTTGCCTAGAATACTGGAACAAGTTAGTGCAAGAGCTCTATGAAGAGATGCAGCAACTCCCCATTACCGAACTCAATCCTCTGGTCAGCATGGGTGTCAGCGGTCTGGCCAATGGTGGCGCTCCACATCCCAGCAGTCTTGCCAACTATCCCCTACGCAAGCACAAGTACGCTCAAGTCTTGACGAGTTTGAGGCAGGTGATGGTCGAAAAGATGGTACGACCGGAAGAAGTCCTAATCGTTGAAAATGACGAAGGTGAAATTGTTCGCGAATTTGTCAAAGAGAGCGACACCATTCAGCTCTATAAGACCACCCGTGAGTGCCTAGTATACTTGACCCATTTGGACGTCGTGGACACAGAGAACATCATGTCAGAGAAGCTTCAGCGACAGGTTGACGGTTCAGAGTGGTCATGGAACAACTGCAATACCCTCTGCTGGGCTATTGGCTCAATATCAGGTGCTATGTCTGAAGAGACGGAGAAACGATTCTTGGTCACTGTGATCAAGGACCTACTCGGCCTGACCGAGATGAAACGAGGCAAGGACAACAAAGCGGTAGTGGCCAGCAACATTATGTACATTGTCGGCCAGTACCCACGCTTTCTGAAGGCACACTGGAAGTTCTTGAAGACTGTGGTCAACAAGCTCTTCGAGTTCATGCACGAGACCCATGAGGGTGTGCAGGACATGGCTTGCGACACGTTCATCAAGATTGCCAACAAATGCAAGCGCCACTTTGTCGCCCTACAACCTGGTGAGACCGAACCGTTCATTGATGAGATTGTGCGTAATATGCGCAAGATCACCTGTGACCTCACCCCTCAACAAGTACACACATTCTACGAAGCTTGCGGTTACATGATCTCTGCTCAGGGCCAGAAGAGCGTGCAAGACCGACTGATCAGCGACCTTATGTCCTATCCGAATCAAGCGTGGGACAGTGTGATCCAGCAAGCGAACTCGAATCCAGCCATTCTGCACGACCCTGAGATCATCAAAGTTGTCGGAAATATCATGAAGACGAATGTGGCAGCATGCTCCTCCATTGGCAGCTATTTCTATTCCCAGATTGGACGCATCTACCACGATATGCTGAACATGTATCGCGCTTCAAGTCAACTTATTTCTGACGCTGTCGCCTCCGGAGGTAAGTGCTGTAGCCGCTCGATCATCGAACAACCCTGACTTCCTCACAGGAAATGTCCAGACGAAGACACCGAAAGTCCGCGGCCTGCGTACGATCAAGAAAGAGATCTTGAAACTCGTGGACATCTATGTACAGAAAGCGGATGATCTGCCCATGGTCAACGAGAGCATGGTGCCTCCTTTGCTTGATGCGATTTTACTCGATTACCAACGCAATGTTCCCGATGCGCGAGATGCCGAAGTCCTCAGCGTCACCACCACCATCATCCACAAGCTACATGTACGTTGGACCCCAAAGAGATCTCGACTTCTGGTCAGAGACAGTGTTGATCCACCAGTGTGTAAGGCTGCTAACCCTTCTATAGAATCTGATGGACGACAAGGTTGGTCCGATTATGGACGCGATATTCGAATGCACACTCGAGATGATCAACAAGGACTTCCACGAGTATCCGGAGTTCCGCGTGGAGTTTTTCAAGCTCCTACAAGCGATCAACCTATTCTGCTTCCCTGCGCTGCTTAAACTGGATGGTCGGCAGTTCAAGTTTGTGATTGACTCCTGCATGTGGGCAAGCAAGCACGACAACCGAGAGGTGGAGAACACCGGCTTGTCGATGTGCCTGGAATTGATCAACAACATGGCCGAGACGGATCCACAAACAGCGGGCATATTCTTCCAGCAGTTCTACATCTCTATACTCCAAGATGTGTTTTTCGTCTTGACGGACTCGGACCACAAAGCAGGATTCAAATCACAGTGTATGCTCCTTGCGCGCATGTTCCAACTTGTTGAGACCAACAAGATATCGCAACCGTTGTACCAACCTGACCAGGCTGCGCCAGGGACGTCGAACAAGCAATATGTGAGCGAGTTCACGTCGAATCTCCTCCAGCGCGCCTTCCCCAACTTGAAGGAGATTCAAGTGCAGCTTTTCGTGAGCGGGCTGTTCACCCTCAACGAGGATGCCACCAAGTTCAAAACTCACGTGCGCGACTTCTTGATCTCCCTTAAGGAATTTGCTGGTGACAACGCCGAATTGTTTGCAGAGGAGCGTGAGCAGGAGAAGAAGGCCCTTGCCGACGCAGAACGCGAACGAGGCCTGAAGGTGGGCGGTCTGATCAAGCCAGCAGACCTGGATGGAGACGATGAGCTATGACTAGAAGAAGAGCTGAGAACGGAATTCGCCATAGGCAACGCAGAGCAGTCAGGGGCGCCGCAAGCCTCGGTCGAGCACTATGCCATGGAACACGACACGGCAGAAGCGAACTTCGAAAGCGGGTGGCTCTTTTACGAATGCTGAAGGCAGGCGGCCATGGAGAGACCATCGGATGAGGCTCACGGATGGTCGAGCAATCCCCAGACGGATCCCAAGTGCGTCCAAGTTTTCATTCCTGTTATGATACCAAAAAGCATCGAGTCGGTTAGACTGCTGCATGGGAGATCTTCTTGGGCATTTGTCTAGCATGGGCGCAGAGACACGCTTGGAATGGGATTCCCACACGCGGCAGTCGGCCGTGGTTTGTACATGTTCCCTCGGACGAAGGGGGGAGCAGGAGTGGCAGATGATCGCTAGCCACAACGTGATCTAGACGACAGCTGAGCTGAGCTGAGCAGGACCGAAAACGCGAATATTGGAGAGTAGACAGAAGAGTGCAATGTACTAAGAGCCATGATTCAGCGAGTCGAGGCTGAGCCTTTCCCGCTGGTCATCTGCTCCGTCTGTGCCCTTCATCAGACGAGGAGCATGGCCACGTCGTCTCCATCGCTCTGACAGGTGGGATCCATGACCATCGCAAGCATAAAGGCACTTCTCGAAGGTCAGGGTCTGAATCATGTGGTCGGGCGGGAAATGCAAGCCTCGTGGGTTTCCGTGTAACAGTGGTGTCAGCAATGCATGAAGGTGTGAGAAGCGGACGATGAGTGGATGGAACCAAGGGATGGAGCGAGCCGCAACTCTCGTCACGGAGTATGACTGCCTTAGTGGGTGACGAGGCCATGCACGTGAGAAACGTCATGCTCTAACGGCCGACGTCGTACTCCGTACTCCGTAGTTATTAGTGGTCTCGTGCTGAGCGTCGGCTTTGCCTCCAACCATCATTCCACGCCCGGCTGCGACATATTGCGCTCGCCTGCGCCTTTACACAGTCGTTTTTCCTCTCGTGGAGTATTTACAGACACCGAGGCTGTTCTTGATCCAGTTTCTCCTCGACGTTCCCGGCCCGTGACTCTTACGCCTGTCTTTGTTTTGAACGCAGCGTCACTGCTACGAACGCACTAACCGCCCTCCACGAGGTCCTCACACAGTCTTAAAACTGTTCTTTGCGCAAGAAGCCCTGAAATCCAGGTGATGTGGATTGGATAGAAAAAGCCACAAGCAGAGACCAGACCACGACTACAGTATTATGTCCTCCACACCCGTCACAACTGCCCCCGCCTCACCTCTGCAACGAGCAACCATGGCCTCTGCACGGAACTCTCCACGACCAAACGGATGGGGACTGGCGCACCTCACACCACGTCAAGGTCAAGGCCAAACGGCCTCCCGGCGCGCCGCAGTAGGCTCGGCCACCCAAACAATCACCCCCGAAGACACTGCTTCATCCCGCTCAGTCTCCCCTCCAGATCCACTTGTCCTCCGCCTCCGAGGCGCCCATGAGGCCACAGGCTCCAGCACGCACAACCATCCACGCCGACGAATACAGTGGGCAGAAGACGTGGTGGACAATGAAGGGCTCGGCCGCAAATCCAGCAAAGTGTGCTGCATATACCACAAGGAACGGGCGTTCGGGGAGTCGTCCAGCGAGGACGACAGTTCGAGCAGCGACAGTTCTAGCGACGACGACGGTAGTGACGCCGGTGGGAGCGATAGTCCGGATGATGGTGGCGCGAGGATGAGTGGGAATCGGAGGGGACGGAAGGATCAACACCGGCATAGGCATGGTGATGGCTGTGGGCCTGCGGGTGCACATGGGCATGGACATGGCAAGGGAAAGGGAAAGGGCAGAAGGAAACCTAGTCCGAACGCGTATGAGAAGATGCCCAAGTATAACACGAACACGAAGGGGAAGGCGGAGTTGGCGAGGACGTGACGGTGTGACGATGGGACTACCTGCCTGCGAGACGGGGCATACCGGTGCATGTGTCTTGTTGCCGCTCACTTGGTTTCACTAGCTACCATGGATGTTGGAGCGCACAGCACACGCAACCATTGGCTTGGATCACGAGGTCGTGTCGTCACTGGTCGGAAAAATTTCATTGCAGCATCAATTGGTACGAGTGCTGGCACGGGCATATTTGGATAATGGACGATTTGATGATGGACAATGGATGATGGATTACGACTCCCCCTCGCTTCATTCACGCGCTCTTCACATACTGTAGGTATTCGAACGAGGAAGGATGATCGTTCCCGTGATCGACCGCTCGGCGACGGCGTCAGGGCGAGGAATCTCCGCTACTACCTAGATTGTGTTCTTACTTGACCATGGTACAGCCACCTCCCGGACTGCGGTGCGAAATTGTCGCCCTTTTAATTTGGATTTCATAGGCCTATGCTATCATTGCGGTGTTGATTCTGAATTGACCTGAACTGATACGAACGAGATTGACCAAGATATCAGGGCGAAGAAGGAGAAGCTATCCGAGTCCAGAGGGCTACGAACGTAGCCACAACTGGGTGTAAGGAGAAGACTCAGCTCGGAGGAGAATGTCGTGTCCCGTAAGTAAGTTGCATTGGTTGGATGTGCAATTATTGCGAGCTACTCGTCGAGTCGAGCAGGGACGCCAGAAGTGGGATAGAAAAAGATGCATGTACGGCTGAAAACGAATGCCAATTCGAAGAGCATGGTCTGGTCTGGTCTGGTCGGTGGTGCGATATCCGGTACGTATGTGGGTTTTGGTCAAGAAGACGAGTAAAAGCCGTGGGGTAGCTGGTTGAATGGATGTCTCGATTTCGTTGAGCCAAGCAATGTCACGCACGTACACAGTATGCCAGCTCATCTCACCGACCTGTAAAGGGGAGACAGGGATTCGCTGTGTGTTGGGTTCTCGCGAAAGGAGAAGACAAGGGTAGCCTGTGGTCATGTTTGACGTATACGCTCTGTAGAGGTCTTGCCTCGTCCCGTGTGTGCTTTGGTTGATATTTCCATGGCTCTGACTATACCCCTGGACCAAGAAGAGAGGCTCGAGGCCATGGCATTTGTGCTTCTCCTGCGGCGCGAGGCTGAGGCCTCGACCACCGTGTGCGATAGGGGGTGAGGAGTGAGTGGCAGAGTCTTGAGACCTAAGACCCTCGTTTGCCTTCCTCTACCTCTTCTGCCCTCGTTGCTGCATGCTACGCCGTTCCATGGATCCGCATCACGAAGCATAGCCCACGCCGTTTATCGAAGGCGGAAATTTCGTGAACCTCATGTCTGGAGGGACCTCTCAGTCAGGCACAATTGCTTCACTAGCGCGGCTGGAAGTTATGGTCGAGACTGGGAGGTCAGAGGTCGTCTTCGAAGCCTCCGGCGCCACCAGGAGGGACCAGAAGAGGTCGATGGATGACAGTCTTTGGAGGATACGTATTCCCACATCTTTCCAACGGTGACTTGTTGGGGAGGCCATGGGCTGCCGGAGAGCTTGATCCAAAGTTGGTACGCACCGTGTCAGAGATGCCGGAGGGACAGGTAATTAGGCGACAGGGACAGAGTACTGTGTAAAGGTGGTTCAGTGGGGCCCGCTGTCCCGAGGAAACCTATGTAAGCAATCTCAAACCCGCAGAACTCTTTGGAGCCGTCGGGTTCAGGCAGGAACAAGGCCAGCCGTCCAATCTCGATCGGGGGCAGCGTACCCATAACCTTGTGCAGAAGCCCATCAAGCACTTTAGCTCGTGATCAAAGGACCAAGCACCACAAGCACCGGGTTCGAAGATCGTTGGGAAGTACTCCGTACCGCGGTGGCTTCCACATGAAAATGAAGGCGACGACCACCATACCGGGATCAAAGGTATGCCATGCAAGAGGGGAGAACACAGGCACCACAAGCATCAAGTATCCATGGTCGTTGCGGGCCTCCCGACTAAGCCTCGAGAAGAGACACCGTGGTTGCCTAGTTGGTATAACCGTCAGGCCAGCAGTGTGCCCCAACTCGTAGGAGGAGCCGTTCAACCCCAATGATCCTCAAAGTCTGCATATGCAGAGACTCGATTGGGTGTTTTGCATCTGATACCACAGGGCTGGATCTGCGTTCGTTGCCCACAGCTTGTACACAGTAATCGGTGATTTACCGTGCATATCAGCGCCGATCAGGTACTACTGTGTAGAGTTCAGGTACGTAGAACTCCCTACGAGGACGAAACACGTTGTCCAGCCAAGCCACACCAGAGTCAGATGGTTCAGCCCTTCCGCGGTCAGCCTCTTAGCGACGCTGCAAGGGCCGCGGGATCGAACAAGATCAAGGCCCAGGGCCAAATCTATTGTGCGAAGTACGAGGTAGCAGTAGACCGATGTGCGATCAGAGTCCCCGGGGTCAACGCTGACAACCATTTGTAGATTCCATCTGCGGTTTTTGCCATCACACGACGTGTTCCTGCCTGGCTTTTCGCCTTCTGTCGTCCCCACGGCTTTTCTCCGTCGCGCCAAACACCACAGGCGGGCATCCTTGTCTCGGAAGATTTCCATGTTCCCACCAGCACCCCTGGCTGGACCCGCAGTCCAGAATTGGGTACCCTGAAGGTTCGAGATACCCTGCTCCTCGAAATCTCAAGCCACCGACTAAAGTCCCCACAGCCCGAAGATTCCTTACCTCTGGTCCAAGCTGGGGAAGATCGACACATCACAGTAATCACGGTCTCAACTTTAACCTCATCCGGCCATCTGGCACCCGTTAGTTCGACGAAATCGTCCAGCAGCGAGTCATGACTATGCCAAGTTCCCTCCCGAGGGTAAGAATAGTCGTCGCCCCCAGCGGAAAAATCCCTTCATGACAATGGATCGAGAGGTGGAAGAAAGATTAGACGCGCTGCCAGTTACCCGACAGACACTATACTGAAGAGCTACTCCCTGCGGAGTAATTCATCTGTCGCTCTTCGCCTGGATTCCTCCTCAAACGCCTTACCAACTCGAGCGCGACACTCGAGAATCTGCCTTCCTCTTCATGCGTCTGAGTCGTCAGCGACGGTCCTTTTCACGACATGGCTCGGTGCCTGTCACTGATGATGCGAACGCGCATGCCGCGTCTCGTCTCTGACTTCGCCAACAATCACCGCTAAAGCCAGAGTCAAGAAGCAGCTCATAGTCGAACAACCAGAATGGAGTAGGATTGGTCGTGACGATGTCATCAAGCATAAGGAGTATTGCAGCTCATCTCGAGGAGAAGCATTCCTTCAGCCCTGCCAGACCCGCACGAGACTCCATCAATTTAGCTATTATTGCTCAGACTGCTTCACGGTTCTCGTCATCTGGGAAGCCTTGCTGAGTACGGAGTACTGTAGATCACATCCTTCTTCTTACTGGGCTGTGAGGAGGCCCCGAAAGAGCACACACTATGGAGTATGATTGCAGGGCAACCAGGTTACCGGGGCTATCGACAATCATTGAATCCTTCGATCTGCCGATTGCTCTCAGAAAATGTCCCACCACAGATTCTTCTCCTGTAGGCCGTTTCGCTTCAGCTACCGTGCGCCTATCATTATTCACCACCGCGATCCACTTCGGCGGGCAACCGCAATCTGCCATGGAGTACTGATTACGTATTTCTTGGAGTGAGGCTTACGGGTAGGAACTCAGAAGCGTGCGCGGTGTGGTTGTCCGCGATGCTAGCAGAGTCAACACCAAACAGAACAGGAACGCATTTCGAGTACACTGGACGACAAGCAGGTAACACCAGTTACGACACGCGTCTGGCGTGCTCAACCCTATGCGGAATATCCATTGGTCCGGCTTTCAAAGCAGATGCGCGTGCAGCTTGTGCACATCTTTAGCTGGTCGAGTGCACGAACACAGGTAATCATCCTGGTGTCAAGACATCCCTGTTGCTACTTGGCCGAATGAGGCTTCAGCATGCATTTGTCCCTGCAGTAGCTGCCCGCCCATGGCCGTTGTTCTCCCTCAATTTGGGGACCCAGGAGCCATCTTGATCATCCAAGAACCGCCGAGCCTCGCCGTTTCGAGGTGACTTCCCCTCATCATCCAGGCACAAGACCTGTGATGTTTATCGGTGCGGACCGACTCAACCAAGCCGTGTTCCGATGTCCAATTGATTCGCCTAGCCGCGACGCCCTGATGGTATCCCCAAGCCTCCTTGGCAGGACAGAGTCTCGATTGAATATCTTAAGCCGGCCGTCGTCGAGATAGTGCGAGCAGAAGGCTCTTTCGATCCGCGTATCCTCTGCGCTTTGTAGCATATCTACGGTGCGACAATCAGAGATTGCGGTTGGGTAACCGTGGCCTTCTCCATATCACCGTTGGACGATCACCGCGTCGTCTTACAAGCTACGAGTACTCCGTACTCCTTGTGCAACAGAAAGAGGTTCAACGAGCAATCGTTGGTCTTCCGGTACCAGGCCTACCCTCCCCACCGTGTGTAATCGCAGGCGCTGGCCCAGCACCAGAATAAAGGTGCCAGATCCGCGGGCTCAACTATGACGATTCCCCTGCCAGGCTAGTCAATCCTCTGCGATGATCGGAACAATAGCACCATGATAGCGTGAGTCTCCGCTTCGTGAGGTTGTACGAGTTACGAGCCGAGTCCCAGGAGGTGCTACTGCAGCTGGTGGAGCGCGACTGCATATCCACCCCCGTGCATGCGGAAGGAGTATCCCGACATATTCTAGTCGTTTCACTCTGCGCCGTCATCCTTGCCCCGGATTTTCCCAGCCCATTTCGGTGCTATAGGGAGAGGGTCACTGTCTGATCTCGCTCTTCAATGAGTCGACTGCACGGTCGCAAAGCTTGTCGTGCCCTGCGCTTTCAGAGCCAGGGTGAAGTGTTAGCGGTCAAGGTAATTGAATCAGTGGATTTGCGACCCGCAGCCCAACCCCGTGGGACAGAGTCGACCAGGGTACACTTGGCCACCGCGACTCTGGACCACAAGACGTGACTTTGACGTTTGCATAACGACGGCATGTGAAGACAAAAGTGTCTCGTCTCCCCCCACCGTCCTGTCGAGTCTTCGATATCGTCGTGCCCTTCGCCTGTCTGGTGTGCTTGGCTTGGGACACTCACTACCAGCTCGCTGCCAACATGCCAATCGTCGCTTCACAACACCACGCCATCGAGACGGCTGAGCGAGTCACGTCGGTCTTCTCGGTCGCCGGCGCATTCTTCATCATCTCGACGTTCCTTTCTGACAGCAAGTTCCGCAAACCCATCAACCGACTTGTCTTCTTTGCAGCATGGGGGAACCTATTTGCCAACGTCGCAACCCTAATAGCAAGATCCGGCATTGCAGCCGGAGTAACGACGCCATTATGCCAATTTCAGGGTTTTCTGATTCACTGGTATGGTCTCCAACCGCCCGCTACCATGCTCGTACTCAGTGAAGTTGTAGGTTTCTTCCCGCTGATGCTTTGTGGACCTTTGCGATGGCTTGCAATGTCTATCTCTCCTTCTTTCGCCAATACGACGCGTTGAAGCTTCGAGGCCTTGAGTGGCGCTACTTGGCAGCGTGTTACGGCATCCCGTTCCTTCCAGCGTTTGTTTTTCTCTTCGTCAACTCTGGGGACAGGGGCAAAGTATATGGGGACGCCGTGGTACGTGGATGCCAACTTGCTCGTTCATGTTTGCTCCTAACGGCTCTGCAGCTCTGGTGTTGGGTCACCACGAAGTGGAACGCGCTTCGAATCGCCACCTTTTACGGACCGGTCTGGCTTATCATTTTGGTGACAATGTTCATCTATATCAAAGTGGGCATTGTGGTCTTCCGGTGGCGCAAACAGCTCCTGTCTACAGGTCGGAGTGAGAGTAAGCCGGAGGTGCCATCGTACGGATATGCCATGAAGCAGTTCCCAACTTCGCCCATATCGCCGTCCGACTCTCAGAAAACAGACGAAGTCACCATCAGCGGCCAAGTCCTGCACTCACCTACTCCGAAACAACAGCACCTCAATTCACCAAGCAACGAATACTATGGAGATGCTTCACCCACCCATGCTCACCATGAAAGGTTTCAATCGGTGCAGGAACCTGAATACCCAGAAAGAGACACCCAGGCGGTCATTGACAGTGCGCAGGCCCAGATGGTGGATGCTAACAAGGCGACACTGAGTTACTGCAAAACGGCCATGCTATTCTTTCTCGCTCTCCTTTGTACATGGTGTGTGATTCTCCTCGACATGGGTTGGCACGGTGCGCTTACTATCCTTAGGGTCCCTTCCACAATAAACAGAGTGTATACTCTTGTTCGACCTAACGACTCGATCTTTGGATTGGACTTTGCCTCCGGTCTGGTGCTTCCCCTGCAAGGGTTCTGGAACACAGTCATCTATATTGTCACCAGCCTGCCGGCGTGCAGGGCCTTGTGGGCTGATATCATCGCTACCTTTGTTCCTCAAGCCCCACGACCGGACAGGACCACTCCGACACTTGCGATCTCAACCAAATACAACCACCGCGTGCTCGGCTCCGAAGACACGAGAGCCGATATCCATGTCAGCATGGACGGAAGGAATCGAATTGTCAACTACCGCAAACCGCATGACGATGACATCCCAGAAGAGACCAACAGCCCCCTAGGCCCAGGTCCAGGGTTCGTACATGCCCGATGACGAGGTGAGGTGAGGATGGTCACACGATTAAATGTAATGTATTGTATACTATGGTGGGCGGGAGGGGTCAGCTAGTGGCACACAGCGAATCTGGAGTTGGTGATCAACTGCAACGACGAGATACCCGGGGGTCAAGGAGAAAAGCTTCCTGCTGTGCCGCTCAGATTGACGGTCACATCCACGCGTACGAGATGTACTATAGGCAGATATCAAGCAACACTATGGATATGAAGTGATGGTGGAGAACGTTTCTGATCAACCTGCTGCTTTGTCTTTCTTTCAGTCGACAACCAGCAATGTTTGCACACCGCTCTATGGGAGGGACCGACACCAACCAGCAGAATGAATTGGAGATAGATGTCAGCATCCCTAGTCATCCGTTTGGGGAAGCACGGGCAAAGTTGGTGCAGGATCGGAGGAGGCTTCCCCAAGTCTCGAGCTTCCTGCTCTTCAACAACAAGCAATGCCAGGTATGGAAAGCAAAGCCTGCGTAAGACGTCAAGGCTGAATCACCCGTCGCTTGGTGCGTGATGTCGTCTTCTTCTCAGGTCAGTCAGTACAATCCGAGAGCCCCCTGCACATCAACATAGACCATGTATCATGCCAGCTGGATCTGGGTTTGGCTCGGTCATTAAATACCTAGGACCGTTTATCATGCCAGGTGGACTTGAGTTTGGCTCGGTCATTGACTCCTCCAATACTACTATAGGTCAAGGCTGAAGAGCCTCCAGCGGAGAACATGGCACCCAAGTCGGCGAAGGAGAAGATAGTTCTCGCCGACTTCAAGCCCTCCCCGACTTTCCTCGAGACTGTCTCGACGTCGTCGCTGAACTACCGGGAATGTGCCCTCCAGGAGATCATGGCTCTGATTGCCCACGACCCAGACAACTCGCTCAACTCGCTCGATGAATACCTTGCCACGGCATTATACTACGGCGCGACCGAGTCCGAGATCCAGAACGTCGTCTATCAATCGAGCTTTCACATGGGATCGTCCAAGGCGATCACGACGCGAACTCGCGTCACCGCGAGCCTGCAATCTCTTATGGGCCCTCTGCACCACGCCCTGGACAGCACGTACGTGGAGAAGGAGGTCTCTGTGGACGACCACACCACCGTGGTGAAAGACTCGAATCCTTCCAGCCAGTCGATCCCCCTCGTCCTCATCCACGCGCTGGCGCTCGATCGGCGCATGTGGGATGCCGTCTTCGCCAGGCTGGCCGCCGCCACCGCCACGGCGGGTAGCAGCATCCGGGTGATAGCGTACGACATGCGAGGTCACGGGTACGCAGCACACGCTCCGCCCGCGCGCTCCCTCACGCAGCTCGCATCCGACTTGCACTGCATCCTCGACGCGCTCAAGATCGCCCGTGCGGACGTCTTCGGCCAATCATACGGCGGCGCCGTGGCACAGTCCTTCGCGCTGACGTACCCGGGGCAGACGCGCAGTTTGGGCCTGATCACCACGGCGGGCGAGGCACAACCGTCATGGGTCACCCGCGCGACCAGGGCCGAGGAGGGGCAGGCCGTGGCGCCGTTGCTGCCCGAGACACTTATCCGCTGGTTCACGCCCGAGGCGATCGCGCGGAACCAATGGGGCGTCCGCTACGCCCGGTCGTGCGTCGAGAGGATGGCGCTGGGCGACTGGGCCGACGCGTGGCGGTGCATGGCCCAGCTCGATTCGCTACAACGTCTGAGGAAGGGGGAGGTCAAGTGTCCGGTCCTGCTGGTCTGCGGGGTGCAGGACGCGAGTACGGGGCCGAAGTGGATGAGGAGGCTTAGAGAGGCGTGTGAGGCTGGGGGCAATACGGAGGTCGTTTACAAGGAGATCGACCCGGGCGTGCATATGATGGCGCTGGAGCAAGGCGAGGCGTTGACGGAGGAAATACTTGGGTTTAGACAGAGAGTGGATCAATTAGGAGCGTGAGGAGAGGAAGAGCAACGAGGTGGTCAAGGTGGTGTACTTGTACATAGTAACTTGTATCAATGGCGCTGCTCACTCACTCGCTTACTCACTCAGATTGTTCAGTTCCGAGTATGAGAGGAGGAAGAGCAACGAGGCGGCAAGGTACTGTACTTGTACGTAGTATGAATGGCACTGCTCGCTCACTTCTTCACTCACTCTGATGTGTTCCCTCAGACATGAATCCGCCCCCGACGTACTACCTCGAAATGGCATCCTCGACACGAGCACGCATTGCTTCTTAAATGCCACTCATCTGTTTCTCACTTTTCAATCCTCATATACTGTGTACCCCGCAATGCCTGGGGGAGCGGTCCGGAGGTCAGGATGACCTTGATCAGGCAAGACCGGCACGACGCGAGTCATTGACTTCCTGTACGTCATGGCCGGAGCGCATTGCTACTGGCCGAAGCGGACGCCTAGACTCGCGAGATCGAAACTCGGCCTGCAGACCGACAGCCGGTAAAATCTCCGCTTTGAGCCCCACTCACCCCAGCCAAACAGACACAATCTTTTGCTGCACGCGAGAACGTTCGCTCGCGCCGCACATCACCTACGAATCTCTCCGCCACCATCAACGTATTTTTATTTTATACTTCACCCTACTATCTATATGCGCGTTTCAGCCTGGCCTTGATATACATCTCCTTCCGTCTGTACCACAGCAAATGTCCTTGGCCCAGCATGTCTCGGCAGTTGAAGGCATCGATCACGAACCGGAGCCCGGCGACGTGGGCTTCGACACGGATAGCATCCGGGCCTTCCCTCGATTGTCCAGACAGCCGAGTATAACGCTGAGCATCAGCTATGACCCTATCCCACCCGCGGCGGGTGACAAGTCCGCCGGGGGTGAAAAGTTAGAACCCATTGCCGCCTATGAGGTGAGCCCTAAGAAACGAATAGGTGAGTCTGTCTCTGTCTCATGTGCTTCAATGTCTTCTCGAACTTAGGCTGAGTCTGCCCTTGCACAGCCCAGATAGTGATTGGTGTTATCGCGTGTGTGACAGCCTCGGGCATCACGTTTGGATTCGACGCCCTGAAAACCATCCTGGTGGCAGAAGGTGTCTACAAGGATCTGTGCACGGAAAAGGAACTGAGGAAAGGCGTCAGGCTGTGTTACCTACAGGATCAAAGGTAATCAATTTTCCGGTTCGATCCATCATCATATCCCCCTGTTGGCCCATGTCAAATGGAACTGACACTGACATTGACGACCTCCCACAGGCTAAATCTAACGTTCATCATCGCCTCCGTCACGACCAACATCTCGGCCCTTCTCGTCGGCGGTATCCTCGACCGGTACGGCCCGCGGGTATGCGGCATCATCTCATCAGTGTTTCTCGCCTTGGGCTCGCTCTGTCTGGCATTCGCCGAACCGCTGCCCTTCGACGGCTACATTGTGGCCTCATTCCTGCTGGCACTAGGCGGCACATTTACCTTTGTGCCATCCTTCCACCTGTCCAATGCCTTTCCGCGCCTCCAGGGCCTGATCCTCGCCCTTGTGACTGGCGCGTTCGACGCTTCTGCAAGCGTGTTCCTCCTCTTCCGGATCCTCTATCAATCCACCTCCGGGGCCGTCTCCCTCCGCCAAATCTTCCTCGTCTACCTCCTCACCATCCCGACGTTCATCTTGGTCACGCAGATCTTCATCATGCCTGCCCAATCCTACCAAACCCGCGGCGAACTGGCCGAGAAGATGGACCGTGCCCAGGACGCCACGACCGACCTGCACGACTCGGACGACGACCTGGACCTCACAGCCACGGACCTCATGCGCATGCGGTCCCACCGCGCCGAGCAAAGGAGGATGTCCATCGCGAGCATCAACGACCTGCTGGGAACGCCCGCCCAACAAGTCAAGCACGTCAAGAAGGAAGACACGATCCGCGCGAACTCGGGCGTGTGGGGCGTGCTGCACGGCTTGCCCGCATCGAAACAGATCCGCACCCCGTGGTTCATTCTCATCACACTGTTCACGGTCCTGCAGATGGCGCGCTTCAACTTCTTCATCGCCACCATCTGGTCGCAGTACGTGTACATGCTGAACAGCGCCGCCGAGGCGACCAAGCTGATCGAATACTTCGACCTGGCGCTGCCGATCGGCGGCATCGCCACCGTGCCCTTCATCGGCGCCCTGCTGGACCACACGAGCACCGTCGCCGTGCTGAACCTGCTAGTCCTGCTGAGCACCATCATCGGCGTGCTCGGCGCGGTGCCGACCGTGTGGGCCGCCTACGCCAACGTTACACTTTTCGTCCTCTTCCGCCCGCTGTATTACTCCGCCATGAGCGACTACGCGGCCAAAGTGTTCGGCTATGCGACCTTCGGGACGGTGTACGGCGCAATCATCTGCCTGAGCGGGCTGTTCACGTTCACACAATCGGGCCTGCAGGCTCTATTGCATGAGGTCTTCGAGGACGATCCCGAGCCCATCAACCTGGGCCTCGCCACCGCGGGGCTCGTCCTGGGCGTGATACTGGTCATGTACGTGGACATCAAGGGCCGGGATCTGCAGCGACAAAAGGCCATCGCCGCGGCGCAGGCTGCTCAGCACGCTTCGAATATGGCGGACGAGTGGACTCGTCTGCTGAGCGTGCCCCAGGGGCAGCGATCCGCGTACGGCAGCGCGAGGAGCATGGGCAGCGTGCTTGGGCCGAACGGCTCCGTGCCCGTCTCGATCCCGACCGGCGCGTTCGGCACGGGAGGCGGGATCGGCGGCGCGTTCGGCACCAGTCCCAGCATGACGGGTGCGTTTGCCGGCCTCAGTGCCGGCGGTGGTGCTGCTGGGGTGGGTGCAAATGGTAATCCTGCTCCCCATGGGAGTATCTCTGGCGGTGGTGGTGCGAATCTCCCTCCTGGCATGGGCGGCGCGTATTCCGTCGGCATGGGCGGCCCAGGGATGGGCGAAGACACAGGTGCGGCTGAACGAATGCGGATCCTGCACGCGACGCCGAGTCGGTCGCAGCTGCATCGCAACCTGAGCACCGTGCAGGAAAGTGCGCGCGAGGATAGCCTCGCCAGCGGGAGTACGAGTGCAGGGCAGTCGGTGCAATAATAGCGAGTACCTGACGAGCACCGAGCACCGAGCACCGAGCACCAGATAAAGCCGGATGGATCACTCCACCCATTTCTCTATGTTGATATACAAATTGGCGACATCGTGGGGTGTAGACCGGTGTCAGCTCAGGTCAGGCAAAGCATGGCGTTATGAGAAGAAGGAAGCCCGATGAAACTCGAACCCGGATCTACAAATATTGTTGCCGTACTATCGTGTTGAGATTGAGACCGTGTGTGTGGGTGTGCATGAACAATAGAATAAAATAAATAGTTTGTGTACCTATTATCTAGCCACCTAGGTATGTATCTACCTACCTATCTGTGTCTTGATTTTCGGCCTGTTCTAATCTGGCCCAGCTACAGTAGCGTGCTAACTTTCTTCCTGAACCGCCTCCTGTACGTATGGTGTCCAAAACGCCTGCAGGCTCTCGTGATGCGGACTTGACTCCGGGCAGCTGGGGAGATCTATACAAATGGGTGCGTCGGGTGGAGTGAGTATTCAGATGACTTCACCCTCAAGCGATAGACCTGTCTACATCGGACAATAGTGACTGTATGACTCGAAGAACGTCTACCATATCTTCATGTCGTTGACGAGCGCCTGGTACTAATTCAAGCGAGCAAATCAGACGACCCCGGCCATCCGACCTGATTGTTTTGCTGGGACTTCAAAGCGATGCTAGATCAAACACGGTTGACACTAATTGAGGCCACTCTAATTCCCCACCCACCGCTCGCTCTTACACCTAATCATCCAACAGATTGGTATCGCCGTTGACCTGCTTGTTGCCATCCTCATTGTCTCTTGTATCTTTGTTTGCCTTCTTTCCGTGTCCCTTTCTGGCGTAGAACTCATCCAACAATTTCGGGTTGATCCGGTTGAGCAGTTCCTTGGGGAAGATGCGGAGCAAGTTCCACCCGAGATCCAAGCTGTCGAAAATGGAGCGCTTGTCGTAAGGACTTTGTGCGATGAATTGTCTCTCAAACTTGTCCAAGAATTCCAGCGAGAGCTTGTCTTCGGATGACAAGGCTTCCTCACCCACGACGGCTTTCATGGCGGCTGCGTCACGACCAATGGCATACTTGGCGTACAGCTGGTTTGAGACGTCGCCATGATCTTTCCGCGTCAGACCTTCGCCGATGGCAGACTTCATGAGTCGAGACAGTGACGGCAAGACGTTGATGGGCGGGTAGACACCTTTGTTGTGCAGACCACGGTCGACGAAGATCTGACCTTCTGTGATGTACCCAGTCAAATCGGGGATCGGATGTGTGATGTCGTCGTTAGGCATGGTCAAGATGGGAATCTGCGTGATGGAGCCGTTTCTTCCTTCGACACGACCGGCTCGCTCGTAGATGGTGGACAAATCAGTGTACATGTAACCGGGATAGCCGCGACGACCTGGCACTTCTTCTCGAGCAGCAGAGACTTCTCGGAGAGCATCGCAGTATGCAGACAAATCCGTGAGGATGACTAGAACGTGCTTCTCAAGTTGATAGGCGTAGTATTCTGCCGTGGTCAACGCAAGTCGAGGGGTGATGATTCGTTCGATGGTTGGGTCGTTGGCCAAGTTCAAGAACAGAGTGACCCGCTCCATTGAACCATTCTCTTCGAAATCGCGCGTGAAGAATCGGGAAGTCTCCATGTTGACACCCATTGCAGCGAATACGATGCTGAAGTTTTCCTCGTGACCATCATGAACGCCCTTCGTGGGTTGATTGACAAGACCAGCCTGCCGACAGATCTGGGCAGCAATTTCGTTATGGGGTAGACCGGCAGCCGAGAAGATAGGGATCTTTTGCCCTCTGGCTACTGAGTTCATGCAGTCAATAGCCGAGATACCTGTCGAGATCATTTCCTCGGGGTAAACCTTCACCCGGGTCAGTTTGCGGTGGAGACAGTGAGACGGGGCGAGCGTACTCTTGAATATGGGTTGATGGGACTCCCGTTGATGTCAAGGTAGTCTTCTGCCAGCACTTTGGGCCCTTTGTCAATGGCTCTTCCTGATCCGTCGAAGATGCGACCCAGCATGTCTTCCGAGACTCCAATTTTCAGACTGTGGCCGGTGAACTCGACTTTTGTCTGTAGATAATGAGCATCGTCGTAGAGTGTAAGATAGTGGTTCTGCGCACCTTTTTGACATCAATGCCCGTTGTGCCTTCAAAGACCTGGACGACGGCTCTGTTCCCTGCAAACCAGCGTCAATCCGCCATCATCTTATATGTTCTGTGTAACTGTAACGAGCATACCTCTTGCCTCGAGAACCTGACCCGACCGTGACGAGCCATCGGGAAGTGTCAGACTGACAATCTCGTTGTATCTGGGGAATTTGACCTAAGGGAACCAAGTATCAGCGATAATGCAGCACATGCCGCGCGGCGCTAGTTCGCAGCTACAACGTACATTGTCTAGGATGACCAGAGGTCCATTGACACCGCCAATTGTATTATACTTCAGCCTCGGCTTGACTGAAGCCATACGGGCATCTTGGGTGGCCATGTCGCGAGTCTGTGAGGTGAGGGTCGAGCGTGGTGGTCGAGGTTGGAGAATGAGGCAGCAAGAATTGTGTAGCTACTTGACGAAAGAGCTGTGCAGGACCGGTGGGCGAATCAGAGAGCCACAGTGGCGCAGGCGAGCAGCAGCTGCGACTAACGAGAGATCCGGTCTCCAAGACGACACCAGCAGGAAGAGCGAGCTTTGGGGTCAAATCATCGAAAGATCTGGTAGCGAGGGTGGTAGAGGGAGCTGCAAGCTTGTGGCTGGCGATGCGGTCACTGATGCACCTGAACAAGCCCGCCAATGGCAGCCCCGGCTAAGATAAGGCTGATGGGCGCCGTCCGTGACTCCAGGCATGTTGGAGCGACCACCACCACTTGATGTTCTTTCACGCGAACCTCTTCTTCTGCACATGGGAGCATCTGTTCCTTGTGAGAGAGTTGGTTTGTTACGTATATGGACTTCAGTGGTATCCTAGTGTTGCTGGCTTGGCATTGGCTCACACCAGCCTCACCCTTCCTTGATAGACAGGGTGACCGAGTCACGTTCGATAAGAGATCTCACGACAGACACGAGACTGTTCAGACGGGAGGACAAGAGCATACTCGAGCTCCAAATAATATTATGTGTCCTCACAAGACTTGGTTCCACTTTCCAACGATCTCACTTTGCCCTTTACAGCCTTCAATTTCCATTCCCCATGATGGAAAACCGTCAGTCCATGCCAGGCACAGCTTGTAGAAAAGACGCATTTGTTGCCCCACTGAGCTACTGGGTTGCTGGGATCAAATCTTGCTGCAAAACCATGGTGTACGCCGGAGTACACAGCCAACGCATACGGGCATCTGGTCTCTTTGAGCAGCCTCTCAGCTGAAGGTTGTCAATAGTTGGTTCCACCGTGCATCTAGCCCGTGGCATCGCGGTCTTCAAAGGCGTTTGTGGCACGCACTCCCCTTTGAATAGGACGGTTATGGCGGTAAGCTAGCGTTGACAGCTGGTCTGCCATCAATTGCGCATTGACCATCTCTCTCAAGACATCCCTCAAGTAAAACTGCCACCACCGTTGTGCAGTCTCTCCGGAGGTGTTCCTGCGGTATAGGTGTTGAAAGCGCGAAAGCCAGCTGGGAACCCCTATGAAGCTACGTTTGTCCTTAATGTCCAGAAACTCACCTCGACTGACTTACGTGTGTATAAAACCGCCGGTACAGCATCTTGAGGGTGAATTATGCCATTGAATTCCCCCTTTGCCCCTCAATCTCTCCATTCTTCCCAGCATCCAGCGGCAAAGACGAGTCTTTCATATTCCTGAGTGTTGTCACCGTACCAGCCGGCAACCTCGAGATTAACGCGTAACGGCTGCGTGCGGTCCCGAAACTATGCGATAGAGCGGTCTCCTTCACTGAGCGTCTCCTGACTCCTCGAATGGCGCTGGTCCGGTTTCGGGCAGGCGGGTTGCGAACTAAATTTCGCAGCGGTCGGGAACTGATTTTGCTTGCCGTTGAAAACTCCAAATCGTTCCAAGCATTCGCATTAGTTGGTTTTGGAGGCGCCCACGGGACCCAAATTTCTGGACGCTTCGCATTCCTGGACTTTGCTCCTGCGCACTCCCCTGCAACTGCTTCTGCAAGCCGTGGCGGTAACGATGACTGCCCGTTTCTATGCTCAAGTCACAATGCGAGAACAACCGAGACGCTGCCAACCGCCGAAGCAAACGTCGTCGTCTCCGGTGTGATGATTCACTCCCCTACCGGTTCTGGCCTAGCGCTAAACAGCACTTTAAACTTGACGATCTCAACAATTTCCAGTGCCTCCTGAGTTCCTTTGCTTGCGTTCACTCCGGATTCTGCTTCGCTGCCATTACCAATGCTGTGGTCCACTTTCTGAATGACGGCCAATGGCTCCCCCAACTTCTTAACCTCACCGGTTAGTCGTTGGTGCTTGCCAACGTAGAGATAGACCTTCTTCATCCATTTGCCATCTTCGTTGCTTGCTTGTGGGTTGTATAATGGGAACTCCAGGCGTCCGATCTGGCGCGTTGTTGTCATGGGGTTTTCATCCCCGGGTGTTGAACCTTCGAAAGGTCCGTGGATCGTCCCTTGGATTTCGAGCAGAGCGAGGCCGGAGGGGGTCTGAAGAAGAGGCGGTAGTGGATTGCTGCCTGGTTTGGGGGTGCGTGAAGAAGGAATCAGTAGTTCTATCGCTGGCATGGTGGCCCGATTCTTGATCAGATTCTCAGAGAGGGTTGACCGAACGCGGTCACGCTCAAAAAGAGTGAAGACACGTCGTTTCAGGTCAAGATGCACCACCGTATTTTTCACAACAAGTTGGTGTTGCTTTCCCGTGGAGTTCCACCTCAAACTTGCCCTCGTGGTCCTACAACCGCTTCTGGCCACTGCACTTCAGCGATAGCAAAGGGCGCATGGAGACATTCTGCTTGCGCTAAGTCTGATTCACGTCGAGATTCCTCAGGGGAAGCTGCCGTCGCGTCCGCAGTCAATGTCCAGAGGGGTCAAAGATGATTGCGGTGTCATGCGCGGCTGCACCAGAACCAGACAACATAGGACGACAGCAGGACGACATTACGGCGGCGAGACAGAGGAGAAGTCGCAACCGGACTAAAGTGTTCGAACTGAGTGGGCAAGACCAACACTTCCTGCCGTTTGTTCCCCTCCGCTGTCCCATAGTCAATCCCTCTCCTGCCTCAGATCCGTCTTTTCGTGACTCTGAGATACGTTCTTACCTTGAACCTTGGTATCGATTCCACCCTTCTCTTGAACCCAGTACTGCCTGACAGCTTTTCCGTACCATGTGTCCATGCTAATTGACCTCCGTGTTTGCTCCTCAAAGTCGGTTTGTGCTCTTCCTCAGAAAAGCTTCACAACACGTAGCTAAACCTATACCCGGATGACAGTGGTGGCAACGACGGTGCCATGGGGTGCAAAAGCTGGTCCAACGACTAGGCTTGCTCGAATTCAATCCTCAAAACATGCTGTCAAGGTGACGCGGGTTTGACAGAGATGGTGACCAGGTCGACAGTGTCCCCAACCAGTTCAAAGTGAAGGCAATTGACCAATGCGATCTCCGACATGCCTAGCAAACCCCGTTGCCACCTGGCCATCTGTTCTGTCACTATATCTGAGGTCAGCCGAGGTATAGGTGAATATACCCTTTACCCCTCTGATCGCGACGATCGTGAGTCGCCTGTCTGAGCATGAAACGATTCTTCACTGCATAAGACGAAATTCCGCGGCAAAGAATCACTTCTGGCTATGATCAGGTGTCGACTAGCTTTCAGCGGTTGGAGTGAAAGAGGAGGGTCTTCTGGAACAAACTTACCCTGCGGATAGTGGCCTCACCGTCAACATCCGTCGCGCTTGATGGATCTGCTCTGTTTGACAGGTGCCGTGTTACCCTTTGGCGCTGGAAGTGAGAGAACGCAGGCTAGCTGGCTCACAGTCAATACCAGAGACGGCACCTTCATCACTCAGACCCGCGGACCAACCTGGGCATGCATAAAAGGGCTGATTTTCCCAGCAGACTCTGCCAAAGACCGTCATGGTTCGCCAACACTCACCTCAGACACCTACCCGGACGCACAACTTGTACAGATCTCGGCTAGCTCTCACGTATAGCAGCGAAAGAGTGTGGCCAGTGGAAACAACACTGTTCATTGGGAATGTTGACTTCAACACTGATCTGTGCCTTTGGAAAAGCCACAGAAAAGAACATACAGCCAAAGCGCGTTATTGGCTCTCCAATCACCTCAAGTTACGAGAACATACACTCTGAAAGAAGCTTGGCGGGTGACTGACAAAGAAAGCTCGACAAGGCTGTGACAGCCTTGCGAGGCTTCATATTCAAAGTTCAAGCGGCGTCCAAACCCCAGCTCCAGACTGCGTGTGTCCCCAAGACTCGCTCTGGATCTTGACACCTCGTCCAAACTCGGTGTCCCATGCTGCAACAGCAAGAAAAAGAAGTCCTCGGAGAACTGCCTACCAATATTGAGCTTTGAAGATACCAGTAACTCGAACACGGAGGCGAGGCAGTCTCCCCGTTGTCCCCCCAGCAATACCGTGGTCACAAGAGTTGAATCTGCCTCGATCTTCACTTTCGACCTCCTGCTTCCCAGTCAACCATATCAACTGCACGGTCTAGGCCGCAGCACTTCAATAACCTCCGGTTTCGCATCTCACGGTAAGGAAGTGACAACAAACAACATCTGTTCCCTCAGCCTATTTATACCCCCAATCATCTCCCTTCTTCTCTATCATACTCAAACCACGACAAGTCTAACCAACAAGACTCTCCAGTGACTCCATCAAGCCATACCCCACCATAGAGATGGCTGCCCGTAGAAGGTCGGATCGTCTATCAGTTGACCAATCGTCGCTTCTTACCTTCAGCGACCTTACTAGCGAGGCCAGTAAGGAGATCGGGAACCGGGCCAGCACCAATCCGGACTGTGCTCTCTTTCTTGTGCCCGTTAGCGGACCCTCTTACACGTCGACCCGTACCTGGAAGAGCCAAGCCGTCAAGGATAGCGAGGAGTATGAACGCATGCGACAACGTGTCCGCCATTTTGCACCAGAGCAGTTTAAGCCCAATGCTAAGCTTGGTCGGGGTCCGTCCGAAATCTTTCCTCAGAACGTGGCCGAATGGATAACCCACAAGAAGGAGATGCTCACGATTGCCGAGACCGAGACCAAGAAGAACTGCGACGTGCTGAAGGCTCAGATCGAAGCACAAAAGAAAGTCCCCAAGCAGCAGCGCAAGATCAAATCGGTGTTCGGTGAGGGAGGGAAGGTGTTCAACGACGGGCTGAGTCCTGTGCTTTGTCTCCCGACGATCTGGTCAGCCGAATGCTCCCAAAAGCCAACGAACTGGCCCAGCAAGGCGGAACTGCAGTGGAACGGAGACAGTCGACGGTGCTCCCTGGCAAGGACCAAATGTGGTCGATACCTACCACCACCGCGTAACTCTACCAATCTGTCTGCGCCCTTCCAAGAGCAGCCCTTTCAGAAGCCGCATGCTCTTGACGAGACCGGCCCTGTCTTTCAATGTGGTCCCTCTCCAGCAGAGTCATACCACGGGAACCTCAATATGAACAACGACCCAGGATTCGAGGCTGCCGGCGCGTTCTATCTCGGCACGGAATTGATAAAGGAAATCGGCGAGTGGAAGCCTTCTTTCGTCCCGGAACGGCGCGAGGAACAGCTGGCGAGTACCGCGGATGCCATGGTGATCTATGATGAGGACGGCATGTTCGGGACTCCAGACGTCGGCGAAGCCAGCTGGAACGAAGACAGCATGCTTTCTAACACGTGGGAACAGCAGCAGGTCTGGTACTAGAGAGTTGAAGCGGGAAGAATATGGGGAGGGGATTTAGAAGAGGACGGGGTGGGCCGAGAAATTGAGGTGCTCACTGTTGGAATGTACTGAGGAATGCGCGTTTTCCTTTTGGCACAGCGAAGGCTTTTCTTCTCTGATGCGGCACGATTCAAGCTGGACGACGGAGCAACCACTTGACGACCTTGATGCCTTTTGGAGCCAAGACTGCGCTTGGTTATGGCTTTCATTTGCTTTGCTTTTGCTTTCGCGCCAACACCGATTCCGGATGCGATAGACACAACCGAACGAAATGACGACCGCGATACCCCTCTGGATATGATGGGCGGTGCTTGGACACTCAAACTACACTGGCGCTTGGTTGATATGACTGGGGAGCAGGACCGACGATTCTGACGAGGAACCGTTTGAATGAGAGCTGGATCAAGATGGGCTTCTCAACCCCCAAAACACAAAAACAAACTGGGTTGTATCGTGCTCCCCGAACTCAGGATACGCGTCTCCGAGACGTCATACCAACGATGGTAAATGCAAATAATCCAGACATGCAATGGAACGAATCTCACACTCCTATGCTTACACGGTACTGTGCACTGTGGGCTGTAGGTACAGAGTACGAGTACGTCCCTCGTACGTCGTGTGTCCCTGTAGCTGTTGGCCGCCCTTCCGGCTGACACCCCCACACCGACTCGATCCTCCTTCGGCCCCGGCAATGAAAACGCGTCGCAATGCCATCCCTTGGCCCCCACCCTCCCTCTATTCGTCGGCCCCACCGTTACTGATTACCCCACCATCTTGGCCATCCGCAGCCCTGCCTCGTCCCTTCCAAGCAGCCAAAGCGGAGAGGCGGAGTAAACCAACCTTCCGACAGCAGTGACCGCCGAAAGGCCTCGGTCCAAACGCGGATAGCTACAAAGAATACCGACTCGATCTCACTCAACCCGCGCCTGCGAGCTGGCAGAATGAAATATATCATGGCCACGTACAGATTCTTGAACTGCTCCACCATATTCGTACGCGCACCCTGCGCTGCATCGAACCCAGCATGTCTCGTAAGTTTCCTTCACCTCCCACTCTATGACTTGGTCCTCACCCAACCCACCCACTAACCCACCACATCTACTGTAGTTTCCACCGTAGCAGCAGCCATCGCGGGCGGGCTCGCGACCGCGGCGTATCTCGACGCCAAATTTCTTATCCGGCATGACCTGGCCGCGGGGTCTCTGGCGGCCGGCCAGAAAAAGGCCCTGGCCTTCACGATGGAGCGGGTCGAGCAGAACCGCATGCTGATGTACCATGTCTTCGAGGACCAAGCGACGGGCAAGAATGGTGACCAACTGTTCCTGATGTTCGAGGGCCGGGAGTGGACGTACAAGCAGTTCTTCACGCAGATACACAAGGTGGCCAACTGGCTAAGGAACGACCTGGGCATTAAACCGCAAGAAATCGTGGCCCTCGACGGCGGGAACAGCCCGGAGTTTTTGATGCTGTGGTTCGGACTGGAGGCTATCCGCGCTTGTCCTGCGTTTATCAACTGCAACTTGACGGCCGGCCCGTTGACGCATTCGGTCAAGCTGAGCGACGCGCGATACCTGCTTGCCGACCGCTCCACCACGGACCTCGTGCGGCCGTGTGAGGACGATTTGCGGTCCGCAGGCGTGACGACACTTTACTACGACGAGGCCTTCATCTCGGGTCTCACAGACACGACACCCGTGCCTAAGTCCTTGCACAAGGGCATCTCGCCCGCTGAACTGGGCGGGCTGATCTACACGTCCGGAACGACGGGTCTGCCCAAGGGCGTCATCATGCTGCGTGGACGTGAACTCAACACGGCTCGCAGCGTGGCCGAATACCTCAAACTCAAGCCAGGAAACAGAATGTATACGTGTCTACCCTTGTATCACGGCGCCGCCCACGGTCTGTGCGTTACGCCGTCCATCTTCGCCGGGTCGGCCGTCGTGCTGTCGCGCAAATTTTCCCACAAGACGCTCTGGCCCGAGGTGCGGGCCTCCAAGGCCGACATTCTGCAATACGTCGGCGAACTGTGTCGGTACCTGATCAACGCGCCGCCGTCGCCGCTGGACAAGCAACATAACATCAAAATGGCATGGGGCAACGGCATGCGGCCAGACGTGTGGGAGACATTCCGCCAACGGTTCGGCATCGAGATCATCAACGAACTCTACGCCGCGACGGACGGCATGGGCGCCACCTTCAACGCCAACCGCGGCGAGTTTGGCAAAAACGCCGTCGGCATGCGCGGCCTCTACTGGCACTGGGCCAACGGGGCCAACGAAAAAAGAGTCCGCATCGACATTGACACGGAAGAGATTCTGCGCAACGACCAAGGGTTCGCCATCGAATGCAAGACGGGCGAGCCCGGCGAGGTGGTCCACCGCATGGACCCGGCCACCGTGGACACCGTGTTTGCGGGGTACTACAAGAACAAAGGCGCGGGCCAGAAACGGTTCATCCGCGACCTTTTTGCGCCCGGCGACCTGTGGTTCCGCTCGGGCGACATGATGCGCCAGGACAGTGACGGGTGCGTCTACTTTGTCGACCGCCTGGGCGATACCTTCCGCTGGCGCAGCGAGAACGTGTCCACCAACGAGGTCTCGGACGTGCTGGGCCGGTTCGACCAGATCGCAGAGGCGAACGTCTATGGCGTGCAGGTGCCCCACGCGGACGGGCGGGCGGGCTGTGCGGCGATTGTTCCCGCCTCGTCCGAACAGCTCGACTTTGCCAGGCTGGCCGACTACCTGCTCTCGACACTGCCGCGGTATGCGGTGCCCATCTTTTTGCGCGTGGTTCCGCAGCTCGAATATACGGGTACGATGAAGCTGCAGAAGGGTCGGCTACGGAGCGAGGGCGTCGACCTGGATAAGATCGAGAAATCCGCGCCCGCGGATAGGATGTACTGGCTGCCCCCGAACGGGACCAAGTATGAGGTCTTCGGCAGGAAGGAGTGGGAAGAGCTCAAGGCCGGGAAGGTGAGGTTATAGAGCTACAGGCCATGGGAGTAGGCTGGACGGCGGGCAAGCTACAGGAGAGACCTATTCTCATAGAGCACGGACAAAGTGAAAAGGTTTCGCAATCTACTACTCCGTACTTACAGCGTTGGTCCACGCCGGGAGCCGCATGGAAACTTGCCCCGTTCAGTTTGGCACGGCCAGGTTTTGCCGTGGGACGTCGCTCTTCCCCATGGCATTTGTCATTGACAGGTATCTCTTCAGCCATCGCTACTCGTTACCATAACAATATAGTAATTGGGACGTTTGTTGCCAGTCTGAGGCGGCCGTGTCCAGACCGTCGCATGCGTGGCCGACAGAGCCGACCGAACACGCTGACGGGATCTCCTACTGTGTACACAACTTCAGTGGCATGCCCGTCCAGTCCAGTCGCCTCGGGACGATGAGCAGCACTGAAAGCATTTCCTGCCGGACAAGGTTTCTCCAAAAACTACACGTACATATGTACGACCATCTACCAGGTCAGACTCCGGCCATATCTCCAGCACACCCGGCCAAGCAATAGCAATGTTTTTGTCCGTCATTCGCAGATTGGGGTATCGAGAAGTGAGGCGAGGCGAAGCGAAGACGAGTATCGCATCCAATCATCAGACATCGATCGCGGCGGAAAAATGGGCCTGCGGGAACATGATATCGAAGCCGGAACTCATTGTCATGCTATAAACACAAAATCGTTCAAGTCGTCGTGGCGAAGAGTAGGAATGCGGCCGTGGTAGTACGTCAGGGAATCTATTCGAGAGCTCGTTTCAGGTCGTTCCATTTCTGCTTGAGCCCTTCGTGTTCGGCATTGAGCTAGACGGGAATTAGTTAGTACTGCGGCCAAGGGCTGTCGAGGGAAACCACTCACCTCAGCATACTTTAGCTTCATCGCGACGAGCTCCCGTTCCATCTCTGCCATCTGTTCCTCCATATGACGATTTTCATTCTGCACCTCGATGTTGCGCTGCATGACTTGCTCGGTGGTCGCTTTGAGTCTTTCCTCGACATTTGCTGCCTCGCTTTCCGCGACCTTCTTCAGTTCCGCGACTTGGCCGGTCAGGCTTTCGTTCTGGTCATGGAGCTCATTATTCTCGACTTTCAGCCGAACCAGCTCGTTGGCAATTTCGATGTGTTCGGCATCGGACTTTTCGGCCCTCTGTTCCAACGACCGGATTTGTGCGGCCTTCGTGGCGCAATCAGTCTTGAGGTTCTCCAGTTCGGTTTCACGCGCCTTGTCGGCTTTGGTTGTCGCTTCCCATTCCTCGCGGTAGCGGTTCAACATGTCCGGTGTAAGCTTCACGGCACAGGCATCTTGCACCAGAAGGTCCGCTCGATAGACTTCATTTTCCGATCCTCCCGAGCTGCCGAAGAAGCCGGATTCCAGTAGCGATTTGGATGATGGTGTCGCATCGATGTAGGCGTCAAAGATCTTCTCCTTGAGGAAGTTGGTGAGGCTCTGCATGTCTTGCATGCTCAGTAGCGTGGCAGCGTTCTTCTGCATGACTGCCACGCCGAACTTCAAAATGGCGCCCTCGAGACCCTCACAAAGAACCAGGTCGTACACACGCATGACGAGTTGAAGAGGGAACCGATACGCGAACATCGTCAGAAACCATTGAGTCGCGTAGAGATTGGGGGTGACGTCTCTCCGCTTTAGGTGACAGTATAGAGCGGGTTCCAGGTCTTCCAGTAATCGTTCAAATTGATAAAGGTGAAGGTGCAAGCCAGGCATGTCCTGGATAAAGAGATCCCTGACCTGGTATTTGTTCATCAGGCGAACCAGCAGGCAAAACGCTTCTTCTTGCGGCATGGCAATTAGGAGTGGCATGACCATGAAGTTCATTCCCTGGGGATATCCCACAGCGTCATCAAAGAGTGCGTATGCCCGGAGCACATGGAACAGAGGGTCTTGTAGGCCAGCTGCTACCGCATACTTTGAGTAGCTCGTCCTTGAGCCCAAGTCTCGCTTGATGGCTTTCTCAAGCTTTGACAGCGCAGCGGAGTCCTCCTTGGCCTTCTTCGCTCTCTCTGCTGCCAACTGGGTCTGCAGGCGGGCAGTACTCAGCGGGTCTGTAGCTTCGTGGGAAGGAGAGGGTGATGCAACTCCGACATTGGAGCTCGTGGCTGGCGTCGAATGATCGGACCTTATCGACGATCTCGACGAAGCGGTAGATTCCTTCTCCTTGACGCTGCCGTTAAGGTTGCCGTTGAGCAGTGGTGACTTGGGCATGCCGTCTTTTGCTGGTTCTCGCGACTTGAGCTCCCAGTAGACGGCTTCAAGCTCCTCATTTTTGCTGCCTGCTAGTACCTGCCATATGACCGGTCTGATGGTCTGCGGGATGCCACCACTGATGGCTTGGGTGAACTCATCGGGACTCGTTCGGGCGACAGCTTGCGGACCTTCATTGACGACATTCTGCCAGAAATCCCAGTCGATGGGTATGGCTGTGTCCGCAGCTGCAGCAGCGACGCCCGACACAGTGCCAGGAGGGAGGTTCGGATTTGTAGGGAGTGGTTCAGCCATGGGCGATGTGGGGGACATGATAGGAGTAGAGACAACATTCTCATCCGCGTTGACGGTGCCAGGTGTTGCTATCCCCACACTTAAGCTGGTAGACCGACCGATTAAACCAGCTATTGCGCCACCCTCGGCTGGCTCTGTCCCCTCCAGGCTTGTTATTCCAGCTTCTTCTCGCATGCGCAGCATCTTGAACTGCTCTCGTAGCGACGCCCGTTTCGCGCCGGCCGAGCCATCTTGTGCCTCTTCCAGGGCCTTTAGCATTAGGTCAGGATTGCTTCCCAGGGTCGATGTGGACGCTGCGGTATTCCGCCGGGTGTCAAGCTGGGATCTCGAGGGTAAGGGAGGGGACCGAGTTTCTTTCGGAGCGGATGTCGCACGGCTGAGCCAGCCAAACGGTGTGGTAGCTTTGCGACTCCATGTTGAAGTAGCTTGAGGCTGTGGTGGTGCAGGCCCTTGAGGAGAGGGAGCCCGGGCGTCACTGGGGGACTTCTTGGGAGGAGGAGGAGGAGCTCCCCAAGGCACTGAAGGCAGCGAGGAAGCGAAACCCTGGAATCTCGAGGGACGAGACGGCGGCTTGGGAGGAGCGGCCTTCTCAGTCGGGTCGCCGGAGGTGCTGCTTAAAGATTCGGTAGGCTTTAGTGCAGATGTCTCCAATTCATTCTTGGTGTCAACATCGGACCCTGAGAGGGTCGTGGTTATATCGGGTATCTTGGATTCTGTGCTTTGTGTGCTTTCTCTCTGCGGAGCCTTCGCTTGCTCCTCGTCATTGGCACTTGACGGAGGTTTATCCGATGAGGAGGATTCCCGTTTCGAGTTACTTTTGACCTCGCTCGCGTCCTCGAACTGCTACATTTTGTAAGACAGGGACTTGTGTGGACCTGGTGACCATGTAGCTTACCTCGTCGACTTCCGATTGCTCTGCGGTGGTTGCCATCTTGAAGCCCTCAACAGCGACTAGGCATGCTCGTGTTCTCGCCCATCCAACAGTCTTGATCTTGTCTTGCGGGAAGAATTGTTCTCTTGACTATTGCCCGAGCAAGATAGCCAAATGGTTTTTTGGGTGGTAGTAGCGATGGTTGGAACGGTGACCGAGTGTCAGACTTGGATTCGCAGACGGTGGAGTAGATCAGACGGCTTGAAGATGGTGTGGCTCGTCACTCGGTGATAGATAGGAGGGTGAAAGGTGCTGCTAATCCTGCTTGCTGTTCCCTGGCTTGAGGTGCGGTGGGAGGATGGTCACTCATCAACAGCTTCCCAAAATCTCAATCGTTGTAGTTAGCGGAAGGAGGGATCGACACCAGATCTGGCTCGGGATCTCGCGCCTCAGAAACAGGTTTCAGATTTCCAGAATAACCACGCGATATGTTCAAGACACTGCAGCTGGGGACGCGACAACTGTCTTTTCTTCCCTGTTGCCGGCAATTCAACTCCGCTATGCCATAGGAACATGCATTGTGCGCGTGTCCCATTCTGCATGAGTCCGTCCTTGCCCATGGCGTCGGTTTCTCAAAGAGGCGTGTTTTAGTAGGAGCGCCACAGGCACACGCCCCCGGCTCCACGGCCTAGCCTAGCCCCTCGGAAGCCCCTATGGCGCCGCGTGGTGCCGTTGCATTGTTTGGCTGTGCCGGAAAGGGGCCTGAAGCCCAACTAGGGATGCTCTGCGGCTCCCTTTTAAGGGGGCTAAGGAAGCGAAGGCCTGCTTCCCTCGCTTCATTACGGAGTACAATGCAGGGCTCTGTCATCATCGTACCACCTCACCAATTACTGTACAGTACTACGCCAGTTGCTTGCTGAGCTGCTGCTCCATGTCGTTCCATCTGCCCTTTCTCAGAGGATCGAGAGTCTTCAACGTCTGCAACCACTCTTTCACCTTGAAGTTGTCCTCCTCCTCAAGTCCTGACTTCAGCTTGCCTTCTAAGAGCGTGCACTCAATCAGCGCCTGGTACGGCCACTTGCAGTCTTGCGCATCCTCCAGGACTTCCTCAATGTATTCCCGCTCTGCAGCGATGTACTCTAGCCGCTGCTCTTTTGAAAGGTTCGGTGCCATGCTCTTCTCCGCCTGATCAGGATCAAAGGTGCACATGAGATTCTGGTGGTAGAACCATAGTGACTGGTCGTACGGGTCGAACAATGCTTTGTGGATCAACTCAAGTTCTATATGAACAGCAAAAGTAAGCATGAGTGACATGGAGGACCAAGGTGTCCTACCTTTGTTCAGCATATTTTGTCGTTCCTGATCACTGGCACTCTCCTCGTCTAGGATCCTAAGGATGAGCTTGGTGCGGTTATGCCAGGCTGAGAAGTTCGAGAGATTTGTCCCAACCATTTTCTTGGTGTAGTCAAACTCTGGCAGTGCCATACTTTGTCCCTGCAAAGCCGGGCTCTCCAGATTCTGCACCACTGTCCGTCGATAACCCCAGCCATGGAAGTTGCGGCTGTCCCGATTGAGCATTTTACCCACCAAACCCAGCTCCTCTTCCCATAACTTGCGGGCTTTGATCGCGGGCACAAGGACCGTAGCTTGCTCGAGAAGCCATAGCCTGTGGTTCCATATCCAATAGCACTTGGGGAATTTGAGTAGCAGAGGGAAGAGGAATTGCAGGTCCAGTTGAATAATATCGAGTACCTGGCTAACTCGACTCTCTTCATTTATTTCCTTCGATGATGATTGTCTCGCGAGATCTTCGAACTCATTCACGTAGATGCGCCGGCGGTGGTTCCAGACGGTGTAGTACTCTGGGTTCTTCTTCAGAAGTTCTGCCGTCTTCTGAAGCAATTCTGCTGTGAATTCCTTTGCAGCCACCTTACCCGGGCAGACCATCGTCAGCATCATTCCCTCAACCGGGTCATCTAACAATAACAACCTTTTTATTTACTTCCTCCACGAGCTGCTGATACTGAGCGATCTCCTTTAGCCCCTTTTGCCGAGCTTCTGCTGATCGCGCCTCCCGCGTCGGCGCCCGAGGAACACCATGCTGCCTGCGATATTAACGCTGGGCGACCGTAAAGCTCTGACGCAATTTCTTACGCTTGACATTATCGAGCCTTATTCTGATCAAGGTGCTGCCCGGTCAATTAGAGTTCCGTGTTAGCGAGCATGTAGAAGTTGCGAGGGCTGAGGAAGATGGAAGGATGATGTGAGGTGAAGGTGCGACGGAGATGAGGGCGAGAAGGCATCCATGTCAGTCAAATGCCTAGGCAGCACATATTATTTCTTACCTCAAATTCTCAACATCCATACTAACCATGCAGCATCGACAGGTGATGGCCTGTCGCTAACATAGATACAGTACAGATCCAAAGGTTCTTGGACCTAGCCTGCATTGTCAGCATCATTCAGGTTCCTGGCCTCTTTCTCGCAGGGTTTGACCATGATCGCCTATTGCACTCCAGCTATCATTCTTTGAGCGACCAGAATCCTGTCTTGCTTGAGAGCCCCAGTCTGAACCAGCTTGTCTCTACCAACAAGTTTTGTAAGAGACATCACCGCCGCCCCTTTTTGCACGGAAAGCTTCCCCAATGAGCAGTGACAGCTTTAGCGCAGGCTCATCGACTCTAGCTCTGGTACCGCCTCCACGCTTCGAAGCAGGAAATCATGTTGTTGAGCACGCTGGCAGTCCTGCATCTAGATTGCACGATTCTCCTCCACGGGGACGCCCACTGCTTCGTCAAACACCTCAACACCAATCCACATCTAAGCTCTTATCTGAAGACCATCCCTCCTTGACACTTCCCAGAGAGCGATCGCGTCTATAGCAAAGACGAAGCGTCAGTGCTGGGAGCCCAGTCCGATCACGAGCTCAGTTCACCTCTCCTGATCGCTTTATCCCCCAGCGCTGGTTCCATGTTGACAGACGAGAATCCTACCAGACCAGCAAGCCTCCGGTCTTACTTCAGGGCCGCGAACGGAATGAACGACGGCGAGACAACATCATCGACCCGTTCCGCTCTGTGAGCGAGAGTAGATTGCGGTCGCTGACTCGGCAAAGGAATGCGCGGAATGCCTACAATCTTCGCCCTCCACAGTACGTCCCGTCCTTTGTCCACGGAAGAGATGCCACCCCTGCTCACATCGATGGGAGAATAGCTACACGGACTCTCCGACAAATCAGCGGTGGCTTTTGGACTGTCGGAGGTCCTTTGTCTCTTCAGCTTAGCCAGTTGCAGGGCATCCCTTCTGGTTCGGGCCGCCTGCTGGCCAGTGGTACCACCGCTCCACTGCATACAGCCTCATTTCTGGACGAGGCTACTCATGACGACAAGGTTGTCGCTCATGAACGCCGCCTTGCACTCGCCCTCGACATCGATCAGGCAAGCCGAGTTCTGATGCACAATATTATGCCCGGCCAGGCACTAACTCACCAACACAGTCCGTTCGTCTGGACGAACGGTGCCTGGACCCGGGCCATGGCGTCACCCTGTACGTCGTTCCCCTTCATGTTCTGCCTTTCCCGTACTGACACGCAGCAGTTTCCCCGAAGAAAGACGAGCCACTTCGCAGCGAAAAGGCTGTTCCTACGGTGCCATTCAGAGTCCTCGACGCTCCCAATCTCAAGGACGACTATTACTGCTCCATTCTCGCCTATAGCTATACTTGTCACACGCTGGCGGTGGCACTGGGCCAAAAGGTCTATCTATGGACAGAGCAATACGGCGTGCGATACCCTCCACTGACCCCGGTACGATTAACCAACTTCGTGACTTCTTTAGCATTCTCATCTGAGAGTGGGGGCAAAGCCATTCTGGCAGTCGCCCGCAATAGCGGTAGCGTCACGCTATGGAGCTTGCTGGAACCAAAACCACGATTTGATGCGCCTCACTCATGTGCAGCGTCTTGTGTTGCCTTCAAGCCAGTGGAGACGAGACGACCGGACATTACTAGGACTGGCATGACCTCTTGTGAGGACTTGCTCGTTGGCGACGACTCTGGCAAGATATATTACTATTCGGTGCAGTGGCCAGAATTCGGGGCAGGGTCAATGACCTTGTTGGCGAAAATAGACGCTCACAGCCAGAACATCTGTGGTCTCTCTTGGTCCCCGGACGGACACCGATTTGTTTCTGGGGGTAACGACAATCGAGCGCTCCTGTTCGATCCAGAGATCTTTCTTTATACAGCTGTCCAAAGATCTTTCTCTCAAGACGTTGTTGAGCATGCTGCTGCCCCGGGCCAGAATGAGACTGGTGTACTGGTGACGCCGCCCGTGTCGCCGGAAAGGTCCGGAGCCATAGGTCCAGGAGGAGCTACGGAGGCCGGTATACAGCCACCTTCGATACAGCATCTGGGACTCCAAACACCTCCGCCGAGCCCTGCTCGCCGTGGACGGGAGGCGGCGCGAGCTCCACGGCCAAATCGATGGATCTTCGAAGACCAAAACCTTCTTCCCCGTCAACAGTCGGTATTGCGAAATGCCTTGGCCAATCCCAGTATCCCAGGTCAAGTCAATGTACACATTCATGCATTCTACCATTCCGCAGCTGTCAAAGCAATTGCATTTGCTCCGTGGCAGCCAAACCTGTTAGCCACCGGAGGAGGAAGTAATGATCGGCAGATTCATTTCTTTCACATCGGATCGGGAGCTACTTTGACGCTCATCAATGTCTTCTCACAAGTCACCAGCCTGGTTTGGAGCACTACGAGGCGGGAAATCGTGGCAACGTTCGGATATTCGCAACCTGAGCACGAGATCAGGATTGCCGTATTCAGCTGGCCAAGCTGTGAATGCGTGGTGAGCATCCCGTGGGAGCGAAAGCAAAATGGCGAGATTGGTCGCGCTTTGTGGGCGATCCCCTACCCAGGTGGACCAAACGATGCCATTCCAACCAGAAGACAATCTCGGTCCAACGAGGGGTTTGCTGCATGGGAAGCGGTTCGACGAAGAGAAGCAGAGCGCAGACGAGGCATCGCAACTACAATGGACACTCCTGCTCCTCGACTACAGCGCAGTCCAGCACCTAGCCCGGACCGAACGGCAGTGCTAACCACACCGACGAGGCGATCGCGACTATCCCCTTGGAGCCGACCACGCGACAGCGGTCACCGAAGCCAGCTCCGCGGCGAAGGTGAGCCCTGGGCAAGTCGCACCCAGCAGGAAGGGAGTCTCATCATCGCCTGCTGCGACCAAACCGTCAAGTTCTTTGAAATCTGGGCGGGGAAAAGTAAGGGCAAGAAGAGTGGCGGCTTGGGGAATCGGCCCGGTGTGCTCGGTGGCAGTCGGGTGCTTGAAGGGTGGTGTGACTATGTAGACGTGGATGAGATTGGCAATGGGGAGGAGGTCATCCGGTAGTGGATGATTGACAGCGAGGATGCAGTACATTTTGATCTTTGGAAACGGCGTACACCATCAGCGTAACCAACACTCGATAGCCACGCAATGGCATCAGCTCCGCGTAGCAGTACGCGAGGAGACAGCAGGGTCAACATATCCATATTGAACTGGGTGGGAAGAAGTATTCTTATTGTAAGCTGTTTCACACCACTCATCGTGCCTACCTGCACCTTATGCTGCAGGACAATTCGAGTTCAGAAATCAATGATGCTCATATTGATAGATGCTCACGCTGATGCTCATGCTCATGCTCATGCTCGCTGGTATCCAGTGTCACCCAGGTCCTCGCCATGCTTTGCTCTAACACTTTTCGGTTTGATCGTCATATTCACATTCACATTCGGCCCACGTCCCATATCCTGTCTAAAGCACCGCCCTTACTCCGTATCAACGTTTCCTCAACAATTCAAGGCCATGCCTTCCGTATCTTCTGGGGGAAGAGAGAAGCGAACCGTAACGCAACGTCCGTCCAGCCCCGTCCATCTACCATGCCTCACACGACGTTGCAGGGGCATTTCTAATGCCTGGTCTGGTCCTTCTTCTCCGCTGGCCTCGACTTGCTCTTTGAGCTGGGCATGGGCATATCGAAACCGACGCCGACGTCGAGATCCATAGCGTCCCTCTTGGGTGTTGAGTTCGATTTCGAGGACTTCACAGGCATTCGTTCTGCCCACTCTTCTTCACCTTCACTGTCATCGCCAGCGACCTTGATCTCTGTCCCGTCATCTTCTTCAAAATCCACGCTCCCGTCGTTGATGAAGCTCGCGAGATCACTGCCCTCGTCTTCATCCTCTTCTTGTTCTCCACTCTCATCATCGGATGCCGAGGCAGAGGACGCTGATGACGATGCAGCCTCAGCTGGCGAGGGCGCTACGTCGTCAGGATCGGACTCCTCCGCGGATGAGACGGACGCTTCGTCATCGACGAGACGGGTCCCGTTGGGAAGGCCTTCTTCGTCAGAATCATCTTCCTCGTCGCCATCGTCATCATCATCCTCCTCCGCCTCTTCGTCCTCATCGGACTCGACGCCATTAGCGAGGATTTCGTCGTCTACCACACCGTCATCCTCGTCTTCATCTTCATCTTCATGGCCTGCGCCGACGAGATCTTCCAGCTTGGTCCCCCTTCGTGCCCTCTTAGCTGGGCGGACAGTGAAGCCATCCTCGTCCAGATCGTCGTCGCTGTCCCAGTTATCTTGCCCTTCCAGTAAAATCACGCCGGGCTCGCCCTGGCCTGCTTCTCTCTCGCCCCTCTGCGCGGCTATAGACTTGCGGAACTGGACCTGTGCGTCCAAGAGATCGAGTTTCCCTTTCAGGACCAGCAAGTCGTCTAGCGTTCTCATCCGTTCGTTCAACACCGCGTAAAGGGTCTTGACCTTGCTGATGACGTCCGGCATGGAAGCGATCGCCCCGCCGTGCGCGATGCACGTCCATTGCACCCACGTGATCAGGTGGCCGTAGCGACCTGGCCTGCTCGCCAAGCGTTCCGCGAGCTTTGACAAGAGAAGACCGGCCAGAGTAGAGTCGAGGCGCTGGATCGTGGACTTCACGATTGACGTGTCTGTGGTATGCAGGACTGCTTCGAGGAGGGAGGTGTCGTTCGTGCGGAGGGATTGGGTTAGCACCGTGGACAAGGACATGCCAGGGGGGATGGCCATGGCTGGGGGTTTCGGGATAGTTAAAGCCGTTGTGTCGGTGGGAAGGGCGGCTGAGATGGAGATCTCGGTGGGGTGACGAGCCGCGAGAAGGTCGCCGAAGGAGGGTTCCTCTTTGTCTTCTTGGGCTTCATTTTCTTCCGGGTCAAGCATTTCTTCGTCAGAATCGGATTCTTCTTGGACAGCTTCATTTTCTTCCTCTTCGTGTTCCTCCGTGTCGGCTTCCCTGATCGATGCTTCGTCGCCGGAATCTTCCTCGTCGACATCGGCCTCGCTCTCACTGCTTGAGAGCTCTATTGCATCCGCTTCGGCAGGGCCGCCCGCCCCGCCGTTGACGACCACAGTCTTCGATTCGTCGACCCTTGTTTTGCCTGTATCTTTGACTCCGTTGATTGTGGCGGTGTTCAAAGTACTCGCACTTTTCACTTTGACCACGTCTTTCACGCCGTCAAAAAGCAACTCTCCGTTTCCCTCATCTTGCCATCTCAGTTTCTGGAACGCTAGGTCAACACCACCATCCGCAGAGACAAGGACAAGGTCAGGGCCTTGCAAGAACGCCGCGACGATCGGGACGGACTTTGTCTTCGCGTCGGGACTAACTAAGCGGACGGATGCCGAGGCCTTTCGTGTGAGGTTCTTTCGACTGGACTTCAAATCCCCATTGACCGTCTTGGACTCGGCGAATGGGTGGGGAAACAGCTCTACGACACCGTCATTCGTGATCGCGCAGAGCATTTGTTGCCGTTGGATATAGTCGGGCGCGTCTTTAGGCGGGGATGACAGAACGACTGCTGTGACTCCGCTAGATGTGACGAGCGTGCGAGCAAGCTTCTTCTCAGTGATGGAGTAGATGTTGATATATCTGTCGGATTCTGCAGCGAGGAAGGCCTGAGATTCGTCCGACCGGTAGAGTGAGTGGATGGCGTTCTTGAAGGAGTCGAAGCGATCTATTCGAAGGTCGTCGGATGATGTAATGTCTATTGCAAATGGTGCAGAAGAGGCACAGAGGATTTGAGGAGCGACATGGGACGGTGACGCCAGGAGACTAATGGTGGGATCTGGAAGGTTTATCGTCCTATTTCCGTTAGTTGTGGTTCAACATCGTGTGACGGAGCCAATGCTGACCTTATGGGCTGATCTGTTGACAAATCCCATTGTATCAGCTTTGCATCTTCTCCTATACTCCAGGCCTGGAGGTAGTCTGTGGGAGAGAATTTGAAAGCCTTGATGCATCGTTCATGTCCCCCAGAGAGTGTTCCAACCACTCTGCCTTCGGTGGGCGAGAACATGCAGATTTGTGATGTATTTGTCCCGTAGGCCACCACTGCACCATCGTTACTGTCCTGTTCTCTCTTGCGCTTCTTCTTCGCCTGTTGCCTCTCCCGATATGCTGCGCCATAGAACCCCCAATCCAACGACGTAATTTTCGATTTGGTCTCGTGCTGACTCCGGAGGCGCCCTGTGCTGGTGTCGTGGATCCGTAGTTGATGACTGTCAAAGCTCTGAATGACAGAAGCAAATAGATGTAACTGGAATTGTGACGGGGTAAAGGCTGACTTCAATACCGACGATTTTCGAGCATTGTTACTGGCGGTCACGGCGGGCGCAGAGGCGGACGATTTAGAGACGGCCATTTGGCCATCTTTGCGGCCCATGGTGACGGTAGGATCGCAAAGGTCAAACAGGGGGGACAGTGGAACTCTGGCCGGTTTGCGAGCTTAGAACATGGCAGCGATGGTCGAGAGCATGCGTTTGGGTTTTGCTGCCGCTTACATGTCGTAAATTCGTCCCAAAATTTATCGCTCAGTAGAAAAAAGTTACGATGTGGAGAAGGATAGCTACGGCGGAGCACTCTGACAGCAAAGCGATAGAAGCTTTACCGTTTATGGGTCTAGTGTCTTTTCTTGGGTCCTGTGCCTTCTCTTCGCCGGCCCCTCAGTCAACTTGCAAAACTCCTGCTGTGATATTTTCCCTTTTCTGCTCCATCCTGATTGTCACTCTTATCATACTGTCGCCGCCCTCTCGGCGGTCGCAGCACCCACCCTATAAATGCACCAGCACAGACAGCACTTGCTGATCTTTTACCCAAGGTTGTGCGACCTGCGCCTGCGACTCGAAGGCATGTTTGCAGTGTGACTGACAGCAAAGGTTTTACAACGCCCTACGCCTGTCGCTTCAACAGAATCATTCCAAGGTCGTACAGCTAAGTACCTTGTGTCACGAAAGATATCAGTGAATCAGTTCCTATCGGAATTTGTGCTTTCATGTCCCTTCTCCATTCACAGCACTGCGAACTGCACAAAGACATCGTCGCCATCGACACCTATGCTGGACTCGTCACACTCAAAAACACCGAAGGTGAGCTATTGAACCGCTGATAAGCAGGCAGAATTTTCCGCAGGCAAGGCTACGTGGATCTACCTCTTACCCCTTCCGGCTCGACCGGTCAAGGCGGAAACTTGCGGAAATTATGCCAACCAGGGGCAGACGCGCAGGAATATCAATCTTGGCGACAGAGGAAACCGCAACAGATGTGCAGCGACAATGCTTGTGTCTACTTCAGGTGCCACGACGGCCGCGGAACACGAGGCTCGAACTGCTTATCCAAGATGGCCTTATCATCTCTTCGTGCACGGCGACTCCATGACTCATTGGCCGCGGCCGTCACGTGACCATCGCCCTGCTGCAGCGATCATGATGCGGGAACAGGGTCCTGTTCGCTGCTCGCCCCCGCGGCATGCTCTATTGTACCAGCTACACTTTCCTGCCGACAGTACTGGGTGTCAAAACTCCATGTGCGCAGGAGAAGCTCATTGAGACAGCAGCGACAGGTGGAAGCGGACCAGGCATGTTTGTACTTGTAAAAAAATAATGGAGAGGCGGACAGGGTGCTGCGGACTGTGATTTGCTAGGCTGGAGGCCCGAGGTACGCGAAGGTGTCAGAAGTGGGCAACAGAGAGATGGATGATGCATGGCGGAAAAAGGGTGGCGCACAAAGCGGGCTAGCGGCTTCTGCACGGCCAGATGCTGGGCTCTGACTGGCAGCAGCGCGGGGCCTGCAGGGTCCCCCTGGCATAGCGTGCTGGGTCGCCGCAGGGCAAGTTGATTTCTGCGCACTCCTCGTTCCCCGACCCTATTTATTCATTTACCGTGCCCCCTTCGCAAATTCGTGAGCCCGCGTCCGACTTCATCACACTCCCGTCAAATCTTAACTCCCTAAACTCCGCCTGGATTTTTGGGGCGCGCTTGTCGCATAACAAAGCGTCTTCGTCCAACGTCGACGCGCCCATCCGCGATCCATCGAAGATCATCCATCAAACCTCAGCGGCGCATCATCTCTGCTGCGCAATACGTTGTATTGCTGGTGCCTGCGCCTGCTGGTTGGAGGTGCAGGACTGTTGCGACGCCCAGCACGGAACGGAGACGGCTGGTTGGTCAGCAGGCGATTGGTGAAAGACGGTCACGTGCCACTTGGGATCACATGACCGGCCAGACTTTTCTCAATTCCTTGTCGCCGCCTCCATCCGTCGCCTCCAAGCAGAGCTGGTCGTCGCCACTTGATTGTGTCGGCGCCTGGTCTCTGACTCTGTCGATTCCTTGATATTCTCGACCCATCTCTCGATCCATCGCCCTCTGCGACTGCCTTCCCACAGTCGCGCTTTGTGTCCTTCCTTTCTTGCGCCTTCTTTCGCCACCTGTCCACTCTGTAACATCAGCCACTTTTAATAATTAATTATTGCGCAACACCTTTTGTTCGGCTGGTCCGATATCTGCCTACCTCAGATTCCCGTGCTATCAACTCTTGGCAAAATGGATGTTGAGTTGCAGATGGAGGCTAGTGGGTATGTGAACTTCACTTTCTCTCGATCAAACAGTACGCTGACCTGACCTTCACCAGGATGCCGACCCAATTCAAATCGACCGCAGATCAACCTGAAGTGAATCACATCGCCGAGAACATGGCTGCCTCGATATCGAACTCAGAGGCAGTAGTCAACTCGAGTCCGCCGAAGCAGTCCGCAGATGACGCGCCGCGGCCCGACCGAGTAGGGGCGGTATCAGAGGCAGTTCCTGAGCGAGCGCTTTTAGTCCCGGCAGAGGCACCTGCCACGAACGGCATCACAGACCACGCCGGTGAATCTGCGCAAACTGCTACTTCAGCAGTTCCTGACTCTCAACCTCACCCTTCTCTCGAAAACAGTTCTACCGCACTTCCAGCCGCCACATCAACCTCCGACTCGATCCTCACAGAATCTTTCATTCCATCTTCCATTCCCACTGAGATCCAATCGTCAGCGACACCCGTCGAACCCAGCCAGTCCACCATGGACGTCTCAGAACCGCAACCAGTTCCGGCTGAAGCGCCAGTGTCTGATCTTCGAACCGCACCGCATTCCGACGCGCTCTCACCTGAAGCCGTTGCGGAGGTCGAAGCTCAAAAACACCAATTGGATAATTCCGCCGATCTGCCCTCCGCGCCCAAAACCGACATCTCCGACACCTTGCCTTACGTTGCGCCATCAGTAGATGTGACTGCAAACAATATTGGTCTTCCCTCACCTCCTGCACACTTGCCCCCTCCTGCGCCACAACCAGAGCCTGCGGTGCTGCCTGAGCGAGTCCCTGCAACCGAACCGGGACCAGCAGTTGACACGCTGCCGCCAGCAGAGCCCGAAGAACCAGCCCCAACACCGGCTGTACCCATGACAAGCGAATCCACCGACCAAATTATGACCGATGCGCCTGCGCTCTCCACCAAGCCGGTTCATGAGCGCGAAGAAGATGGCGACGATGTGCAACGTGCTACGAAGCGTGTCAAGACCGATGAGCCTCAGTCAGCAATTCAAGAGCCCCATTTCAAAGTTCCAGAAGTTCCCGCCGCCTCACCACCTGCACTTGCAAACGGCGACGGCGTTGTGTCCGCGACGATCACAGAGGACGGCGATGACACCGTCACCCCGGCGCGCTTGGCTCACATGAAGAAAGTCGTTTCAAACCTGAAGAAGAGCAACGCCTCGGCTAATTTCAGACTTCCGGTCGATTATGTCAGCCTGAATATTCCGAACTACCCCTTAGTTATCAAGCATCCGATGGACTTGGGCACAATCGACAACCGCCTGAAGCGAAATGAGTACAATTCGGTTTCTGCATTTGTGGCCGATTTCGAACTGATCATCAGCAATTGCTACACATTCAATGGCATTGAACATGGAGTGTCGCAACAAGCGAGAAAGATGAAGCAGTCCTTCGATAGTCAGATGAGGAACCTGCCCAAGGCGAGCATTGAGGAGCCGTCCAAAGAAGTGAAGAAAGCGGCCCGAAAATCAGAGCCAACCCGGACGGCACCGCCACGCCGGCCATCTGTGAGCACTTCTACGGTGACCGCTGGTTCTGCCGGATCACCAGTGTCAGCAGCTGCTCCATCCACCCCTGCCTTCGCTCTGAACCCTGACGGCATGCCGCTCATTCGGCGCGACTCGAGCATTACGGACGGGCGACCGAAACGAGCCATTGTTCCGACCAAACGCAATGCGGAATTCGGAGGGGGGAGGCCGAGGAAGAAGAAGTACGAGCTGCAATTGAAGTTTTGCGAAGAAGTGCTGAAAGACCTCATGTCCACGAAGAACTGGCAGGCAAATCAGTACTTTATGGACCCAGTCGATCCGGTCGCATTGAACATTCCGACGTATTTTCAGATCATCAAGAAACCCATGGATCTGAAGACAGTCAAACAAAAGCTCCAGAACAACGAATACGAGAGGGCAAAGGATTTTGAGGAGGACGTCCGTCAGATTTTCAAGAATTGTTTCAAGTTCAATCCCGACGGTGACCTGGTCAACAACTCTGGGCATGCGTTAGAGGCGCTGTTCAACAGCAAGTGGGCGACGAAAGACGAGTGGCTCTCTGCACGAGAACCGGCATCTGTAACGCAATCGGATGCAGACGAGGATGAGGACGACGAGGAAGAAGAAAGCGAAGATGAGGGCAATGACAGCGAAGAGGACCGCAGCGAACAGATCAAGCAATTGCAGAAGCAGATTGAGGCTTTGTCGAAACAGGCGACCGAGTTGAGTCAGAAGAGCAAGAAGTCCAAGTCACCCAAGGCCGGAAAGAAAAAGGACAAGACGAAAGTCAAGAAGGAGAAACCGGAAGCACCGGCGCCCAAGGCCAGCAAGGACAAGAAGGAGACCAAGAAGAAGTCAGCCAAGAAACCGGAGAAAGAGCGCTACGTTACTTTCGCCGAGAAGCAGTACATTTCCAACGGCATAGCGATGTTGCCGGAGAAGCAGATGCAAGATGCCCTTCGTATCATCCAGCAGAGCGTCCCATCCCTTGCCAACAGCGACCAGAGCGAGATCGAGCTGGACATCGAGGAAGTGCCCAATAGCGCTCTCCTGAAATTACTCGGCTTTGTCAAGAAATACGCTGGACCCCCTCCCGATGAGCCGAAAGCCGAAGTGGCCGAGACGTACCATGCACCGGCCAATACGAAGAGCAAGAAGAGCAAGCCGATGAGCAAGCATGAGCAGGAGGCACAGATTGAGGAGCTGAAGGGTAAACTGGGGGCGTATGTCGGGCCAATTTCACCGAACGCGGTGCCGAGTATTGAGACTGGGGATAGCAGTGACGATGATGACAGTGGCGAAGAGAGCGAGGAGGAATAGGTGCATTCAAGCATATCGAGCAGGTGTGGCTGGTGACGGGCATTCGCATCAAGCATATCGAGCAGGTGTGGCTGCTGATGCCGGACATTCGCATCTCTGCTTAGCATTTCGAAGACACATGGCGCATAGCCTTGGGAGGTTCGAGCGTTGCATCTCAATCAGGGGATCCACTGGGTCAATGCGGCATGTTGACCAGCGACCTCAGCCGGGCGATTGCATACGACAGTTGCGCCGGAGCGGACAAAGAGTGGCAGCGTTTGTATGATGTATGTACTTTTGCATTGAGAAATCGAGCAGAGCGAGATGAACAAGAGACAGCCTCTGGGCTCAAGAAACGGTGAGAACCACTGCATGAGCAGAAACAAGATCATTGCAAGAACGTGATGTTCCACTGTCGCGGAGGTTCGTGTAATTGTAAGAATAATAGTATCAGCAGGGTACTCGAGACTGCGACCGTAGTCGTCACCGCAATGTGAGAGAGCGTGTAGACGCAGCACCGATGACAAGGCTAAGATGACTGCGGTGGCCGATTTTCAATATCCGCAAGGCTGTCTGCCGCAGAAGTGCGAACTACCTACTGGAAACAAGACTCGGTCGCGTAAGACAAGCTCTGCTACTCCTTACTCATCGGCGCGTAAACGAACGCCCAGAATCCACAACCTAGAACGTCTCGTCTGCGGAGTACATATTGTCACTCTGCACCCACTTTGTAGGATCAAGACGCGGAAATCCCACCTCAATAGGGCAAATCTCACCGCCATCGAGTACAAAACTGGGCACCAAACACCAAACAACAAACCTTTCACGCTGTATGAAGTAGATACCACGCCAAGAGACCACAACTGGGTGCGCCACAACCCAAACCCAAGTGGTGCCGGCAAGCACTTACTTGCCTTATGTAATCAGAACTGAGAAGTTAATTGACCCGTGGTGAAGGTGAAGTCTGTTCGCTACCGAGTACGAGCATGCCGTGCCTAGCTACAGTGTTATCATTGCCACCACTGCCACCACTGCCAACGAACAATGATCCCCATCATCCGCGTGCAGGACCTCGAAGCGTACCCTTCGTTCGCGAGCACGTGGGCCTATATCACTTCCAGCTTACTCGAGGCGGATGGGTCGGGTAAAGCGGCGAATGAAACTCGTGCGCGAGCTCGAGGGCGAGGGCGGAGTTGGGAGGGGATTGGTCGTGGTCGTGGTCGTGGGTGGTATGGATCTGGACCTGCACCTGCACCGGGCGAGGGAGGAGGAGCTAGACAGGGAGAGCAGGATAGGAGAAGAGGAGATGGGCAGCACGAGGAGACGCGGGAAGGGGAGAGTGATGGTAGTGGAAGTGAAAGTGGTGATGGAGGTGAGGAGGGTAGGAGAGCAACAGACGCGCAGGAGGAGGACCGAGACGGGGAGAGTGATGATACTCGCGGGCCTCACTCTCATGCGGTCCGCGACGGTGAGGAGAATTGGTCGCTACCGTCGTCCTCGGCAGGTCTGGAAGAGCTGCTGCTTGCCGTGAGGGCGAGGCGTATGAGAGATGGTATTTTGAGGGAGATACTCTCCGAGGTTGCGTACTTGGACGAGGATGAGGGCGTGGAAGAAGGAAGCAGGTCTGAAAAGTCAAGTCGGATACCGGTGCCCGCTCCTGTGGGGACGAGGCTAGAGTACGATCAGGATAACACGAATACTGACGCGGGAGATGAGTCGGTGAAGGCTGCCTCTTCAGCTACGCATGGGCAAGGTAAGGGAGGACTATCGGTACGACTACCAACACGACTACGAGACCTTGCCCTGATTATCTCGGCGTACCTCGACGCCGCCGCTGGGCTGGATGGGCGGTCTGAATCTGGAGAAGATGAAGATCTTCTCTCCGAGGACATTGACCTGTTCAGGGCCAGTATCTCAAATATCGCAGAAGTGGTCTCCTTGCGGGCCATCGCCAGCGAATCCTCTCTCTCCGCACTCTCACAACTCGCTTCCGAACGAGATGTCGACTCCCACCTGGGCCTCTCGTCGCTATTTTCCTCCCTGCGGGTCCAGGTCGAGAAGTTGAATGCTCTACGCACAAACGCCCTGCCATCGTCCCTCGCTCGTCTGGCTTCGACGTTGCATTCCCTGCTCACGCTGCAACGTACGCTTCTCCACCTCCAGCTTAGGTATCTGGAGACGTCCAAACACGGGGTCCTTAGTCGGTATAACGGAGCGAGGGTTGCCTTTCTGAGCACAGTTGCGCAGACCATGGCATTGAAGACGCAGGTTCTCGTGCTAGAGGCGTGGATGAAGTTAGATATGTCTCCGGAGACGGAAGAAAAGAGGGCGTTGGCGAGAGCGAGGTCTCAGCAGATGGAGAAAGAAGAACGCGAAATAAATGAACGGATAAAGACGCTTGAGGGCGTGGTGGGCGAGTATGAGGCATTGGATCCCGGTGGAAGGGGTGCTGCTGGGGGTGAGATCATGGCAAAGCTTGGAAGGAGATATGGAGAGATTGAGGCGGAGATGGAGACGGTGAAGAGGGATATTGACATGTTGGAAAGAAAGCCGAGGACGTGAAAAGAGGTACTCTGGCCTCATGGGCGAGTGGTACAGGATTTACTCTAAGGCTGAGTTGTGAGTTCAGCCTTCACTCTCGTGACTGCACGTCACCGAACAGTCGTTGGTACCTTCTCGCTCCTATCAGCCTGTCGCTAATGGGGCGTAAATAGCCGTTGGCTCCGAGAATCTTTCGAATGAATTGTCAAACAGTCTGGGAGGCTGTGAGGTCTTGCGGATAAGGGGCTGTGGACAAATTGCCGTCTCCAGCCACACGTCTTGGCTGCTCGTTTCGCGGCGCAGTGGCGCCTCCTTTTGCGCTGAACAGGAGGACGGGGCCTCGATGAGCACTGCCCGTGGCTGCGCCAAAGTCCATCCTGCGTAGAGAGGACTACGAGGGGGCGGTGAAAGTTGTAGCAGATAACTTATCCTCCTTTCAAACCCTCTCCATCAAAAAGTACTGCATTGAGGCCGAGGAACCGATACTGCGCTCTATCCAGCCCAGTTTGCAACAGACGATTCTCCGTCATGATCGCCGGCATCTTTGCATATGTAGCCTTTCTTTTGACCGTATGTTGTGCTTCGGAGGTCACAATCGGACAGGATCTTGAGCTCAAGGGTCAACGAGACTGCGTCTGGTACTGTGTTTATTATGACTGCGGTGGACAAGCAGGATGTCTTGCAGCCAGGCTTGGATGCGGCTCGAATGAATGCTTCTGCCGCGGAGACTTGCGACCGCAAGCGTCTTCGATCCTCTCGTCCTGCATATACACGCGCTTCACCACCTGCGCCAACGAGTACGATTACAACGCTGCCGTGTCAATATACGATCGATACTGTACCTTCACTGCGCCAGTAACGGTCACAGCAATCGCCACGCAGTCTGCTGGCACTTCACCCCCGAATGAGCCCGTGACCGTCACCATCACGAGCAGCAGTCCGATGGGAACTGTCTTCGTCTCAGTCTCTTCGCAAGCGACTCGAACAACCTTCAGGTCTGAAAGTGAGTGGTTCGCTGTGGCCCTGCTCGCAGGCATTCTCGCGTTCATTTGCCTGCTTGTTCCCCGGCATCGCTGATGCGTGGAGAAGCAGGCACGACAATGTTCACCAGCGAGCCGCCACCGTCCGCCACACTGACCCCTTCGGCCTCGATTTCTTCAAGAACGCCAGAAACGAGTTCGACGAGGGATGTGGACGCCGGTGATAACGAAGGGAGCGGAGATGGGCCACCAGATCCTTCTCGAGGTGGAGCCGATGGGCTGGACACGACGGATATCGTGGGAATCGTGGTGGGCATCTTAACACTGATTGTTACGGCCGCGGGAGTGATGGTTTCGTGGAACAAGTGGAAAGGGAGGAGAGCGCAGACGCGTCTTGAGGACCAGGCAGCACCTGCGTATGAGATGGAGGAGGGTACAAGAGGAGATCGTCCGCATATACGTACTCGATGATTAATATCAACCGTGTTTAGAGATCGCTAGGGGGGAGCTGTATGTCCATAATTTTGTTAATCATCACATAACGCCGCGAAACAGTGTACTAGTACAGAGTCAGCCTGCAACGTCACACTGGTGAATGGATTGGACCTGCACTATGGCAGATTCTTTCACCTAATTACTGGGAAAGACCAAACTGAGACAAGCTCGGTCATGGAGATGACTTGCACGGAGAAACGCCCAGAAGCGACACTTGATCAACCGTACTGCCATAGGCCGCTCTTACAGTCCACCGGAATGTGGGGCCGATTTGGCCGCTTTCCAGATTCCAGCTTCTGTTCTTCTTCTTACTCGTCCTTTCTTCATGCAGAAGCCTTTTGGTATTATCGAATCACGCACCCTTGTTCTGCTAACCCAATGCACGTCTGCCAGCTTGCTGCGCCTTGCCGACATGGTCGCAGGCTCCGTCTCATCGGGCGGCTGCTGGCGCACTTTTGGATCGTGCCAATCATGCATGGCCTTTATTGAACCGTTGCTCACCTCTCAGCCTGATCAATCGTCTTCGTTTTCTCATCGCGAGCATTAAAATGGGATCCCTCCCTAACGTGGAGGGGTCTCCAGACCATCGCGGATCCTACATGAAGACTGTGCAGTCGCCGCAGATACCCAATATCGAGCCATACTAGCTTGACTCTGATCCCCTTTTGCCTCAACGGACCAGCCTAGCCAGCATGGCAATACCTCGTGAAGTCTCTATGGCAGAATGGGAGAGTCACAAACCGGCCGTCTGCAAGCTTTATGTCGATGAGGCTTTGACGTTGGCCCAAGTGATGGATCAGATGGCCAGCCGTTATAGCTTCCACGCAAGGTGGCCACGGCCCTTCCCGCCCTTATTTTGCCTAAGCTCACTTGTTGCACAGCGGAGCACAGTACAAGAGAAAGCTGAAAGCATGGGGCTTCCAGAAGAACCAAAAGGGCGAGTTCTGGAAAGACATCAGTCTGACCTTGAAACGCAAGAATCTGGACCCCACCAATGTGGACGTCTTGCTCCACGGAAAGCTTGTTCCTACGAAGAAACTGAAAAACAAGATATCTCGATATGACCTGCCGACATTGAAGTTGAATCCATCCCTCCCCGCATCCTCTACCAGAGACACCATTCTTCCGGCAACCTGGAGAGCCCAGACTCCTGAAGGGGTTCTGATTCGCCCCAAAACACAAATCCCGCGGTCTCTTAGGATTGAATTGCCGTGGCACGAACTGCGAGCTCAGCTCGATAGGGTCATTCCATACCTTTTTCCGACGGAGGCGAATCGGTCTCCAACACCTTTACCTTCCTCGTACCTAGATACTACCGAAGATACAACTGAATGGTGGATCTATCAACACTCCCTATTTGGGCAAAGCCATGGTAGCATCATCGACGCACGCCACAATGACTTTGTTGGTGACAAAATTGCCAGCGTACTCAATGTATCGCCGTTGGCAGCTCGGCATGAAAGTCTAATTGTGATTGTGACTTTGATGGCGCCATATGTCCCTGAGAAATATGAGAAAGAGACGCTGAATTCTGCCTGTCAACTGATTGATCCTGGCTCATCGAAGAGGATGCAGGTGCTAATATCATTCATGGCACTTCTGCTCGCCAACGACGTACTATCTGATGAAAGACTTGACGCCTTTGTGGGCTTCCTCGACGAAATAGCGGGAAAGCAAGCTTTCGGCATGCTACCTCTGAGGGATGAACCCAGCACAAAGGCTATCATAACGCAACTTTTGTTCGCCGCTGTTCGGAAGGACGTGCCAAGATTGATTCAGAGCGCGTTAGAGAACAATGTAAACATCAATCGCCAGTCCACTGGTGGGGAATCAACAACTTTGATCCTAGAAGCCATCCGGCTTGAAAGACTCCACATCATTCAATTGCTGATCGATGCTGCGGCGGACCTACAACCAATTCGGCTAGGTGGGACAGAATACCATAGCATCATGTGCCGCGTGCCTCGACACGGGAGATCTGCATCCGAAGTCTACGGAATGCCTCGATTCTATTGCTTTTGCGAGCGTTCCTCGTTTGTTCGCCGCACTGTTTGCGGTAGAGCTGCTTCCACAAGAATCGCCAACGAAGTTCTTCCCCTATTGCTGCACGCATCGGGCACGATTGGACCCGGTCCAGTGACCACCCTAGCGATATCTTTCGGTGGTAGTACGCACACGATCGAAAAGGTGTTACGGGCCGGCGGGTCCGTCGATGAATATTATATACCTCCTCGGTCCAACGGCATAGATGAATGTGCAGCGAAGTCAACTCCTCTATGTGCTGCAGTGACTTCTGGTGATGCTCGGTTGGTCGGTCTTCTCCTGAAGTATGGAGCAGACCCCAATGGCCCGATAGCAAGATACACAAAGGATTTCCTCGCAGACTGGGGCAAATACTTTTACAAATCGCCGCTGGTCATTGCCACGGAACAAGACAATCTCCAATTAGTGCAATCGTTGCTTGAACATGGCGCAGACCCAAATCTGTGCCCTTTGGAAGTCCTCGACAGGGCGCAAAAGGAACAATGCATCCGCAAGGTTAAGGACGACCAGGACGACCGCGGACCACGAATTGTTGTCCTTTACCCACTACAGGCTGCAGCAGGCCTGGCAGACACTCATATTGCAGAGGTGCTCCTGGATTACGGCGCAAACGTCAATCCACTTCATGATACTCCGCCATTATCTATCGCAGCACATCATGCCCATCCCAAAACCCTCGACCTTCTATTATCAAGGGGCGCGATGACAAATCCATCTCCTGCGAAGGACTTCTGGTTGTCGCCTCTTGAAGGAGCTGTCATCTCCGGAAACGAAGATATCGTTAAACGACTGCTCAGCGCAGGCGCAGATCCGCATGGTTGCTCGGCCTGGCTAGGTGGAAGAACACCACTGCAGCGAGCTGCTGAGAATGGCTCTACCGCCATATTTGACACCTTACTAAGAGCAGGTGCGGCGCTCGAGTCTTCTTTTGATCCCAACCATGGAGCGACGATACTGTATTGGTTTGTGATGCATCGAAACCACGACCGCGTGACGCAGCTTCTCTGCGATGGAGTGAGTCCGACTGGAGACCCCGTTAACCGGAGATCGCCATTGACAGCAGCAATCTTCGTCAAAGACCTGGATATGGTTGCCCTCTTGATCAAATGGGGCGCAGATCCCAACGAGCCCTATCCGATGTGCGAAGATCTGTACAGCGGTGGACAACAGTCAATTCTGTTCCGCTTCAGGCCAAAGTGTATCCCATCGTATAGGACCCCGAAGTCGCTGGGTTCGATCCCTCCTCTGCAGTGGGCAGTCAGCACAGGGCGACTCGATGTGGTAGCTAGCCTCTGCAGCTCCGGCGCTGATGTGAATGGCACTAGTATGCCTGTCGACACTTCCCTACCTGGCCTCGATTTGACCGCACTTCATTTGGCAGTTGCTCACCAGTTTAAAGACATCGTCACGTACCTTTTGGCCCGAGGGGCAGATATCAACTCTATCGCCAACTTTCCTGCCAGAGAAATCTCAACTTTGTGTATCTCAATTTCTCACTCGGACCAAGAAGTTACAGAACTACTGTTGCGCAACGGGGCGGATCCATACGTGCCCTGTCGCAAGAACCATAAGCGACCACAGGAGGATAAGAGGATAGGGCCCAATACAATTCTGCCTCTTGAGTATGCCTGTAAACGCAAAGACAAGAAAATGGTCCAATTTCTTCTGTCTTCAGGTGTTGATGTGCGCGTCGGCTGTCCGCTTGTCGAAGCATTTGGCATTGAGTGGGACAACGCTATGTCTTTTTTGGATGGAGCGGAATATCAGCGGGTTCGCAACCGAGTAATCAACACAATGGAGCTCTTACTCTCTCACGGAGCAGACGTAAATCATCGGCTCGAAGGCAAGAGCACTCCTTTACAGGCTGCAATCCTTTGTGCCGCCAGCATTTCCTTGACGCTGAACGCGAAGGAGGGCGTGGCGGAGCAGGCCATGAAGCAGGCCGCGACGCAGTCATTGCTTCACTGTGCTCGCAGATTGATCGAGCTCGGTGCTGAGATCAATGCCCGACCATCACACAGGGGTCTCGGTAGGACTGCGCTTCAAGCTGCCGTCGAGGTTGGCGAAGTCGAATTCGTACAATTTCTGCTCACGAAAGGAGCAGAGGTCAACGCCCCGGCCGCTCCACGTGTTGGCGTTACCGCGCTGCAAGCCGCTGCGATAAGGGGATTTTTGCGGATCGCCCAGATCTTGCTGGAACATGGGGCGGATGTTGATGCGGATCCAAGTCCTGTTTTGGGACGAAGGGCAATTGACGGCGCAGCTGAATGGGGACGAATCGACATGGTGAAATTTCTCCTTGACAACTACAACGGTCCAAGATCTATTCCCGACGTGTGTGCTAGTGCGATGGAATGCGCCAGATGGAATAGCCAGTGGTACGTGATGGAGTTGCTGGAGAAGTACGAGCCGCCGGCACCATGAACTACAGACGCCTTAACCAACGGCTGGCTAGGGCTGAACTGGGCAGGGGCATGATCAAGTTGACGAGTGCCGGTACTCTCCATGGACGAAGCCCGTGGTAGGCTCCTCGAGGGTTTGAAATATGTTCCCAATACGATGAAGAGTTGCATACTCAGATGGCTGGGTCTATTACTCCCTTGGGGCAGGCGTGGCGGGTTCGGATTTGCAAATGTTTCCTGGAGCAGGAGGGATCCATTCCCGGTCGCAAGCTGCGCATAATGGGGCTGGCCTTGGCTACCAACGCCTGTATTAATTTACGGTGGGTCGTCTTTCTAGTAGGGTAGGCAAGCGAGCAGCTGGAGGCACCTCATGAGCAGCGACGATATACGATCAACTTCTGCGGCAACGGTACTTCAAAATGCACCATCTACTCTATTTCAATATCCTGTCTTTCGTCCTGCGTACTAGTAGAACGAATCTGTAATCTATCATGCGTTGTTCATTGTCCCATCCCATCGTTCAAAACGTGCATGCGTGCGTGCAGTCATCGCGTCGTCCTCGACTCTGATTTCATAAACATGGAAGAACTACTGTCTACTTAGCTAGTTCGGCCAAGGTACTGTAGCGCAGTCACGGCGATTCATTCCCTCACTCCCACGCCCTTGCCCGTCTAGGCCACACGCGCTTGTACAGACTCACCCCCACGGCATCAAGTGGATTGATCTTGCCGTCGAACGTCGCCTTGAAATACCCATGCGTGCCCAGCGGCTCCTTGATGAACCCCTGCCGCCCGCATCTCGTGAACAGCGGCAGGGCCGCGAACCACAGCACGTCCTCGCGGTTGAAGAACATGTACCGGATCGTGACGAGCTTCTTGTGGATCTTGCACGGGTGGCCCGTGAGGATGATGCGTTTGGCGACCACGCGCGCCGAGCTGGGCGGCAGGGTCGTCGCCGTGCCGATGAGCCGGAGCGTAGCAGCCGAAGATGGGTTGTTCGAAGAAGAAGCGCCCGCGTCCGCGTCCACGTTCACGTTCACGAGCTGTGGCGGGCCTGCTGCTGTCTCATCATCTTGACTAACGGCAGAGTGGGTCTGACGCCGGAAGACGAGCACAGGCACGGATCCCCATGTCATTGGCCCGATGAATGTCGCGATGGCGGTCCGGCCGGGGTGCAGGAAGCGGTCGAATTTATGTACGTCGTTGGGTGTCTGGCCTGCTGCGCTGAAGATCGGGTTTGCCACGAGCCGGCGGTGGCCGATCTGCACGATGACTTCGTCCTTGGATTTCAGAGGCGTATCAATATTCGAGTGCAGTGTCATGGTGAGGTTGATGACGGCGTGTTTGTGCTCGTGGCGGAGGAGGGAGAACATGGACGACGGGGCCGCCGCTGCGCTGGATTGCAGCGACACGGGCACGTCGCGGAGGCGGATCTCGACTCTCGTGCCGGCCAGGACGTCCCCGGCGAGCGTCTCCTTCAGGACAGCGTTGTATGATTTCTTGTACTCTGGGACTTGGAGCAGGCGGGGATACTCTTGCGGCTGGTGGGGGAGGTCTTCTGCGTGGTTCCACTCGCTCGTCCGCAGGCTCTTGAGGCCGCGATACTTGGCGAGGCGCTCGCGGGCGAGCACGTCGGGCGGTAGTTCGATCTCGTCGGGGAACTCCAGGTCTTCTTCGGCTTGTTTCTTGCGGGTGGCGCGGAATTCTTCGAGTTGGCGCGCTTCTTCGGCGTCGTCGAGGGGTGCGTCGTCCACGTTCATCTCCGAGGCGGGATACTCTGACGGTTGCGCTTCCGTCATGCCGCCATCCTCGGCGTTGGTGAAGAGCATGTCTTTGTCTTGACCGTCGCCTTCTGCCGGATGCGCGTCGTCGTCCATTGCAACGTCGCCATCTCGGTCCTCGTCGTCCAGGATGTCCGAGTCCGAGTCCGACGCGTCGTCTAGGTACCAAGCGGCTTGGTAACTCGAGGTCCCGTCTGGTAGTTTCTTCGGTGGAGGAGGAATATGTGAATTGTCGTCGGAGAAGTAATGGTGGTCGTCGAGCAGAACACCCTTGTGCTCGCTCGTCGCTGCCGTACTTGCCACGTCCTGCATCTCAGCCGTTTCTGGAGCAAGCTCCGCAAGATCGTCTTGGTTGGCGGTCGGTGTCCACTCCTTGATCGGCTCCTCCGCGTCCATCTCGTCCGCCTTTCTTTTCTGGCTGGAACGTGGCAGTTGTCGGACTGACGAAATCCGAAAGTCTCCCCAACCCGGGATGTGGACTAGTCGATCGGGATTTAGAGACTTGCCCCGGATCGTACCGTACAACGTCACATCAGCGGTGCTTGCTCCATTGGCTTGGGGACCCCAGCTGACGTTCTCAATAAGCATCCAACTTCTGTCGTCTCGCCATCTGATCCCTCGTGTAGAGGCAGTGCAGAGCCGCCGGACCAGATTCGAGCAGTCAGATTTGCTATCGAGACTTGACAGCTTGTCCAAAGCGGGGAAATAACGCCCAAGGGCAATGTTCATGTCGGTCAAATGCCGCATTCGCTTCGGCGCCGGGACTTTCCTGTCCAAATTGGTAACCACGGCTGTGACATTGGTGATGCCTTGACCTTCGAGAGCCTTTAAAAAGAAATCCTCCTCTTGACCATATGTCTGCTCTGCATCAAGCACAAATACCACCCAGTCAGCCAATTTGCAGACATCCAATGCGTTGAGCAGGTCGAATTTCGCAGGCAGGTAAAGTAGATTGCGACGAAATCGATCGACACGAACGGGTACAGTGCCGGAAGGATGGTCGGACTGGGACACGTCGACGCCGTCGTTCAAACCGCGGATTACCGAGTATATGTCGATCCCACTTGACAATGGTACGACGGCAATATGCTTCGCCGCACCGTCTGCGCCCTGGAAAATGTGTTCTTCTCCCTCCCGCTTGTCCTTGTGATTGATACGCAGTTGCTTCGCTTGGTTGCGTCTGGCCAATTTCGACATGACTTGCTGATGCGGTGTCTTCCTTTCTCCTTTGACGGGCTTGCTTGATTCTGTTTTGCCCTTGGCTCTGTCCTTCAAGGCATTCTTCGACGCGAACCGGGACTTGAAGGGTTTATGGTCGACCTTGGTGGTGCTGCGGTGGTGATGGGCAGTTGTGGTAATTGGTGCCATTGCCGTGTTGGCCCCGGAGCCTCCAGCTTTAAACCTGAAGGGCAAGGACATAACATATCACTGGCGGCGAGAGGCGTGTGCGTCAACAGTGCATGAATTTCTTTCTACATGGCGATTGTGTGGGGAAATTTCGACGCTTGGTGACGTCTGCCCCGCACGACAAGACTAGCCTTAATCCGGCTAGATCAGAAATGCTCGTCAGATCTTCGGTAAAACTTCGCAGCAGGCACAGTCTGACCAAAATAAACGGGACACAGCACAATCCTCACTAAAATGCGTTGTTTTCATGGCTGCACCTATACATCCATAAAGCAGATAGATAATTAATTATAAGGCAATATACAAGTAACTACTTGCTCTTATCTATATTAAAATCTAGAACCCTAACTCCTTCTCTTTAGGTAGTTGTGTTGAGAAGTTCTCAGTAACCTAGTGATTTTGGTGAGAGACTGTGCTTCAATCGCTTTACAACAGTACCACACTCAAAGTACTCAGAATGAAAGCGTAAAGTTATAGACATAAGAACTAGTACGGAATGCCTTAGCAATAGTGTAATTATCTATTATTTGTCCGAGTTGTGGATGGTTAGTTGCAGCGAGGAAAAGAGTGCATTTTGGTGAGGATTGGGCTCTGTCCCGTTTATTTTGGTCACGCTGTGAGCAGGACAGCTCACACAGCTACGGAGTCGTGGGAGTACACTATCACACTACAGAGGTGGTGATGCTGCTCTTAGTTGCCACTCCTCCTTGTCAAGCCTTCGAGGTTGACCGCCCTATCTCGGCCCCGACACCCGCCAGTACATTATGGACGAGCCCATCTTCTACAATGCCCTCCTGCCACGAAAAGCCGAGGACCAAACATCCATCCGCGCCCGTGACGACAGAGACTTGGATCGCGGCCGCCGTGACACCGGCGCTCTGAGTGAAGACCATCCTCCCCATTTCTAAACCGCTGCCTCCATGTCCGCTTGTGTATGGTTTAACAAGACCTAGGTTGGATACCTCGAAGCTGTTTTCCCTGTGCTTTCCTATCTTGGACAAGAAGAGGTCTTCGTGGAAGTTGTTCACATATTTAAGCAGGTTAGTGCCTGCGTTGGCGCCTCTCAAGCTCAATGTGTGTTCGATGTTGCGGCGGGAACGTTGCGCCTCGGGCCAAGAGAGGACAGAAAGCTCGCTTTTTGAATCGTGAGCATGTTCAAAGCTACGGCGATTGTAAATCTCGGACATATCCTGCATGAACACACCCATAACGTCATCCGTGATCCCTGCTTCCTTCTGGAGAAATCGACGCGTCGAGAGTGCGCCGCTGCATGTGAGACTGGTGCAGTTTTCAGGCAAGTGCGCAAAGAGCATACCTGCAATTAGGGTTTGCAGTGCTGCGGTGATGGTCGTTCCGTTCTCACGGCATACATTCTTGAAAGCTGTCGTCTTCAAAGCTGGAATATTGAGTGATCGAAGTCGGGTTTGCCCCAAAGACGCAGTGCATTTCCCTCCGGTCCAAAGGCCAGGGTTTCTAGCTGGCCAGAACTTTGACAAGATCCACTCTTTGAAGAGGACTTTGAGGAGATACCACACCGTAACAGGTAAGGGATGGAGCGCTTCCAGATCTGGCTGCAATGGTGTCGATGGGGTAGCCATGATATTTGGCACAGGGATAGCGAGCGATCCTGAGAAGGCAGATGACAAGGCTTCGTGAAAGGTACGGTGGAAAGCAATGCCTGACTGTCCATCACCCAAAGCATGGTGGTAGAAGAACGCTGCTGTAAAGTGACTGGGATGATACAGAACCCTCAGCCGCCAGAAGGGCCTTGGTGCTCCATAGGGGATGCTATGTTGAGAGCTGAGGAGTTCGTCCAGTTCAGTGTCTCGCGTCTCGGCTTCCCATGGGTAATCATGCTGCCGCCTCTCAAGGGTGACACATTTGTCGAGATTGATTTCAGGCAGGCGGACAAAGTATGGGGTCTGAGTATGCTCGTCCACTGGGATTGCGGAGAGGATCGGATGGCGAGCAATCACATCTCCGAGCGCCTTGTAAATGTAGTCCTTCAGTGGTAACGAATAGCTCTTCGAGAGCTTGTACGAGGCAGTCACTGCAGGGCCAAGATAGAATTTCAGGTCATGGCGGGCGGTTGAGTAGCGCTCTAGCCTGCCTAGGATTATTCAGTCAGTTCTAGAAGAAGTTCCGTCGAGCGCCAAAGCAAGGCTGACATACCAACGGGACGCAGTTTTTCCAGGTTCTCCATATTCAAGATTGCCGTCTTCCAAAGGTCTTTTACAGTTCACTCCGCCATGGTCTATATATGCTGCCTGTTATCCAAGCAACGCCAGCTTGCATGACCATCGCCATTGACACCTCATCTCAGGAGCTGGATTAGACCGGGAGCCTTGCGACCAGAAAAGGGGCAAGGCAGGGCTGCGTAGCGGCTAGGATCATCGTTATTCCGGCTCCGGATTTAGAGGCGCAACAGGGGGTTCAACGAGGCAATAATTCAGGGCTGTCACACAGGCCAACTGTCTGTGTCTTTCTTTACTGCGGGCAGATCAGACGCCGACATGCGTCTCTTGCTGTATCAACTATTGCTTCTTGCCTAGGCCTTTTATTCTTAGCATTCTGGGTGCTGCTGTGCAAGTCGGCATGGCTCGAGACCGCGATGGCCTCTTCTCCGAGAAGCATTACGACGATGACGCCGCCCTTGTTCCCTCCGAGTCGGAATCGGAGAATGGAAGCGAAAGCGAGGAGGATGTTCGAGATGGTGACAGGGATATCCTTGACGAAACCGAAGAGCATGAGAAGTTGCTACAGAAGCCTTCGCGGCTAGAAAGAGCGCGCGGTGCATTTGGGCTGCGCGATGGTCGACAGGAGGGAGGAAGCAGTGGCAAGCGGGCGACGAAGAGCACGAGCCGCAGATCTCGCAAAAGGGGGATGAGCACTCCGGACAAGTTGGAGGGTGGCTTCACAGACTCTAACTCTGAAGACTCGTTCGAGATCCAAGCCGGCAAGTGGGAAGGCAAGACTTCAAAGAAGTCCCATGGGGGTCGTCTGGCCATGATATACCTTGCGATCACTGGCCTCTTCGTCGCCCTGCTGTTCGGTGCATATAAGGCGTCATCCAAGAAACACAAATTGGCACCGACAGAGCATCGACTGACCAGGTACAACAATGGAACCCATATCTTCCGCCCGACGACGATCTTCATATCTCTCGACGGTTTCCGCGCCGACTTTCTCAACCGGAATATCACTCCGGCACTGAATGCCTTTATAGCAAGCGGAGTATCGCCGAAATATATGCTGCCGTCGTTCCCCTCCGTCACCTTTCCAAATCATTTCACTCTGATGACGGGTCTGTACCCAGAGAGTCACGGCGTGGTCAGCAATCAGTTTTGGGATCCAGAATTTCAGGAAGAGTTTTGGTACACCAACGTCAGCGTGTCAATGCAACCGAAATGGTGGAATGCAGAGCCACTATGGGTAACTGCTGAACATCAGGGCGTGCGGTCCGCCATCCACATGTGGCCGGGCTCTGAAGCTCATATACCAGACGTTGAGCCAACGTATATGGACAAATACAACGGGACTGAAGCGTTACCGCGCAAGGTCGACAGTATACTACGTTGGCTGGACATGCCTGGTGATGATGACGTGGATGCCGCGGCGCATGAAGACCTTCGCCCACAGTTTATCGCTGCCTACGTTCCTAACGTTGATGCTGATGGACATCTGTACGGTCCAAACAGCACAGAGATCCGAGCCACGATTGCCGATGTGGATAGCATGCTGACAATGCTTGTCGAGGGTCTCCTTGCACGCAACCTCACGGAAATCGTTAACATGGTCATCGTCTCCGATCACGGCATGGCAACCACCTCCACAAGTCGACTGGTCCAGCTCGACGATTTGATCGATATGTCCTTGGTGGACCACATCGATGGTTGGCCCCTCCGCGGTCTGCGCCTGAAGAACCCTGACCGTGACATCTCCATTCTATACGAGGCGCTGTCTGAGAAAGCGGCGGAATCAGGGAACTTCAACGTCTACACTCTCGAAACGATGCCAGAGCGCTATCATTTCACCAAGAACGACCGAATTGCTCCATTGTGGATCGTCCCAAAGACGGGTTGGGCTGTGGTCGAAAAGTCCGATTTCGATGTGGCTGACGCCCTAGCAACTGGGGAAGAATACGCTCCGAAGGGCCTTCACGGCTATGATCACGAGCATCCTCTGATGCGTGCCATCTTTGTGGCAAGAGGCCCGGCATTCCCCCACGAACCCAACAGTCAATTACCTATTTTTCAGAACATCGAGGTGTATAACATCATGTGTGACTCTTTGGGCATCGTCCCACATCCGAATAATGGGACACTGAGATTGCCGCTAAAACCTCAAGGTTTACACTCGGAGAACGATAATCCGGGTTCCGAAGTCGTGGCGGATCCGGTCGACGATGAGGAAGACGGGGGAGAAGACACGCCTGCTCCTGATGAAGACCAGGATACCTCGAATCCGTCAACAACTGATTCACCTCAGAGTGGAGATGACTCTCCCACCGATACACCTCCGGAAGGTAGTGCTCCGTCCGATACGCCGCAGAGAGACGATGCTTCAGCCGATCCATCGCCGGACAAAGATAACCCTCCAGCCGATGTAGGCGACGGGCAACATAGGACAAGCAGCAGTTGGTGGAGCTTCGTCCATGAACAGCTTGAGAAAGCCAAAGAATGGGCCAAGGAGTTTGTGGACTCGATCAAAGGCAACAAGGAAGGAGAAGGCGAACCACCTGTGTGAAGACAAGTGGAGAAGCAGTTCAATTCTTGATCCAAATCGGTTACCTGCCAGCACTTTTCTGACGATCCGTCACGGCATCTCTTAGAGGCGATCTATCTCCAACCCGCAATTCCCACTCGACGGCTTGCAAGAGTGTCGCTACCAAGGTATCCATCTAGGTGCACGGATGCCCACCTCCTTGAAAGGTGCATATAGCCTACTCCATCGTTACCGGAGGCGCGGCAACCTTGCGTCAACCTGGATACCCGCCAAGATCTACTCACGGCCGAAACCCCTTTGACCGGAGTCATGACGGCCCTGACCTTGCAGAACGGATCTTCGCTTTAGTGCTTGACCGCAGCGCCCAGATCGTGCAGCCACTTGTCCAGCATATCATCAACCGCCTTCTGCTTGATGCCGGCCTTGTCCGGCCACGGGTCAAAGACCATCAATCCGCCATCAGCCTTGTCGTATAGCACCTGGAAGTCGGCCCACGGGTTCGCATCAAACACCGTCCTGATGTGCTTGACCGCGTCGATTGTGGTGGCTACGTGCTTGATGGCGTCCTTCTCGCCTAGGCACTTCTTCATAAAGTCCTCGGGCTTATCGAGCTTGCGCATCTCGATGAATCGCCCACCGATATCGAGGCGCTGCATGAAGAACGCACACCCCGCCACGTGATGGCTGTCTTCGTCATTACTCAATAACACGTCGACAATGAAGTCCTTGGGCAGTGGTGTCTCGAAGGGCCGCGGCACGCGCACGCCCTTGCTGCCCACGTAGGCGAGTATCCCTGTCTCGCCTGCGAACTCCTTGGTCGCCGGGGTGAGCATGCTGTTCTGCACGCACAGCACCCAGTCGGTGGGAGTCTTGTGCGTGCCGCCGACAGTGACGGCGAACACGCTCTTATTGGCGCCATTGCCCAGGAACTCAAAATGAAGTGGCTGGTCTGGGAGTGGGTGTTCGTGTGCGTCGACAAAGATGAGCCCAAAGACAGTGGGCTTCTCAGAGAGGAGCTGCCGCTGGAGGCGCTGGCCTTTGATTGCCGCGATGAGGGTGTCGAGCGTAGTGGCGGCCGACATGGTGGAAGCAGTAGAGCGTTGATGGTGGCAATGCGGCGGTCTCTGATGTGGTTTCGCGGCGTAGTAGGACAGCGATTGTAGGTGTTCGAGGAGGAAACGAGAGAGATAGCCTTAAATACACAGCCACTGCATCGCTTGAAGTCTACCGGAACACTTACTGCGCACTCCTTCACTAGACAATCGAGTCTTCAGCCAGCCATATCTCTGACCGAGCGCTGTCGACCAGTTGTAAGACTGCCATGCTAGGTATGCAATCGTGCCGATTTACAGTGTATTTTCTGGTGCTACACCGTCTCTTACTTAAATCCAGCTCGCTAGACCGTTCAGCAAGCCACCACGGCGAGAACTAAGGATGTGATTATGTCAGATGTGATGGCCGTAGAGAATAGACATTCAGCCCTAGAACCATTATCCTACCCCATGATGGACACGGTGTATTACAAAGTCCAGAGTCCAGAGTACGGGGCTGAATATGTATGTACGTGTGCCGTTAGAAAGGTTCCTAGCGAGCCAGCCACCTCACTTGTCCAGAGCGCTGAGGCTGACCCGATTCCTGCCCGCCATTTCGCCCCATACTCGAACACAAACACTTTCCACATGCGGAAGGTGTTTCGCGCGCGGAGTCCTCTTAGCTATCATGTATGTCTGTACGTATGTCAGCGGCGAGCTGTATCTTTAGCCATAGCAAGGATGACCACCTTGTGCAGGACTGTAGCAGGGCTGTACGGACTCGATCCTCATGTCTTATGTCGCAATTCCGCCTTTCGTTTTGTGACATATGTCTACGATCTGTGTCTATCATCCATGTCCTTTGCTTCACGTGGTCATGCACTCCTATAGTACACACGACGTCCCTAATCCGCTTGTCTCCTTCATAGCTCAACCTCAAATACCCTACTCCCTGCCGATCTCTGCTCGCGTCAACACCGGCAGAGGCGAGGAGGGGACCTGTAATCTTGCCTAACATACAATTCACCACCTCACTGGATCTCTCTCACTCGCTCTCATTCTTTCACTTCCCGTTGCTTTAAAGCTAACCCGCGCACGCAAGGTCTGCTCCACACTAAGTACCATCTCTGGCGAGTATGTCCTTCGTGATTCGGCATCGTCCCATCCCAAACTTACGTCGAACAACGATATCGCGAATCACCCGCCGCAGCACCACCACGGCAAAGGACATCACAAGCGGCGCCAGCGGGGCTGAGGAGCCGATGTGCATGAATTAGGCCCACGCAATTAGCTCTTCCCTCGATATTGGATTCGTTGGCACAACCACCTGTCTAGTTTGCGGGTCTTAAACCTCCGTGACTGCTGTCTCCCCACTGGGCTTGGCTTGATGTAAGGACCTTCCTTCCATTTGTTCTCGCTTCATCTGCGTGTATCGCTCCGGACGACTGACGCAACATGCACATCCAGGGAGGTTGCTCAGGGGAGCGAATGATGGGAAAGGTGATCTCAAGACTGTGGCCAGTGGTTGGGTTCAGCTGGATCCGGAGACTGAGGTGTATTTGACGGTGCGGGAGACGGACGATAACACAATTGGCCTGTCCTGAAACGGTCGAAGCTAAGTGTATTGAATCAGCTCAGCTCAAGCACACCAATGGAATCGATGGTGGCACTTGGCGTCGGTGGGCATCATGTTGCCGATAGTGGCTAGCTGGTCGACTGCTGTACCGATATTGCTTGACTCGAACCGAATTCTCGTTGAAGGACATGAGACGCCGCTCGTGGGAGGATACCATTGAGCTTGCTTGGATGCCTAGGCCATCGCAACGGGGATGAGAGTGGTCAAACCGGCTGTGACTTGAATTGACGTCGATTTTCGTCCCTCAAGCACGGTACTGTAAGTGACCCTCAGAGCCTTAGTCACAGCATCAAATAGCCAACAGGCATGGAGATGCACGAGCTCCTTGCGCACTTCGATCAAGCAAAAGAATCCCCTGCATGTCGCATCCTCCACTTCCACTTTTTACCGTTCAATCTCTCCTCCCGTTCCTTCCTCTCCTTCTTTTTCCTTTCATAGACTGCCCGCACGGTCCGCCTGACCTTTTCCTTGCCTTCACTAAAATTGGTTCGAGCCAGTTCAACTACCTTGTCGACCTGCTCGGGGGTGTAGATGAAGTTCCACGTGGACAGAAAATCCGACTTGTCCGGGTCGACGCCGGGGACTTTGGGATGAGGCAGTAGTGGAAAATAAATCACGGCGAGGCCAGCATCGGGGCTCATGAGTTGGAACTGCGGCGAATTTGAGTCTTCTGTGTCGCCGTCAGGGATGTCCCAGTCCAATGTTTTTGACGGAGGCGGCTCTTCTTCACTGGATCGTTCAGCTCTGCTGCCGACCCAGACAGAACATGGTCCTAGCGTGCTGGCGGCATCAGGCGCGGAGCCTGTAGTCGGGCTTTCCGGGGCGTTACTCTTTCCTTCTGCCGCCGCTTTTTGTTCGCGATCTTCTTCTCTTGCCTCGGCGAGCTTGGTGGCTGCTTCTTGGGCGGTGCTCGCCTCGGCCTCTGCAAGTGCTTTCGCGTGCTCCTGTGGCTTGGAGGAGGCTCTGGGCCAACCTGCTCCGATAGGCCAGCCTTTGATGCCGCGTTGGCGGGTATAGCCGTCGACCACGGAGAGCCAATTCTCCTTTTGTATGTCTGCTGAAGCGTCGAACGCGATGAGGATGTCCACGTCACGGCCGGGTCGGAGGAGAGGGTAGATCGGGAGATTGTTGGACATTCCGGCGTCCATCAGCTGAAGGTGGTCGGTCTTGAAGACAGAGTCGGGACAAGTTGACGGGAGTTGCTTATCCATGCCATAGACGAAGTTGGGAATGGTAGCCGGCTCGATGGGATGGATTTTGATGAGGTCTTCGTTCTTCCCTTCGAGGAGCATGTTAATCCCATCGAAGCCAACCATGCCTAGCAGAGCAGGCTTGATCTCCTTGTAGTAGTGAGATAGTGTGGCACAAAAGGCCGAGCCCCAGATCCCAAGGAGGAGACTCTGGCGGATCTCTGGCAATGTAACACCGGTCTCGAGGACCAAATTTTGCCCATTCTTGAATGGCCGTCCCAGACTCCAGGTGGGTATGCCAGCGCCAAACTCTTCGCACCAGACTTCCCAGGGATGCATCTCGAACCATTGAAACCATGCTTCTTTCCTTGCGACCTCCCTGACCTTCTGCTTGAGTGCCAAGTCACCTTTTGCTGCCTCTTGTTCTTCCACATCAACCGGAATCTCGTGTCGTACGGCAGTGTAGATCGGCATGGGATACTGGCCATTTTCGATGTACATGCGCTGATTAGACAATTTCAGGTCGACGTCGTTCACTGCCAAATCACCATATGGGACTAGAAGCCTGGCAGCCAGAAGCAGGCTGTAAATGTCGACCAGCCCAAAAGAAGCACCGGGGTCTCCCTTGAGTTTCTCAATGAAGCCACTGAGGATGAATTTGTTGGTTGGAGCAGAGGTCACGAGCTTCAAAGCAGGCGGAGGAAATGCGATGTGTGTTCCGATGCGCGACTTGATGTGCTTGAGCAGCTGTCGATGGTCCTGCTTTCCCAAAGACGAGTAGAATAGCGTCTGTAGCCAACAACTACCGCTGACTCCGGCGGTATATGTCACACAGTCAAAAAGACCAGCCTCTTGCGCTGAGAGGTAGCTGCTGGTCCCGGCCACCATTGCTCGAAGGCCACCGCCAGAGCCACACATGGCGATTGTCGGCACATCGTCAGGGTGTATCTCTTTCTCGTCAATGTTGAGGTATTTTGCCAATGCCTTGACTACGTATCGTTTCCGTTTCCGTCGAAATGCTAGCTCATCTTTGCCGAGGGAATCCCCAACACGGACTGTCGCGTTCCACGTTATCTCGGGGTTGATGGATGGATCATGCGCCTCTTGCCAAATCTCATCGGCCAGACTTCCAGGCTCCATGGACAGCTCGAATTGGAGCTTCGCGAATCCATCGGGCAGAAGTTTGGCCCAGTTGGGTACTACCCAGTCAACTATCTTGTCGCCCAGGGTGGTCCATTGTATCCTGGCAATGCCCTCGGTGACGTTATCGAAGTTTCTTGAGAACGCAGCCCAAGAGTTCTCGTCATCGCTTTCAAACAGAGGGACGTATCGGTCAGGATCATTGCTCTTGTCGATGATGGCAGCATCACCTCTCTTTGTAGCATGCTTAGGATCTTCGACTTGAGCATAATGACTCTGGAGGCGGCGGCCGTACGCGATGAGCGAGGCATCTTGCGGAATCGGAGGGCTTGGAGGGCTGTCGAGTCTGACAAGGTTGCTGCGTCGCGTCGAACTATGAATGCCGGCGCATGCGGCAGCAGCTAGAGCGATCGCCGGGTAACGCAGGCGAGACGCGGTGTTCAAAAGCCTTGCAGCGCCCATGGTCGGGAGAGCGCTGCAAAGAAGATATTATCGGTCGTCAAGTTCCATCGCCTACCTACCACGTGGAAGACAAAAGGTCGTCACTGCCCCTTAGCAATCGTCCTCACCCATGTGCCATCCAAGTTTTTGTTGGGCAAGGAGGGCATCACCAGGATCGCGTTAGAATGACGTGTGGCTGCGGCTGCGGTGGATCTTGCTTCCGGCCACGCCACGCCGAGCTTACCCGACGCCCAGGAGCCTAGCAGCGTGGCAGCGCGGGTACCTGAACTAAGCCCAGCGTGGCCTAGCACGGAAAGGCGGGCTTGAGCCTCCAGGTCAAGCACCGCCAGCTACTACTGTCTTGGTCTGACTTGTCTCTATCATTGGACATCACATCGCTAACGGGTATATCACACTCCACACGTGCCATCCAGCATCTCCTAAGCAGTAGTCATTCGCTTCAAAACAATGACATCGGAAAGATCGCCCAGGCCGCTGGAATGGTGAAGCACAATATGACATTTTGAGCGCTGTTTCAGACCGACTCTCGGGCACAAACCGCATCTTACCCATGGCTGGACCCAAGAATGCCGCCTTTGCGGAAGAGAGCGCCGAGGTTGAGGTCCTACTGGCCTCTCTGGGGAAGACCAAAGACCTTACCAAGCGGATAGCCGCCAGCCTGTCGCGTCTGGACGTGAGCGGCAAGATCGTCAAGGATGCCATCGGACCCATCTATGCCAACACGCAACAGCTCCAGATCACGAGTCGTAACATCGAGAAGGTCAATGAAGCCATCGAAAAGCTCAAGCAGCCTCTGGACTCACGTGGACGCGAAGAGGGCATCATCCGTGCTGGACCCAAGAGTGCCGGGCTGCCACAGTATCTGGGCGCCTTGAAGCGTGTGGACAAGGCCCTCAGCGACATGAGCTCCACAAACATGAGATCGAACCAACAAGCTATATCAGAGTTCCAGACTCTGCTGACCACCGGCGTCAATCAGTTGAATGACATGTACCGGCAAATGCTGCAGGAGGATTCCCAGATCGTTGAACCACTACATTATATCACTAAACAAATACCATTCCCTACATTCTCCACTGAGAAGGCGCAGAACCTAAGCCAGATAGCCATGGCAATCGCTTCGGCCGGGGCTCAATCCGCCAGAATGGGCCAACGTGAAGACGACGTCGCGGCGCGCATATACTCAGAAATCAGAGGTGACTATCTCCAAGGTAGTCTGCAAAACCTGGCAACAGCATCTATCATGACGTCGAAACGACGAGACGACGACACCGGTGTCTATCGTGAAGGGTCAAGCGGCGTTGGTGCCTACGTAAAGGCCATCGAAGGCATGTTTCTCGCAGAAGCAGAGAACACGTCCCGCATATTCCGCAACGAAGCCGGCCGCGTTCTCACCTCAACCTGCGGCAAAGCCATGGCGACGTTCTCGCGCACAATGTCCGACCTGAACAATGTTATCAAGCCGCGCATCTTAAGCGACTGCTTCCTCGCCTACGAGATCCTGGACCTCGTAACACCGCTGAGCTACCGGCTGGAGCAACGGACCGGTCAACTCCGACCACAATTCGCCGAAGCACTGCGCCCATTACGGGACACCGCCCGCTCGTCCTTAGGCGACATCATCACGCAAACAAAGAGGCAAGCCGAGGCGACCTCGACGCTGCCGCCCGACGGCAACACCATCCCGCTGGTATCCCAGACCGCCACGCGCCTACAAAACCTCGCGACCTTCGACCGGCCCATCCTCGCCCTCCTGTCCTCCATAGGCGACGGCAACTGGCGGTCCGCCCCTGGCATGGCTTCGCAATCGACCCTGAACCTCGAACTGACCCCCTCGACGGAGAACCCGACCCTCCTCTCGCACTACCTAGTCGACCTGGTCGACGGGCTGCTCACGACGCTCAACACGCGCTCCCAGGCCCTGCACCCCAAGAAACCCCTCCAGGGGATCTTCCAGCTGAACAACGTCGCGATCGTGACTCGCACGGTGCAGTCCTCCCCCGATCTAGCGCGCTACCTGGGCATCTCGCCACACAACGCGAAACTCGAGTCCTACCGCAAAGCCGGCTCGTCGCTGTACCTCACGGCATGGCGCGACCCGGCGAACCACCTGTTTGATCAGATCCAGACGTCTGGCTCGCGGCCGTTGTCGTCCGGACAGGGCCCCGCCATCGACTCGACCAGCATCATCAAATCACTAAACAGCAAGGACAAGGACAAGATCAAGGAGAAGTTCCGGCTCTTCAACGCCAGCTTCGACGAGCTGGTCTCCCGCCACAAGTCGCTGCACATGGAGAGCGAGGTGCGCGCGAACCTGGCACGGGAGATCCAGAGCCTGATCGAGCCGCTTTACGCGCGCTTCTGGGACCGGTACCACGAGGTGGATAAGGGGAAGGGGAAAGTCGTGCGCTACGACAAGGGGGCTTTGGCGTCTATGCTGGCGAGTCTGTAGAGCGGACCCGGGCTGGGACCCGCGAAATGGGCGGGCGAGACGAGGATGAGGATGAGGATTGAAGTCCCGGAGCGGAGCAAGGATGGGATAGGCATTCGGCTGGTCGGTGATGGAGCGTAAAGGGACCGGAAGCCTAGGCTTGTTATGTGCGCGCCCGTATGTGGATACTCGTATGCGCCGTGTGGACTCAGTGCTGGCTGGTGACTACGTGGGAAGGAGGCTCGCAGGATGCCGTGGTGTTGGATACATGCTTAGCGCGTCGATCTCACGGGAGACGGATGCGAACGGGCAACTCCAAGTTGGATACAATAACGCGGTTCTTTTCTTTTCATTTCGTTCGATCGAATACAGTACACGTGCCCTTGCTCTATGGTTACATCCCACGTGCCGCTAACACAAGAATGTTGACATTAAAGCGTACGCTTCTCCTGAGCTGATCGTGCAGCCGGAAACCGCGCCCTGCTTGTACGCCTGCTCGCAAAGTCCGAATATGACTGACTGGTCCGATAGTCAGCCTCCCGCAAGTCACTAACCTAAGTGAAGAAGTAGTTGCTAGCACGGCACAAGGCAGCACAGCACATCGCAGCGCAGGACATCACACCACAGCACAGCACATCATAGCACACCGTACCCCGTATGTCCGTGCACGCAATTTCAACAACACCATCCAACATGCATGCTGACCACCAACGCCACGCCAACCAAGAAAGGTAGTAGCCTAGCCGCAGCCGCAGCCGTAGAGATAGCTCCTCACGGATTCATGAACAAGTCCACAATGGCCTTTTCGTCCCTCTCCCGATCAGGATTGAGAATGAACCGGACGGTGCCTTCTCTGCCTCTCTCGCCCACGCGCTGTCTCACGCCAATAACAGCGCTGGGAGCGGGTCTGGGTTCTCTGTCTCCTGTGGATCCAGACCCAGAACTTCCGGCGGCGACATTGGTGTTTGTGTTGGCGCTCCCGCGTCTCGGACTCGTCACGTCCCTAGGACTGACGCTGGCATTGACGTTGGCGTGGAGATGATGCTTCTTGGCCCCATTAATGCCGTTGATGCCGTTCGCCGCCGCCGTTTCCTCATCGCCGCGCTCCACCCACGCCGTAAATCTCGGGATCTTCTTGTCCGCGCTCTCCTGGTTGAGGGGGATGCGCACCTCGAGGAACCGATCCACCGGAAACTCCGGCCCGATCACGCTCTGGTTGCGATGGTGCGTGTACAGCTCCAACAGATCGAGGAGTGTCTCCATGACCATGCCGGGCTCGACGCGCCACTCGGCGTAATCTTGCCCCTGCCACACCGGTGCAAATTCCTCGTCCAACAAGCGGCCCGCGAGTTCGAGGCACGCGAAGGACATGACCGCCGTGGTTTGCTTGACGGGCGCCCATGTGCGGTAGAGGTCGAGAGAGATTGTGTAGGCGAGTTTCACGACGGGCGAGGTCTTTTGGAATTTGTAGTGTTTGAGCAGTTTGATCAGGAATTCCTGCGGGTGGCGGTTGCGGAAGTCGAAGCCCGAGGCTTCGAGCATGAGGCGTTCGAGGCCGATGATGGTGCGAGAGTGGTGTTCGAAGATCTAATGCCCCCAGTTAGAGCGCTGTCGGTACAAAAGGTGTGAGGGCCAGTGTAGGGAGCAAATTCGTTCGTTGCGGACTTACCTGGTCGTCTGGTGAAAGTTGTTCATTCCGAGGTGCTTTGAGATTGTGCGCCGCGCAGAGGATGTCTCGGGATTTCTTGAGCGTGTCTTCGATCTTGCAGGCCGCGAAGAGGGCTGCCGCCGAGGCGTCCTGTTATGGAAGTGTCAGCACGCCGGAGTCTTGATCGATCGAGAGATATGTGCAGGCAACCTACTATGAAGCTGTACTCTCCGTCCGAGTGCTGGAGGCGGAATTTGTGATAGTAGACCACAGCGGTGTTGAAGGTTCGCACTGGACTGAATGATCATTCGCAAAGTCAGCTGAGGTCTTCGTTGTGTCTTGACTCGGCAACACCTTGGATGTCAAGCGCGCCGAGAACCAAGCAGGAAATGTTCGAGTTCTGGTCATCCAAGTCGAGTGTGTGCGTATTGAGGCAAAACAAAGAAAATATAAAGAAATGACGAGACTCACAGCTTCAATGCCCGCCGCACATTGTCGATCCACTGCACGCCCGCCAGCCGGATGTTGTCCTCTCGTGCTTGGCTGACTCCATTCTGTCTCAGACGGTCTTGAATCTCCTGCTCAAAGACATAGGACTTTGCGACTTGGACGAAGTTTGGCAGTGACCCTGGCCGCTTTGGCGCCGAGCCACCTGATGATACTGTAGGTGGTGACGCTGGGGTTGTGTTAGTTACCTCTCCACGAAGGCCAACAGCCGGATGCGTTCCGTTCATCTTGTCATGAAGACGACCGCGACCGTGATAATGGGATGAGATGCCGCCGCATTCGCACTCTGTGTCTTGGAAGCCTATCGTTGTTGTGGCTGTCGCAAATTGGTAGAGAGTTCTCTCGGTGTCGAAGAGTTTCACCACCAAGTTTGAGGTTCTTTCTGTCTGCTGTGGATTTGTTTCGTGGAGACTGTCTGTGGGTGGTTCTGCACTGGACTCGTCGAGGGCTGGAGGCAGCGACAAAGGCGAGATTGAGGAGTCGGGGCGTGAACTTCGGACCGAGGTTTCTCCGGTGCCGACAGCCTCGTCACTCTCGCCCATACTGTCAGGCTTGCTATCGATCAAGGGCGACGACATCTTGGGCACGATGGTTGTCTGCAGAAATTTGGAAGAAAGAAATCACAAGGGCACATCATTGTGGGAAGAAGGACCAAACAGTGAATGTCAAAAGAGCAAACTAGCAATGCTTGCGCGCAGCTGCGGACGCGTCCCTCAGTAATTATGCCGTGGGTCACCAAGCCATAGTGCAAGCTGTCTGTGAACATGGCTAATCGTGCTTTTCGATACATGCCCATTACTCATCTATTGCTAGCATGTTCAAGTCATGATGCCCATGTCAAGGCGACTATAAATCCCATATACGATGGCTGCTGGTCGCCCTAGCTGAAAACACACTTTTCCCGAAGCGCTCAACGCCAGGTGGGTATGAAGCCAGAGATCACTGTACCCAGGAGACCTCGTGGCAGTAATGATGACCGCACCCTCCTCGCCAGGCCCCTTTTCCATATGAGACGACATACATTATCGATCCTCGATGCTATGACTTGGCTTCGGCCACCTCTGGTTCCGTCTTGGTATCGACCTTCTTGACCTCACGGCCGCCTTCACCCTCAGGAGCATCGTCCTCACGTGCGCGTTTTTTCCCAGCAGAAGTCGCGCTGTCGGCGACAGTGGCACGATCTTGTTCCGTCGTCTCAGCGGTCTTCTCGATCTTCCCCGCCTCTTGCTCCTTCATATCCGCTTCAACCGCGGCTTTGGCTTTGGCAAGAGCTTCGTCACGAGCCGAATCTTTCTCAGGTGCGGTGGATTTGATAGAGGGGATCCCCCTTCAGTAACGTTAGCTTGGCCTCTGCATGTCATGAAAATGTCACTTACCGCTCGTCTGTCTCTGGCGCCTTCGATCTGCCACCTCCGCGCCACTCCGGCCGCCCACCCCGGCCACCACGGCCACCACGACCCCCACGATCACGGTCACCTCGTCTCTTGTCGTCTCGAAAACCACGCTTCTGGTCTTCATCCCGACGTGTTCTCCAGTCTCTGTCATCATCTCTGTCCCGATTACGCTTGTCATAATCCCCGCTGCCGCGCTGGTCTCGGTAGCCCTTCTTGCCACCCCGACGCTCGTCCTGGTTGGAAGTGATCCTACCTGCCTTCAGGTCCGCCTCCTTCTTGTCCGTGTACTCTGTCTTGCTCATGATTTGCAGGTCTCGATCTTTGTATTTGGGTTTGGGATCGAGCGCTAGGAAAGCCTGTGCCAGCTCCTCGGTCTCAAACTCGACGAAGACGCTGCCCTTGAACGTCTTCTCGTCATTGCGCCGCAATCGCACTGCTTTGGTCGGGCCATACGGGTCGAAAAACGCTTCGATGTCGAACTGGGAGCTGGGAGTTTCCTCGCCGAAGCCCTTGACATACACACTGCGCGCATCAGACTTCCCCGGGATCACTTTGAAGAAATCTTCCTGTAGTGGGGTTTTCCGTCGCACACCCGTATCATCATCCGTAAGCTCGACCTCTTTGGAACTCTTGAGAGCTTCCACGATTGCCTCGAAGGGTTGGAAGCGCTGCATGCGTTTGAAGGAATGAAGCGTCTTGAGTGGGACAGGTTTGTTTTCGATCCCGCCGACCAAACCAAAGAGGAACTTGTCTCTGGGCAGGTTGGAGTCAGAAAAGTAGAATTCAACCTGCGCACGATGCGTGAGCTTTTTTCAACCACGGTGGAGCATTGATCTGTACCTGTTTGCGGATTTCCGCCGGATCATCAGTGATCTCTTTAGTGGTAGGATCGAACTTGTTGTTCTCGCGATGGTTGCGGGGCTTGTAGCCATCACGGTCGCCTCGATCGCGACCCCAGTCATGGTAGCCCTTGCGATCGCCCCTACCTCCACGATGACCGCGATCATTATAGTCACGACGGCCACGATCCTCGCGGCGCTCCCGCTTCTCATCCTCGGCGTCATCGTAGCCTTCCTTCTTGGCTCCTTCCCCGTCCTTCGCCGCAGGTTCAGTCCCTTTTGGCGCAACGTCCGAGGCGGCAGCGTCCTTCTTTACCCCATTTGTCCCGGCGGGCTGGTCTGTAGACGCTTTCTCGTCTTCGAGCTCAGCCAGCATTCGCTTAGCTTCCTCAGCGGCGGACGCATTCTGATCCATGGGATCTGCAAGACCCTCGGTAACCGCGTCCTCCACCGACATCGTGATGCAAGTGGGTGGGTGCACCGACTGCGAGGTTACGCGAAGGATGACTGCGGAAAAGAGATGTGTATTCGAAGTGCGGGGACAAACAAATGGTTAGAGATGACTCGATGCGGTGACGGTTGCTGATGAGTCAGGGAAGGAAACAGCCTCTGTGACCGCGTAAATGAAAGAATCCAAGCAGTCTAGACACCGATTACTGCAACAGATACTGTGATAAGCGGGTGCGCGCAAACAACCAGTTCCACTTCACAGCTTGGAAAAGTTCAGAGGTAGCCCAAAATTTCTGCGGGGAACGCCAAGCACCAGCCTCGTTCGGCTCCCTTCAGCCTTGTGAGCCTTGGTCCTAGCGGAGCCAGGAGCTCAGTCTAAGCCTAGCTCCGAGCTATCCAGGCGGAATCCCAGTTTTCATCCTGTCGATATCAACCCAAACCATCGCATTTGTGATGTATCAAGTCAAATCTCGGTGACATCGACGCGATGAACGGATTCGCAAGTACATGATGACCGCTAGAGTACTGTCCAAGCGTCGCTGACAATCAACTCTACCTCTCCCTTATCTCAAGTGCAAAGCGTCCTCCGCGTCTCAAGCTGGAAGACTTCGAATGCCCCAGATCCTGCAATCCAATGAGAAAAACCTACGCCTCGCATGGAGGCATTATCTGCTAACATCAGTCCTGTAGCGCTCCTTTACTCCTGATTCGCGGCTCTTCACCTATACTACCGTAGCCAACCAGTTTGCCTTTTTTCATCGATGTGATCACTATTCGTATCGACCCAAGGCCACTTACAAGGTAGAATGTGAAAGGTATTGGCACGAATAAAATGGTCCACAATGCTAACAAGGTGCTTGCCCAATTTATCCCTAAGCTGTGAAACACTGCTAGTGCAAACAACGGGAATGCGGCTCCTGAAGAGAACCGAATGAATGCATTTCCTGCCACCAACGGTGCAATTTCAGCTGGGCAAGCGTCCTGAAGGTAGTTCGACACCGAATTCTAAGATTGCATCAGCTGAGCGGCAGGGTGGACAATGCTCTTTGAGCAACTTACAACCATAAGCAACGTTCCCACAGCGAAGAAGGCTGTTCCGCATGTGTACAAACTCCAGTAAATATCCGGACGAGCACTCCATCCGAACCAAAACAGACTGACCGGCAAGCAAATGGCTCCCACCATCGATGGCGGCAGCTTCAATCCGGGCTTGGGTATCTGGCCACTCTCGGTGAATTGTTTCTCTTGGACGGAACGGCAATACCACACGAATAGCGGCACCGATGCTAAACCGCCGATGAGCGGGCCCACAACGCCAGTCCGGTTTGACCGAAGTTGAAGCCATAGATACCGACAAAAACAAGTGGGAACGACTCCAACTAGACGAAAAGTATACCGAAGACCAGCGCTACCCCGATATGCAGCAGGAATATCAGTGGTTCTGTAAATCTCAACAGCCAAGGCCGAAGATGCTCGTCTGAGCGATCTTGACCACCGCGACCTCTCGGAATGCCATTTTCGGCCTTCTTTTGAGTTTCTCGTTGCCGGTCAATTTCCTCAATCGTTGAGCTCGGCGATGTAGAATGTTCTTCGAAGACTTTCAGGAAGGAACACGAGGAGCATCAGCAGATTGAGCCCGGCAATCGAGATGAGGACCCACATCGTCCATTGCCAGCCTTTGGCATCGGCGGCAAAGCCAGCTAACAGAGGACCAAGAGCTGGAGGTTCGGCTTAGACACAGATCATATGGATTGGCTGTATCGACAAGACACTACCTGGGCCACTAACCTGGAAGCGGATACATCAGCCTATTAAGAAGTTAAGCACGGCCAGTGGGAACAATGCCAAATTCGTGTTGGCTGTGTCAGAGGGATCGAACACTCACACAAGCGAGTTCCCATATACCGATACCCAGAGCTTGTTTCTGCGGTGAATATAGCTCTACAATCGAAGCACCGCCAGTGGCAAGAGCAGGTGAGCCAAGGACACCGGTGATGAACCGACTTCCGAGAAGCATTCCGATATCAACTGAGAGGGCCGTCGGAACCTGCAGGACAACAAAAAGGGTCAAAGACAAGATGTACGCTGGATTTCGACCAATTGCAGCCACTTCGCTCAAGGGCGCAAATGTTATCGGCCCATGATTTGGTCAGGTCAAGCTTGTAAGATCTGCCTGTTGTGGCCTGTCTTACCGAGACCATCTCCGAGTACGAAGACAGTCAGACTAAGTGTAGCCACAACTTGGCTCACTTGAAAGGCTTCCATAAGGCTAGGAATACCGACCGTGTAGATAGACGACCCACATAGACGGCGAAGGTCAAAAAGCAGAGCTGGAAGTTGACAGCTGCCTTGGTAAAGCTGGACCAGTTAAGAGGGTTCTGGCGTGTGGTCATTCGCCTGTCACCAATGTTTGGCTTACAGCAAGGCCTTGACCGGATACGCACCTCTGGGTCGTCAGGCCCGTAACAGTCGACAAGGAGTGGATCCTTTCCTTCTTCGGCTGACTCTGCATCTTCCTCGGAACTTTCCTCATCGACAGAAAATCGTTTCAGTACGAGTACTGCAGAACTTGCGTCTTTCTTGCATGGAAAAATTTTCCACGGAAAAATGACGAAAGAGAGGACCGGTGAAGGAGTCGTGCAACAACTGGTGCCGCATTTTGGATGCTGCCTTGCTAAAATACGAGCAGTCTGGGCATTGCTTGGTACACTCTTGAGCAGCCTCATTCAAAGGTCCTCAACATCAACTCCGGGATGCTCAAGCTGAAGGTTCGCGTGTTTTAACTCGTATACGAACTGAGTTACGCATTTTATTCCTTTCAACCTCTTGGCTCTTGTTGTCTTACACTGGACTAAAAGGACTACGATCTTCATGTCACCACGCCAAGAAGATCTGTTTCCTCGAACCCACCGGAATGGTACGGAACCGAGTGCCATATGCAACCGTCAAAAGTTGGTTGGATTTGCACCTGACATTGCATGTGCATTTCTGCGTGGCTACAATTAACTTACAGCCTCAGCCTCGCAACCACTTCGGCCACCGACTTCGGTAAGATTCAGGGTCCCGCTAAGCCATGAGGCTCTCGGTCCGACTTTAGCCGCCGAGGATGAGCAGAGCCTCACAGCCTCGCAGCCTCGGAGTACATCCCTTCAGCCTGTCGGGCATTATTCTGCCTTGCCAAAACTTGAACGGGGACCTGTATTCCCGAGACTTCTTCTTGTGCTTTGATGCTCCATCCGGCCTTTGTGGTATATAAGCTGCGTCACAACCATCCGCCATCGACTGATCGACTTCTTTTGCTTTCACGTGGATGAGCGGACGCGGCCGTGTTGGGCTCCGAATACTGCCATCAGGATGGGGAATGGATGTTTGCCATGATGGCAGAACAGAATCTCGCATGTAAGATCCGAATCTTCGGTCGAGCCAAGGTGACGCAGGGGCCCAATCTGATAACAATCTTAATTGAGACTGATCGATCCTCGTCAAGAAGGCGAGGCAACTGCAGCGCTGATGGAATAGTTTGAATGATTGAGAGGCACACCAAGGAGCGATGATGCCACGAAAAAAGGCCAGTCGAGTGTCAAGAGGATCCCGTTCAGGTCAAGTACGAGGACTGTGTATATACAGAGTCAGTGGCGTTCAATGACTGTGGGGGCCAGGAGACAATGAGGAAGCGATGAGAGGGGAATGGATGGACGAAAGTCGTGTACGAGGGGAGCGCAGGCGGCCTCGGACATGAGAAGAGCCGTCATAGGCGGCTGACTCGGCTGAAACTGTCGACGACCACAAGAGCCTGATACGTGGGCTAGGTGCAAAGATTGGGTCGATTGGGCAGCCTAAAGTACAACCCCAGGCTCCTGTGTATAGCCCTGCAGTGACTACCCAGAAACGGGCACAACGCCCGCCACTCGACCCGAAACAAGCAACGGCCGGCTGGGTATGTATGAGAGCCTCCACAGGACATAGGACATACGAGTAGGAGATAGAATGTGTTAATGCGGTCCTTTTGTCTTCTTGTCCCGTGTGCATATTGTGACATTCCAACTCAGCCTTCCACCTCATCCACCGTTCAGCTCAGATCATCAGCGACCCTGTCGAAGCATTCTCACGGTACAGCCCCTGCCGTCCAGGCGGCCATGACCAGGATTTCGGAAGGAGCGCGGGCTCGATAGGGAGGTGTCTATCTGGCCAGGATGTAGTGGCATCAGGCCTTTCTCGAGAAGGAGGTTCCGTCCAATGAGTCGTTGCGATCCGCAATCCCAATTGATGGTAGGTCGGGTCGATTCCTTCCTGTATAGGGGGTGGTTAAGGTAATGTATTCGTGCGAGTCGAGTCGAAATCATTTTGCCTACACATGGTCCGACAGTCTCAAAAAGTCGCAATGCAACCTGGGATCCCTCTTCAGAGTACGTAGCTGTATCGTCGCGGTTCCATTTGCCCGCAGGCTACCATGGACCTTGCGACCGAGGCAAGCCCTTTGGTTCTGAGATACGGGTCAGTTGAAAATCATCCCTCCGCTTACATGGAAGCGCTGGCCAGTAATCAATTCGGCTGCGGGGCTTGCAATGAAGCTGATCATTTGCGCAACGTCCGTTGGCTGGCCATACCGCTCGACGCACTGTCTTTCCACCGCCTTGTCGAAGATGGGCTTTGCGTGAGGAGAGCTCCACGTTGTTTCCGTCACCACAGAGCCTGGAGCCACGACGTTCGCCGTCACACCCGGTCCTGCCTCAGTAGCAGTGGCTCTTGTGAAGGCCACTACTGCGCTCTTCGAGGCCGCACATACCGCTAGACCGGCCTCTGGGTGTGAGGTGGTGCCGGATGCGGTGTTGATGATTCGCCCGTACCCTGCCTTCTGCGTGTGTGGAAGCACAGCACGTGTTAAGTAGAAAGCGCTGTCCATGTTCACGCTCATGACTCTCTTATACTCCTGCGCCGACTGCCCCGGAAGAGGACCAAACGGGTAGATCCCAGCGATGTGCACCAGCACGTCGATTCTTCCAAGCGTGGACACGACTTCGTTGATCATCGAGTTGACGTGTTCCTCTGATGCCGAGATTGGCGACTCTATATGTCACATTCTGGCTCTCAGATGTCAACTGTGCCACGACCTCTTTGAGCTCCTGCCCGTCTAGATCTACCAGGACGACGCTTGCGCCCTGGTCAGCGAAGAGCGTGGCAGTGGCGCATCCAATGCCTCAGGCTGCTCCTGTCACGAGAACCACCTGCTCGGCGTACTTGCCGCGGTATATTCTCTTCGGTCTGATAGTCGCTCCCTGTTGCTCCATGGTGATGAGGATTCCTTCGAGGTTCTCAACTCGAGTATTGTTGGCGATTCCGTCAGATGAAAATCTTCGAACTCTGTTGTCCTACATGGTGCCCAGAAGCACTCTCCTATCATGCTGTCGGTGACCCGAGACGGCGACCCGTAGAAGACCCTTGATCACCAGCCAGGTCATTTGCGATTTTCAGCGCGTGATGTAGACTCCGGCGTCATTGCAGAGACCACCTTTGGTGCGGTACATGCCATGGGTTCGGCGAACGGGTGGCTACGTGTGCGCGTGGTTTGGTGTTCATCTTTAGGATGGTGCGTGCCTACAGTTAGATGTGCAGTAATTGGTGCCCGGGGCGCTCGCCCCTAGCAGCTTGAGTTAGGCGGCTGCTCTGGTTGAGCATAGCTGCTGTTTGCGCCATCCTTAGGGGAAGCAATGGCCGGGCCCAGAGAAGCGTGAACGCCCGTGACGCCCCACGATGGCCGCACTCCTCTGTAGCCAAGCGGGAGCGCACATTAGCTCCACCGTACGTACTCCGTACATCTACAGCCTTGCCGCTTCAAACAACGAAATAAGGCTGGTAAGCACACTGCCGTCAACGGAGCACGCGTGCGAAATTGATCTCACCTGCCGGCCATGGGTTGCCCTCTGTCGAGTCGAATTCTGGCGATAGCTAAATACCGGAACACGCACTTCGAGGAATTTCTTGATTTTTAACCAATACTTCCGGAACGTAACAGTGTGATCAAAGTGTCGTCGACTCAGTTATCCCTGGTGCAAGCCCACCCCGATGAAGTATCAACCAGCCTCTGTTCAGGCTCCTTCACAGTTGACACTGTCCTAGCGCTGTATCTCAGCTCACTACTTGTTCGGCCACCAAAGAACATCGCCGTGACTGATGGTAAAGTCAACCAGGATGTATGGAGGCCCAGCCAAGAATCGCAACCGTGTGTCCCAGCCCTTTCTCGTTTCTGTATTCCAGTGTAAACTCCGACCACCTTTATCTGCAGGACCATGCGGGTCATTACGCCAAAGACAGAGATTGCCGTCTGCCTCGAAGGCCAGCATATGGTTGTCCGACTCTTCCGACCAATCGTACCCACTTCTCCAGATTTCCTGGCCGTTCACACTGACTTTGAGGACGGCGCGCTTGGTGAGGGAGAACTGCACCTTGTCGCCACGAGGGCTGTCCATTGTCAAGAACGGATCATTTTTCGCCATGACGTGCCACGTGTTGGGATTATGAACCTGTGATGCCCAATTCCTTGACACCATCTCGGCGCCCATAGCCCAGTGGAAGAAGTCTGTTACGATGCAACCGTATCGGTGATTCGCTGGGTCCTCGTGGTGTCCATCGTCATTGAGATACTCCAAGAGGTGAGAGTTGAGGTCTTGAGCATAGAACCAGGGCGTGGCTGGGGATAGGCCGACGATTGTGCCCGTATGGCTTAACCAGGTAAAATGCTGCCAATTGTCGTTGATGTTGCTCTCAGATGCACGATTGATCTGTTTCCAGACCGTATCCCAGACGTCGCTCGGTTTCAAGTCGGTGGCCTTTCCATCGCCGTTTTGGGACCAAGCCCCTGGACTTCCTTTCCAACTCTGTCCGTATATCGGGTATAGATCGACGCCGTTCAATGGCGCTTTAGCTACTCCCTGGTCCCAGAAGCGGCGAAGCAGAATTGCTTTGCCTCGAACCTCCCCGAGGGCTGGCCAATCGTTTTTCCTATACCAACCGTACCCATCCCAAAGATGATAAATCTCGCCGTCCATGCTGTGGGGTTCACCAACACCGTCATGATCCCACTTGACAGATACCAGCACAGTTTCTGTCTTTTCTTGTTTCAAAAAGTCATTTATCCACGCTAGGACGTCCTTTAGGGTGTTTTTCAGCTGTGCCTTCCCATGGCGCATACGATAGCTGGTGTCATTGCCAACGCGAAGGTCGATGAATCGAACGCCGCAGTGCAGCTGTTCTGGAATGCTCATCGCTTGACAAATCGTCCAGTCTTTGACTCCGGGGAAATTCGTGTCATCGTAATTGGCGTCCGTCGCGTGACTATTGTGAGTTCCTGGAAATGTGAATTTGGTTGTGCTCCAATTGTCGGGGAGAAACCTCATCCAGTTTGAGAGGTTGCGTGGATCAGACATGTTGAAGGCTTGTTGCCACGAACGCGGCCGTGAAACAAATGCTCTGTGTGACCACCTTTGGAAAAACGTCGTGGAATCTCGGGCTCTGACCCATCGAAGCAAACGATGATCATGCAATATTTATAACTTCTGTTCAATGATCTCCAAACATTGTATCATCGGATAGTAAGTGCCGAATCAGGACCATTTGCCCAGCTCAGCTGGCACATTTCAAGTGGTGTAGTCGAGGTGTACAACTTCAGCCAGCCCAAGTTGCGGCTTGATTGCAGAATACATCAGCCAGCCACAAAGCCTAGCTGAGTCAGAAATGTGGCTTGCTCAGTCGAGCTGTACAGCGTCAGCCAGCCAAGTTGCAGCCCGATTGCAGATTGTATGAGCCGCAAGACCCAGCCGACTCGGAAATGTGGCTTGGTGTAGTCGAGCTGTGCAACTCCAGCCCAGAATATAGCAGCCACAAAACCCAGCTGAATCAGCAATGAGGGTTTGTTGTAGCGAGCTGATGAGAGGGTGGCTTCAAGCCTCCCAGATGAGGAGAATGGTGTAAACGCAGGTGGTGGTGATGCTCTGGTGTAGGTCATGTGAGATATTTCCATAGGTAGGGTCTGCCGCGGTTGCATCGGCCGCGTTGTTGAGAACAAATTGGAATGTGCATGGCGACCTTCAATGCGGGCCTTGATGTGTCCATTGCTCATTATCGCATGTGGGAATGAAGTAGCTCTGATAAATTGTCTTTCCAGGCTCATCTTCGAGCTGACCGAGCTTCAGGTGTTGACCCGTCCTGAGCTGTATATGCGGCGCCTCGCCACATGCTCGCTTCGACGCATAGAAACCTACCTGCACTGCACGGTATCCCGCTTATCAATGCCAGTGTCTCGTGGCTATTGCTCCGGGTCTTTGCCCCCGCAGTGGCGATCGAGAGTCCAGCCGTTGTCGCCGTAGCATGATTGTGGGGCTTGGATGGTGTAGATGACAGGAGCTGCAACTGAGACCCGGATTCGTGGGCTAAGAACTTGGAGCTGACTCGGGCGTCACACTGTGGGAGCGCTTAGACGAACCGTCCAGTGAATACCTATACTGTGTAAAGGCTGCACTTGCAGTTTCTGGACATCTCGGCCACGAGCCTCTGCATGACTATTGCGAAGCCACTGATAGGACAATCGAGACTCGACAAAGCCAAAGCATAGGCCATTATGGTTGGTGCATCAATACAGTATGACTGGAGATTTGCGGTAGCACTGCAGACAACGGATTTAAGTGTCGCTTAGTAGTCCGCCTATGCTCGCATTTCATGAGTGCCAAGACCTTTTGTCCGCATTTCTGGCCGCCCATGGGAGAGACGACCATTCTGGCCAATCTACCTGTTGAGCATACAGGGACACGGATCCCAGGTGCTTTGTAGGGCTGGGATTCATGGGATCATGAAGAAGAACACGCCCTAAGCCGGAGCGGGTGGAGGCGCCGAGCAGTTGTTAACTAATCTGGGTAACGAGTCGTGCGGCTAAAAAGCTTATTTATTACCAATCTCGAGCACCGCAGAGTGTCTTCCCCGACCTGTATGAACGTGTCCGACTGCTGTAGCTGTACAAGTAACTTCAATGTTGTGGACGAGTTTACAGCGCGTTGAAACTAACGGCGTTGTTTTAAAAAAGGATTAAATGGTCAGCTGTACGAAGTAGATGGAATGCCTTTCTGGCTTAAGTCCATGCTTAGGTAGGCAGAGTGCTCCCGAGGGCAGGGGAAAGGCTCATCGTAGGAGACGCGGTCAAGATTGGTTCCTTCCAGATGGTCAATCAAAGCTAGCTACGTGCTTTTAGACGGACCAGATAGAGACGCCCGACTCAAATATGATGCGCATCCATCATGTACAACATTATGGCCGCCACCTACAACTGCTCATTGACAAACAGGCCAGCCATGCCCTGGCCCGTGCCAATACACATACTCGTGACGAGAACCTTCTTCTTCGTGCGGCGGGCCTCGCTCAAAATCGTACAGATCTGCCTCGCACCAGTGGCTCCTAGCGGATGGCCCAGCGCAATCGCTCCACCACGGGGGTTCATCTTCTCGTGCTCCAAGCCTAGGGTATTCAAGCAGTAGACGGCCATGGAGGCGAACGCCTCGTTGATCTCCCAGATGTCAATGTCATCCTTGTTCAGCGAATACTTGGACAAGAGCTTGGGGATCGCAGCCGTGGGGCCGATGCCCATTATCCGCGGAGGTACGCCGGCGACGGTGGCACCAACGAACTTGGCGAGGATCGGTTGGCCTAGTTCGAGGGCTTTCGACCGTTTCATGAGGAGGATGGCCGCGGCTGCACATAATCGTATTAGCACTGCCAAAAAGGCAGGAAAAGGAAAGTGGGACTTAAAACTTACCGCCGTCGGTGACTTGGCTGGCATTGCCTCCGGAAGTCTTGTCGCCGAATTGTGGCATGGCAGGTCGAATCTTCAGCAGGCTTTCCAGCGTAGTGCCGTACCGTGGGCCTTCGTCCTTGGTGAGCGTCACTTCCTTGAGATTCCCCTCCGCGTCCTTGACTTTGGTCGTGATCGGCACGATCTCGTCGTCGAACCAGCCCGCCTTCTGCGCGACCTCGGCCCGTCGGAAGCTCTCGCAAGCATACTCGTCCTGCGTGCGTCTTGAGATATTGAAATCGTTGCCGACGTTCTCGCTCGTCTGGATCATGGGTTGCTGACAGTCTGCCGCCTCTTGGTTTGCCACGATCTCAGGGCTGAAAGGCATCTCGCGACCACCGTTGTTGGTCATCGATTCGCCACCCAGCGCGAGCCCGATCTCGATGCTGCCGGTGGAGATCTGGTTCGCGATGTCTTGTACGGCTTTTAAGCCCGAGGAGCAGAATCTGTTCACGGAGCTTGCACCTGACGTGTGGGGGAAGCCGGCTGCAAGTGACGCGGCTCGGACTTTATATGCTGCTCGGGCATCCCCGACCTTTGGATCATCCGTCAGCCATGTACAAGGGAGGTGGTGACAGACGTACATTTCCCAAACAGATATCCTCGACCAGCGAGGGATCGAGCTTGCTCTTCTTCACGACCTCCTTCAGGAGCGCCCAGACGATGTAGTCCAGGTCTGTGTCCTTGAAGCCGCCTTTCTTGCCCTTTGCTAGGGGTGTTCGGATGGCGAGGGTAATGACAATGTCATCGGGGTGCTTCTGTGTGCTGTTGCAGGTAGCGTGTCAGTAAATCATGTCACTGGTGGTTAGCATGTAGTGACTAGTCTAGATCTGGCTTACATGGCAGAGACGCCAGTCTTCGAGGGCGACAGGTGTGAGAAGACGGAGGCTAGTCTTTGGGTGGCCATTTTGTTCTGCGGAGCGGAGCGTAGCAGCTACTTTGTAGATACTATCACCCCTCCCGTGACGATTCAACTCAACAAGGGCAAGATAGAGCAATAAATTTCGGTGATGGAGTGGCAGTCGAAGAGAAGAGCAAAGCAATTGCGAACACCGCCGCAGCTGATGCTCTTCTACATTATTCCGTCCGCCAGATTATCGCCGCCGCCAGATTTACCTCGGCTTCTTGCCTTTGCGGGTGAAGCGGGGAGCAAAGCATCTGACGCTATTGGACGGAACGGGAGGCGAGGAGCCGGTCGATTGGCCCAGACACCGGTGGACATTTTTGTCGTTGCCGCTTTACCTTCGTGGCTTGCCATCCGGTGGAAGTGATCACAAATGTCCTTCCTCGGTGTTTCCGTGCATCAACTCCTTCACCCATGGCCGAGTACGCGGCGAATTGGTGGCAATTTTCCCGCTTGAGAATGGTATCTTGTTGATCACAATCCCGACTCTATGTGATTGCTTCGTCGAGTCCGGCTCTGATCGTAGAGATTCTGACCGGGTCCAAGCAGAATCACGTTTACCAAGCCGGAATAGAGCGTCTTCGGTGGATTATTCTATCTATCGTTGCTCCGCCTCGCCCGTCTTCGAACGCCCGAAAAGAGACATTGTTTTCCATTCGCTATGCATGACACATTCCACGTCCATCTGTCGTTAACCCATCCGTCACGAGCGGTCATGGTTCCATAGGCGTTCCGCACGCGCCTTCCATCTATGCATTCTCGAGCCGTCTTGCCTGCAGAGCAAAGTAAGTCATCGAGGGTTCGAAGTCCGCATTGTTTGCAATGCAGCATAGACGTGAGATTGGCGCCGTGACTGACGCCATCCCGGTACTGGCGTGAAAGGTTCAAACCTACTTCTCCTCCACACTGTCTGGCTTGACTGACTCTTCCGGAGCGTCCTTCATCTCAGTGTCCTTGGGCTCATCTGCCTGAGGCTCTGCTGTCTTCTTAGCTTCATCCTCTGCCTTCTTCTTGGCTTCGGCTTCGGCTCGTTTCTTGGCCGCTTCCTCTTCCTGGACTTTGAGGACGGCTTGCCGTTCTGCTTCGACTTTGTCTTGGTATCTCTGAGCGACGGGACCGGAAAGGAACTTGATTTCGTCCAGTTTGGCCTGGTATTGCGCTTTGGTGGCATCTTCTCCTTCGTCGTACAACCAATCCTACCATGTGTTAGTAGAACGCTCAAAATAGCAGACTGCACATTACTTACCTCGGTCTTCTCCAGCTTTTCTCTGATCTTACTCTTCTCCTCGTCGCTCGCAAAGTCGGCGTAGAGATCGTCGATCTTGCCTCGGATTTCGTAGATGTAAGCCTCCAGCTCGTTCTTCTTGTCTTCGGTGTCGGTAACGAGCTTGTCCTCCATGAACATCGCATTCTCGGCCTCGGCCGCTTGAGCCTTCGTAGCATCGTCCAAGGACGAAGTGCCGGCAACAAGCTGCAACTCTCCTTTGCGCACTTGCTTCTTGACCTTGCGCATCTTGGGCTTGGACTGCTCTGCAGAGCCATTGGCTTGGTCGGTCTCCATGGCATCGCCATCTTTCTTTGGCTCCGGCTCCGGCTCCTCGACCTCGACGTCCTCGACGTAATAGCCGCTCTCGAGGTTCAGGATCCCGTGGAGATTGAGTCGCGCCTTAAGCTTGCACACCATGAAATCATCCTTCTCGTCCGCCTTGACACCCTTGACTGAAAAGCGCCCGATCCAGGGGTTCACCTTTCCAGGGAGGAGTTCCGGCTTGGCATATCGGGCTTCGAGGTCGAACGGCTGTTTCCGGTAGAAGGTGAGAATCTTGGTTGACGGCATCACGTTGCCCTTGTTGAAGACTGTCAAGCTGGTATCCTCATCCGGAATGTCGGGTGATTGCTCCCAGGTGAATTCAATCGGGTACGTGACGATGTCATGGACGGAGAAGTCGCGGACTCGGAAAACTGGCGAGAGAACGGCACAGCTGAATGCACATCCTCGGGCAATGGCTTCATCCTGGTTGAGGGTGTATGACAAAGACTTGCCGTTGAAGAACTTGGCGATTCTGTCTTTGATGGCGGGAATGCGGGTACAACCTCCAACCATCTCAATGGCGTCAATGTCCTCGACCTTCAACTTGGCCTCAGCCAGAGCTTGTTCTAGCGGGACGGTGACGCGGTCGAGCAGCGGCTTGACCATCTCTTCAAATTCCTCTCGCTTCAGCATGGCACGCACGTCCTTGTCCTCCATCAGCGATTCGATGCTGAGAGGTGCCTGAGCATTGGCGGATAAAATCTTCTTGACTTTCTCCGCGGCAGCAGCAACTCGAGTGGTAGCCTTTGGGTTTGTGTAGATGTCGACCTTGAACTTCTCCTTGAACTCGGCTGCGAAGTGATCCACTAGAGCCTTGTCGAAGTTGCGCCCACCAAAGTGGCGGTCGAAGGTTGTAGCCTTGACAGCCAGTTCACCCTTACGGAACTCGACGATGGAGACGGTGTAGTCACTGTACCCGACATCGATGAAACATACGCGGCGAGGCTTCGCATCACCCTCGGGCAGGTCGGATTTCGTGATACCGTAGCCAAGTGCAATGGCCGTATTATCGTTGATAAGCCGGAGGAGCTTCAGGTTGGCAATCTCGGCAGCATCCAGCATGGCTCTTCTCTGCGAATCTGTGAACCACGGCGGGCAGCCAATGACTACGTCCGAGACGGGGAGTTTCAGTTCTTTGCTGGCAGTGTCTCTGATTTTGCCCAGGTACATGGCAATCAACTGGACTGCGCTGAACTTTTGCTTCTCGCCACGGTATGTGACCTCAGCTCCCACCTGGCCATTGACATCGACAAGAGGAGCGGTAATGAACTGTTGCTCAATGGCGACTTCGGGGTCATTGATGGTTCGTCCGGCGAGGCGCTTCAGCGACGAGATTGTGTTCTTGAGGTTCGAGATCTCCTGCGTCTTCGCGGCTTCGCCAAGGTAACGGCTCTTGGGGCCGAATCCCACCACGGACCTGTGAAGTGTGAGTGACGGTAAGATGAGTCTGCGTGGGAAGTACTTACGGTGTAGATCGGTTTGACGTCTCATTTGTGATCTGGACACAGTCAGTATGATAATGTCACTCCCACAGAAGGATGCATACTTACTATGTCAATACCCTTGTTGCGCGCGACACCAATCTTGGTGCTCTGCGCACCGAAATCTATCCCGACGACGCTCATGGTCAATCAAGTAGAAGAATCTCTAACGGGGATCTCGCGATGGTGAGGTTGTCTAGCAAGAGATGTACGGTGGTGACACAAATTTGCTGTGAGTAGCAGAGTGATTCGAACAAGATCAGTCTAGAGGCGTGAACAGTTCAGCACATGCAGGCATGAGTGACAATGCAACAACGAAGATCAAGTCGCGGGTCAGTTTCCTAGCCAGTCCAAAAATTTCAGCGGCGGCGGCGACCAGCACTTGGTGGCACTTTCGCGCAGGTTCGATCAACGCCAAGCGGCACGTCACTGGGCAGCCCGACCACCACGACACTTTGTCCTCTCCATCAATCACCCATCAACACGACAGCTGGGCAGCAACGGCTGCCTGTGCTCAGCCTTCCAATCTGTGAACAGCATACACAGTACATAGTACACGGAACCCTAGAACAACGGGCCTTTGAACATTGATGGACACAGGATGCCTTTCTATCTCGATATCTGTCCAAGGTGTCCCCGGATTTTCTTTGGGTGCTACAGTAATAATGATACTACCAGTTTTCTCGACGCCTGTCTCCTCTGATCTCGCCCTGGCCCTACACCATTTTGCCAGGACTCGGGCTTCTTTTTCGTAGTCTCTTCCGCTGCAATGTCTTGCTACTCCTTCTGTTGGTGCCGTCTTCGCTTCCGCTGAGGCTTCCCCGCCTCTCTTGATCCTGCACCATAGTGACATCTTCCGCCGATATGGCTGTTAATGGGCTGTTCCGACCCAGAGGGGACCGAGTGTCAATGTGGTGACTGTCCGTTGTCCACCGTCGTGTATGAACAGGGACTGTCAGCGAATCTCTAACCCCAAGAACCTCGCTTCCACCATCTTTTTGACCCGGCAAGGCCGGAGCTGCACTTCGTGTGGACAAATGACCGTCTCGTACCAGGGGTTGCGAGAAATGGACCGTGCTCTGCGGCCTACGTCCCGTGTCACGACCACCATGACCGCTAGGACCCTCTTCGTCCTCACTGAAACTGTTGATAAATTTGGGTGTGTGGACGGATACGCTATCCGAGTCACTCATGTCAAGGGATTCGTGCTCAAAGCGGTGTGGGTGAGAGCCGAAGGCGCCGTTAGATGGAGTCGGCGACGCCATATCCTTTTCCAGCACTCCGGGAGCAGTGGACTCGTACTCTGCCGAAAAGAAGCGGCCCTCGACACTCGACGACGGCTGAAGGTGCGATGGCCGGGTACGGCGTTTTCGGAATTCCACTGCGGGCTTGAATGTCTCGGGCACCACGTTCAACTCGTCTCCAGTCGCTAATGCATGTTCGATGGCTTGTTGTGGCGTCACCTTCCTATCCGCTGCGCCAGCGTCTGCTCTAGGCCCACCCCAGGTTCTTTGTCCAGCAGTGAAGATACCATACACCATAAAGATCCAGTTCAACAGTGGATTCAGCAACCACATCAAAGGGTAGAGAAGCGACTTCCAGCGGTGCAGCTTACAGGCAAAGTAGAACATGAGGAGCCAATTCAAGCCGCAGGATATTAGCATGAACTCCCAAGGCAACGAGTCAATCCGAGTCGAGGTGCTTGACACGGCGATGAGTGTAATCAAGAGAAGTAACGCCGTCGTCCTGATGGTGAGTGTGGCGAAGCGGAGCAACAGAAGCAGGGGATACTTGCACCACAACCGGCCGTCCGTCAGCATGCAGACTTCATTCGTGATGAACCCTAGAAACCAACGACGCCTCTGCTTGAGCAGCGACCGAAACGTTTGAACCGCCTCGGTCTTACAAAAGGCACTGGTGCTCAGCTGGATCTGGTACCGCTGTTTGGCACCGAGCATGAACAAATGCGTCAGCCACCGGTCTTCACCGAGATGGGTCTTGGCGTAGTCGAACAAATCCTCGCATTCTTCCGCCTTGTCCGAGAAGTAGAACCTTGCCATGTTGCGGAATGCCGAAAACCGAAGCACCGTCAAGGCCCCAGGCAAACAAGTGACGGCACCGCAACCAGACTCAACGGACCGTTCGAAAAGCTGTCCGTGGAGGTACTCCATGTCTTGCAACAGTGTGATCAGCGAGTGCTTTTCCGTGCGACATGTAATGATGCCTGTCATGGCCAGCATGTTGTGTTTACTGCCTGGCCGAAGCTCCATATCGTACATGAAGTTTTGGATGCACACAGGATCCAGGATGCAGTCCGAGTCCATGAACAAAATGAACAGGTCGTCTTTCTGTTGCAGATAACGCTTATAGATCTTGTCGATTAGGAGAAAGGTGGCTTTCTGGCAGTGTCGCTTGCCGCCATGAGGAAATCTGGAGACCGTGACTCTTGCACCGTTGTAGCCTACGTCGATCGACTTTGGGAAGCTCTTCAACGTAATGGGGACACCGAGTCTCTCGATGGTCTTCAGGTACAGCTCATCGATGTTGTCTCCGTCAAAGGACACAAACGCGTGAATGCAAGCAGCTGGGTAGTCACAAGTGACCACCGAGTTGAGTGCTGTCCACAATGTTTCCGGTGGCTCCTTGTATACTGGCATGACCACAACTATCTTCGGAGCGGTGCGTTCATTTAGAACATACTTGATCCGCTTTGTGCGTCCCAATGGTACAACGACCATGCGGTAAACGCAGAGTAGCCAAGGGACAACAAGCATGGCCGCAAAGGAGTAGAATGCGAACTGTTGGAGAATATCAACAAACACCTTTGGGAGGTATTGAGTGAGCCGTCTTGGTAAAGGCAATGTTGTGATCATGACCGGCAAGAATATGCCCCTGAAGGTCGCTCGTCAGAGGGAGATCCTAGGAACGCTCCAGAAATCTTGCCTGAGGATGATGAACAACACGGAGAACCAGACCGCCAGCATCTTCTGCGTCCAGTGATCCGACTTCTTGAACGCCTTGCCGAAACAATACAGGAAAGCCGCCACCCACAAGAATGACTCGAGGAAGGCGGCGACAACCACAGGTCCAACTAGGGCGGCTGAGATTATCTTGTCGCATTAGCATGTGCTTCGGATCGCAGGGCAGCAGGTACTCACATCAGGAGTAGACCAGGGTCCTGTCTGGTATGTTTTTCTGGCCTCCGCCATGATGTTCGGCAAGAAGTATGTTGCTTGCGGAAGCGTGCCTCATAATCATCCGCGGTGCGAAAGAAGCGAGTGACCGAAGTGCACGCACATGCAAGGCAGTGTCAAGCGTCAAACAATCTGGGAGGCTTGAAGAAAGGGTTTGTCTGTCTCGTGGAGGAGGGAGAATGCGGTGATGTAGTTGGAATCAGTGAATGATAATGGTGTGGTGGCACCCAAAACTGTGCAGTGAAGACTGTCACCAGGTAGCAACAGAGCAGTCGACTCGAGAGCGCGGTGTCTGCACAGCAGGCAAGGCCAGCCGTGGTAATGCAGTTGCATCCCAGCTTGCTCCCATGACTCAAAGCCGCCAGATCGGAAAATGTCCATGTTGTCGCTGAGGCAGGTGGGCAGGTGCAACAGAGGCTGTCTGGACCTGAATGAAATGGCAGATGCATGAATGGCAGCCTGCAGGTCCCCGCGCACAGATCGAGACCAGAAGGACATTTCAAGTGCCGGGCCAAATCGCATTGACGTGAAATTCAAACATAGAACTCATTCGAGACTGTGATGAAAGGAGAAGTCAACTCGCCATTACCGGCCATACGCTTGTCATGGCCAGGCACTATATCCCAAACTTGAACGTAGCGACATACGGCTGTATTTACATGCTCACAAAGACATACCTGCTATCATTGCTCCGTAGACACATATCTACAAGTGAAAATCGCTACTGACCGTGCTGTCAACGTCGGTCCATGCACTGGCAGGAGTCCGAATACCGTCACCAATTTCGCTGAGAACGTCGTCCGAACTTTCTTCCGCTTCACTCGCGTGAATGTTGCTAACGCTTCCAGCAATGCTGGGTGTCAACGAGGCCGATACTAGGTTGCCAACGTGTCCATTAGCATTGCTCCCTTGGGGCAGAAGAGCATGTGAGCTCTGCATTGAAAGCGGGGGCTGCGACTCGCGGTCCGAAAGCGTATGCGTCGAGTTCGAGGCTGCGGCAGAAAAGTACTCTGACCGGTTCATGGGCTGGTGTAGATACTCTGCCGAAGGGATGGAGAAGTCTGGGTCAGGAACGCCTTCTGTGGTAGGTGTGAGTTCGATCAAGCTCTCGGAGGCATGGCTGGGGGGTATCGCGATTCTCCTCTCCGATAAGGGAAGATTCCATGCATCGCGCATTTCCTGCTCATATCTTGACTCGAAGGCGTTTTCTGGACGGGGGGATAGCTGCCTTAATGGCAGATGCGGACTGGGCGACTCATCCGCTGGATCCGATGTCCCAGGTCTCTGCCTTAAAGTGGTTGATGCTGGCTGAGCATCGATTCCGGACGACTGGCCTTCAGCCTGCAATCCGTTGTCTTGCAGCAGTATCCCGTTCTCGTCCACCATGTTATCAAAAGTCGGCGAGTGTGGCTGGTTGTACTCCTGCTCGGAGAGCCTTCTCCTCTTCCTTTTCTCCTCCAGTATCCTTCCTCTCTCCATGATCTCGGCGATGGCTTGCCGCCTCCGTTCCTCCGCCTGCTCGCCCTGGTCCTCGCACATGGAGATGTCAGTGGAAGTGCGCCGGAGTGGCGGACGATTTCTGGGTCCAATTTCGTCGCCAAGGGAGTGCAAGCCCATGGCTATCTTGTGTCTCGTCCGGTCTATCCATGCTCGCACCTGAGGATTCTCGTATGCGGCTAGGCTCGCCGCCACCAGGACGGAAACCGTGATTATGATCCCTACCGGAGGAGGCATTGTATGTCAGTACCAAAGTTGTCAATGCTCAAGTGAACTTGCGCTCCTACACGGCGCCCGTGGTATAGCACCACAAGGAATGATGATGTAAGGGGAGGGAGTGGTGGCGTTCTGGGTGCGGTGTGAGGAGGCACGTAGCATTGCACTTACCTCTGGCGAGTGGAGCTGGCATCTCGGAAAGAGCACTGATGCGATGGCACCTCTTCTGCTGAAATCAGACTCGAGTAAAGAGGTCTCCCAGAGTGCCGACGAGAGATGCCTGTGGTTAAGAAGAGTCGAACTCTCTTCCAAGGCGTCAACCTGGTGTTCCAGGGCAGAAGGATCATTGACTCCGAGGCAGCCCATTACCCTCCTCGCCCTGCTGCGCCACACGCGAAGTGGCGGTTTCTTCCCCGCACCGGGCTCAAGGCTGCGGCTTAACCTCGGAAGATCCTGCCTGCGCGTCCACTTTCCCTCACACGCGTCGCAACTGAAGTCTGAAAAAGGTCTCCCTGCGTATCAAGAGTAGCAGCCCGCAATGTCACGGACCAGCTCGACTGCTCAGCCCAGAGCGTTGACATTGCCCGAAGAGTTGGAGAAGCTGGAACAGTCGATAACACTGACCCTGCAAGGTGAGGGCACCTACCCACAAGGATGTGCTCGACTGACTCTTGCAGAAATCGACCACAACTTCAGTCGAGCACATCGAATAGTCACATCTAGCATCTTACCCGTTGTCGAGCAATATGCCGCCCACTCCAAGGATGTGTGGGAGGCGTCGAGAGTATGGAAACCACCGCACAACTAGACCGGATATTACTAACACCCGACGCAGTTCTGGAAGCAATTCTTCGAATCCAGCGCCAATGTGTCCTTATCCGGCTACGAGGAACAGGCGTCGCGCATCGACACCACAGATGACGCCGATATTACGGCCACAGAAGACTCTAATACAACAACACATACAACATTAGAGACCTCGGAATCATATGAAACTCCTTCGGCTCAGCACATCTCAACCGACTCCATACAGGACCTTGACCTTTCCAACATGACCATATCTCCCTCGAAGAGCAGTACGCCACGACCTTACAGAACGCAAAAGACACAGCAGCAGCAAGCGGGCTTCGCACATTATCCGTCCCCATACGAGGCATTGCGGGAGGAAGTGAACAATACCATGGCGGATAGTACATTGCGCGCGCGAGCGACCGAACCCGAGACACCGGGCGGGCAGCCTGTGTTCCATGTTGATACCATGGCAGCAACACCGCAGTCTTCCCCCTTTCTACCTCCCCGACCTACCTCAATTCCGAGACCATCCACCACCCGCAAAAAGACCGATCCTCTGCTTCACCGCGTTCTCGACCGGAACTACCGTGTTCAGGCCACGCCCCTGACAAGCCAGCGCTATTCAAATCTACAGCTCGGAACGGTGACGACGCCATCGCGTTCCAACCGCGCCGGCAAGGCAGACTTAGACGACTCAACTCTAGATTCCAGCCCTGTGGTGGCCCCACCGGAGCTAAATCAGGAAATTTTCTCTTCTCCGGAACGCAAACGACCCATCCCTGGCGTCAGCGTCTTGACTCCGGCTCGAGCGCATTCAAAGGCGCAACCGTCGGGAGAAGCCACCCGCACCCAGGGCCTGTGGGATAGTGATGATGATGATCTTGACGACGACATACCTTTTGGTCAGAGTCCGCCTAAGACCATGCAGTTCCACATTCCTCAGAATCGGCTGCTGAAAACTCCTGCAAAGGAAGCATCTAAACGCATCGTGGAAGACATTCTTACCAACGCAGGCATCGACTATGGCGAAGAAGAATTGGACTTCAGTCAAACACTAGAACCCGATGGTTCTGAGATTGACCTTGGTGCAGACCCGACCAGTCCTAGTGTAGTTCGCAGGGCTATGAACGCTGAGGACGAGACCTTCTGAGCCGCAACATGGCTATGGTCGCCTTGTGCGCAGTTCTCCAAGAATCGGGGTAGTTTTGTTCGGCGGCTGAATGCGCGGTTGAGGAATGGCCACAGAGCACCAATGAGCTCAGACAGAGCTTGCGCCTTGACGCCGGGCCAAGCACTTTCGATGCATGTGACCTGCTGGCAACTCATGCGCCGCAAACAAAACCACCTTGCAGGCGCCGGTGCAAGTGGTCGAATAACGGCTGCGCCTCGACGCCGCCTCTATGAACAGCCACCCAATCGCTCAGCGCCACGCCGACCCCACACACCCTATCAAGGATGGTTGCAAGGCTGTTGACCTTGTGTAACCCTTCTCATCTGATTGCCCTGGATATATTATGGATCGTGGATTCAGCCGCAGTGATGGATCTGCTGTTCATCCAAACCTCGACTGCTCTGGGTTAGCAACATCGCCCGGCCTCGTCTTTGCCCTATTGTGGTATGATAGATTTTGTCTTTCCACTTCTAGAATATAACGGCTCAGTGGTCAAATCCTTCGAACGTTACTTGATGAACTAAGGAAGTCGAACACTCGTACGATGCATCCAGCAGGACCGGTTTGGCCACAGATCGAAGAACCGCCGGCATATTCCTTGGCCTTGCCGGTCAGCAAAGACAAACGGGCCTCAAAAAGCCGGTCATTATCGCGAGTTGCTGCCAGACAACACAGCGCTACAGAATGGAAGACAATGCAGGGGGTCATCACACACCTCTACTGTAAACAGAAACTGAGTGTTGCGGAGCTCATTCGCCACTTGCACTCAAGGGGATTTGAAGTCAAGTACGTGAAACCTTCTTGTTAGTCTCTGCCTTTGGATTGAGACCTCGTAACCAAAAGTACGCTGCGGGTCAGCACTGGTGTGGAGCCGCACTCTGATGAGAATCATTTCCTCTCTTCGATACATTTATATGGCACTGTCTTCTCCTCCAGCTCGAGCATTCTTTCATCGAGCAGGCTCCCTTCCCAACACCTTCTGGAGCTCTGTTTCTTACGTGCTGTTGCTATAGTGAACGCATGCTACACACACGTATCAAAAAGTGGAAAATCGGCCGCAATCATAAGTCCAATGAAATGAGGACTGCTGCCCAACTTCTGGCAGACCATCAAGATCGCCAAGGACCGGCGGTTGGTCAATCGGGCCATACTGCGGTTGACAGCACCGGCAGCAAAACCGTCATGCCCAGCTTCAAGATCCGAGGGGATCCTGTTAGCTACAAGGAGTTCTTGCGATACTTCCGGCGGAGGAAGATCAATGACCCTATCACCTGGGTCAGTGAACACAAGGACGACAAGTTCGTCCTGAGCGATGATGTGGAGCTCGTCACTGCGTCCAATCTCTCTTCAAAGGACTCAAGCTCATGCGACGAGGACCCGGTCGATGTATTTGGACCCCATCACGTGGCTCCATTTCCTTACCAGTACCATGAGCAGCCACCGGATACAGACCTTGCCAACCTCGGCGACATGTATCAGTGGAGTTCGGATGGCTGTTGGAACAGCGATGAGAACGTCGAACAACCACCACACGGGTTCTACTCAGAAGGACCTGTGTCTTTCACCACATCAGCCTTGGTACACAACGACAACCTCTCCCCAACCTCGGTGCCAATCTTCATCAGGTCCAGTGCTTCTGCCCTGTCCGAGCACCTGGATTACAGCATAATGGGTTACATGAGCTCGTACCTCATCGCATCGCAACTCGAAACCCAGCTGGAACCGCCCATCCACGCCCACACTACCCATGCAATCTTTGCATCCAAGATGCAGGACGGCATCTCAGCCTTGGCCAACCTTGCGTTGACTGCACCATCCGCCAAGGCTGTATCAAAAAACAAGAAGCGAGATCCGGAAGCTACCAAAGCCCTGACGAGCTTTCGAAACGGCTTCCAGCTGCTTGAAGAGATCTTGATCAACCACAGTCCCATGTCTCTAGCCTTGGTGTTCGGTGTAATCTGCGAGTTAGCAAGCCACACGGCCAACCCCAGACTGCAGGCTATGGGTGTCCACGTCCTTCTAGGCCAGCTGCTTTCTCATATCCACGAAAGGTCGGGGGCTCTGATTGAGCCAGAACACCCGTTGACAACATTCTTCGGACTTCTGTTGCAAGAGTATCAACGGCCCAGTGTAAGCACTACACCGCGATCACCACCCCTCGCTGATTCTATTCTTAAAAGCTTGGAAATGGCCATCACCCAGCTACAGCTGTCTTCCAGCCATCTCCCTGGTGCAGCTGCAGAGGAAGCACCATCATCGGACTGGAGGGCCCTTTACCTCCGCGAACGCCTCTGCGACGCCCTTTACCACTCTGGCTCGAGCTTTCAAATCCCGCGCGCGAGCATGCGCAGGTCACTGCTCCACGATCAGGAATTCAAGTACGGCTCGACCGCCAGGAACGTTCTCTGGACGTTGACGAATGTCGCAGACGATTGCCTCGCGAGCGGTGACGTAGATGGGGCGATCGAACATTTCGAAGAGACTCTAAGGCGTGCAAAGACGTTGAGCGACGTCTACGGACGCGAAAAGACGAGCTTTGCGGCACTAGAGGGCCTGGGCAGATGCTACGTTGCAAAAGCCGACAAAGTACCATTCGAGGAGCGAGTCACGCGGTGGCACCATCAAGACCAAGCAAATGTGTCGCAGGACGCGCTACAGTCAGCCTCTGGACAACCGCCCGCGTGCTGCTCATGCCATTGTCACGGTGTCTTGTCATCAGCGACATCGGCGTCGAGATCCGTGTCCTCGGGAACCACTACGGACTCGACAGGAACGTCAACGCCAACAACCTTGCCGCGATCAGCACCAGCCGAGAGCCCCAGGACGCAACATCTCAAGTCCGCGCTCCATTACTTCTCGTCCGCCGAGTCCAGGGCAAGGATGTACTTTGAGGCCTCTAGCCGACGCATCGCCCGCGTAAGCCTGCGCCGACAAGAAGTCGTGGAAATGCTGGGCCGCGCGACGCCCCCTTCGACAGACTCGGACTCGAACTCGGGGACTGGCTCGGGAGGAGATTTGGAGGACGAGTTTCCTGATATCGCTACGAACACAAATCCGAGTCTTCCGGAACAGGATGGCGGCAGCAACAGCGGTGGCGGCGGCGGCGGCGGGCAGTTCCCCTATGGGTTCATGCTCAACATGGGATATCACTTCGGCAGCATTGGCGGCACAGGCTGCACTCCAACCCCGGACATGGCGAGCTGAAGGTGGGAACGACGCGGAAATAGGAATAGCAATCTTCACACGAAAAGGCGGATCGGGCAGGCAACCGGGTCGGACTTGGGTGATGGCTGATTATGCGTTCAGTCGGTGTGTGTCTGCACTGTACTGTACTGTACTGTACTGTACTCCGTAATCTGTCGTTCCCTGAATATCGAGGTACAGGTCATAATCACCAGTCACGATCGCGATCACAGTCGTACCTTGCGCACTCACAAGTCGCAGTACTGGACACAAGGTACTTGCTGCTCTACCGTACCGTACCGTACCGTACCGTACCGTACCGTACCGTGCGTGTGCCTACATCGGTACCTACCTGGCGAACAAGTCTTGACTTTCCTGTGCCTTCGTTTCCACGATCCGATCCCATTCATTCTCCATCTCCAGCAACCCTTGACAGCGTGCGTCCTCGCGCTGCACAGCGCGGTTTCAATGGACTGACTGGACCGGTACTTCTGTTCGAGAAATACTCCGGACAAGCGGGATGTCAAAGTAGGAGCAGAACTGAAGCAATGGCAGAGAGAAACTCGCTCGAAAGACTGGTTCATCACCATCATCTTCATTTCGTGATTCCGGACGGACCTCAGATCTATGCTATTACAATCGATATTGCCCTTGCGTGATAGTGAAATTTTCCACTGCCCCTTTTGCGACGAAACCACGGGGAACCTCATACCATGCAACCCTTTGAATTCTAAGCAGTGACCATTTCCGGAGTTTCCGGTCCTCTAAATTCTATCGTCTCATTGGCCCTGTGAACTGAAATGCATCAAGCAGAAGGTTTCGCTCATTTCATAAACGCCCCAGCTCGCTGTTAGCCGGCCGACTGTCGCCATTCCCTGCGGTCGATAGTAAAACATATCACTGAAAAGGAGAGAAATTTTGAGTGCGTAATATAGAGTGAAGAGCCGAAGTCGGGTGACATGCATGGCTGATACCAGCCATTTACATGATGATCGACGGCACTAAAGCTTCGTTAAAAGACTGTTAGGCATAGAGATGCACGGTTAGACTCACCTTCAACGTTGGCCTTGATGCTCTTGTGAGGCAGCACGCTTCCACCGTTGACGTAGATTTCGTCACCTATTGAAACATCGTCACCAAGGACTGTGACGTTTTCCAGACGAGCCCAGCGGCCGACAGATGATCTCCAGCCTAAACACCCGTTAGCCCTTAGATCTGACAGCTTGACATTCTCTTCACTCACCGACAATGGTTGACTTGACCCAAGCATGGTCTTTGACCTTGCTGTCCTCCAACAGCACACATCTTTGTAACCGGACACCATCACCAATCACGCAGCCAGGTCCAATGACCACATTAGGGCCAATGCGGCAGTTCTTGCCGATCTTGGCTGTCGGATCGACCATGACATTGCCACCATAGACGTATGACTCAGATGCGGAAGCAAGCTTCTTCGGTTGGTTCTTGGCCAGCGAAGCCAGGTACAAGCAGGTGCCGCTCAAGAAGTCCTTGGGCTGCCCGACATCCATCCAGAAGCCCTCCAGATCGAATGAGTGCAGTTCGCCGTCTTTTGTCATGGCAGGGAAAGTCTCTTGTTCGATCGAAGTGGGTCGGAGTTCGATTCTCTTGAGGATGGAGGGCTTGAAGATGTAGATACCGGCGTTGATGCGGTTGCCCACGAACTCGACGGGTTTCTCGACGAAGCGGTCGATGCGAGAGGGGTGGTTGGGTGTGTGGACAATGACACCATATTTACTGGGCTCCTCGACTTTTGTGACGACGATTGTGCCCTCGTTTCCGTGCTTTTCGTGGAAAGCAGCCAGCTCCTTGAAGGGGTAGTTGCAGATAACGTCTGAATTCAGCACAAAGAAATTGGACTCGTCCTTGCCCAAGATCTTTTCCGCCAGCTTCAAGGGACCAGCGGTGCCCAGAGGCTCGGCCTCGACAGAGAAGGAGATCTTGACGTCGTACATGTCCTCGTACTTTTTCAGGGCACTGATCATGACATCGGGTCTGTAGTTTACGGCCAGGACAATGTCTGTAACACCGGCAGCAGCCAGAGCCTCAACTTGATGTTCGATCATGGGTCGGTTGGCAAACTCGACCAGAGGCTTGGGGAGGGTGAGGGTGAGAGGTCGCAGTCTGGTGCCGAAGCCACCGACGCTGTGAAAGGAGGGTTAGTGGAAGTGAGGTGCAACGGACAGGCGGCTTGTGCATACAGAATGAGGGCTGTAGACGACAAGTTAGCTTTGCCCACGACATGTCATTGTGCCATGTGGCCGGACTGTTTGACTTACCCTTCATCTTGAATGAGAGTGGGAAGTGAGGATATGGTCGGCAAGGAGTGAAAGGAGACAAGGGTGTAGAACGAATGAAATGTAGCTCAAGGACTACTGTGTGTCGACGATGAGGCTCGGCGAGATCAAGTTCAACTGGTTCAAAGAGCTCAAAGGGAGGTTCGAGCAGGGCAAGGTGGTGTTATATGAGGCTCGAGTGAAAGTTGCGCAGCGTGTCACCCACTTCTGAATCGGCAGCAGCCACTGTGTTCGCTACGGCTAAACAAGGGTCGCAAGGGGGTCCAGCTGAGCCCGGAACTGCCACTATATTTTTCTTTCTGGAAGTCGCGCCGCGCGTGGTGAAGCCGAGCTTAATTTTATCGATAACGCAAGGTGAATTTCGCGGGACCCTCATCTAAGCCTCCTAAGTACGGAGGAGACCCTTTGGCTTCTTTCCCCTGAAGCCACCGTTACCAAAGCTGCTTCGCCATGGTGCAATTTCGCGCAAAGGGATGATTGCCCCTTTCTAACGCTCATGGGCCCCCATACCATAGGAGTCTCCGGAGGAAGTATTGAGCTCACGCCGACTAACGTGTCTTTATCATTGGGCGCGCACGCCTGCTGCCCTTCCGCATCTCGTCCTCCGCCCGTGATTAGATGCTAATGAGGCGTTCTTCTGGACTGCGTTCGAGACGCCACGGGAACAGCAAGAGCTTTTGCTACCGTTGGACTGTCCTTCCTGTGTCTACCGTACTGAACTCCGTACTGGACACGCAACTTCACCTAACATCAGCATGTACTTAGCGCGACAGTCAAAGTCCTCACCTGGTCAGTGTAGCTGATCGCTCAGTGAACAAAACAAACAACCCAGGGCATGGTCACAAGGCAATACCCCTCACCATCCTTTTGCGAGCCGATGACACAGCCACAACTCTGCGTAACGCATACTTTATTCCCCTCTCCTGACACGCAGAATTTTCCCGATGCGAACTCGGGTGCCAAAATTAGCCGCATGCTTCGAGAATCATGTCACCGTGTCTTCAACTCTTGTCTGCTATTGTCAATGTTCCAGCCGCCTTCGACCATGGTTACACAGTACTTGAAGTTCACGGTGTCAAATGAGGGCCACTCACGTGCTCAGCAATGCTCTCTGTCCTACCTACCTAGGGAGTCGGTTGTATAATCACGCAGCATCCTCAATAGGCAGGTACATGAATTACTAGTATCCAAGGCTGTCGTGGCTCGTGACTATACTACAATACAAGGTGCTGGTGCTGGTGCGCTGTGTTCCTCCCTTCCCTCTGCGCCCGTTCATTGTGGTGTTATTACATCCTCCAAGCTCAATATGCAGCCCGAGATCTTCTAGATCTGTCCGGCTTTTCGAAACCTCGGCCAGGTCTGGTCCATCGCTGGCTTTTCCCAAACAATTCTTCAGCCCGTCTACTGGGTGTCTTCAGGCAAAAATCCATATCCCGCATACCCTCCCTTGTTTCTTTTTCCTTTCCTCCCTGCCATCACAGGCGATAAGCCGTCCCTCTCTCCTACAAACTCGTTCAACCAGTCCCTCACCTTCTTCACCTTGACGACCTGGGGATCTTTCCCCACACTCGCAGTCCGTAGGTTGCTCACGCTGTAGATCCCGCTCAGATCGTCGTCGTCGACTTTCTTGCGGAACAGCAGATCGATCTTCGTAACATCGCCCTTCAACGACTGTCCGTGGACTTTACCCCGGAAGGAAGACAGAGCGACGTTCTGGAGCAACACCACGTCGCGCGGGCGCATAAACTTGAGATTGCGACGGAGCACAGAGCGGATGCCCTCGGGGTTGGGGTTGCCGCCGTCTTTCCAGTTCACCCGCATTTCTCGCGGCAGCCACATTGACACGGTGAAGTTGGATTTTGTGTCGTCGCCGACGATCATTTCCACCAGGTCGACTTCGCGGGGTTTGCCGTACTTGGCGCCCGTGATGACGGTCCGGGGTGGTGCGATTGAGATGATCCCGACAATGAGATTCACGGTCATGGTCTGCGGCGAGATGCTTTCGAGATAATGCGCGTTAGGGATGTCCCGTAGTTCCGAGAGCGACTTTGGTCGTGGTGCCTGGCTTAATCTCCGTTGTGAGGGTGTCCGGATGATTCCACCGGGCGTGCCGGGCGCTGTTCCCTGTGAAGCCGAGAACATGTCCTCACTGGACTCGAAGATCGGTGTACCAGGCGTTATCGAGTCGGAGAAGTAGGAGAGCTGGGAGGATGGGATGGCTTCGTAGATGGAGAACGAATGGTCGTAGTATTCGGATATGGGTCCTCCCTCCGAAGTATTGAAGGCGCTCGTACCGGATGAGGTTGTGTCGGGGATGGAGGATGAACCCTCCGATAGTGAGGGCCTCGATTGAGGCTCGCTGATGTCGCTACCAGGGGTCGAAGCACCGAGCAGTTCCGAGAGGGAGAAGAACTCCGCATCCCCTCTGTCGACATTGTCCAATTCGCCGGCTTGCTGCATTATCAGGGCGCCGGCCGCCAATGGACGCGGGTCAATGTTGAGCTTCGGCAGGATCGGTCGCATTTGGAGTCTCTGCGTCGTGATCTGGCGCCATTGAGCACCGAACGCTTTGGATGAAGGCGATTTCGGCCGTATCGAGGAGTCGATATTCATGTTCTCCTTGTTTGGAAGTGATTCGACGTGTGAAGCGTCGGGCAACAACGACTTCTCGCTCCAGTCGAGCTTCGCCGGCTCCGGGGCGCCCGCCAGGATGATCATCCGGCTTGTCATGTACTTGGTCGCGGTCGAGTGTCGTAGGAGGCTGTCGAAATATGCGCCGGCTTGCTCGAGGGCAAAGTGTATGAACCTCTGCCTCCCGCGTTCGATAAAGTTTCCCCAACAACGAACTCTGTCTGACTCAGCCTTCAATAGCGCAACGCGTCTCCAATAGGCGGGATCCGAGCCCACGGCACAGGTGAGACCACTGTGTAGACCGGATGGAGCTTCACGAACCTTCCCCCACAAAAACTCGCAAGAAAAGTCCAAACCAAAGGAGATCGGAAAATTGATGAACTGTGGAGGCGGCTGTGGCGGACAGCGGTAGGCGAAGGAATTTGTACTTTTCCCTTGGCCTGTCCTGCCCTGGAAATTTGACACCACGTCGCGTCAGACGGCTGCAGATTGCGCCGGCGCTGAAGCTAAAACCTAGGGTCAGGACTGGTCCACGATCTCGCTTCTCTCTTCGCCGCTCATGATATTACGGCCCTGTGCAATGCAAACTCCAGACTTGACTGGCTCGTGGAGCGACGGATGACGAGTGACGCCTGGGGGGAAGATGACGGGACGCCGGCTCAAGGTAGTTGATCAGAGTGTCTATCAACTGTGGCGCGTGACTTGGGACAAACAACAGCAGCCAACGAACTTCCGGAGGAACAAATCAGCGAGCGTGCGGGAGAAGGAGTCGGTGACGAAGCTGGAGGTACTTGAGGCTATGTACTGCATTTGCTCAATCATTGAGACCCTTTGCGTCGTGCCTTGTGCGCAGTGATTGGCCCGAGTGCAAAAATGCATCAAGTTTGGTTGGGACGGTAAGTGAGATCTCCCAACAAACCTGACGCAGCTTTGCATGGGGACGGAGAAGCCACTTCCCCAGGAAATACCAGATGACCGGCCGCTCGGTGGCACAGCTGGGCGGTTGAGGGGCCTGAAGAGCCGCTACCCGCACGCTTGGGGCAGCCTAGACGCACTCTGGGAAGGGGCCCGCCGCGCCGCTGAGCCAGTTAGAGGTAGTCTTGTCCCTTAGCTAACTACTTCGGCCTCCTCCATACGAGATACGCCGCGATTGTACGGAGTAACTGCGGATACGGTCCAGGCAACAGTGAAAGGACACCTACTGGGGCAGTCGACTGACCTCTTGAGGTACATTGTTTTATTGCTCTGCCTATTTCTACAAAACCCAGCGATCACTGCTTTCGTAAAACTCCAGGCCAGAGCCAAACCGTCTGCCGAGATCCCTCTTGGAGATCGGCACCCCGTTTGTGATGTTGCCAGGTGCAGCAGCAGGATACTTTCCGTTGCAGCTGTAATCGTACTCTGCCTGGTCGAGCAGGCCACTCCAGATCTCAAGGACTGTGGAAAGCTCGCACCAGCCATCGTCTCGTTCTTCGCATTGTGGATAGGATTTATAGAGTGGGACAGTACGTTGAGAGATGGAGAGGTGGATATAGGTTGTTGCGGTGCCGTTGGCGTAAAAGTCCGAAGCGGTTGCGTTGGGGCTGGTTGGGCGGATCGCCTTGAGCGGTTGAGGAGTGTGGATTATCTCCCAGACCTGGAATGCCAATTAGTATACGTGTTCCTGGCCTGTAATGGGGCACTTGCCATTCGAGCACCAAAGGGTGTGGTGTGCGACACAATCAATTGCCGGTTCGCAGGCGGACCGGTCGGGCCCAGTGGCTGACCAAACTGCTTCAGCCCGAATGCCGTGATGATCGAGAATATGTTCGTATCATGAGAGAAGTCGAAGTAAAGTGTCTGATTCAATGGGAAAGTCGCAGTACTTGCTACCATTGTCGTGTTGATTTGGGTCGTCCCGGGTGGCACGTCAGGCAGATGGCCTTGCAGGCGTGCGTACAACTCTTCAACATAGCCAATCCCGACAGCCCGTCCGGTCGGGGAACCGAACCCGTTGTTGCCGTTGAATTGCAGGTCGATGCTGTACTCGAAGCCTTGCCATTCTTCGTATGTGAAGAGGTCACACCATTGAGAATACCCCTACGAGCCAAGCCCATTAGTACCGGCTGACGCAGTTGGGACGAGTGACACAACTTACAAACGCGACGTGCTCGTATGGACACAGAGTTTGCGCGTTATAACTATCCGCCACTGTCCAATTGTAGCCACCAGCTAGAGCCTTAAGTCTCTTTGTGGCGTCAGCCAGGTAGATGTTTTCCCAGATGACAGATGCGTTGTTGCCACCCGTAGAGAGGTAGTTGTTGCTGTTGTTGCAGTTCATATAGCCCGCAAGTGTGATGTTGAAATTGTTCTGCTCAATGATGGGCACCAGGCTGGCATTTTGAGTCCATTCGAGGCCGAAGAAACCCGCCATGAAGTACTCAGCCGACTTCAGCATCCGGTCTTGGGTAGTCGTTCTGGCAATAATCTTGGTGGAAGTGTTGTAAAGTGCGCCTATACGCCGTTAGGACTGGTCAGGTCACTCTTGAGGCTCTCGTTACCATAGTTGTAATAGAATAAGACGCCGGAATCGAACAGCTCCTGTCGACCGCGGGCGACCAGGATCTCGGCGCCAAGGTTGTACTTCCAGTTGTTCAAGAAGCCGAGATCCCCTGTCCACTTCGCCGTTCCGTTAGCTGTGATGTTCTGAATCTTGCTTCCGAAGCTCGCAACTGACGATGTTCCAGTCGGGTAACGAGCTCCGTGCCGGTGCAAGAGATGGACGGTCGAGATGTTTGCTCCCGGAGGTAAGGGATACTCGTTCGAGCCGAACCCAATAGGGTTGGGAAAGTATGAGCTTAACTGTCCATGTAGCTGGAAGATACTCTGATTGTTGGTGTTCCCCTGGATGGGGAGATTGGTCTCTAGAGGCGCATTGGGAACAAATGATGCCTCTGCACCCCAAGGGGCAGGGTTCGTCTGAGCAAGAAAAGGCGCAATCAGTCCGGTCGTTGTAGGACCGGCGAAGAGTTCAGGAGTGGTTTGGTAGTACCATGGCTCAGTAGCAGAAGCTGTGGTCTCGCCAGAGGCAGTGGTCGCCTGTCTCGGATCTAGAACAGCCGCACTTGCTAACCCGCCGGACAGGAAGAGCAATCTGGAGCTTACCATGATGCTGAAGCAGTGGTAGCCGTCACAGTGGGGTTACAGCAAGCGTTGTAGGAACTCATCGAGGATGCAGCGCGGGGGGGCACTGCGTCCAGTATTTGTAGCTGCGCATCTTTTTCTCTCCCAGCTCACTTCCCTCTGAGCAGGCTGCCTACAATGGTAAGAGCTATGGGTCCCCATGACGATCGCCGTTGTATGTGCATGAGGGCGTTCCATCGCTTGTGCAACTCGATCCACAAGATCAGACAAATCGGAAGAGGGAAAGCTGGGTTACGGCTTGTTCGGCGGAACGTCTCAAGCTCGACTGGCCGAAGCGTTGCAGACAAAGGCACCGAGTGAACTGACAGGCAGCTCGAAGCTCAAGATCCTGGGCAGTCGTCATGGTGCAATGCAAGCTCGTCAAGCTTCCAAAAGCGTGTCGCACTCCGTAAGCTTGGTGCTGCTTGAATCCGGCAGCACGTGGGCGAAACATGCCCAGGAACAGCACTGCCGTGATCTCATGAGTCGGACAACGTGACTGAGACAGCGAGATCAATTGGTGACAGACGAAAGATCGTTGACGGCCGCGCTGACTGGCATGACAGACATGAGCTCGATGACTTTTCAATTCGGGCATCGACGCTCTTAGCGCGAGTGTGCGGCGATCCTTCACGATGCGCATCTGCGTAACTCGTGGCTGCCAAAGCTGCCCCACTCCTCCATGCCACGGTGCGTGCACAGCAAGCACATTAGTGTACGGAGTACGCGTGCTCCGTATACTACCTAGGTAACGAACATGGCCACGAGCAGGTGCCAAGCACGTTTGCAACCACTATGTACCAGGTTGGCAATTCCATTCCTCCTCATATATACTATGTAGGCGTTAAGCACATCTTCATCAATTAGCTCATTGGTGTCTTGCTCTATGCCGGTCATCTTTAATGCTTTTCTGTGCCTTCTATCAGCCGTACCCAGTCGTCGCCAGACTCCATGCTTGAATGACTGAAATCACTGGACCAGACGCTCTCTAGGCGGTGAGTGCTGACGCTCATCGGCGCATAAGCACTATGCTGGCTACATCTCGAAGTAGCTCAGTCCTCGAATTTGAAGCTTTTACCACCACTAATGTCAATCGCTCCGCCGCGATAGCTGCCACGCTTCTTCTTGTTCTTCTCCTTTGTGAACCCTTTGCCTCGGGTCACGGACAAGTCATTGTATGCTCGATCAGCGTACTCGTAGCTCTTGTAGGCGTTGGAGATATGGTCAGCTACAGTCGACTGGGCAGAGAGCTGTGCCAACCGAGTTGGTCTTGCGCCAACATGAGTCTTTCTCGTCACGATCTGTTTCCCACCCCTGCCGTGTGCTAGATGCGATTCTTCCTCTGATCGGTCAATAACATCTCCCATCACAGTGTTGGACGAGGAATCTGACGGATCTTCAGCGGCTGCCGCCGTCAATTTCCCGAGAGTCGGGGGCTGAGTGGGGCTGGCCTCCTCATCGTCACCCTGCTCCTCTTCGTCCGAGGATGTGCCTGCGTCACCCGACGTCTCCTCCTCCGAACTGGCAGAAGAGGTTCCAGAATCGCTAGTGGACCTTCCGCCGCTTTTGGCCACCTTCGTCCGTTTGGCTGAGCGGTCGACGGAGGAAGAGGACTCTGACTCTGAGGAGCTAGATGCTGCCTTTCGCTTCAGATTGCGAACAGGTTCGGTTTTCTTAATGACAGCTGGGGACCTGTTTCGCGCAGGCTTGACTTTTCGACCATCTTCGTGCTCATCATCAGCATCGCTATCGGAGGAAGAGGAGGACGATGACGAAGGCGACGCTTCTCGCTTGTTGGATTGTGCTCTCTTCAACTTTGCGGGCTTTGTCTTGATGGCTTCTTCTCTAGATTCTGAGTCCGTCTCGGACTCGGATGTACTCTCGCTGCTGGAGCCCTGATCGCTAGCATCGCTGCTAGACCCTGATTCTGAATCAGACGACGAAGCGTCGCTCTCCTCCGAGCTCTCGTCTTCAGATGTAGATCCTTGCGCTTCTTGCCTTTTCCAGCTCTCGACAATAGTCTCTAGATTGACTCCATCTTGTAGGCCATCTAGGTCGGCTGTTTGGTTCTTTCGCTTCAACTCTTTCCTCAAAGCTTTACTTGTGGACTCGAAGCCGTATTCGTCGAGGAAGGCGGACACCAACGAGAGGACCTGCGACGGCGGCTCCGTGGTAACTTGGGGGACTTCTGTCTTCGATACCATCCTGGGGAAGCACGCCCGGCGCCTCGGAGCGTGGCTGTCGGAAAGCAGACCTGGGTGAGGGAGGGCAGTCCCAAGCCTGAGCGTGCTTCCCAAGACACTTCCTGAGAAAATAAATTTTATCTCCAACGAAAGTTGCTCCCCGATGAGGAAACTCAGGCGAAGCCGAGGGGAAACCTTCGGCGCAACATTAAATTATATCTCACACTTTATACGGAGGATCAAAAATACTCCAGCTATATTCCTCTCCACGCTTACTCCGCTTACTCCGTACTCGTTTCTTTCTCTTCTCAAAATGGTTTTCTTAATTGTGTCACTCTGAGGAGCCGGCTACGCAGCAGCAGGGGCACCACGCCAGTCATTTTAGAGTCTCTGCTTTCTGCTGAATCCTATCATTCAACCGCAGAGCAGAAAAGTTATGAAAAGGCGCACAGCCTTCTACATTGCGATCCAAGGTCAGGCGTAATTAGCGAATGAGTACCCGAGGCGAAGACAGGAGCGAAGAGGCAAGACTGGCATGGCCAAGCCCGACCTAGACCTTCAAGGTATTTATCTCGTATTCTGTTTAGTCGTCATGCATCATGGAGTGGCCGTAGGGACGAATCTCTCAGTCCATCAGGCTGAAGCAGTTGGTGTTGGGAGGGTCCCCACTGGACCTTTCATCCCAGTGACACCAATGCCCAGACTTCAGCTGCACTTCACTGCCTCTCTTCGGCTCTCTTCTACCACGGCTTCGCCCATTCCCAGCCTGACCGTTGACCTCCGACGCAGAGACTTTCAAGAAAACCTCCGACAAGATATGCAGAAAGGATAACCATTATAGACACGGCTTGTTTTCGTCACCAGCTCGACAAAATCCTGCACATACAGCTCACACAGTGTCGCAGCTTTCTCCCGATTGGGTTCCACATTGACATCGGGCGTCTGAGCCTCGTGTTTCCGCAGCTGCTAGGTGTCTTGTCGGAGCTAACTTCCCGTGGCGCTGCAAGCCTCAAGCCGGAGATGTAGGCATTCTGCCTCGACACGGAGCTTGTCATTTTGTGGTTGTGCCGATCATGCCGAAGGGTCAAGTTAACTCAGCATGCGCTCTTGCACAAGTTCGAGGACATTGCGGGGTTTACTGAGTTTGCGACAGTGCAGCCCCCAGCCAGCCGGTGTCAGGTCCTTTTAAAGATGGGAGGGTCTCTCTGCTCCGATGTTTCAGCCTCATTCTGCTGCATCACCTGCTTTGCGATTAACGCTGGCCTACCTAGCCCTCTACTGAAAGCATCCTACAAGAGCCGCCAATTGGCGGGCAGGAACACTCACTATTGTCTCCTCTTCTGAAACACCAGGCAGCCAAGCAGTCAACATGACCACAGCTACTTGTGCAAATCTGCCCGGACCCCTCTATCTTCCCATAACTTACCACCAGGTTGGGGTCGGATCAGTCGCACCCGCATGGGGTGTCAGGGTCGAGTTTGGCGACCCAGGTCAGGTGGTCTCTCTGACACCTCGCATGTCGGATCTGACTCTTGTTGCAAACTCTGGTGATTGTGCTTCCTCAACTGATTACGACTGCCTAGCGTGGCTAGGAGGCACCTATGACCCAACCTTTTCAAGGACGGAGGCGACACAGACCGCGGCTGGCTGGAATGGGACATTGCAGGGCGCTGACCCGGCCGATTTTGTTCTATACAATGACGTCCTCACAATTGGCTCTAACGGAAGGACTGTGCCGGGTTTTCCATTTGCGACCGATAACGAAGCAGGATGGGGTGAGTCAAACTCCCAAACACCTTATCTATCTCTGTAAGCTTAGTCCTCCGAACAGCCTACAACATTTCAGGCAGCCTGCTGGGCCTCGGCCTGAACTCGACATTCCTGCAAGCCATGGTCGACAGTGGTGTTGCACCATCCACATCCTACGGCCTGTGGGTTGGGACACGTCTAAACGACGAGGACCCCAGGGACGGCCTTCTCATGATCGGTGGCTATGATTCCGCCCGCGCCAACGAATTCCACACCTTTGACAGCAGAGACACATGCACTACGTGCATCATTCTGCAAGATTTGACGTGGGAGTCTGACGCTGGATCATTTTCCCTGCTCGATGAGGAGGCCACAGAATTCCAAGTTATCCTTGTGCCGGCGTGGGAGTCACTTCGTTTGCCTCCGTCGGTCTTCGACGCATTCGGCAACGCCACGGGCGGCGACTACGACACAGACCTCGAACTTTGGACATATTCAGCAGCTTCCTTCCCTTCCGGTAGTCTCAACTTCACCATCAAGAATGGCTATAGTTCCTCGATTCCAGCAGAGGAACTCTTCTTCTACCCGCGTCAATACGACACTGACGGGAGCCTCATTGTCGCCAACGAGACCTACAAGATTGGATTCGTGGAGAAGTACGAGAACAACGATGACAGCGGCAAGTACCTAGCCTAGTGGGGCACTCCATTCCTGACCATGAACTATCTCATCGTCGATGTCGCGCAAAAGCAGTTCCGTCTCTCCGAAGCAAGCCGTCAAGACTGGGGGAACGAAGGCGGCGTCTTTCCAAAGACATTATGTCCGGCAACGCCGCCTGCCTCGGACAATCCGGAAAATGGCACAACGGTAAACCCAGGCCCGAGCCCAGAGCCAGAGCCCGAGCCCAAGCCCAAGCCCAAGCCCAAAGTCGGCGCCCTCGTTGGTGAAATTGTTGGCCCAGTCGTTGGTGTAGCCATCATTGCTCTGGCCATTTTCTTCTGCTGGCGCCGCCGTCGACGCAACAGGAGACGCCGTGAACAAGCTTCTGCCAGTCAACCTGACATCCCTACCGTCCAAACATACCAGCCTGTTCCCCCCATGGGCCAACATCCTTCCTCCACGACATGGATGTACACTTGTCCCCACCAACACCAACCGCCTCAGGGCAGCTACTCGTATACAGACCAACCGTTCCCTCCGGCAGGGGCCTACCCGGTCATGATGCAGCACGGATACCCTAAAGCCGACCAGACGGTCTACCAGCCCTACACGCCACCGCCACATCGGGCGCCTCAGGAGATGCCATCCCCGGAACCTACCCCTGCCGAGTGGAGAGGCAGCGAGGTCAGCGGAGATACAGGTGCCACGGTGAGTGAGCTGGCCAGTCTCGCCCAACCCCAATTGTTTTGCATGCATCGATCTATCTAGCTACCGATCTGCCTGTCTGTCTGGCTGTCGGAAACTCTGGCACTCTCGCGCGCAGTTCCCCATTGCTCCTTCCTTCTACCCGTCTCCTTTGCCCTACGCTACGCACCCAGCTGACGCACAGAACAGAGGGGTCAGCCAGCGACACACAGCTCCGTCACAACGTATATTCAGCGGCCAGAATTGAATGCTACCCAATGAGTCCGTGATGGTGCTGAATTTTGCAGAATCTGAAAAAGCCACCACAATACTGGCATATAGTGGCGTTTGGGGTCTTTACTTGGCTTTAGGGCAGTCTTGGATGCGGATCTCAAACCAGTCTGTCAGTACCGGGTTGGGAGTAGGTAGTATGTAGTTGGTGCAGAGGCTCTCTCTCACGGTATTTACTGCACATATGCAAGTGTCTGCGTTGCGTGCGTCAAATACCCGGGCGCGATAAAAGATGACGATGACGAAGAGGCTGTGCGCTGTATTCTTCCTCCAATACTATAGCACTTTTATGTTCACCTCTTTGCTCCTAGTAAAACCGACTTGAGTTTCCAACTCTCCTCAAGTCTAGACTTAAGTGAACGTGCAGCAACATGTATGAGGTATGTACCGTCGCTTGCCTTTCAACGCTAAGGTAGAATAGTGACTCGCGAAACCATCCAATCCAGACCACCCTGACAGGTTCACAGGGTAGCTAGCTACCTAGCCGGCCGGGGCATCACGCTTTATACAGCGTATCAAGGTACGCGACAACCAGCTTCTCGACGATGCTCTTATCCGGCAGGCTGCCCGCCACGCCGTACAGCTGTGCGCTATTGCCCTTCTTGCGGGTCTCAGCCTTGACGGTGGTACCGCCGACGACACCACTGCCCGTGACCTCCTGGCTCAAGATTTTTTCTTTTTCCTCCTTGACCACGGCGACGAGGTCGTCGATCAGCGTGTCCACCGCGCCGGCGCGCGTCATGGGCAGCGTCACCGCGACATGCACGCCGGGTGGATCCTGCAGGGAATTGAGATGCCAGCCCTTGCGACTCATGCCGTCGGCGACGTCGTAGATGCTGACTTCCGGGTCGAGGCTCTCGAACGCCACGACGCTGACGCTGGGCTTGCCCAGGATGCGCAGCGCGGATTTTAGGACCGGGTGTTCCTTGACCGCGTTCTCGATCGTCAGTTTTGTGCTCACGATCTTGTGCGTCGCGTCGATGTACCCCTTTTCGCCGACGGCCATCATGCTCGCCCAGCAGCCCGCGATCAGGGCGCCGGGCCGCGACCCTGCAATCGAGGGAGACCCGTACACGCCGCCGCTCCACCCGGGCGCAATGAAGTATTGGTACTCGCGGAGCTGGCGGTCGCGGTACAGGATGCACGAGTTCCCCTTTGGCGCGAAGCCGTACTTGTGCGTGTCGACGCTGATGCTCGTGACGCCCGGGAGACGGAAATCGAAGCCTCCTTCCTCGGCGAAGGGCGAGGGGAACCCGGCCTTGGCGAGACACGGCATGAGGAACGACCCGAGACAGCAGTCTACGTGCAGGGGGATCTTGTATGCAAGGGCGAGTTTGGCGAGCGAGGGGATCGGGTCGACGATGCCGTGCGGGTAGTTGGGCGCCGAGCCGACCAGGAGGATGGTATTGGGGTTGATGAGGCGGCGGACGCGCAAGACATCAACTTCGTAGGACGGCGAGGGGCACCTCACCACGTGCAGCTTGATCTTGAAGTAGGATGCGGCTTTGTGGAAGGCGGCGTGCGCGGTGTGCGGTATGATCATCTCGGGTTCGGTGATGCCCCGCTCGGCGTAGCCCTTCTGTCGTGCCGAGAGGCAGGCCATCAGAATGGACTCCGTGCCGCCCGATGTGGTGACACCGGCCCCCGTGTCCGGGGCGTTGAATAGTGCAAGGACCATGGCCACGATCTCGGCTTCCATTTTCCGCACCGCAGGGAAGACGTCCGCGTGGATGGGATTTGCCACGCTGAACAGTTTCATCGCCTCGCTTTGAATCTCCAGCAGCGCCGACTCGCCGTGATAGACCGCCCCAGAGACTTTACCCTCCTCCCACCGTGTGCGTTTCATCGCTGACAACGTCACCAGCTCGGCGGAGAGCTGCTCTTTCGTCCATGGCTCTTTAGGCAGGTGAAGGTACCTGTTCACGCCAGGGTCGGCCGGGACGAGTTTATTCTCGAGGTCGGCGCGCGCCGAGGCCAGTTGCTGCGCGACTTTGGAACGAACGCCGGGCAGGTTGAGGAACATGCGGTAAAGGTTCTTGTGCGTCGAGTGGTAAAGGAGGGCGAGAGAGCCCAGGATGCCATGGCCCCGGAGGAAGTAGAAGGAGCGGCGGAAGAGCCTGAGAAGGAAGAGCGCGAATATTATGTTGCGGAGGCTGATATGTACGTCGGTAAGTGATTCAGAGGGTATGACATCGGGAGTTGGACCTACACGTTGAAGTTCGTGTGCAAGTCCCCCAGTCGAGACAGAGGCCCAGCCCGAGCTCGCTGGAACTTGCTCTGCAAGCTGAGGGGGAGAGGAGAGGAGCCACCCATGATGATGGTCCGAGGGTTAGAGGTCACCGAAGTCGAGACATGGAGACGACGATTGATGTGTCTTGATAGAATGATGGTGGTGACTGGAGACTCGCTCGATTTTCATATGCTCCCAATGTTCGCCTTCTCCGCACGTTGACGTGGTTCGTCACATGTTCATGATGCTCGTACTCCGTATTTCGTTCCGCTGTTAGCCTCGGGCCGTTATATACGAGCCTCGTACCGGTGCAAACTGTCACACTCCCAGGCGTCGACCCAAGTAATCATGATTCAATGGAGAAATTAGATTGCAACATCTGTGTCGCCAATTTTCGGCATACATCTATCAACCTTTTCGACACCCTTCTGTCTTGCTTTTTGGCCCGAATCGAGCACCAGCTGACGTCTAGCTCTTGCTATGTACAGAATCAGCTGCGAAAACCACGCCAGATTGACCGTGTCCTGGGATATCTCAGGCCGTTGCAGATCACGAAAACACCAAAGAAATGCATGCCAACGTATGCGGCCTTTATGATGTGATGCCGTTCGTCTTGGCCTTCTTGACCACCTGTTCCGTGGCCACTTCTTCCTCGACCGTCTCCTCCAGCCGTCTCTTCTCAGGTACCGCCTGATCTTCTTGCTGCTTCTCTGCTAGCAGCTTCTTTTCCTTTTCTGTCATGTTCGGCAGCTCAACCTCCTGCCCGGGGTTTTGCTTGCCCATCTTGACATTGCGATGGTATGCGTGGATGATCGAGTCAGCATCATCGATCGCGATAGGCCTGATATCCGCGAGTCTCTTGATTGCCGCCGTAACTTCCTTGTATTGTGCATCGGTCATGTCAATCTGGAGTTGTTGTGCTCTTGACTTGATAGCATTCCATCCCGTCAGACGAGAAGCAAAGTGGATATACCGTCCAATACCGAAGTCCGAGGGGTCAATTATCTCGTATGTGCTTGGGTTGGCCAAAATCGCCTTGGCATGGATGCCGGCTTTGTGGGTGAAAGCACAGAACCCGGTGATAGGGTTGTTGAAGGGAATGTTGACGGCCACGGCCTCGGCCACGAGCTCCTCAATATCCTTGATCTTCTCCAGCTTGTACTTGCTCTTGACGTAGTCACGATCAGCCGTGATCATTCGAGCCATAAGCCCGCCCAGCGTAGTGATACCATTGCGCTCACCAATACCGAGGACCGAAGTATCGATATGTGTAGCACCAGCTTCAAGGGCGCAGTATGCGTTCGCAATAGCACAGCCAGTATCGTTGTGGAAATGGGTTTCGATGTCGCAACTGACAACACCTCGAAGAGTTCGGACAAGATCGTAGACTTGTCTTGGGGAAGCACATCCGACCGTGTCTGCAATACCGACTCGGTCCACGCCAACCTTGTCGACGGCCTGGTAAAGCGACAAGAGGTCGACCAGGTCCGATCGGAACGAGTCTTCGCTGGAAAATCGGATCTCGATGCCCTTGGACTTGACAAAGTTGATGACCTCGATTGCCGTGTTCTTGATGTAGGTCATGTCCTTGCCGTGGGAATGCTCGCGGAGGAAAGACGACGTGCCGATGACAACATCGACACCGTCAACACCGGTCTCGACTGCTATCCGCGCGTCGTCCATATGACATCTGATGTGCGTGAGGATCTTGGACTTCAAGCCAAGCTTGCAGATGGCTTCGCAGTCCCTGCGGGATTGCTCGGACGCGGCAGGACTTGTGAGTTCAATGTAGTCGGCGCCAAACTCGTCTAGCGCTTTTGCGATTTCGATCTTCTTGGCGGTGTCAAAGTAGGCATTTGCAAATCTGTGGGCTGCGGTCAGCACCAGCACCATGTTTCACCGGGCTGTGGTATCTGAACATACTGTTCGCCTTCTCTTAACGTGCTTTCAATGATCTTGAATCTGCTGACATTGCTCAGGAAGTCACCCACGGGCATGTAGGGATTTCTCTCATTTCGAGGTTGGTTTGTGGAGGTATTGATGCCAGTATAGCCGGGGTGGCCTGTAATAGATGAGTACGGCATATATCTGGGCGCAACAGCCTTTACGTACTGCCTGGGGCATGTGTTCCATTGGTATGGCCGTGGGTACCGTTGACCTGCCCGTTGACGCCGTTCGTCTGGACGTCGTCGGCTGAAGGACACATGTTGTATGGTGTGTGGTGTGAAAGAAGGGTACAGCTAAGCTTGGGATAAAGAGCAGATAGGGTCAAATACACTCCGAGGGAGAGGAAGAGTCGTCAGTGAGCGGTGAGGTTGGAGTAAAATGCAGCACCGGAGAAAAATAGTTCGCAGGGAATGAGTCAAAATGCAGCGCCGGTGATTTGACGGCGCTCGCAGGGGAGATGATGCACTTTGCAGTCTTGCAGCCGTGGGAAAAGTGGGAGCAAATGCTGGAGGGGAAAATCTCGAACTTTGCGGGGATGCGCTGCTCTCCGGTCTCGGTGCACCTAAGCTCAAATTTTTCTCAGCTATTTTTCATTCATCACTTGTACATCGTTTTCCCGGCGTCGCTGCAAGAACATGTTGACTTCGGTTCGTGTCAGACGGGGCTTCCATGCCGTTCAAGCTTCCTACCTAGGTACATTCATGCCTGCTATCAGACAGCAGACTACCTCGTCCGGTACGTCGACCACGCGAGCTCTTCTGGAGGAACGACGTCACCGACTACCCACGAAGTGTCACGTGCCCGACGGCTCAAGCCAAACCCAGGCAAGGCCAGGTAAAAGTATCGTCTAGTGCAGGTCATAGAAAGTGCACCAATCACGAATCAGGAGTGGCTCAGTTTCTTTGGCGTGGCTGGCGTGTAACTTTTCCCTATCCCTCAGCATTCCTTGACCAACGAAACTCCGGTCATTCATGCCATTACCCCGGAACTCATATGTGAAATTCTTTACAGCAGCAAACCGGTTTGCACTACTCTTTGAGATATACCACCAACCTTCGTGTCCCGGGCCGTAGTGAGATGCGAAGTCGAAGGTAACGCCTGCTCGCAGGTCGAACGACATGATAGCCAGAGGACAATTCGACTCGTCTAGATCTCATGGACCGATGCTCATTGCTAATATCCTATTTGACGAGCCGCCGAATCTGTGGATCAGTGGTTGGGAGAGGCCAGGAAGCCAGGTGCGTTGAGAAAGATTGCAGATGCATACAGTGCAAGCGTAAAAATCCCCGGGTGGTATAAGTACTCCGTACGAAGCCATGAATGCAACAGTCTTATGTGCAGTCCACTCATACCGCCTCAGTACTTCGTATCGTATCGGTGGCTTCTCTTCTGCAGGTGGGTAACCTGATGCGCGAGCGGAACGGCCAGCTGACGTATGCCTATATCATACCAGCAGTCCTTCTCCTCCTCGAGGCGCATGATGTACGAGGTAAAAATGGAAGGAGCTTGAGATGAAACTCAAAGTATGATTCCAGAAAACGTGTTTGGCATCCAACGTGACGATGACCCCAGGTTGGTAAACGGCTCGAGTCTTCGATAGGCCAATGGGTATGCCAAAAAGGAGGGTTACCCTGAGGAAATCTTGCAACCGTTCTGCCATGTCGGAGCCTGTTAATCGACGCCGTTCAATCTAGCAACTGCTGTATAACGTGATGCTGGCCCGCACGTTGGCCGATTCGAGGCGAAGGATTCTCCACACTACTAAACGAACGGTTCATCGTGTGGAGAAGGGCTGATCAAGGCACGATCCATGCTGCATGGACGGTTAGACCCCAGGGCGCCTAATTGAGCTGCGTGGTATATAGACTGGCCAGTCGAGCATCTGATATTCTATTCAGACTGCAATCCGGGACATTGATGCAAGAATGGCGAAGCCTACTATCCTTTTCACGCCCGGCGCCTGGCACTCACCGGCACACTATGAGAAGATCATGACAGCGCTGCAGCAGCATGGGTACGAGACCGAGGCAGTTGCGTTGGCGACTGTCGACCCCAAGGACCCGCCAAACACACATGTGGATGATGACGTCCAGGTTATATCCAACGCGATCAACAAAATCCTATTGTCAGGAAAGGATGTGGTTCTGGTTTCCCACTCGTACAGCGGCATCCCAGCGCAGAGCGCGGCTTACTCCTTCCTCAAGCAAGACCAGAACGGCCCGCGGCTGAAAGCAATAGCAATGATGTGCTCATTCCTCTACCCACCAAAGACCGCTCTTCTCGCTGCCACGGGTGGCAAGCCCTTGCAGCTCCATGTCGTGTCGGCGGACGAAACCCTTGTCGACGTCAGCGACGACCCTGGTCCAGAAGTGGCCTTCTACTCGGACGTATCACCTGAAGAGGCAGCCGCAGCGAAAGCCATGCTGAAGTCGCATTCCTGGCGGTCCAAGACTTTACCGCCATCAGCCGAAGGTGTCGGATACTGGGAGATTCCAACCAGTTACTTGGTTTGTGAGAACGACAAGGCGCTGCCAGCCGACTTACAGAGGAAATGGATTACGGACGCGAATGAGGCGTTGAAGGCAAGGGGAACAGATTTGAGGATCAGGGAGGAGCAGGTGGAGAGTGGCCACAGTCCATTCTTGAGCAAGACCGAGCAGACGGCGGCCTTTATCAGGAGAGCGGCTGGGGAGGACGTGCCGGTGAGCTGAAGCTTGATGAATCTATCGTTCATTCGACGACCTTGATATACTTCTCACGGACCAGAGCATCAAACCTTGCCTTGGCCAAGGCGTAGAGCATCTCGGTCAGAGGCATCTTGACATTGTGTAGTCGCCCGAGCCGAACAGTGTTTCCAACTATTGCCTCGACTTCAAACAGTTTCCCTTGTTTGACGTCTTGCACCATGCTATTCTCTCTGCCCGTGTTGGTCGCCGCTCTGGTCTTGGCGATCATTGCTTTCTGCTCGGCCACCTGTTCGTTGACAGTGGGGATGCCTATCGTCTTGGCCAGCTCGACAATCTCCTTCATGACGCCCCAACCCAGTTCCCACGCATAAGGAGCAGTCGAGTTCAGGAAGTCTCCATCCGAACACAGAGCGAGCGCACAGATCGGGTTCCAGGAACAGTTCATCAAGATCTTCGACCAACGAGCAATTTGGATATTGTCATGAACTTCAGCCTGCCCACCGCCGGCAACCACAAGATCCGCGAGCCTGATGGCAGCTGCTTTATGTGACTCTGGGCTGTTGGCCGGGAAAGTGCCAATCTCCAGGAGGTTCAGCATCTCCGGGTATTCAATGACCCCGTGCTCCTTCTGATATGCGGGAAGATAGACGACGCAACTCAAGAGAGGGTTCTCCGGAAACGCTTCTACGACTTCATCCTCGATCGCTATTCCGTTCTGGGCCAGCACGATGGCCGTATGAGACCGACCTTGGACGTAAGGCCGGATCAGCTCACTCAACGACGGCTTCGACCCCGGAAAGCATTTCGTAGTGACAAAGACAAAATCATAGCTGGTATCTGTAGCGCCTTCCTCGCCACTTCTGACCACGAAGTCTGGCCGGAACTGTACATCACCGTACCGCAAGCTCTTCAGGGAGAAACCGTCTCGCTTGACCGCGTCGTAGTTTGACCGGCACACGGCTGTGACTCTACAGCCGGCCCTCTGAAACTGGTACAGACAGACGGAACCAATGCTACCGGCTCCAAAGAGAAGGACGTGCGGCGGATCGTTCATTATTGTTGCACTGGATGGCATAGAGAAGCTTTATGGTATGCACAGTATCATAACAAGATAGGGGAAGGACCACGCGGCGTTATCATCGGACTTTGGCCGCCGTGATAGCCCTCGAATCCTCGTACCCCCAGTAATGGTATTTGACGGCCCCACAGCCCTGGCGGTGCCTGTACTGGACCGTGTTGGAGGCGCGGATGTGCCCGGCGTTAAGTGATTCGCAACGTGCCTAATCCGAGTCTGCCGAGTGTCGGGATGGAAGGAACATGTCATCTGGTCTTGTGCAGTTGCTCGACAATGAGGCCGCCAGTGCGCACGTTCTTATGACCAGGCTGAAATGCAAATACTTATCGGCCGAGGGCACTACACGACATGACTCCCGGACGGTGCTTGCTAGGCATCACTAAAGAATATGAAATCCGCAACGTCGTGGATGCTCGGCTTCTGTAAAGGCGCGATGCCCGTCGCTTGGCAGGAAGAGCCCACAACTGGCAGGGATCTGTATCACGTTCCATGGTCTGCTTACAGAATCAGATGCCGACTTCCCTGGCCCGATGGATACTGGCGGAAACTGAACTGCACAGGAAGGCTGTGCTCAGAGCCAGGTGGTGCTACTGCTCGGGCTCCGGAGAGGTTATTCCTCATCTATCCCCGGCTTGTCGTGAGAAGCACAATCTTGAAGCCACCTGCAAAACACGTCTCCACCACCTGGGTCGATCATCCGAAACCCGCAAATCGCAAGGCGATCGAAAATTCTGAGCAAAGAAGAATGCCAAAGAAGCACCAGTCAACCAATGATGCAACCCAGCCTCGCGCCCTTCTACGCCGGCGATGTGGCTTGCGAATCAAAGCACCGACGGCGAGTCCATGACGTGCTCGAACACCAAGCTTTGCCTCCGTCGGTCACGGACATACGACATGCATCTCAACGCCCTTTGGCTGGGCACAACGTGCCGCATAGCCGAGGCCACGGAGCATGCATCCATCACCTTACCAATTTGATACCTGGTGGCTTGCATGGCGTGCGTTTCAGAAAATTATACGCGGCCAAGGGTTCAGATGTATGAAAAGTCCGTCGTCATGCCCTTTCCTTGTCCTTCGACGTCTTCAAAGGTGACCTCTTTCACAACGACACATCGACCATACCGCCAGCAGTCATGGACAAGATAGAGAGGATTCTCTCTCGGCCTGTTGCTAAACCCTACCGCTCTGGCAAGATCGATCCCTCCATCAAGCCATTTCTCAATCAGTACGGCCACCTTGATTTCGCCCCTGGAGATATCGAGAATCCCAAAGAATGGTCGACGAGGCGTCGATGGTATTGTACGGTAGTGGCCGTCATTCTCGTCTGCAACGCCACGTTCGCGTCCTCGAGTCCGTCGGGCTGTCTTCGCAGCATCTCTGAGCAGTTCCGTGTTTCCGAAGTCGCCGCTGGTCTCGTCATCACCCTCTTCCTGCTGGGATATGTGGCCGGCCCTCTCCTCTTTGCGCCTCTATCCGAGTTTTATGGCCGACGCTATGTCTTCTACGCGACTTTCACCCTCTACAATGCTTTCAACTTCCTGTGCGCATTCGCACCGAACTTCGGATCACTGCTTGTGGGACGGCTCCTGACCGGAACCTTTGCCAGTGCTCCTTTGACAAATGCGCCCGGAGTTCTGGCAGACGTATGGGGACCCGTCGAGCGAGGGAATGCCATGGCCATCTTTTCCATGATGACCTTTATTGGTCCTGCCATCGGGCCCGTCATCAGCGGATTCCTCGAGCTTAAGGAGGATTGGAGATGGGCATTCTATGTGCTCCTGTGGCTGGGAGGAGTGACGGAGCTGCTGATGTTCACCATCCCGGAGACACTGCCGTCGGTGGTTCTGATCAACAAAGCACGCCGACTGCGAGCCACAGGAGTACCTGAGTACCAGGATATCCGGGCACCTGCTGAAGCTGAAGGACGCGATCTGGGCGCCATGTTCAAAGTCGCCCTTCTTCGACCCTGGCAGATCCTGTTCGATCCCATTTCGTTCCTGGTTGCCATCTACCTCTCCATCGTCTATCTGCTGCTCTACATGTTGTTCACCATCTACCCGATCGTGTTCCAGGAAAAGCGAGGCTGGAATTCTGGTGTTGGCGAGCTTCCACTGATCGGGACCGTCATCGGAGCATGCATCGGCGGGGCAATCATATTCTACAAGTCACACCGCGAAAGGAAGAAAGTGGAAGCCGGCCTCCCCCAGAAGCCCGAGGACAGACTGCCGCTCGCCATGCTGGGCGGCGTCTCCTTCGCAATCACCATGTTTTGGTTTGCCTGGACGGCCAACTTCAACAGCATCCACTGGTTCGTGCCCACCCTGGCGGGCACGTTCCTGGCCACATCAATCATGATCATCTTTGTCTCCTACCTCAACTACCTCACCGACACGTACCTGATGTACACGGCCAGCGCCATGGCCGCGAATACTATCTGCCGTTCCGCGTGCGGCGCAGCGGCTCCTCTGTTCACGAACCAAATGTTCAGCGCCCTAGGTGTTGGAGGCGGCGGCTCGCTGATCGGGGGTGTTGCCTGTCTTTTGGCCCCAATCCCATTCGTCTTTTACAAGTACGGCGAGCGGATCCGCGTGCGAAGTCGCTTCGCGCCAACCGACCAGCCCGCACCGAGCGACGAAGAGAAACAGGCCCATTCGAGCCACGCCGTGGCCGACAGCCGCTCAATTTCGAGCTCGAGCTCGAGCTCGACAGAATTGGATACCGAGACTTCATCTCGTTTCGGACCCGAGGTGCCGGAGGTAGTGGAGAAGAAGGCGACCCCCGACGAACCACGCCATGATTTGGCCGAGGGCATCGGCGGGGAGAAGGAATTCACTTGATGTGAACCTATTCACTATTCTTCTTTGAAAGGTTAACGACACCGTGTCACGAACAGCCTCGCATGAACCTTGCCGGGCTGTTCCATCGAGTGCCGCTGGGACTCGATGGACCAGTCTGACAATTCAGGTATGGGAGTAATTAGGCATCTCAGCAAGCGGACAACCCCATCCGCCATGTACCTGGCACGTCAGCAAGCAGACCACGCATTATGTAACTCCTATCGACCACATGCCATATGCGACGTTCAGTGGACTCGCGTCAGGCCAGCGGCAAAGACTCTCCAGGGCGACGTCGGCGAGATTTGGGGCTCTGGCAGCGGCGTCGTACGCGACAGGTCTTGGGCAGCCCAATGATCAGAATGTTCTCCACCAGCTACGAGATGATACGATGGCTCTGTATCGATACGACGACTCTGTATCAGCCTTGTCCGAAAGCGGGCTTGTACTATATGCATACATGGTACCTCGACTGCGGCGTGATGGGATCGTGAAATTGGCGGATATACATGCCGCGACATACTGGACTTGGGAAGGGATGGAGGGAGTTGGGTACGAAGGGCGGGACAAGGCGTTTAAGTTGAGCACGACGCTCCTGCATGCATTGGGGGTTCATGGCGTGGTGTACTGCGTATATGGCGTTGTTTACCACCGTGTAATACATAACTTTTCTAAATTTGTTGCATCCGTTTCAACGTCCGTCTAAGCCAGCAGAGAGCTAGAGAAGACGGTGTAGTATATAATGAATGTGTACAGCATGCAGAATAGGATGCCTATTCAGCTCGCATGCGCATGCATGGCGCCGATAGAAGATAATAATAGAATGGACGGAGGGCCATGCTTGTCCATTATCCGACACCTACTAGTATATCTGTACTTGTATCGCCATCTTCATCTACAGAATACCAGATGGTCACACAACACCGACTTCCGTGCAAGGGGAATCGAGTCGCTTCATCGCTCGCGCCGAGTCGTCGAGACTAGACTGCAGTCTCAGAACAAGACGGTGCTTCCCGCAGCTACCAATCAATGCCTGCACCGTGCTAGATATAGTGGCTCTGTGCACATCTACGACGGCTCACGACACGCGAAATCGCTGAAAGTACAGAGTACATATGAGCGAGCATCGAACGCCCTGGTCGATATGGTATCTCGTAGGGTACTCAAAATTCCAAGGGTTGTGTGATGTGATGTCGTCTCAACAACGGGACGACACGTTGGTGGGTACCTATGCACGCAAGTCACAATCTCTGAATCGATTTATCGTATATATACTCTGTATGCGAGAAACGGGTCCAGGGCCAGGTCCGGCAGTCACTCACACACAAGCCACGATACTGGCTCCACACGGTCGACCTCCCTCAGTTCGGGGAACCGGGACTTAATGGGTGTAGACGAAGAAGGGATTCTCCCGGTCCGTCTTGTCGGCGTAGGCGAGTTGTTGGCGCAGCCTCTCCTTCTCGTCCTCGCTCATGGCCGCGAGTTTCTCGCGGTTCTTCTTGTTGAGGCGGTCGTTGCGGAAGCGCAGCACGAGGCAGACCAGGACCCTGGGTGTTACTTGTTAGTCATCGAGGACACAGACGTAACGACCAGGAACACAGATGGAGGGATACATGACGGCCGGCAGGTCACTCGCAACATGAAGGACATCGGGAGTACCACGTACTGAGCTGACAGAGTGGCCATGATGGCGGCCTTGCCGCTGATATAGCCGGGCGCTTCGGCCGCGCGGAAGGACTCGGTGCCGGCGATGTTTCCGGCGCAGTAGAGCATGAGCGTCAAGGCGTTGACCGTGACCTTCTTGGTATGGCCTCCTAGGTTGGAGGCGTTCCAGACGAGGAGGAGCATGAAAGCCTAGACAATGTCAATGCGGCGCCCCGGGAGAGTGTCGGAAAGAACGTACCGATGTGAATGAGTTGCAGAGGTACAGGGCGAACAGGAGAGCGCCTTTGCTCTTAGGGACACCGCCCGGGTCAAGTCCGATCATCATGGCAAAGGCAGCGATTGTGGGGAGAATACTGATGATCATGACAAGACTTCGATCGTTCCATTTGTCGCTCAGGTAGCCGATGAGGATGGTTGAGATGGCACCGACCACGCCGCCGGGGATATTCAGAATCAGCTGCAACCACGTCAATATGAGGCCCCATCACACTTGAGAGATGGCTACTTACAGCTTCCTGAGAGGTATAGCCAAACGTGGTCAAGAGGATGCTGGAGAAGTTGGGGATGGCCGTGGGGACGCTCAATAGCACGACCGAGACCGCCACCAGATACACTCCAGGGTCCTTGAACGTCTTCAGGATCTGGGATTTTTTGATCTGGGCGTTTTGTGTCCCAGACTGGTTGTCCTTGACGCGCAGAAGTGTCGCGACTTTCTCGGCATCGGTGAAGCGTCGGGCTTTGACGGGCGAATCTGGCAGGTAGAAGAAGACAATGGTACCGACAACGATTGTGACCAGGCCGATCGTGAGCAGGAAGATTCGCCAGCTTGCGAAGCTCTTGTTGTTGGTATGCGAAACGCCCCAGGAAACGAGACCCGCAAAGATGGATGTCAGACTAGCCGGCACGTCAGTTGAGCAGCAATATTGGACGGGAGTGCCCACCTGTTGCAAACGTAGACATAGGAGATTCTTCGTCCTTGCTCCGACTTCTTGTACCACATAGCGACAACCAGTACGAGGGTGGGCGAAACGACCGACTCGAAGACTCCCAGCAACGCACGGCAGATCATCAGACCAGCATAGTTCTGAGCAGCTGCATGAGCTGCCAAGACGGCACCCCAGAGGATGATGTTTGCACCCAAGTATTTCCCAAGTCGGGATATGCGCTGGGAGAGATACTGGGTTGGAAACTCCGCGGCCAAATAGCCAATGTACTGATCGTGTCGTTAGGAAGGGGGAAAGAAGGGCTAATATTGCTAGACTCACAAATATCATGGCAACGTCGGAATATTGTTGGCCGACGAGGTGAGTATCCTCGCGGAGGCCCATGACAGCGGTATAACCGATGGTCGTCTTGTCCAGGAACTGCAGGAAATAGGTTGCGATCATACAGGGAAGAATTGCCCAGTCGATCTTCCGCAGGAGTGCCTTGCGCTTACCGTCATCCGCAAGAATGGCAATGGCTTCCTGAGTGACGCCGTCGGCATTGGGATGGTCCCGTAAGAAAGCAAAAGCCTCATCTGCTTCTCGGGGGTCGATATTAAGCGAGGCGAGTGCATCCTCGAGATGAATGACGGTCTCCTGGACCTGTTTCTCCGTGTCTAACGGGGCGTCCGTAACACTGACTATTTCTGTGGCAGCCATCTTGCTCGTGAGTAACGATCTCAAGCTGGGACAGGGTCCTGCAAAGACTGCCTTGGATGGAGTCCCGGTGGTTTATATTGGCATCTTCACCAGAGGAGCCTGACTCGAAAGGCGGCAATTGTGTCTGATTAACTGCCGTGATCGACCAGAGCAGCTGGCGGTATTTCACCGTGCCACTTATACGTCGACTATGACTAGCTCCATCTGATGTGCACGCGCATGCCGCTGGATATGCGCGACGACAATGGTTGTCGCTTTGCAGCCAAGATCTTTGCGGGGATTTGGGGTTGATCTCTGTGGGGATATGGGTACGTCTGGGGCACCGTCGGGTTACCAGTAGCACGGCCAACCTCCTCTTGGGTATTAACCGGCACGGAAACCGGCTTGGCTTACCTTTTGAAAGCTGGCGTCTGGGAGACGCTCGGGGTAGGGGCCAATCGCATCATGGGCATTTGTATGAAACCCCAGTAGGATTGCACTATCCAGCGCTCCCAAGATGTATGATCAGTCCGTCTTCGCATAGAAGCAAGTTGCTAGAAGGATTGGCTTTCCGGCTTGTCCAAGTTGGCCGTCCTTGAACTAAAGCACCACTTTCGGCAGTTGGTCGATCGGATAGAGCATGTAGAGGAATCACCAGGAGAAGGAGAAGGAGAAGGAGGAGAGAGTACCCGGGGCCAAAGTAGCCACCAAATCCGAGATTTTTGCCTTGGACCGTCGTTACTGTAACTCGGTTCCCACTTGCTGGACCCGTCTGGAGTCAAGCAGGGACAACGTGCCTCGGATTGAGTGTCTCGGTTATCTGCATCGTCAGTTCGGGTGTATTGTAACGGGCCTGAGTGAGGTGCTGGTGGCCCCCTTGATACTCGGACTGCGTAGCGGGTACACTTCCCAGAACATATACGTAGGAAGAAGAGTTAAACAAGCAACGCCGCAACGCTTGATCTGTGCGCCGCTCCGGTGTTCGTGTTCGGACATTCCTCGCGACTGACGTTTTGACCCTTCATCTGCTCCAATCCCATTACAATGCAATGGCCCAGCACTCCTCTTCACCAGAAAGCAATCTTTAGTGGAAGTAATTGGCCCGCGAATGAGGCGTCTGCGAAATTGCCTGCAGTATCCTGATTCAAGAGCCACAGAAGACATGAATCTCAAGCGCGGCAAAGGATCGTGGAGAAACCACGCACATCTCCGCCCACGAACGATCCCGCCTTATTTCATAGGCGCCACGATGGTTGCAACGACATACTGAGGGGAGCCCAAGTATATATTGTGACTGTGACTGCCAGATAGTCGAATGGCTCTCAGTTGCCAGGCCGAGCCAGAAATATTGCCACCGCAATGATATCCGCCGTCAGGAAATGCTTCTTGTTGCTAGCCAGGGGACAAACCCGTCCCAACACAAGCCAGCCGACGATAAGCACAACCACGCAGAAGACCAGACCCTATGGCCGGAAGCCGATACCTGCAGAAGAGTCTTTTCTATCGATCCAACACGTAGACGGCAGCCATTGAGGTCAGCCCAGCTCAGGTCAAGCCCAGATGCATGTACTCTGATCAGGAGGTACCGCCTTAAGGCGATCTTTGGTCTCTAGAGATTCTGTGTAGACTGTGGCTTCGTCTGACTTCCGAGTTTGCCGAGCTTCATCGTCGGACGGTTCTGTAGATGTGTCCGGATCGAGTCCAAACCCACTGTGTCGTTCTTTCGGTGACCGTGCCGGCGAACGAGCATATACGCAAGATCTCACATCGTCCACAGTGCAACATCCTGAACATCCCGTGCTGTGTACTCCGTACCGCGGCTAAAATTCCGTAGCGACGGCACGTCATACGTCAACATCTTCAACCGCCGGTGTGAATCTTGTGCATCATCAGATGTACGAGTACGACACGCGCCGCGACGCGACTGACGTGTTTTATAATTGGGCCAAATACGGTTAGCCTTCATGTCTTTCCTACACAGACCGCAGGCTCACATACGGCGTGGGGCGTAGAACATATTCAATTGCTACCCAAGACGTGCTTGATAGATCCTGCTTGATGTCACCCTCTCGCCCGTCATGCCGCCCAAACCCTCCGTGCGAGGCGAATACATCGAGACCGAAACGGGCAACAAAATCAGTCGCCGCGCCAGCGTCCTCGGCCCCCGCCATATCATCCTCGCCGGCAAATGCGTGATCCAGCAAGACGTCGTCATTCACGGCGACCTGGTCCGTCCTCCGCAGCCAAAGGCCCCTCCGACGCAGAGCGATCCGAAGTCGTCGTCGTCCTCGTCTACCACCACAACTCAAGACCAAACCTCGATCCACCTAGGCCGCTACGTCTTCATCAGCCCCGGCTGCACGCTGCATCCTCCGTCCCGGCTCACAACGATCCCGAACTCAGACCCCGGTGGTGGCAGCCCACGGCAGGTAATGACCTACTTCATGCTCCGCATCTCTGACTACGTCTACATCGGGCCAAACACGCACGTCCGCGCCGCCGAGATCCGATCCAATGTGTGGATTGGCGCCAACTGCACCATCGGCAATATGGTCATGATTAAGGATAATGTGAAGATCCTGGATGGGACGGTCCTCCCTGCGAACACGATCTGGGCGGGCGGGACGGTCATCGCAGGGCGACCGGGCAGGGTTATTGGCGAGATCGGCGAAGGGTGGGCTGCTGGGTCGAGTGGGAGTGGTGGGGGTGGTGGTGGTTCGACCGTGGATGAAGGCGTCGGGGTCAAGAGTCGGGAAAGGTGGGCTGCTGTTGGGAATAAGAGGTGAGGTTTGACCCATACAACCAGGAAGCAAATCGATTGTCGTCCACATGGACGACTGATGTGAGAATTACTGGGCACATCCCTAAGTGACGACGAGGCAAGAGACATTATGCCAGTGCCCTTCGGGTAATCGAGATCAGTCCAGCTGTCTTTCATCACGACTAGCACCCAGGTGCTCCGATATTGGCCGTCCATATCACAACAACACGCATTGTTTGCGTTTCGACCAGAACTTGGAGCTGCCCTGCCTCGATGCCACACGTACGAATACAACGAAGGAAAATCAATTCTATGGTCCTCAATAAGGCATCATCCCGCGCACAAAACCACCAGGTGGGCCAAAGCCCGGTTGTTGCACTGGGTGAGGATCTCGCCCTCTGATGCCGAGAGTAACTCCAAGAGTGTCCCAGAATCGGCGGCACATCCGAATTCATCTTCCTTACGCCTCGTGAGCGCGCTTCGTCCCGCCCACCTTGATCTCGTCAGCCGTCCAGGTCCGCCTCACAGGCTTCTCGGGTGACCTTCGCACGGGACTCAACGGCACTGTCGTCCAGGTACTGCCGCACACACTGAAAAGGAGATTCTGCTCAGTGAGTGCTCCAGGGCCTCTCTCAATCTGTAATGCAGGTGGATGAGCTGCTCCTTGCCTCGTCAACTCAGGTGGGTGGCATGTCTTCCACTCAAGAAACTCTGGCGGAGTCGTTGCAGGTTGTGCTACCCCAAATTGAAATGAGTGTGGCTGGACAGGGTGGTCCTTTGGAATATCAGAAGCGATCTTCGACTCGTTCCCCCGAACCGTACAAAGGCTGAGTCATCGTCTCACTTGACCTCGTCGCCGCTCGACCGCCATCCTGGGCCGGGCGAGGACGGACATCTCCATCTAGATCTCCAAGTTGCTCTGTGCAATGACCGCGAGCTCCAACTTGACCTTCATCAGGCGGAGGCCGAGCTTGCACATCCTCACCTTCTGGCCGCGCCGTACCGAGGTCAACCGGAAGCAATTCGGCATCGAATGCGAATGTATAGCGGTTGCGTCTCTTGCTAGTGACGAACGGCCATTGCGAAGCGACCGGCTCCCTCTCTTTCTCGGCCTGATCAGTCAGTACATCCGGAGCCGCTCTTTCGTGGCGCCCTAACCGTGCTTGCATCTCGCTCAGTGGCCGAAATTCGTCGTCGCCTCCAACTGGGTGCTGTCTCAGTGGATTTTCGAAGTGGCTGTACCTGGCGCCGGAAGCGGCTTGTGCCAGGGAGCCAAAGGGAGGGACATAACACGACTGAGGCCAAGAAGGGGCTAGAATCGGACTTGTTCGTTGCACATCCTTGGTCTGTGCCCCTCCGGGAGTCCGTATCCGACTGCCCTTGGCATTGGATATGCGCCTAGCAGCCGGACTGTGCCTCCCTCTCCGTGGATTCAATGGTGCAGGAACAAGGCTCACGCGATCGAACTGAAAAATTGGTGCGGGTCTCCCCTCCCGAACATTGCTCTCCTGGACGTTGCTCCCCTGGACGTTGCTCTCCTCAACGTTGCTCTCCTGGACGTTGCTCTCCTGGACGTTGCTGCTCCTGGACGTTGCTCTCCTGGACGTTGCTCTCCTGGACGTTGCTCTCCTGGACGT